CTTCCTCCCCCCCCAAAAAAAAACAAAAAAAACAAAAAACAAAACAAAGGTAACCCAGAAACTCATAGATAAACCTGGAAAGGTTCAACCGCTCCGGTGCTGTGAGCCCTTTTCGACTTCGACATGATCGGTGGACTTTGTATCGTCAAGGTGACCTGGCGACTCGTTCTCTGATCCGGATACAACTTTTGCATTAGGCATGTTGATAGGCTTGGGCATATGGCCGTCCATGTAGCGGTTGTAGTCTGGGAGAAATATCGATGCAATGATAGCACAGCCAAGTAATGGCATGGCCGAATAGTAGACATAGCGGAAAGCTTCAGAGTAGGCGACCCGCTGCGCCTGGATAACCGCTGCTTCAATCTGTGCAGTAATCCCAGGAACTTTAGCAAATGCCGCTTCAGAGCCAATTTTTAAAGCCTCAAAGAGATCCATGAGCGAAGATTGCGGTAACCCGGCCTCGATTGCCGCCTGAGAGACTATGCTGGCGATTTTGGACTTGGCCTTGGAGTTGAGGACGGCAAGATAGATCGCAGTAAAGATGGAGCCAGCTACCGACCGGATACACGAGATGGTACCTATATCAATCATAGGCGTCAGCATACATTCGGGATGGGGGGTTTGGATGAGTTAACGTACCAAAAATCATGCCAATCTCCTGATCAGGGGCGCCAAGCTGACAGATGACGCATGGTCCCAGCTCGATGAAGCCGACGGGCAGGCCAGTAAGAAATGAAAAGGCAATAGCCTTAGACTGGTCGACGATGCCAACCTGTGACAATGCGATAAGGAAGACGGTGCTGAATACCACGCAGCCGAGGATCTGAAGTCGAAGATCGCCAATCACGTTGACCAGCGGACACATGATCATCAAACCTCCCCAGATTCCCCAGCCGACTGTAGACTGTCTAATGTGTCAGTTACGGGGCGCACCAGTTGCACTTTTGGAAAAGTGCTTACGCTCATCCAGGCTTCAGTTTGCCAGGAGGTGCTGGCAGTGCTAAATACCCTGAAGACGTCTACCGAAGTCAGCTTTGAGTCAGTGAACAGCTCCTAGCATTGACTTACATTGAGGCCAGATAATACTGAGTCCAACGTACATCGATCCGGAACAGGCAGATATTACCGTCAGGCAAACGAAACCTCGATGCTTGAACAGCCGCAGATCCACAATGGGGTTTGGAGTTGGGTAGAATGCCTCCCAGAGGACAAAGGCCACGAGTGTGACACCTCCAGAGATCAGCAGACCCAAAATGAGACCAGAATGCCATGGCTTTGGGTTACCTCCCCATGAGATTCCCAGCAAAAACAGCGTAAGTCCAGCGACGAGCAGCAGCAAGCCCACTTGGTCAATCCGTTGAAATTCTCGAAGTACAGAGCGCTGCTTTCCATGTAGCTGTTCAAACGTTGGGGGGAAATATACAAACATTTGGATGACCCAGCCCACGCCTGCCCAGCATCAACCTCAGTCAGTCACACGTCAGCCGAAGAGCAACTTTCGCACGTACCAAGTATCACGATCAAAATGTAGTATATCCATCTCCAACTGTGCGTCTCAACACATGCTCTGCCAATATAGGCACCCAAGCCGGGCGATATGACCATAGGTATCAGAATTGCTGTCTGAATCATGAATTTGTATCGGTGTGGTGAGATTTCTGGAGGAGCAAGAGTCAACACCTTGCTTCTGTGGCTCAGCTTGACGCATAACTTACCTCCTGCGAACAGGCCGACAGCAGAGTGCACGCCGGATGCCAGACCGAGCAGGACCTGTTGACGTAATGAGCGCAGTTCCCTCGAAGTCAGCTCGAGGATATCATACATTTGCTCCGATCAACGTGTTCATGTTCTTGGCTCTACTGGCCATAATAGCCCCAACCATTGCTACTGCTCCTGCTCCAAGCATGATAGAGCGCTTTCCAAATCTGTCCGAGACACGACCAACCACCAATAGACTGATGGCGTTACACATTGTCCACACAATGGAAAACAAACTTTCGGAATCAGTTGGGCCTGGGGCAGGTGTCAGCGTCTGAGCTGATTAAACGGATAGAATTAGAGACGCACCGATGTCTTCATTGATGTAGCTGAGAACCGATGCAGGGGCGGAAAATCCAAAGTATGCCGATGCTGTAGTCAGTGACAGGGCGAAGATGGTTCCCAAGTAGCGTGGATTCCAGAAATAGCCAGGAGTCAAGTCTGCTATATCATGCGCGAGGAGCCCAGCTTGGTGCACATCCTCTTTGTGTTCGGCATCGTCACGCTTTGAATGCTCTGGAAGCGCTAGGGTGGCACCTAGGCCATCATCATTGCCCAGGGTCATGGCTATTGGGAGGTGGCCTTAGAGTCTGAAGGACCGACGTTGATACGATTGGGATGTAGGTACTGTTCAATAGAGGTATCGAATTCAGATACAGGTGATACATGCAGTCTGCATTGAGGTTGGCAGGCGATATGTGAGGTATAAATAGCGTAGGTACCGATAGACAGAACAGGTCGCAACATCACTACTACCCCACGCGATGTTTCTGGGGTCCGGGGAATTCTCCAGTATACACTAAGAATCGGATCGAATTGACAATAATTAGGATGAAACCAGCCATAGCTCGTTGTCAATCTGTGGAGTATTTCGGTGGCCGAGGACGGATTCCCTAATTGGCAAACGAAGATGATAGAACTTAGACCCGTCGAAGGTATGGTCAGGCAAACAAACGTAATACGCTTCACCTCCTTCAAGCGATTTTATTTTTCGGCGAGACGTTAGGCCATTTGGCTTTTACACTTAGCGGAAGAGTGACTTCTCATGCAGTCGAATCACGCAGGCGTCTAGATCTAAGCCACTCTTCTACATGTCCCAGGCCCTGTTATGGCGAGGAGACTCATGGCTGTTCGGCTGTGGTCGCTAGCTAGAGGGTTGGGAGACAGGACAATAAGGTAACCCCTATACTTCGTCCATATAGTGGCGTCTCCGGGTGTTCCGTTTGGTGCCGAGTTCAGTCTCAGGTATCCTGCCTGGATGGGATGTTGCGAATCATCACTCGACCAAGGAAGACCACACCAAGATACACAATCACATAAAATCTTCATCGTCCGAACTAGAGGCCTAGAACACTCGGTCTGGTCATTGGATTCGGAATGTTGCCGAGCCCCTCCAAGCGGGCCCCGAATGCTGCCCCAGCCTAAGACGAGAGAGGCAATTTGCCGGCGGTCCGCCGAATAACTACTGTCTCGACTTGCGAAACTTTTGAGGCCTAGCTAGCTCGTCTTTTGGGTTCGGCACAGTCCCCAGACCATGAATAATATAACTACATTATACCAGAAAGGTCTTTAATGCGGCAGAAAGCTCTAGGCGTAAACAAATCATTTTGGATCCAACATTTATCATACTGCCAATATGGGTTCTATCAACGAGACCATTTTGCCCGAGAACATCGATGGAAAAGCTCTGCTAGAGAAGTATCGCGAGGAGCGTGACAAACGCTTGCGTGATGAGGGCATCTTTCAGTACCGTGATGTGTCTGCAGACTCATCACTGAAGCACTTTGCCGAAGATCCTTGGTCAACTCCTGTAGTACGGGAACCCCTCAACCAGGACATCGAATTTGCCATCATCGGAGGCGGGTTCGGGGGTTTACTCCTGGCTGCTCGATTAACTGAAGCTGGGATTCACGATTTCAAGATTTTCGACAGAGCGGGTGACTTTGGGGGGACCTGGTATTGGAACAGGTACCCAGGGGCTGCATGTGACATCGAAAGCTACATATACATGCCCTTATGCGAGGAACTGAACTATGTCCCCTCAGCCAAGTACGCCCCGGCACCAGAAATCTTCCAGCATGCGAAGAACATCGGGAAACACTATGGCCTGTACGAAAAGGCCCTCTTCCATACAGAAGTAAAGGAGCTGTCGTGGGACGAAGAGTAATGCACCTTTCTCAAGCTGCGACGAAGCGGCCAAATCGATGTGCTAACTTTATCCCAGTCTCACACGGTGGATCGTTCTGACAAACCGTGGGGACAAGATTCGAGCTCGATACGTGGCAACTGCTGGTGGACCTTTGACGAAACCCAAACTCCCTGGAGTGGAAGGGATCGAGAAGTTCAAAGGCCACAGTTTTCATACTGGCCGCTGGGACTATAGCTATTCTGGTGGTAGTTGGGAAGGCAACTTGAGTGGTTTGGCTGGCAAGAAGGTTGGTGTTATCGGAACTGGAGCAACTGGGGTGCAAGTGGTAAGCTATCATCTTGATCACTACATCCCACTTTACTAAAGACCAACTATCGTAGACTCCACATCTGGCAGCAAGTGCGGGCCATCTTTACGTCTTCCAGAGAACACCGCCTGCTGTTGACGTCCGCAATGATTCACCGACAGATCCCCAGTGGGCTGGGAGCCTCACTAAAGGTTGGCAACAGAGGCGTATGGACAATTTCACCACCATCGTGGAAGGCGGGCATCAAGACGAGGATTTGGTCAACGATGGATGGACACACATTTTCCGATCTCTTGCCCCATCGGGAGAAATGGTGAAGAAGTTCAATTCCGGCAGCGACGCAGCGCGGAATGTCCAGCTGGCGTGGGAAGAGGCCGACAACATGACCATGGAAAGGATACGGCGACGGGTGGACTCGATCGTGCACGATCCAGAGAAGGCTAAATCCCTAAAGGCTTGGTACCGACGGTTCTGCAAGCGACCTTGCTTCCATGACGTCTACCTGGATATATTCAACCGCAACAACGTGACGTTGGTCGACACTGACGGAAGAGGTGTTGAGCGGATCACCGAGAATGGAATTGTCGCGAACGGTGAAGAGATCGAGCTGGACTGCATAGTCTATGCGACTGGTTTCGAGTATGGTACCGATTACAGCCGAAGACTCGGCGCCACAGTCCGAGGCCGCAACGGGGTAAAGCTCTCGGACCATTTCCAAAACGGATTTCGTTCGCTACACGGATACTATGTCCGAGGCTTTCCGAACTACTTCATCATAAGTCTGTCCCAGTCCGGTGGCAACCCCAACCAGGTGTTCATGCTCAATGAGCAAGCCAAGCACCTTGCTTGGCTGATGACGGAGCTCAAGGCCCGTAACGCCACGAAGGTCGAAGCCTCGGAGCAAGCAGAGCAGACCTGGGTTGAGACCATCATCGAACTGGCAAAGTTGAGGGAGAGCTTCTTTCGAGAATGTACACCGAGCTTCTTCAACGACGAGGGCAAACTGACAACGAAAGGTATACTACAAACTCGTTATGGGCTCGGCACATTGGTTTATATGAAGCTTATTGAGGAGTGGAAGCAAGAAGGTGATTTCAGAGGCCTGGAAATTGACGGGAAACTGTTGACCGACAAGCCAATTCAGACGAGGCCTACAGAGAAAAATGTAGAGCAGGGTGCTGCGGTTCCTAAGTTTGGATAGATTTTTCTTTTTCTTTTTCTTTTTCATAGTCTATAATGTTCAATGTATGTTTGATAGCAGAGTGTTCAGACCAATAAATGCATGCTGGAGTGGTAGTTCAATGAGATTTATACGAATGGGTAATGCCGTCTAAGGGGCTTAGAAAGGTCCAAAGGCCTTAGGCTCTAGCAGACATTTTTCTTCTGAGCAAAGCGAAACCTCTTCGCGTGTTCCAGGATCGAAAGCGGAACCTCGACATGTCTCCCCCGAATAAAGTCTGCAAATCCTTTCCCCAAACAGTCAAGGCGTGCAGTGCTGGTCACGCCTCGGCCCAAGATACCGTAGATGACAAAATGAACCGCGTAGATGTTTGGGAATTCGACACGTTCGATGAAGAAGTCGTCGGACCAATCGTCCCCAATCAGCTGCGTCATTCTAGAAATGGTCATGAACGAAGCAAACCAGCTCCACGCACCCTCGTCACGTACAAAGAGACCAATGTTGATGTTGGCACCCTTGTCACCAGATCGGCCGAGAGCAACATCCCCCAAACAGACTGTGGTGGTTGGGCCTAACGAGTCCATATCGATCTGGCTAACAGGGCCGTAACTCTTCCGAGCTGGGATATCTTGGTAGCTTGGCGGATGCCCAGCATCAATCTGCTTTTCGACGGTTCCGTCTGCGTGAAGAATGATAGCAGACTCTTTGAGCTGGTCTTGTGGCACGATCGCGGGATAATAGGCGACATATGGGCGCGGCAATGCAGTTCGTAAATCAAGGGATCGATGTGCACCTGCCGAAACGCACGCAGTTGTTAGACAAGGATCGTGGTTACCACTTTATGCCCGCTGATGGCCGGGATTGGACGGATAGCTACCTGAGAAATGCTGCATGCCGTACTCTCTGATGACTTTGTAGAGATTAATGAGGGTCTCCTTTGCAGCTGCTTGCCCAAAAACTCGCATGTATGTGGTGCTACGCAACTGAGTAGGCGCATTGGACTCGGGTCGGCCGACGCGTTGGAATTCCAGTACGTCCAACTGATTCTGGAGGCCTCGTTGCTCGACACCATATCTGATCTGGGCCTCGTAAAGGTCCCATTTCTCGTCGGTGGCGTATCCCGTAGCATTGAGCAGAAATTCAGATCGGAAACCTCCTTGGTAGAATATGGCTAACTTCGTGGTGGACGGAGGTGGCTGTCCACGAATTCCACTGACTCTCACTCTTGTGGGAACAGTATTTTCGTTAGCTGAAGCTTCATGGACGAAAGGGTTACCGCAGGCAAAACAATAATTACCGGTTATGGCTGCACTGTTCGATCATAACGTCATCAAGAAGAGCTGTCACATCACTGTTAAGGTACGCCGTTCCCTGCAGCTCGTATAGGAACTGGCACTCGACGGTGTCCTTGGAGACCAGACCCTTTGTTTTTTCATGTTTACTTATCACGCATGTCCCGTCATGCGCAATCTCGGCGATGGGAAACCCAATATCGATCAGAGCATCCATGTCTAGCTCGTCGAACCCGGTGTAGTTCGCCCCCGTGACATAGGCGGAGCACTCAATCAAATGGCCGGCTATCAAAGCACCGGCAAGTCTGTCGTAGTCTGTGTCGCTCCAAGAATGCCAGTACCACGCTGCTCCGATCACAGGAGAAGCGTCCGCCACCCTCCCACAGATCACTATGTCGGCGCCAGACTTCAGAGCCTTGACAATGGCGCGAGCTCCAAGATATGCATTCGCTGAGACGAGTTGCCGGTGTTCAACATCAGTCACAAATGATTTTGTCAAGTGGTCGAGTTTCACCTGCGCATTGGTCGCATCTAAGTGGTCGGGAATGTGGTCGGGTCCGGATTTGAGCTCGTTCTGGACTTGTTCCAGTAGGTCGTCTCCAGAAACATAGGCCAGTTTGAGGCTATATTCGCGAGAGCAGATCTAAGGATATGAGGACGAGAATCAGTAAGTAAGCCTTGCAACGCTATCAGATGCACTACACAAGAGGTCTCGTCGCACCAATTCTCGACATTTCTCTGCGAGTCCAGCTGGATTTAGAGAACCTCCGTTGATGACTACTTTGGCACCTGTCTTGTGGATGAGATCGATGCTCTCCACAAGACCGTCAAGGGCTGTCTGTTCGTAGCCAGGGTGTTGGCCTTCCCGGTAAGCCGTCGCATTCTCGGCGAGGTTCATTTCTACATCAATTGGTTAGATGTTGATAGAGTTCTGTTCGGGCACAGTTTAATGCTAAGGAACCTTACCGGCCAGATAATCTCCAGTCACGAAATCGACAGATCCGAGTTCTAATTGTCGGGGCATCTGAAATCCGGGGTCGCCTTATCACAATTTTAGCAACGAGGCTGCATCATTTGAGCATATGGCGCTCTTGTACTGACCATGTGCTCCGGAGCAATTAGCTACCCTTACGGCACGTTTTCCTATCTCTCCTCGAAATTCTGCTTCTGTGACCATTGTATTGGAGATGCCTTCTGAATGATAGCAGCTATGCGGTAGAAGAGATTCGAGCAAACAACTTGCAATGCAAAGGAACTGGGGCCGAAGCTTGCTTAGTAGGTTTAGTTGGTAGGCTAGGCAAATGGCCGAACTTAAAGGCTTCAGGCGGGAAATTTTAGGTTGTGCCCCTACGTCTCGGGCTCCGAGGCAAGCCGAAACCCTGTAATGGTCATTTCCTATGGGGCCACCAATCGCGGCCGTCAGGAAAGTGGCGGTTCGCAGCATCTGATCTGCTACGGGTATATGTTGCGCTTGTCTAGTACCCGAGATATCCTTTACATAGACTCTCGTAGGAAAGGGGATCGCAGAGTCGAACTAATTCCGTGTTGCTGAGATAAACGTGTACGATCTGCGACTATGACCATCACATACAACAAGAACGTCGAGGCGAAGAGGCTGTTTGTGAACGGATTGCTGCGCCATGAGAAGGTTGGAGCCTTGCTGCCACCAGAAGCGCAAGACTGTGCTGCAAAAATCGAGTTTACGGGTTCTGCATCCCCATCTCTGGCCATCAATTGGAGATTCGCTGAGAGCATCTCTGCACTGCAAGCACTGCAGGCCACCATGGTCAGCGTGCTTCTGAAGCGCAAATACGACGTGGATGCCCCGAGGGTTGTGATTGATACGTGCGTCGTCCTCAATTTTAGAAATTGATAGTGACTGACATCTCATAACAAGGGACCATGCGCAGCTGTTTTTCATGACTCTGATGCTCTTCACGATTGACCCTAATGACCAGAGGATCACCATCGGCACCCGGAGCGCACCTGGGGAGGGACTTGAGAAATATTTCCCAAGGTAGGATCTCCCTCGCCTCTGAAAATCAGGACAAAGCTGAACTTTGGCATCGTCATTAGTTGGGAGAGGCATGATTCATGGCGGAACCTGTATCGTGCCGCTGCGACCAACATCTACAAAACCAAGGACAATCGCTACTACCATCTGCACGGTAAGTGCCATCCACCCGAGAGAAGATTCGATATTTCAATGGGCTAATATATTCGGCTTTGTTCGAGGCAGGAAGTCTCAATCCCAGCCCTACAATCGAAAGCCTGGGTCTTCCTTTGCATCATAATGCTTCCACGGTCCCAGAAGCCCAAGCTCCTTACGTCAAATCGGTCGCTGCTATGACCAGCGCGGAACTGGATCACCTTGAGAATGACATCTGGCGTCAAGCCGGGACAATCTGCTACACTGTGGATGAGTATAGGAATTGTGAAAGTGGCAAGGCTAACTCTCACGTCGGACTGTACGAAGTGACCGAATACCCAAGTCAGACACAGCAACCTGGATGGTGGCCATCGACACCTCAAACCTCTGCACAGCGCCCACTTGCAGGCTTGAAGGTAGTGGACTTGTCTCGCATCATCGCTGCCCCAGCCATCTCCAGAGGCCTGGCAGAACTTGGAGCCAGCGTCATGCGTGTCGTTGGACCCCACCTCGACGACCATTCCAGGCTTCATCCAGATATGAGCTGGGGGAAATGGAACACCTGCCTGGATTTTCGGAAAGCTGACGAACTTGAGGCCATGCGAAATCTGGTTGGAGATGCAGATGTCGTCGTTCTAGGTTACCGTCCTGGCGTACTGGACAAATACGGTCTCGATGTTGATGGCATTCTAGGTCTAGTGGAGCAAAGAGGGAGAGGGGTGGTCATAGTCAGGGAGAATTGTTACGGCTGGCATGGTACATGGTCTGGGAGGAGTGGCTGGCAACAGATCAGTGATGCGGTAAGCGTGTTTTGTTGGACTATTTGCCCTACCTGAAGTTGTACCCGGGAGATATGCTGATTGGGATCTTCAGGTTACTGGAGTTTCTATGCAGTTTGGTCAAGCCATGGGTCTGGACGAAGCCGTTACGCCGGTCTTCCCAAACAGTGACTTCTGCACTGGTGTTTGCGGAGTTGTCGGAGCCCTGGATGGACTCCTGCGACGGGCAGAGAAGGGCGGATCCTACTGTATCAGTGTATGTTTGTCTGCTTCTACATCTGAACGTACAGAACAGCAATGACTGACATTCAAGGAATTATCAGGTCGCACTCAATTACTATTCACAGTGGCTCGTTGACGTTTGTGGAACCTATCCTGACGACGTCTGGAGGAATCTCTGGGAGCGCAATGGGAGACCCCAGTTCCGGCACAACGATCCAATGTCGGTTCTGCTACCGGCTTACATGAAGATGATGAAGGAGAAGCACGCCGAGACTCTTCTACGAGAAGACTTCTTCGAGGATCGCGCATGTCCCGTAATCGGGCACTCCATCAGAACGATCAAGCCCGTACTTAAGTATCCGGATGGCGAGGTGCAACTGAGGTTCAACGTAGGGACAAGGACGAACGGGGTAGACCAGCCATATTGGCCCTCAGACCTCACTGTTGAAGTTGTAGAATGAAACAACATATACCGTTATGGGACCACAGTATGTAGAGACGAATCTAACTTTCTTTACACGATATTTCCATAATTCTGGCTCCTCATAGAGTTAGATATCAATAACTAGAACACGGTGGAACACTTCTGAATCGGGTTGTTCTTCCTTACGTTTGTCTTGACTTCGCGGTGCTACAATATCTAATCATTTAGAGCATATTCGGATGATGGTCACTCCTTCACAAGCACGAGCCTGCCGGTTACCTTCGAATCACGAAGAAGTGTCATGGCATCTGCGGCTTGGTCCCATGGCATGGTCTTGATAGGCGGCGGAACCAGCTTCCCACTCTTCGCCAAAGACAGAATTTCTCGGAAATGTGACAGATTGCCCGTGTTTGTTCCCGTGATGGTCAAGGCCTTGCCGATCAGGCCGACCAGCGACAGTTGCAATTCCCCGCCCATGAGGCCGACCTGGGCCATTCGGCCCCCCTTGTCGACGATAGAAAAAGCCAAGGCAGCCGTGGCAGAGACATTGACGAAATCGATGACCCCAGTTACCCGCGCACCGTGGATGGCGTCTCGAATGAGATTCTGAACGCCTTCCTCCGCGGACGAAAATGCCGCCGCGGCACCGGCCTGGACCGCGGCCTGGCGGTTCATTTCGCTCAGATCGACGGCGACGATGAGTTCATGTCCGAGGGCACGCAGTACGTGAATGGCCGCCAGGCCAAGGCCTCCCGTGCCGATGACCACAACACAATCGTCCGGATGCTGAGGGCCAAGGTCACGCACGGCGTGGAGCGCCGTCATGCCTGAACAGGCGTACGTGCATGCGACGGCCGGGTCCAGCTCCCCCAGGTCCACCAGGTACCGCGGATGAGGCACGACAACTTCGGCGGCGAACCCTCCCTGGCGCACCACGCCCAGCGACGTCTGCGCCGTGCACAGGTTGTCCTCCTCCCGCGAGCAAGGCACACACTTGCCGCAACCCAGCCATGGATAGACAATCTGTGGGCTGCCGAGCTTCACAGCGTGCGCCTCGGGCCCGCGGCGAATCACAACGCCGGCGATTTCGTGTCCCGGCGCTATGGGCAGCTTGGTGCCGCGCTGGGCAAAGCTTAGTCGCCGTCCAGCGCCGAGGTCATAGAACCCCTCCCAAAGGTGGACGTCCGAATGGCAAACGCCACAGTGGGTCACTGCAATCACCACTTCGGTGCCCACGGCTTCGTGCTTGGGGAGTTGGACTTTCTCCAGCGGGCGGGCATATTCCACAACCGCCCAGGCGTCCATTTTGTTAGAGATCTGTTCTGGTCTTGTTGATCGAAGGCCCCGGAGAAAATGTGTGAAAAAGTCTGGTAAGTGAGCTGAGCTGATCTGCTGCAATAAGGGCAGTACAGGGTTCGGAAGCCTGTTTTAAGCCGTCGACGGCATCCAGGACTTCTAATTGTAAGGTCGATAGTTATAACTCAGCAGGGATTCCAAGATCGAGCAGGCATGTGACGCTGATACCTTCTAAGGTGTCCAAGTGCGGGATTGGAGGTCCTCCTAGAAGTCCCTAGATTATGAATGCGAAACCACCGAGGAGCCATAAACCTTCCTCCTCGGCCGCCGGGAGATTCTTGCCTGTCGCTCAGGTGAATACGATGGACCTGCCTAGTGCCGCTAACCAGCCCCTCACGATTTTGTGACCATCACTCTAGCAATTTGCATAATTTTTTTTTTGAATTTGGTTCCGGCGTAACGGTAGCGACGCCGTAAGAGGCTAACCCTCAAATAACCAAACTTCAAGACACAACTCGACTTGAAGCTGTACTGGTGGCCCCGGCATCTTCCGCCACTTGTGTCACTTGGTTACCTTATACCCAGTTTGACACCCACAATAGCCAACGCGAGATACCTACTCTGTAGCTTCGAAAGGAAAATCTCTAGAGATGAATTGGTCGGGTGGGGCCCCGCCTAACCATGATCATGCCTTTCCATCCCCTGTTTGCCGAGGACGGCTACTATTCCATGCATCGTTGAAGAATTTCTCGTTGTAGTTTCCTTCCTCATTCAGATTGGCGTCAGACTCAACACAGAGTCGCTCGATCAGCTGTGCTTTGGCCGCACTCCGAGGCTTGATCTCGCATCTATGGTGCCGCTTTTAATACATAATCTTCCTGGCAAGAACCACTAGATGTAGTACGCTGAAGGTGAAGACAGAAATCATAAAGAGGGAGTCGACGATGGAAAGATTCGCGTACTTACTCGAAATGTGCTGGTCCTACCACCAGTCCAGGAGTCAGAGCATCGGGATCAATTGGTATGGGTTTGCCTGATGCATCCAGCTTGGGATGAAACTCGAAAGCCCACAGTAGGCGAGCCATGGTCATAAACAGAGTCCGAACAGCCACATAGGATCCTGGACAGACACGACGACCGGCCCCGAACGTCAAATGCGGTCGGATGGAGTAGTCTGTCGAGACATGGAAGGTCTCACTGCCTGAAAGATCTTCGGGGAACCGGAAAGGGTTGAAAGTCCGTGGATCGGTGTAGATATCCGGATCGTTGTTGATTGTCCATACCTGTTGAGATCATGCGGTCAGCCAAGTTCCGGGTTCTTGACTCCGGAGTTTTCTCTTGATCTGCGCCCTTAGCAACATACACAGTTATAAAGGCCAGCATTGGCTGGAATGGTATACCCTTCGTACGTGTCTTCCTTCATGGTACAATGCGGCATTGGCCCACCCGTCAATGTTGTCGGCATCCCTTTAGAAGTCCTTGATTAGCGTAAAGGCGCACATCAAGCCTCGAGGTCCGCCTGCACTTACAGCGGAGTGTTTCTTCAACGCAACGGCGGACAATGGGCATATCTGGGCGGTCTTTCCACTCCGGCAGGCGAGAGTCGCCAACGATGCGGTCGACTTCTTCACGAGCCTTGGCTTGCACGTCTGGAAACAGGACCATTGCCTTGACACAACGTTAGCTACTTGTCTTTGGCCATAGATCCGAACAGCCTCAGACTACCTTGACGAATGCGGCCAATGTGTTTGCTTGAGTGTCGCTGGAGGGATGTTAGTCGTATAGGATAGGGACATGGGAGGGAGGGTTAAGCCATTGTGTCCTTACGTTGCCGCCGCCCACGCATGGCCGACATTGAACATAGGTTCTCTGATATCAACCGCAACGTTGCTCGCCTTCCGCTCCTGTTCCCAGTCCAGGATCGAGTCGCGACACATACCTATCTTAAACGTTAGAGATGGACGGTATTAGTGAAGACCTACGAAGGCGGACGACGTACTGGGATAGTTGAGGCCCTGCTTCATTTTCTCGGCAACCCCGTTCCACATGTCGCTCCACAAGTCAGACTCGAGTTTGTTCAGTTCCAAAAGCCGGGTCTTTGTATTGCTCGGTACTATGTGGAACAGGGGGCGGAAGATGGGGAACCAGTCAGCAATCTTAGTGTTGGCAACTGCGTGAATATTGCCCATAAACCACTAGATTCCCATGATTAGTACCGAGAATTCGCCACGACTTCACAATGGACAACCGACGTCGAGTAGAATCCTCCCTGGTCCAACCTTTACAGACCCACAGCGACGCCCGTATGCAATGGTGCAGGCAATGCTGATTGTGTAACGCTCCAGATGGTCACGGAACTCCTCGGGGTCCTTGATCAGATCACGCAGGAGATACAAGCTCTCAAACGACTGTAATCCAACATAAGCAATCTGTACAAGCTGCATAAAATGGTCCTGGTCTCTTACCTGATAGGGTAGGTATTTGTTAGCCTGATTACCGCTGACGTGGGTAGTGTACAGTCGTCGCTGGCGTCTCCAAACTTGGTCGTATCTAGATGGTCAGACTCTGGTGAGCTTCCCATCTATTGAACGCAATAACAAAGAGCGTGACAAGCACACGTACGGGTGTGTTGCAACATGATACTCATTTCCAAACTCACGAAATGTCGAGTGCCATCTGGATGAATAGTTTCCTCCTCGTTTCTCAAATAGGTCAGATACCATACGTCCTGACCCTAAAAGTATTAAGGTCTGCGTCCCCAGTTTTAGCGATACGATCGGACCATCTAGAAAGAAAACTTTGTGAGCCCCTTAGATGCCAGACAGAGTTATCATTGATCCTACATTCATCAATCCATTTCTGATATTGCAGATGAACATCCTTCCTGGGCATCTGATGCAGATTGCCGATGATTGGTAAAGTTGGAGGGCCTTTTCGAGCGACTCAGCACCAAGTTTCACACGGCTGTCTTCCCAAACATACCTGGAGGATAGCCCTTGGGACGCATGCCAATTCTAGATATCCTGTAGACTATATGAAGTAGCGCGGCCACGGCAAAAGCCAGGCTGAAAGTGGTGAACTTGACTAGAGCCATGCTTTCGGGCCAAGCAGTGTCGACAGAAAGTGAAGTATGAAGCTTGTGAGTTAAGATAGAGAATTGTCAATGGCGACTTTCGTTCCTTTTGTCTCAGTGATGGTTTCTTGATAAATGCTTAAAAGATGTTTGGGACGACGCTCTCGAGGTGATGTGGGACTCTGCTTGCCTCCACGGGTCTCCATGGACCTCGCGGAGCTCGAATGAACCTCGCGGAGCTCGAATGGGGTCAGCGGGCATTGACTTCCACTAGTGTCGGTGCTTTTGTGTCTCAAAAATCTCAATGCGGAAAATGCCCGAACGTGACCCGGGACTAAACGTTCGGGCTTCCACGTTCCCGGTCCACTGAGGCGTTCATGGTGCCATGCAATGGGTAAGGCAAGAAAGTCACCTCGGACACAGTCCTTGGGCCGATGGTATGCTTCGTAGATTAATATGATAATATCATCATCACGTCGCTATCGCAATATTGAGGTTGAACAAAAAATCAGCAGTTACTGAGTGAGTGCAATCATGGGCGATCGAAAGCGCAGCACCACATCATGTCTCATTGTCGGCGGCGGCATAAGTGGTAAGCGAGGAACATTCATTCCCCAATACTCGATCTCACAAGCTAGGGCTGACGATGCGATTCAAGGCATTTGCATGGCAATTGATCTGATACGACGGAACAAATGTCAAGACTTCATCATCGTAGAAAAGGGAAATTCTTTCGGCGGAACCTGGAACGACAACACCTATCCCGGTATTCCTCCCTAGCAAAATCTATGTTAATGAACTGAAGTCTAATACACGTCTCTCTAGGTTGCAGCTGTGATGGTTCTGAGTTCTCCATACCCCTTCCCTCTCCTGCATGGTTCTGACATTTCCCTAGTTCCATCCTCACTTTATAGCTACAGTTTTGCCCAAAGTCCAGAATGGTCAGAGACTTTCGCTCCTCAAGATGAGATCCTGGTGAGACTCCTATATTTCACACCTTTAATTTATAGACTACAACACTCCCTTTTCCACAGCTGCTAACATCGGACTAGAACTACTTGATCAAAGTTTCAGAAGATCATGACCTCTACAAATATGTCCGGTTCAACACGGCCCTGGAGGGAGCTGAATGGGATTCCATTGAGAAGAAGTGGGTGTGTAAGCTCAATGTCTTGGGAGGGAAAGAAATCGAAATGTACCAGGAGTACACTGTCAAGGCAGATTTCCTCGTCACTGCTGTCGGCCAGCTGAATGTCCCCAAGTGGCCCACCGCGCCTGGACTGAAGGACTTCAAGGGCAAACTCATGCATTCCGCTCGATGGGACTGGAACTACGATATCCGAGGTAAGAGGGTGGCGATGATTGGCAACGGTAAGACTTGTATACCATCTGCTCCCCACAATAGGGATCAGGGCCTTGTAGTCCGATCATCTATTAACGGGTTTACAGGAAGCACGGCTGTTCAGATTGCCCCAGAGGTCGCAAAGGTTGCGTCGAGCTTCGTCATTTACCAGCGCAGTCCGCACTGGCTCCTTCCCCGAGACAATTCTTCCATCTCTGAAGGGCGGAAGCAGATGTACAGACGATTCCCAGCACTACTGCATTATGACCGCGCTAGTACCATGAGGTATCGTGAGAGTCTTCATGGTGCTGTGACGGATGTACATTCGAAAGAGGCCGTAGAGTTGGAAGCTCTTGCCAAGGAGTTCATCATGTCACAATTACCAAACAGACCCGACTTATGGTGCGTAGACCTCCCATGGTAGCAGCACAGTGTGGCTGGCCTCGTGAATCATGACTGGTCTTAATGATTTCTAGGGCCAAGTTAACCCCTGACTACCCTGTTGGGTGCAAACGGGTTGTGGTGAGTCAACCATTCTGAATCAGTAACTAGAATTAGAACTCTTACGCGCCGAAAACAGAAAAGCGACGACTATCTAGCTATCTTTCGACAAAAGCATGTACATCTCGAAACAAGCCGAATCACGAGGATCAAAAGCACAGGCATTGAATGTGACGAAGGCGAAACGGAATTCGACTTGATCATCTGTGCTACTGGTTTCGAGACTACCTCCTTCTTCACCGACTCTTTGAATATTGTCGGACCCGACAAAGACCTTCAACAGATCTGGAAGGGAGGGCCTCGTGCTCTGTACGGCATGCTGGCCGAGTCTCTACCCAACTTTGCCATGTTGTATGGTCCGAATACAAATCTAGGTCATAACTCAATCGTACGTGGCGGCAACTACTGGCTATGGGCCCGACTGATCTTGACCCTGTTTGGAAGATTTGTTGACCGCTGTATTAGATCCTTATGATTGAGGCCCAGTCGCGGTATATCTCCGAGCTTGTGAAAGAGGTAGTGGACGCCAGACGCAAAGGAGACTCTCTTATGATCGCTCCAAAACGAAGCGCTCTGGAGAGGTTCAACAAGGACTTGCAGAGCGAGCTTAATCAGAGCTCTTTTGCGAATCCAGGCTGCAACAGCTGGTACAAAAACGCAGACGGTAGGTGTTCAATGTGCTGGCGAGTCCGAAAAATAAGTCTTGTCAGGCTGATTTTGGCACTAGGTTTGATAACGACAAATTGGTCCCGGAATGTTGTCGACTATCAAAGACTCCTTGAGAGGGTGGACTGGGATGACTTCGAACTGTCAGGAAAGAACAGATCGTCTTTAGACTCTCGGAGCACCTACATTGGTAGGATAGTGGAAGAAAGGCTGATGGACTATACATGGTTGGCGGCTGTGTCTGGTAGCGCACTCGCCATAGCAGCCGTGGTTTTGAGGCCAAGGATTTTGCCGTCCTTGAGAGCTCTTTATTAGCTGAAGATATTCCAATGATTTATCACTACTATTGGTCCAGACAGAATAACATATTGGTGTATGGGAGACAAGCGGGCTTCTCTCAATCATGACCGGGATTTTATTGAATGCCTTATAGAATGAATGCCCGTGATTGTCTTCTGCTGCACCTCAGCCGATCTCTTTTGTCTATATATCTTGGACTGTGAGACAGCCTGTTTTCGTGATAAGGTATTCGTCCACGGCGACGCCTTTTCCACTTTCTTTCCCGTACCCAGACTCCTTGATACCGCCAAATGGGCTGTCAGCAGAGGACATGCCTCCTGTGCGAGCGTCAGTTTATGCCCATAAACTCGTTCTTGGGTGCTGAGAGCTGCAGAAGCTTACCGGTATTCAAACCTATCATACCAGCTTCCAATTTCCGAAACATTCTCCAAAGACGGTCTGCATTCTTGGTAAACACATAGCTGGCCAGCCCCATGCTTGTTTCATTAGCCCATGTTACTGCCTCTTGTTCAGTCTTGAACCTAATAAGGCTTGCAACGGGTCCGAAAGTCTCTTCTTTGGAAACTGCCATGTTCAATGTTACATTCGTCAGGATTGTCGGCTTAAAGAAATAGCCGCTGCAGTTCCCAATCGGCCCACCGTTTAGAGCGGCCGTGGCACCCTGCCGTAGAGCGTCCTTGACTTGATCGACAACTTTGGCTACTCCCCGGCGTGATGCCATGGCGCCAATATTCGTATCGTGGTCGGTGCCGTGACCAGTTTTCAGCTGGGCCGTGCGCTGGACGAATACCTCTACAAATCGATCGTACACGACATCTTGGACGAATACCCGGTTCGCTGTAACGCAAGTCTGACCTGAGTTGCCCCATTTGAGGCGCATCAGGGCATCAACTGCCTGATCGAGGCTGGCATCGTCAAAAACAATGAATGGACAATTGCCTCCGAGCTCCAGAGTGACCTTTTTGATCCCCTGAGCGGCATAGGTGGCGATTAGCTTGCCCACTCGAGTTGACCCAGTGAACGTGATCTTTTTGACGGCTTCGTGCCGGCAAATGGCTTCGGCTACCGATGGCGTGTTCTCCAGGCTGGCGGTGATCACGTTGAGACATCCCTTGGGAAATCCTGCTTCGTAGGCCAAATATGCCACCGCCAACGTCGTCAAGGGTGTTTCCGGCGATGGCTTACACACCACCGTACATCCCGCCGCGAGGGCTGCGCAGACCTTGCGTAACAACATGGCCACAGGGTAGTTCCAGGGCGCTAGAGCAGCGACCACTCCGATAGGCTGTTTGATCGTAAGGGTCGTTCGAGGAACTGCTGCTTGCTGCATAGTGATCCCCGAGATCCTCTCAGCCTCACCGGCGAACCACCTGTTGAAGGATAATGCATACGCAAATTCACCGCGGGATTCCGCCAGCGGCTTGCCGGTTTCGTAGGTCAGAACCAGGGCCAAATCGTCGAGGTTGTTGCGGATTAACTGCTCCCATTTGAGAAGTAACTGAGACCGTCGAGCTGGCAAGGACTCCGAGAAAGCCTCGAACGCAGCCTTTGAACTCGCGATGGCAAAGTCCACGTCGCTGGCGTCCAGATCTGCCACAGTAGCGATTACCTCTGCACTCCCGGGATCTGCTCGACAAGATGATCAGTCTTCGGACTACGACGGAAGATTCGTACGCCAGGAGATTTCTATTACCTTCGACCTCAAATCGTCTCTTGGATCGCGCCTCAACCCAGGTACCGTCAACAAAAGCATCGGCCCCGAAGATTTCGGGACTTTTGAGCAGCTACACTCGACAGATTTAGCCAGGCCCACGTGAATATTTTCTTGAAAGGGGAGCCAGACAAGCAGCGCTTACTTTCAATATAGAGCCCTTGAATCTACCCGCCATATTTAGTGCTGGGAATCCTTGTGCTTGGTTGGATGTTAGTGGATTCAATCTAGAATGAAACCCAGCAAGCCACAACAATCCAATGTACAATGTACTGGTTCTTGCTGATGGGCACAGAGACCAGCCTCTGAATCTCTTGCAGCTACGACTTTATCTTTGCATTGCCACCCAGCACCCCACACGGTCCATCTGGTCGGCAATAACCTTGTCTCTCCTCCGCCGGGGTTGTCTGCCGGTGACCGAACGCGCCGAGGCGTAAAACCCTCAAGCCCCACCTTTGTATTGATGCCACCATTCGTTCCGCGGCTGTGAGCAACAAGCGCCCAGTCGATCTGGGCCCTTGTATTGTCAATCACAATCGAGCCTGACTCATAAACGTTCAGGGCATAGGCAAGCGTAACGTCTGCGACCTGTCTCAGTCAATGGTGAGCAGTTGTTACAGACCTACAGCAATGGGCCTCGATAGTGATCTGACCATCAAGCTGGACAAGTTTGACAGGGGTGCAGTCAAACAAAGCACCATCAACATCAACAAGCAGCTTGAGTCGGCGCCATCAAGCGCTATAAAATGGTGGAAGGTATGCATAAATCTTTTGAAGCGCGGTAAATTTTCTAGGTGTCGATATTGACCCGTAAGTACGTAGGTCGGAGCTCCTGCTTACCGTCAGATGAAGGAGTTGGGAGAGAATGGTTTCTCCAAGCCTGTCGAACATCCTTCTGCCTCTGATTTTGAGATTCCTTCTCGGCAGTCCGGTCGGATGATTCCTTGCCGCCTAGTGAGGCCAGACAACATCCAGTTCACCGGGATCTACATGCACATGCATGCTGGAGGATGGGTCTATAATACTCACCGATCGTAAGTTGACCGTCCCATCACAGGGTCAGTGGCCTACCGTAGACGAGATTGAGTCTTGCAGGCGCCTAACCGACAAACTTCTGACATTAAATCTAGTCAAGATCACTATCTGAGCAGTCTTGCCAGGCAAGCATCGATGCTGGTGGTTTCGGTTGGGTATAGGCTCGCACCAGAACATACCTTTCCCTGCGGTCCTGAAGATTGCTACGACGTTGCGGAATGGCTGGTGGATGAGGCCGTGAAGAATTTTAGTGTGCCGTTGCGAGTAGTTGCCGGAGAGGTAAGCTTCTTATATGACAGCTCAGTGGGCTTTCATTTATATGGTTTCATGAGGTCAGCTTTGATGCATTTGATATGAAAGCTAATCAAAATTAACCCTACTTAGTCTGCTGGTGCCCATTTGGCAGTTTTCACCCTCATTCACCTACTTTCGAGCCGCCCTGCCTTCAAGCTCTCAGGTTTAGTGGCGAATTGTGGCATCTACGATTTGACACTTCTACCTCAGGTCAACCTGTTCAAACGGCCCAAGCTGGTCCTCGATGGCGAGGCTATGAAGCAATTCACCGACGCATTTTTACCCGAGATACCTGCTGATCAGCGCAAGAGACCAGATATTTCTCCACTCTACATCGACTTTGATGGTCTTGAGCTTCCGCCAGCACTCTTCACTTGCGGAACAGAAGACTGCTTGCTAGATGACACATTGTTCATGAGCCTCAAATGGCGTCGCACCGGTACTAAGACATGTGTCAAGCTATACCCAGGTGGTTGTCACGCATTCCAGCTCCTGGAGCCGATTTCGGATGAGCTGGCGACTATTGCCATGTCGGATCTGTCCCATTTCCTCAATGAAAAACTGCGATAAGAAGTCGAGGAGAAGGAGTCCATGTAATGATTTTCTCTCGAGATAGTTCAGTCATGTGTCTTTACATGGTCCTCAGAAGCCCACAACGGGTCACAATGGTGGAGACCTGCAGAAACGAATATGATTGTCTACCTAAAAGCTCCGGTATACTGCCTCTTCAAACTTATTGTTGAAAGCATTGGCCTTAGCATCGCCGGCTGGAATGAGTTGGAAGAAGGTGGAAGCAGCAACTCCCTTGGTGCGGTCGATCCACTATCGCATGTCAGTAAGTCGCGGTAATATCTAGCTGCAATGTCGGAGCTCGGTACATACCCAGAACTGGTTGGCAGCTCCAACCCACTGTAGGGTTCCCGCCGAACGTCGAGCTGGGAAATCCTTCAGGTTGACCACTCCGCCTAGTCCGTGATTGACAGGTTGACTGCGCGGGATCGTAGGTGCAAGAACCCTCTCGAGGAAGCCGTGGAGCTCGGCCTCTAAATGCTTTGGGTCTGGGAGCTGTGGCGTAAAGATTTCATCCACTGACTTGGTGCTCAGGATGGGGGCGCCTCCCCTGAGGAGTGCGCTCAACAGCTTCGCGTGGTCATTCGGGGTGCTCCAGACGCCATGTCCGGCCATTTCGACTGGCGCGTCGCGCGGCACAACCAATGGTCCAGCCTTCACTCCACCGTCCGCCTGCCTTTGATATGGCTGGATGATGTATTGCCCAAACTGTAAGGGATGGAAGGTGCTTCGGGTCATTCCCAGTGGCCCCCATATGTTCTTCCTGTAGTAGTCCTCTAAGCTCAGTCCATTCAGGCGACGGACCTAGATAGATCATGAGGAAGGAGCTCGTTAGCAAGTGAATCACACTTGGTGCTTCTAAACAGGAATGGTGTGGCATTTTGCCTGACGTACAGCTTCTCCTGCCCAATCAATTCCTTCGCCATAAGTCCAACCTGTTCCGGGTTCAAAGGCCAAAGGACACTTGAGCATGACTTGCTGCGAGCTCGTTAGTACCTGTCCGTTATTTTCTGAAGGCTCATAGTCCGGAGCACACCTGATCGGAATCGAGAGTCTTGTTAGGTAGGCCTGTCGCATTGGCCCACGCTGCCAGGGTGGGAGGGAAAGACTCGGAGCCGACACCGCTAGAGTGTGACAGGAGCGTCCTGGTAGTCAAGTATCAGTGCATTTGCTTTTTCCCACCTCAAGTCGAGTTGCTGCTTACCGTAGGGTGATCTTGTTCTGACGAGGCTTGGTTGAGGGAACACCGTGCTCATCAACTGAGCCGTCCAACACCTCGAGCGCGGCGAGCTCTGGTAACACGTCCTTGACGTCGTCATCGAGTCCTATCAAGCCCCTCTCCACAGTCTGAAGCGCTGCAATGGTGCACATTAGCTTGGAAAGCGAGGCGAGCCAGAAGACATGGTCGCCAGTGACGGGATCATCTTCGGCATGGCCGACGCCTCGTGCACACTGCCACATTTTTCCTTGACACGAATTAGCTTCGAATTAATTGTAACCATTCCCGTGGATGCGCTTTCATACCATCTCTTTCAACAACAGTCGCAACAATAGCAGGGGCCACAAACGCCGAGTCTGACGGTGAGGCACCTTTGCTCACCAGCTCGTTCAATTCAGTTGTCATTTGGAGGGTGGAATCTAAATTCTTGGAAGCGAAATCGTTAACTTGCAGCCGCAGTGCCTAGTGGTGATGTCTAATTCAGTCTCACCTTTGCCAGGAAAAGACCGCCATTCATAAAGACTTGGGCCCTGTGGTGCCGATGAGCAGGGGTGGGGGCAAAGGTTCCCCGGAGTATTGCTAGGTGCCGGTCAGTGCCGACCCGTGAGTGACAGGAGCTAAGGCAGCACTTGACCGCGGTGCTGAACTTCGGACAATCGGCCACTTTCCTCAATGGGACTGTGATCCATTTTGCTTATGACTGTGCTACATGAGATGGCACCGACGATATTATCCTCTTCCGACTGGCGTACACGCACTGATGTGCAAATGCTTCCCACAGGTAAATGCCCGATTAAGGGTTTCACCTTTAAGCCCGAGAAGCCGAGAGTGAAATCATCACACCTCATCGACAGCAACTCAGCAATTGTTTTGTTCTAGCCAACAATCACGCCCAAGGAGACATGGCAAACCCTTCTACGACCCTGCCGCCAGCCGGTCCGAAGGGCCTGTCAATATTGGACTCAGAGCGCATGCAATCCGGCATTGATACCGACAACCTGGCACATCACCTTCTTGGTTGCGATGGATTTCGAGATCGCCAGAAACGTATTCTCACTGTCCTGGAACAACATCCTCTCTTCTGCAAAAGGACGACTCTGCATTTATCGCGAGTCGAGAGGTTTCACTTGGGTTTGGCTAGGGCCAAAGAACTTCGAAGACTGTCCCGACGATTTGGTTGGAGTAACGAGGACGATCGAATGGCCGAGTATCTCCTCGACGAAGTGTCTCCATTTGCATTAACACACAGTCTTTTCTCGACGTCGATCCTCGAGCAAGGGACCGATGAGCAAAGAAGCTACTGGCTGCCCAAGGTGGACAGGTGGGAGATTGTGGGTTGCTACGCCCAGACGGAGCTGGCTCACGGAAGCAATGTGCAAGGCATCGAGTGCCAGGCCGAATGGAATCCTGCCACGCGCGATTTTACCATTCACAGCCCAAAGTTAACATCCGCAAAATGGTGGAACGGAGGTCTAGGTCGTCTTGCTGATCACGCCATCGTTGTGGCCCAGCTGCTGGTTCCAGATACGCGCAACGTTCTGCAGCGCCACGGGCCACACCTGTTTATCGTCCAGATTAGAGACATGAACACACGGCAACCTCTACCAGGCATCACTATCGGCGACATCGGACCAAAGTACGGGTATGCTACGATGGACAACGGGTATATGCTATTTCACCACTTTCGGGTCCCGTTCTCGGCAATGCTCGCAAGGCATTCAAGCATAGACGCCGAAGGGAGGTACCGTAAACCCGCCAACAGGTCCCTCTTATACGGCACGATGACCTCGGCCCGTGCACAAATCGTGTCACACGCACGCCTGGTGCTCGCTCGAGCGGTGACGATTGCGATTCGTTATACACTCGTTCGGCGACAGTTTCGCGACAGAGATGCTGGATCCGAGAGTCCCGAGGAGCAAGTCCTGAATTACCCAACCGTACAGATTCGAATACTACCGCTACTGGCCGCCGTTTATGCGCTACATTACACGGGCGAGGCTATGTCTATGTTGTACGAATCATCTCGAAAGCGCGTAGAAGAGGGCGACGGGACTGCGCTTGCAGGCTTGCACGCCTCATCCTCTGGTCTGAAGGCTCTCTGCACAACCATTGTGGCAGACGGAATCGAGACATGCCGCCGAGTCTTGGGAGGTCACGGCTACGGGCCAGGCAGTGGGTTGACAGTTTTGAATGCTGACTATTTGGCCAAGGCTACGGTCGAGGGGGACAATTGGATGATCACGCAGCAAACGGCGAGCTACTTGATCAAAAAGATGCAAAAGTGTGTCGAAAGCGACGCTGCTGCTACTTCCATGGACACCACCGAGAAGTTCTTCCGGGCTTTTATCGCCGAACGTGCTGATGCTAGTGGGTTTTGTCGTCAGATAGAGTCATTCACAGACCCCGTCGAATTGCTGAGAGCATTTCGGTACCGAACCGCTAGTCTCGCCTACCATGCATACGTACTACGGGTGGCCAAGGGCGCTCCTTGGACTGAGATGATGATTCTACTTCGAACATTGTCCAACGCACACTGTCAAACTTTGCTCGTCGAGCATTTTGCAGCAGGCCTCAACCAAAGAAAAGCGAACAATTCTCTGTATGGGCACACCTTGGCGGTGCTGGAGACACTCTTCCGCCTGTTCGCCTTGCACACGCTGGAAGTCAGCGTGTCAGAGTTCCTCGAGTTCGGCATACTTGTGCCCTCTCAACTCGACAGGTTGCGTGAAGATATTCGGCTATTAATGCAAGAGGTGCGACCGCACGCTGCTAAGCTCGTGGATGCGTGGGAAATTCCAGATTATCTCATCGCAGGGAGTTTGGGCAAGTACGCAGGAAATGTCTATGAAGAGCTTTTCCAAGCTGCCCATTATGAAAATCCACTCAATGGACAGAACTTCAACGCGAAGTGGGAGAGCCGCGAGATCCTCTTGGGCGAAGGAGAAGAGGCTGCGGACGAGCGAATCTCTGCTATGTTGGCCGTCAAGACCAGCGGTAGAGACACGGGGGCTCCCAGTCCGAAGTTGTGAGACGTGAACGTGCAAAGGGGCCAGGAGTCACATTTTCATAATTTGAGGCAGGCCGTCTTCCGTAGACTGATCAGATTCTTTGTATTTTCGTTCAGTCAAAGTGTAATTGTTGTTTCGAGCCGATTTATGATGCGAGAAACGCAGTGCAAAGGTCCCTACCATCACAGTTGAGCAATTGGGTGTAGACCTATGTGGTTACAATATCGAAGACCCTTGGAAACACGGTGATTCCTGCCGAACCCACAACTAGGTATCGCCGAGGAACGCCGAGACAATTCACCGGCTCCGCTTAGGATACGGGTTCGATCTACAACTGTTCCAACGATCTCCTAACATCTGGCCGGTTGACAGCTTTGTGCGGTACTTGCAACTTGTTGCCGGGCAATTTCCCCTTTAGTCTTAATGCAAGTTGCTGAACCCATTTTGTAGCTTGCCTGTGCCTCAAAGTACCGCGGCCGTGAAAGATGCATATAATCATCCATCTTTAGACTTGCCTACTGCCAAGGCCTGAGATGATGCTGTGAGGTTTTGTGATCATTTCCCTGCAATGTCGGATCAACATCGTCTGGGTATTGCCAGTGCTTCACGCCCAAAGCATGTCGGTCCAACCATTTTGCCCCAGTTCTCACTTCTCAGTCGGCTTCTGCGCCTGGCATGCAAGGAAACCAAGATTGCGATCACGGACAGACCATGTGGGATCAGCGCAACGCACATGCAGCTCATCAGCGACGTTCTTCACGTTCGTAACCACCTAATATCGAAGCTGGGGCCTGAGGTACGCGAGGCGCTCGTGTTGCAAGAGGAAGTGTATATCAATCTGCTCGCTCCCGCGGGCTATGAGTACGTGGTGGGATTTCTGGCGATCGTAGCCGCTGGGGCAGTTGTGGTTCCTATATGTGAGGCTTTCACCCATTGATCCATTGTGTGTGTTACGCTGCCGCATCTCTTGTGGTTTTGCGCTAACGCACAGTTCTCATTCGTCCCTAAAAAAAGAGAATGAGAGTAATTTCAGCTAACCCGACTACGCGGTCTTTCTGCGGTACATAGACACGGCCCTTCCAGTTTCCGAAGCAGCGTACTACGTAGAAAAGGTCAAGTCGGTTGCGGTTCTCTATGCAGCATCCTGTCGGGAAAAGGGAGAAGAGCTTTCGCGGTATATGAGGATCAGGCAGGTTGATGGGCGGCATCATCCCGGGTTTCAAAGCCATAACCTGGGGTCACTTTGTCTTCAGACGCCACTGCATCGTGAGAGCTTGATTATCAGCTCCGACCACGTGCTGAACACGAGCAGAGCTGGCCTTGTCATATACACCTCTGGTACGACGGGACCACCGAAGGCTGTCGTGATACGCCGCTCGTATCTCAACGAAGTACCTCTGGAGCTGGAGGACCTTTACGAGCTGAGGAAGGACGACTGCATCCTGCACTGCCTACCCGTGCACCACGTCACAGGCATTGGCGCAAACCTGCTTCCGTTCCTCTTCGTAGGGGCGTCCATTGAATTCTTCGGCTGCCAACGCTTCGACGCGGGTCAGGTTTGGGAGCGATGGAGGCAAGGCGGGATTACAGCCTTCTCCGGGGTCCCGACGCAGTTCGTGAGGCTGATGCAGTTCTACGACGAGCACATCGCCTCGCTTCCGCCCATCCAGCTCGCCGAGTACGTCGAAGCTGTCAATGCCATCCGATTCATGGCCAGCGGCAGTGCGGGACTTCCCGCCGTGATTCAGACAAAGTGGACCTCACTCCGCCGAGGGCGACCGATCCTCACGAGGTATGGTACTACCGAATTCGGCGCCGTGTTCGCCGCCACCCCCAATGACGTTGATCTCCCTTATGGCGCGGTGGGCAAGCTTGTCGCTGGAGTCGACGTCAAGCTCACAGGCGGAGACGAGGGAGAGATCCTAGTACGGTCCCACCTACTGCTGGACAGGTATGTCGATCGTCCCCAATTCGGAAAGAGAACTTCGAGCAGTTCATTTTCCATAAGTGCTTTGCTAGACTGACCATCATGGTTCCCGGGGGTTTAGGTATTTTGATAACGACGAAGCGACCAGAAATGCTCGCGACGCCGACGGATACTTCCAATCCGGCGATATTGGGGCCAGAAAGGGTGACTATTATTTCGTTCTCGGGCGTGCCTCGATTGATAGTAGGTTGAGGCTAAGCGTGCCCACGTGCCCTCGGTCTCGATAGTGGATCTTCGCGCTGACCGAAGGGCACAGTCATCAAATCAGGCGGCTACAAGATTGCGGCCCCAGATATCGAACGGGAGATGTACGGTCTTCCTTACGTGTTTGAGGCCATGGTGGTAGGAATTGACGACCTGGAATACGGCCAGAGGGTTGCTGCTGCAGTTGTGCTTCAAGATCAGGTGCGTTTCAATCTCTTGAAGTCCAGTTTCTTGGAGACTACGAAAATAGTGTCCTCCGGTGGAATCTACCGTTGATGTGCCGCTGCACGCAGAAAGCTGACCAGTAGCGATTTTAAACGGTTCACAGACCAAAACTCTTGACATAAAGAGGCTTCGAGACGATCTTCGATCGTCCCTGGCCCCCTACAAACTCCCGACACTCTTGCGAATCGTCCCATTCCTACCCAAAACATCAACCGGTAAGATCGCCAAGAAGGTTCTACGAGACCAGATGTTCCCTCCGGAGGGACATCCGGACGTGCAGGTTTTTAGAAAGAGGTTGACAGCGTCGGCTGGGAGCAGGCTTTGAGTCAAAGTGGGTAGTTTAGAACGAGTTTTAGAGTATACAATAAGACAAAGTACTAGAGTGAAGTAAGGAGGAACAAGCTCACACAGTACGACAACCTGGAAACAGATACAGAGAGCTTGGCGCTACTATGTCAAGGTACTTCAAGAAGCGCAAGGCAATACACTTTCTCGAGGATTATTGGATACAATCTCAGGAAAGCAGACGTAGTTACCGTATAGAGCATCTTAGAGCTGACGGCTTACACCACAGCTAAATCATGCGCTCCTGTGCCAGCCAGTATATCCGTCCAGTCCAGGTCACACCAATTGTCACACCAATTGGAGTCCATTTCTTCAAAGGAAATAGGGGCTTCGGATAGACTTGGCAAGGTGGCTGAACTGGGGTACGTCTGATCGCTCGTCGCGGACACCATCTGGGAGGTGAGTGAAGCGAGCCGGTCAGAAGAGGGTTGACAGTTAATATTTCTCCCCATTCCTGAATTTCGAAGAGTCGTGTCCGCCGGAAGCTGCACATGGGAAGCAGGGGGACCTCCATTGGTGGCCACCACCTGACTCGGGTCCATAGAAATGGCCAGGATAGAATGTATCTGTTGGTAGCGCTGCAGAGTGTGCTGACCATAACCGACAAACAGTGACTCCAGGCCGTGCTCGGAGCCGGAATCAGATTGCAGGACCTGGACCTGACGCTGCGAGTTTTGCGATCGGCGATGGTTTGCGGCTGCATCGTCCGCAATCTTCTGGAGACGTTCGAGTTCTTCACTGTTGAAGGTGGCCGAAGGCCAGTTCGACGAGAGGGAGACCAGTATACCGTGCAGGTCACCGACCGCCTCGCAAGAGTCTTTCCACAGTGACGGCACCACCGAGCACGAAAGCTGGGGGATTGCAGCGACGAATGTGCACCAGGTGAAGATGGGCGCGAGGTAGCGGGTGAGATCTCGCAATTGGAAGCCTTCCAAGAGACGGTGGCTGAGTGACGATGCCAGCACCGCGGCTGTGTTCTCTGGCCCGAGGGTGGATATTGACCGGGGTCGATACAAAATGCAAAGAGCTGTGAGGAAGTAAACGTGCAGCTGGGCCTCCTCGAACTGATGTGGTCGACTCGAGCCATCAGAATTGTAGAGCCTCAGCTCGTCCGGCAGTCTTTCAGTCCATTCCAACAGCCGTGCGGCAATGGTATCCTTGGATGAACTCGATAGTATAGGAGTACGAGTGAGGGCGCGGCATAGATCGCAGAGGATTTCAGATATCTTTACAAAGTGGACGAATATCAAACCTCGAAACTCGTGTCCGGGTGGGAAGTCATGCACAGTGATAGCGTCGATTGAGCAATCTTCCTGGTTGATGATTCGAGGCCGTCCATGCGCTGCTGCTATCAAACAATCTCTTGCCTGTGAGAAAGCCAGTCAGTCACATTCATACAAGACAAGATCAACTTCAGCGTCCGGATAGAGATGCAAACTCACGTAGAGAGTCCACCATAGCCGTTTCCACAGGCTTTTGTTTTGGCTTGGCAGCGTCCTGCCCATGTGAAGTCCCATCTGCTGAGCAAATCCAATTGCTAGGAAAGTCAATATGGCCCCTTAGATTCCTCTCTTAGTGGAGTAGAATGCATACCGTACGTGATCCAGAAACGAGACGATGTTGTGGAGACGTCTTGAGGATTGTAGGCGTTCCACCATTGCATCATGCAGAGGGCTCCCAGCAGGTGTTGCGGGTTTCTTTCGATTTCCATGTCCACCAAAATCTTCGCGCGTGTATAATATTCCTGACTCGACGCATACTTGGTTCCTCGGCGCATCCTTGATCCAGCAAGAAGCAGGGCATTCATGAGCAGTGGTGATTCGGGCTTGCTGAGGGCGGGATCGGTCCACAAGGATGTTGCCGCGGTATCGCGTAGACTTAGATCGACGACTGGCATCCAGGTCCAACAAAACTCGAAGTAAGCCTCGACCAGGCTCTGACACACCGGCAAAGGTGGCATGTCCATGGCATGGAAAAGTTCTAGCACTTTCGACATTGTTTCCGACACGATGAAATCCTTGTTCCTCGGACTTAATGCCGTATGTTGGTTGGTTGCCATAGTGGGGAGCTCACAGTAGGCTGCACGACAGAGGACGCCAACATTCTGAAGCCCGTCTTTGACCGGCTTATGAGCTACTTCTGTGGTGTGCTCATAGTCTGGACTCCCATGCGCACAGGGCTTTGGCGAAGGCTGCGAAGTTGGAGAGCGTGGGCCTACCGTTGTATGTTCCTGCTGCTCAGGTGAACACCTTTCCGGTGGAGGTGGTGGAGGTGGCGGAGGGGTTGGCAGTGGGTTGTTCTCGCCTTGCCGTGCTGTATCGGATCGCTTGCGCCGCCGCTGAGCTGTTCTGTATCGTCGTCGTTCACGAAGTCTGATCAGATTAGTCGTCATCTCGATGAAGCCCTGACAGCTACCATACATGTAGTACTTACATGCACTCTTGGCCGTAGAATTCACAGTTCGAGCAAACGGATTTTCCACCTCCAATGTCACAGCGCACTTTGTTTGGCGGCGAGTTAGCGGTCCTGTTCCATATGCAAGGGAACGCTCTTCATAGCTACCTTTTCGATCATGGCATCTTTCACACGCGGCTCGTACGCATCGAGTGTTAAGTACACTTATCGTACAGGGGACGAAATTGTTGGACTGCATGACAGTCTACCTGAGCACCAATACACCTTGAATCAATTGGACATTGAACCGCGAGATGTTCAGAGAATAAGAGACGAGAAAGTCTCGCTTAGATCACCCCCTGTCTGCGGAAAGTAAGATGGAAGAATTTCCGGGGGGACGGAGCTTCGCTTTGTGTGAAGAGGGGCTGATTCCGGGCTCTCCGCGGGGTTCCCCGCCTTTCGTGGGCCTCCACGTGGGCCTCCACAATGTCTGGGGAACCCCGGCTTGCCCGGCTCCCTGGCACCATCATGATAGGCTGCATAAATTTTGTGCAAGGCTTGTGCGCTAGAGCGCGGCAAGTGAAAAGGACGAGATCCTGGGAAACGTCACCCGCTTTGGGATTTAGTGCAAATCCTGTTTTCAAGGTCCTCGGCGAATTTCCACACAGGAATGCGGGGAACCACTTCTGCTCCGAGGGCAAAAGGAACTCTGTTTGATGCTAGTTGCAACTGTGATAGCTAGGTAAGCCACGTAGATTTAAAAGTTTCTAGTGTTCCTTGGGCCGGTGACCATAATAGACAACGCCTTTTTGACACAGCACGAAAGAGGTCAGCCCAGACACCATAGCTTACAATGTCTTATCCTTCCCTAGCTCGCAAGGTCTTCATCGTCACGGGGGGAGCCTCGGGAATTGGGCTTGCGACTGTACGCAAGCTTATCGCCAACCAAGCTGTGGTTCATATTGTCGACCGGGTCGCCACACCTCCTGAGGAGGTCAAAGGACTGACAAATGAACATGTCCACTTCCATGGCGGCATTGACATCAGTTCACGTCAGCAAGTCACCGAGCTTTACGACCAGATAACATCCCTATCTAAGCAGGTGGATGGCCTCGTCAACTCAGCCGGTATCTGCCCAACAGGGAACGGCTATTTTGAACCCGATGATGTCTTCCAGAAGATCCTGACCGTAAACGTGGTCGGGGCCTGGAACATGACGACTGCTCTCTTGAAGATGATTCACGAAGAAACGCCGAATCATGGTCCACCTACAGCGGGACCACCCCCTGAGGGTCGGGCAAGCATTGTCAACATCGGTTCTAGTGCATCGCTGACACCATTCCCGATGCTGACAGGCTATATTGCCAGTAAGCACGCGCTGTTGGGCCTGACCCGTTCGTGGGCTCTGGATTGGATTCATGTTGGTGTTCGAACCAATCTTGTAGCACCCGGTGGAACAGACACGCCGATGGCTAGGGCACAATGGATTGATTCGGCTCGGCAGGGAGCTGGTACTAAGCTAGGGGGCAGTGATATCCCCAACAGGCAGAAGCCAATGGGGCGATCTGCCACGGCTGAGGAGCAAGCTGACAGTGTCATTTTTCTTCTGAGTGACAACTCTTCATACATCAATGGACAGGTCATTCCAGTTAACGGTGGCTATCCCAATCATTGAGACTTAATAGCAAATAAATCTCCCGCGCATTTCAAGGCGCTCTCCATGAGCCACATTATGAAAACAAGGCGTGCCGGTGATGCGGGCATCGACTTGATGAGATAAGCGAAAGTTAATCTTTGGGATACAAAACTGTTGCGGTTGTTAATCTACCGCCAGGTTACGAGCAAGTTGTCCGAAACTGTAGAACACAAGTATCCCAGCTATTCGGCCCGAGGTGGATTTCCTATTCAGAACAATGTCCAGAATCTCGGCCCACTCGTCTCCCGATGGGGAAGCGGCTTCAAATAGACCTAACCGGTTCAAGAAGAATCAACGGCCACTATCATGGATTTTCAAACGACTCAATTGTCAGTGGTCAGCCCACAACTTCAGAAGAGCAAATCTAAAGGTCCCCAGATGCGATGACTGCGCCTCAGCTTTTGCCAACTGATGGTTGACGCAGAACTGTATTCCTTAACTAAGCCAAAACCTGACGTATCAAGAATCTATAAGCAAGCATAACCCGCTAGTCATTTCTTATGGATCTATAACAAGAAGAACGACTCCGGAAAAAAACCACAGGTCACCTCTCTGTTTTGAATCCGTACTTACTGAAAGATATTTACCTCTTTCTTACACCTTCACCTCTCTGCATCCTCCCTCTTTGTTGCATTCCTGTGGTTCATACCCGATATTTGATGTCTTTGGGTTTGGTCACCATAGTCCCACCACTTGTCGTCCTCGAAGTCTCCGAGAGGATTTCACAATCTAGCGTCAGTCCTTGATGGTCTGTTTCCCATGAAACAGGTAGAAGCTCTTGGTAACAAGTGGCCCGAGAGCACCCACGGGAGAACAAAGGGCGACAGCACAGATGGCGCCAATACCGAAGATAGCATATCATCGACAGGATTCTTGACGACGGATATATTCCCTTCACGGAATCCGGGTAGTACCTGTCCGACACCACTACCATCTATAGACCTCTTTAACTACGTGATCGATGAACTACGACTGACGGATCAAGAACGAGTATTCATACACGATCTCCTCAATCAACCGTCTCAGTTCGATTTCATGACTGCATCTGCACCTAGAGATGCACCGAAATCGTCTGTCCTTGATACGGAAGTGGTGACCGAAGATATTTACAACGCTTCCATCAACAGATCTCTCCAGACATTGTCTTCGCCGTCGCATGAATCTGAAATAACTCCCTCGGGGTATGAGTACATCCTTACGACCGATGAATGTAGGGTGGATGATTTACATTTGTATGGGCTGAGTCAATCAGGCGAAGAAGAGTACAAGTCTCTGCATACAATTATGGATGGAAATGCTGATGATGATTTTTCTCCACTGGCGCTCTGGATATTCCTACGGGGAAATTAATTTATGTGGTACTTGCATCGGATCTTTTGGGGCTATATCAACAATTTGCGACGCTTCATTCAGATATAATGTAAACTAATACTTGCAGAAATGGTAAATCGATGGCTAATTTTGTTTCTTTGTTTGTATGTTTGTGCGTGATGTTAACTACGTTATTTCCCCTTTGTGATCATCCCTGTCATCATCATCATCACAGAGAAGTTCACATTAGACAGCGGGGGCAAATTTCCTACATAGTTCTCACGACCACTTCTGGATAAGCACAAAACGCCCCAAAACAAGTCAGTAAGAGGTGTATTGGGTGTTTCAGCGTGAGGACCAGCCAGGAGGAGCCTTGCGCGACCAAGTGTACGACAGATAAGACTTGGGGTCGCAATATTCATCCTGCTCGGACTCAACTTCTCGTCTTGGTGAATCAACAGGCAAGGGCCTAGCACATCAAAGGCGAAATCTTCAAGCACAGATCTACTACGGCACATGACTACCATCTTAGGCGACAAGACCGGTGGTAACGATGAAGAGCAGCAACTATGCCACCGTATACACACTAAATCAAAATTGTTCAAGTTATTCGCGCTCTTTACTACGCTCTGTGTCTCTGCTTCCGAGTTCCAACTTAATAAGGCCTTGATAGTTGCGCCTGAGGAGATACTTATGAGCGAAAGGAGAAGAGCGCAAGGAGGATGTTAGAGGCATTGGTTCCGGGTTCTCATGGTCACAAGTAAGCCGGGAATGTAAAGCTGAAGCCGTCGAAACGTAAAACTGACAGGACAAGACGTGAATACGTCAATTCCTGATACTTGGGCGTGTATATAAAAGGGGGCTTAAACCTTTGCTTTGGTAGTCGTACCTATCCGCTTTCTATGCACATAACTAATGGCTTTGAACTTGTCGAGAGCCTCGCCCCATAGTTCTGCTCGCAAAAGGCCATAAACTCCCATGGTAGCCCGAGGGGCAACATTGCTCGCAAACTCGACGGCTCTCTGTCTCATCTTCTCTGGTGGACTGAGCTCGTCGACGACCCCGTCCTTCAGGGCAGCTTCCCCAGTCCACTTGTGCGCCTCGAGCAGCATCTTCCGCGCAATCTGAGGTTGGAGCTTCAGTCGAGGAAGGGCACCAATGCCGTCAAAGTGTAGACCGAGATTAACCGGTGGCATGCTGATGAAGCCACGCTTGCTGTTCATGATCCGATAATCACAAGAAAGCATAAATGGGCATGCACCGCCGAATGTGTGTCCTGTGATCAGAGCAATGGTGGGGTATGGGTAGTCGAGCAGAGTGGCGAGGAGCGGATAAAAGCCATCTGAACTGGCGTAAATGTTGGAATCGGACTCATCCAGTTCGAGACCGGTGCACCAGAACTTGTCGGAAAAGGACGAAATGATGACAGCTCCTGGAGAGTCGGGCATCATCAAGTCTCTTTCGATATAGCGTAAAGCATTGATGATTGTCTGAGCAAATGCCACAGTCAGCCGATTCTCGGGCGGCTTGTCTAGCGTGATGATGTGGACTCCTGGTGCTGAGGCCGGGGAATCGATGAAGAGGTTTTCGAATCGGGGAGCCATAGTGATGACGATTTGGTCAGTCCCTGAATGTTCGTTTAAATGTCTGGGCCAGAGGCCAGTGCGAAACATAAACATGGTGTCTTCTAAAAGCAGAAAATCTCTAGGTTGACAGGTCTATATACAAGTACTTGAATACATTCGGCGTTTTGGCGAGCACCGAATAACTACCTAGGTAGATATCCCGCGGCGAGTCTAAATAGACTTATCAGTCACTAGCTTGTCAGTATGTTCTCGGCGTATTCTGGGGGCTTATCGTCAAACCGGAAGTCACTTATGCTGACTAAGCGATCGCTTGAGTTCCGTCACAGAATATCATTAGAAACACAAGAGAATTTCGTACGTTCTGTGGAAATGTACTGTAATACCGCTTGATTCCTTAGTACTACTGCCTGTCTGAGTAGGTGGGAGCCACCCCTTCTATATACAATAGCGTGAATAGCCTCAAGTACGGGTACTCCATACCGTGGGTGTCGGACTGCAATATCTCCGATTTCGGCACATTCTCTGCCTCCCAGTCGAAATATCTTTCCGCTCTGAAAGCATGTATGGAAAAGCCGGGAGAGACTATTATGACCCAGGTCTCTAGTGGCATATCGCAGGAAAGATTTATCAGATGAGCTATGTCAGTGCGTGGCGATCCCACAAACCTCCAGAAATATCCTTCTCTATTTCGATCCATGAAGACACTATTGGAACATCTCACTCGGACCGAATACGGAGTCATCGCTATGTTTCAAATTCCTATCGAACTTCCTGTCTTTTCCGGTGCCACTGCCTCACTTTGGACCTTTGACAGTGATAGAAGTAAGTGCCCTTGTAGTACACTTTCCCCATGAAGAAAACAACCTCCATGTCTTGAAACGCTGTACAGTGAAGCGAAAGTCCTATCTTCGACATGCAGTAATACTTCACACGGATCTCGGCTCAAACACCCAATTCTCGGTTCATTTTCTCAATCAAAAATCTATAGCATGATCGAGAACGCAGCAGATTACGACTCCAGGTTGCATGCAGGTACAGGTAGATCATGAAAGCCGAGTCGAGAGAAGGGTGCCAAGCAGCCTGCGTCCGGATATTTGCGCACCCCTCAGATGCGTTTAATATACGGCTATCTCGATGATAATAGTACGCCATAGATTAGCCTCGATTCTTCCGAATGGAGCAGCGTTATCTGGGACAAATGCGGGATCCCCAACTATTAATATGCCCGTATCTTTCCCCTGACGATCGACCATCCCGCAGCATGCAGTGTGATTGACGACACCCTTCCCTGGCTCAGCGGCTCCTGTGCACAGACGTCTACAAGGCTACCCCATCTGTTCCGGGAACGCTTTGATCATGAAGCTCCAGCTTCTCGCCGGCCTGGTATCGGCGACCTTTCTCTCAGGGCTCTCGTGCAAGGTGGCTGCCAGCAGCTTAGCCGATGACAGTCTGGTCGCTGCAATTATCCGACAGCAACAGCGTGACGCACTTACTCCCAATATCTCTTGGGTAGATTATGGGCTGAGCCTCCTCTCTCCGAGACAAGAGGCTGGCCGCTGCGGACCGGAAGGGAACGACCAGTCATGTCCTGGTCAGAGCTGTTGCTCCATGTATGGGTATTGTGGTGATGGACCTGAGTATTGCAATATTTTCGGGTGCCGGCCAAAATTTGGCTGGTGTCAGGACCAGCCTCTGCCCTCAACGACAGCAGTCCCAACTACACCAAGCTCCACATCGGCACCGCCCTCGCCCACAAGCACAACAAGCGGGTCGGTGCCGCCGCCGTCTTCTACCATGGTCCCTACAACCAATGGCATGTGTGGTAATGGCACCACCTGCTTGGGAGCCAGCGGGGTAGGACGATGTTGCTCCTTCTTCTACTACTGCGGCGATGGAGATGCCTACTGCGGTACCGGGTGCAGATCCGGCTTCGGCTACTGCAACGGCGAGCCGGAGCCGAACCCGTCGACGAGTCCCGTCCCCACATCGCCGACCCAGTCGTCAACGTCAACATCCACAGCCACAACAACGGGAGCTACAACATCGCCGACTTCAGGCTTGACTATCAGTCAAAATGGAATGTGCGGAAACGGCACGACATGCACCGGTTCTGGTTCTGGAGATTGCTGTTCGTTCTTTTACTACTGCGGGAACGGTGATGCGTACTGCGCTCCGCAAAACAAATGCCGGTCCGAGTTTGGTTGGTGTGAAGGCCAACCGCGGCCAAGTACTAGCACAAGCCGCACGAGCAGCAGCAGTACAAGTAGCATTAGCAGTACGAGCACAACTTCTACGAGCATAATTAGCACCACGAGCTCGAGCAGCACGAGCACGATTTCTACGACATCCTCTTCAACATCTACCTCGACGACAAGCTCGACGACGTCAAGTAGCACAACCTCTCCTTCATCCACAATGACGACGTCCTCTTCGACTACAACCAGTCCAATCAGCTCTTCGACCGCCAGCTCCTCGACAACTAGCTCTTCTACAACCAGTACATCGACAAGCAGTTCATCGACATCCAGCGTCTCCACCACGACATCCGTGACATCATCCACGTCGACAACGACGACAACTACAGGAGCTGGTCCGCGCCCGACTCTCCCAGCGGGCATGGTAAGCTCGACCAATGGATTGTGCGGAAACACGACCAGCTGCGCGGGCTCGACTTATGGCAACTGCTGCTCTAACTTCTACTGGTGTGGATCGTCTGCCGAGTTCTGCGGTTCCGGCTGCAGACCCGAGTTCGGCACATGTCAGAACGGTACCACTGTCCCGCCAGTGCCTCAGATGCCTGTCAGCACCAACGGAATGTGCGGCAACGGCACCACATGCGCGGGGTCCGGATTCGGCCGCTGCTGCTCGAGGTTTTACTATTGCGGAAGCTCTGATGACTTTTGCGGGGCGGACTGCCGGTCAGACTTTGGTGCTTGCAACGGAGCCTGAACGGAAAAATTAGAACCACCTGCTTGAGGGGATATCAATATTCTAGGGCCAGAAGCAGTCGACTTTGGACATTAACGTCCACATTTTAAGTTACTTGCTAGACTAGAAGTACTCGAAAGACTTAGGTTGTCAAGGAAGGAGAGACAAAGGCACTTTCCAAACAGGCGAAGATTCTACTTGGTCAACAGTACAGCGCTCTGAAATGTGAGAATGTTGCTCAGGATCTTATCCTTGTGGGAATTGGCTCCTACTTTTTCGAATCCTGTGGAAGGAGGTGCTCCATATGTGCTGTGAGCGAGTATTCCTAGCCGGCACGAACATTATAGTTTCAAAAATGTTTAGGCAGACTTATGAAGCTCAGCTCCTCGAGGGTGCGGCCCTGGGTTTTTGGGAAGAGCGCGTAGACAGTGGCGGCTAACTGCATAGTATTTACAATAGAAGCTCACCCTACATGACTCACCCACGCTCACTGCACGGAGATAAGGGGAGCCATTTAGGGTGAGGCGAAGGTGACAGGGTGCTAGAAGGTGATCTGGGTGATGGATTGCCGGAAAAGCGGACATGACTTACCTAGATCTATAGATGGAGATAAAGTCCTGTCTATTTCTTGCCCTCACTGTTTCTTGCCCTCACTTTCCTCCCTTTCTTCGCTCTATTTATTATCTTTTATTACGTCAACCTAACATTTAATATAACGTATAGTACAGTGTTATAATGCTTTCATCCATGACTTTGTAACTTGCTTTCTCGTAAGTAAGCTAGGCCTCTTTGCATACAGCAAGTCTTCACATCTCAGTCCAACAGCTCAGAGCCTCCCCACAGCGTTCTTTTCCAAACCCTAAAGCATCAGCTACCAATGCATACATGGCAGCCCAGCCATAGGTTATCGCAATTAGAACTGACAGCCGTAGTCCAGGAGAGACATTGCGCGATTATGATATCTTCGACATTGTCAATCACGTAGCAGCTGCTGGGCAGCGTTTCGCCTCACAATGCCTTTTCGATCAGCAGCGATTCAATATTGCCGCAAGCTAAAGTCGCTGTGGAAGCTCTATGGCATCCAGAGCTATGAAAGAGATGGGTACAGAGACTTTGGAGAGGCTACAAGACGACATGCTTTAGAAATGAACAGGCTTTCTCGGGCACCCTAGTCCGCTCGTGTAGCACGGCTACTCCTTGCTCGTCTTCGCTGCTATGTCATTGAGCAAAAGCTTTAGCACGGGCATCGTTTCAACGAGTCTCTTCAGTCCCTTGCGGCCGACGACAACGAATTCCGTATAGCATTCGAGCCAATTGACCGACGCCTCACGCTCGTTCCGCACTTGTTTGAGCTTGGCCGCATCATGGCCATGGCGGCCCACCGAGGCTGCGAGCTCCCCAGCCGTCCGATTTGTCTGGTCCAGCTTTTCTTTAGAACAGCCTATGCTCAAGAGCCAAATCGGACTCCGGCTCTAGACCCACGCAGGCCCGGAAGATGTTGATTAGGGCGGCGCGCTGTTTCCCCAATGCATTGACCACCGGAGTTCCAGGCGGAGTTAAGGGAGCTTTTAGCATGTAGCTGAGGATGCTCAGGACGCTGTGGAAGCTCTCGTATGGAATAGTGGATTCGAGGTCATTGGAGGAGCTGGATCTCCACTGAATTCTGGTCATCATCTCGGTGATCAAGACGAGATCAATAATGAGGGGAGACGCTAGAAGCGAGTCCTCGCAGACGTTGAAGATTCTGCAGCAGATAGTCAACATGAGGCAACATGAGGTCATACCTAGACCAAGAAGCGACTCACGAAATCGTCTGATGACCACCCAGGAAGATCTCGGCGTAGTACTCATCGAGGGCCCGCTTGTCATCGCCCACAGCAGGCATGTACTTGATAACAACGGTATGGTCCGGATGCTCTCCCTCCTTATAGAGGATCGTATTTGCCTCGACCATATCGTCCACTACGTTAGATTTCGAGATCTCTTTAGATCGGAACTGCTTCTGTTCGCTCAGATTTCTGCCGTCGTTATTCCCTAGATGGTTATAGCTCGCAATAGAAACAAGCTTGATACCCGCGTTGATTAAGAATTCTACCAAGGCAGATTTCATCTTAGTCTGTCCAGATTTGAAATCATCGCCACCGATAAATACACCATGCTTCTGGGCAAGATCGATAGCGCCAGGCACAAATGTATTCTGCGGCGAGCCGTTAATAAACGGGGTCTTCTCAAGGATCGAAGCTACCGCAAAGATGGTTGAAGGCGCGATCTCCTTATGGCCCTGAGTGATAGCCTCGAGTAAGTTGTCTGCTGTATCGTTTATACCAGCGACTATATCGGCATAACGTTCCGTGTTAGCAGTCCACAGGACTACAACCTTGTCGAGGTTGTTTGCGCTTTTGAAATCGCTTCTAGGGATTAGGAGTGGTCTCTCTACTCAATGCGGTTTGGCATCTGCTTACCGAATGTCTTTGCGGATCTGGTCTACATGGGCCATGCAGGCGCGGTCGCCAGGAAGCACATGGTTTGCTCGACCGCTCTGGTTGGAGGCGATAAAGTCGGGATAGTAGATGCTAGGGAGGGGCACCATCTGGGCCATCTCTTTCTTGAGTTGCATTTTCAGCGTTGGCTGGAGCACTGCCGCCCGGTCCATGGCCTCCGCGAGGTTCATGTTACTGATATCCCATCCGCCCACCATGAGATCGTTGGGGTGTACCATTGGCAGTACGTTGTGTAAGGGAATATTCACGTCCCGGTGCTCTGCGTCGATGCCGAGCTTCATGGTAGAGCCCATGACCAACGATCCATAGTAGTTCGCAGCCCTCGGGCCCTCACGCGTGTCCCACACGAGCCCGCGACGATTAGCGAGCAGTCCGGCCGTAACGGTCGTGCCGTTGTTGCCACCCCAGCCTACGAGCATGACCCCGACCTTGGGGATTCTGCGGTCGACTCGGAAGTCGTACCTGGTTTCTGTGGGGGTGGCAATATATTGCCCAGTACTGGCGTCCTTGGTAACGGTTGTGGTTCGGTACGTGTACTTGGAAAGCACCTCATCATCCCTGTACACAACGTTGGGGGAGTTGACCGTGAAGAGCTCTCTAGACGAGGATGGGCTTTCGTAGCTGCCGTTGCTCCATAGTCCCCAGTTCGACGAGGCCGTCTCAGCCTCCGCGTGTGGTGTCATCTTTGTTTGGTCTAATGAAAGCCGGTTCGGGCTGTAGTAGAGAGGCAGGCTGCTAGGATGCGGGCAAGTGCAGGAGGTATCGTCTTAGCTCCGTGTGTGCTCCGGTCCAAGCATTGGAGGGGCATCACACGCCTTAAGAAGGGTCGAGCAGGCTCGATATCTTGACACTCTCGCAGTAATTTTCTGCTGACAAAATGTCGCTCCAAGATGAACGACCATGTCGATTTCGCAAGCAAGTCATCCTCTCTTTCGGGTCCGATAAGGAAAACCCTGAGGATCGAAGGTGTGCTATGACCCCCTTGTTACATCGGAGGGTTATGCCGCTGTAGCAACCGGTGTACCCGCAGCTTGTTCGCAGATGTACGATGAGCATTTGGGAAAAAGAATGGCCAGTAATACAGACTTCAAGAAGAACACTTATCACGAGAGTGAAACTGCCTTGGGTACGGGTACCTAGGCAGCCGGATGGAAGGTAGTACATACATCTGGGCAAGGGATCCGTCGCATGTACTGTTTGAAATCGGTGTATACCTAAATGGAGTGGCTCCTATCTATCTCCAAGACTCGACGAAAACCCACCTGCATAGCTGCTATTATCCCCCAATGGCACCCGGTAAGTTTTACCCAAACCCGATTGGTGTGGGCCATCGGCGAGTGGATATTAGATACCTACAACCCGCCGGACATGGGGGACTGCGCGCCTTTCCGCACGGCAATTAGGTGTTGCCCACACGAACCCGGCTCGCATCGGACGAGAGCCGGCGTGTGTGCCCTATGCGCTTCGAATAATACGTTGCCTTGACTAGCTGAATTCAGCGGCTGACTCCGCCTCGGCCCCGCCCCCGGCCTGGCTTGAAATGATGTTATCTCCAGTACATCGGACCTTGGGGACGAGGCACAGCTGTTCAAGGCGAAGAAGCCGTTCAGGGAAGCGAAGACTACTTTTGCAGCTATCATTTATCAATACCTTCGCAGCCCCCAGGCTCGCCATTGTAGTGAGCACTCTTGTTTATTATGAGTACCGTTTCGTGGATGCGCCTTGCATGCCCGGCTTGATACGACAAAGCCTTTGAGTTTAGGTAGTGATATTATATAAGCTGTCGCGCCTCTATCTTCAACAGACACACTGCTCAGTCTCCAAGCAAATTTATAGGAGCTTCAGCCATGTCCGCCTCACAAATCAGCGATTCAGGCCCTGTTTCGGCGGCTTTCTTTTGCCCGCAGGCCTGGGCTCCAGACGAAGAATACTTGAACGGCGTTCGCTCTTTCCTAAACCGAAACCAATATGGCCAGTTACTTTTGCGCGAGATCGCAGACCTCAAGAACAGCCGGATCTGGTCTCTGTTTGCCACAGCAAGCACTGACGTGGCCTCGCTAAGCCCCGGGCCAGAGTACCTGGACATGCTGCACAACTGGGCAGCTAAAGGAGTTTCCGGGCCTGTGGCGGCAGCCAGGTCTGGGGTGGTGGCTCTGCCGTTGCTGGTCATTCTCCAGGTCAGCCAGTACTTGAGCTATCTCGAACACCACAAGTTGTCGCACCGGACCTTCCTTGCCCAAGTCGGTGCGGGCGGCGGTCTCCAGGGGTTCTGTGGCGGTCTGGCGGTACGCATTCTTAGTCTCACCAGCCGCTGGCGTTGTCTTCACTAAACTCGTACTAGACTGCTATCATCATCGCCTGTGCTGCAGACGAGACCCAAGTAGTTCAGTACACAGCCACCGCCATGCGCGTCTTGGTCGGCGTCGGTGCGTACAGCGAGGCGGCAGACGACACTAAAGGCAGAGGATCCACGACGCTTGCCCTGCGCTTAAAATACGACGGCCAAGGCGAGGACATCACCCAGTGCTTCCCGGGGACGTACGTTTCCGCCATCACAGAGCCGCGGTCCATCAGCGTCGTCGGGCCCGCCGGAACATTGCACGAGCTATCCGTGTATGCCCAGGAGCAAGAGCAGCTGAAGGTCCAGAAGATGGACATACGAGGCAAGACTCACAATCCTGAAAATCAGGAGCTTGCGGAGGCGCTCTGCACGGTCTGCGATGGGGAATCATACCTGCACCTTCCCGATGCATCCAAGCTACATGTGCCTGTGCGTTCCAACCGAACAGGACGCAAGCTGACCGAAGGCTCCCTCACTAAGGAGCTTGCCACCACCATCCTGGCATACAGGTGCGAATGGTACACCATCTTGACGGAAACTGCACAAGATATGAAGGCGGCAGGCCATGACGCGCCAAAAGTTGTCACCTTCGGACTGACGGACGCGGTCTCCGTTGCTCCCTTCGTCAAGGAGGGCCTCCGCCTCGCCAAGGTCGCCGCCCATCCTCTCATTTCCCGAGTAGCCGAGGGTCCTTTGGCAGATGCGCTTGAATTCCCGGAGACTGCCATTGCAGTCATCGGCGCCTCTTGCCGATTGCCCGGCGCAAACAATCTGGATGAGCTGTGGGAACTGCTTGCGTCCGGCGCCGATCAGCACCGTCCACTCGGCACTGATAGATTTGATATATACAACAGCTTCCGGGGGTCACAGAGCAAGAACTTTGACGGAAACGAGTCCAGATTCTTCGGTAATTTTATCGATGATATCCGGCGCTTTGACAATAGCTTCTTCGGAGTTAACCCACGTGAAGCGGCGAGTATGGACCCCCAGCAACGCATCCTACTCGAGGTCGCCTACGAAGCTCTGGACGATGCTGGATATCTAGCAAGGCACCGCAGGGAGGATGGTGACAATGTAGGGTGCTTCATCGGCGGCAGTCTTGTTGAATACCTTGACAACACCAGCGCGCATGCTCCAACCGCTTACGTGGCAAGTGGTACCATTCGTGCGTTTCTCTGTGGCCGTCTCAGCTACTATTTCGGATGGTCTGGGCCCGCCGAGGTCATCGACACCGCCTGTTCGTCCTCGCTCGTCGCTATCAATCGAGCTTGCAAAGCAATCCAGGCCGATGAGTGTCCCATGGCGCTCTGTGGAGGGGTGAACATCATTACCGGCATGAATAACTATTTCGATTTGGGCAAGGCCGGGTTCCTCAGCCCGACAGGGCAATGCAAGCCGTTCGACATCTCAGCCGACGGCTACTGTCGAGCGGAGGGCGTTGGCCTTGTAGTTCTAAAGAAGCTATCCCGTGCACTTGCGGATGGCGATGCGGTAATGGGCGTCATCCCTGGCATAAGCACGAACCAAGGCGGCCTTTCGTCCTCCATCACCATCCCTCATTCGGCGGCGCAGCAAGCGCTGTACAAAAATGTACTACAGCAGGCCAGGATACCTCCGGAGAACGTAAGCTACATCGAGGCTCACGGAACGGGCACCCAGGCGGGCGATCCGCTAGAGGTGGAGAGTCTCCGATCGGTCTTCGGCAAGAATGAGCTGCCAACATCCTCGGATAGAACCCTCTATATTGGGTCCATCAAGGGAAATCTGGGCCATTGCGAAACAGCAGCGGGAGTGGCCGGCCTGCTCAAAGTTCTGACCATGATCAAGCACGCCCAACTTCCGTCCCAGGCCAGCCACGGAACCCTCAATCCCAAGATCGCACCTTTGGAACCGGACCGTCTCGCCATCAACCGCTGCCTGCGTGACTGGGATGTTCCATTCCGTGCAGCTCTCGTCAACAGCTATGGTGCCGCCGGGTCGAACTGCGCGTTGTTATGCTGCGAGATGCCCTCCAAAGACGGGAACCCTGAGATCGACGTCAACGCGAGACTCCCGCTGCTTATCAGTGCTGCTTCGGAGAAGAGCCTGCTGCGGAACGCGCAGGCATTGAGCGCCCATCTTCGGAAGCATGGCTCCAAGACTAATCTTGGCGACCTGGCCTACACGCTGAACGAGAGAAGAAAGCGCCACAAGTTCTTGGCGACGATTGAGGCGGTGGATGTTCAGGATGTCGCGGGCCGGCTCGAGAACCTTCAAGCCGATTCTATCGTCAAGAATACGTCTGAATCTCCCAGGCCGGTGGTGCTTGTTTTCAGTGGCCAATTCGATACTAAGGTTAAGCTGGACAAGGCATTCTACGATAAAGTACCGGCCTTCCGGCATCACCTGGACCTCTGCGACAGGGAACTCACCGCCCAGGGTTTCCCATCCATCATCCCTAGCGTGTTCGACAGTGAACCCGCCGCAGACGCCACGTTGTTGCAGTGTGGCATCTTCGCCATGCAATATGCTTCTGCGCAGTGCTGGATAGACGCCGGGCTGAAGCCCAATGCAGTCATCGGCCACAGCCTGGGGGAGCTCACCGCGCTGGCTGTGTGCGGCGTCCTTTCGCTCGCCCATTCTATCAAGCTGGTAGCGTCCAGGGCTCGGCTTATCGACACCCATTGGGGACCGGACAAGGGGTCCATGCTGGCCTTGAGCAACTGTTCTGCGTCGGATTCTGAGGCGCTGCGCTCACAGCTCCAGCAGAAGTCGGGGGCCGTCTTCAACATCGCTTGCTACAATGCTGCCGACACAATCGTGGCGTGTGGTGCATCGGCCGACATGGCTCAACTGGAAAGTCTTGTGTCCAGCGAGCCAAGGTTTCAAAAGATCCGCAGCCGACCTCTTTCTACGAGCCATGGCTTCCACTCACGCTTGACAGACCCGTTGCTAGCTGACCTGGCAGCTATATCTGAATCGCTGGAATGGAAGGAGCCCAAGTTCCCGCTCGAGATGTGCTCGAACCGCCCCATCGAATCTTTCAAGCACTACGATCCCTCCAGACACCTGCGTGAGCCTGTCTTCTTTGTTGATGCTGTACAGAGACTCGAGCAGCGCTTCTCATCTATGCTGTGGCTGGAGGCAGGAATATCGACACCCGCTGTGGCCATGGCGAGGGCCGCATCGGGGCAAGCGAACGTGCATAGTTTCTTGAGCCTCAAAGCGTCAGGGACATTGAACGCGTTAGACTCGCTCGCCGGCGTGGTGTCTACCCTTTGGAGGAACGGGCATTTTCTTCGCCACTGGCGGCTTGTCTCGCCCGAGCGGAAGACGCCCGACTTCAAGCCGATTTGGTTGCCCCCGTATCAGTTCGAGCGCACGCAGCATTGGGTGCCAAACATCGACCGGGTCCTGGAAATGCGGCAGACAGTTGCCAAAGAGGCAGCAGAATCGATGGCTCTCGTCAAGGCCCCCTACACGCCCCCTTCTGCGCCACCGACCTTGGTCAGCAGCACACCCAGGTTGTCCATGAAACACAGTGGGCAGGTCGAGTTCACCATCAATGTCCACAGCCAACGCTACAGCCGTATTGTCCGAGGCCACTCTCTACGGTCGCGGGCGCTATGCCCCGCGTCCATGTACATGGAGTCGGTTATCATGGCCCTCCAGCACCTGGCTGCAGAGGGCAACTCCACGTACGTGGCTCCCGATGGGGCCAATCTGGTCTGGGAAGAGGTGAACTTCCAGTCCCCACTGGGGACGGAGCCGAACGGCGAGGTCGTCGTACGACTCAGCTTGGCCAGACGCGAAAATGCTTGGAACTTCGCCATATGCACCCTACCAGGCGACGGCTCCTCGTCGCGACCTGCCCGAGAAACCCGTCATGTGAGTGGTGTGGTCTCTCTTGCCGAGCGCTTGCATCTTGACGTATGGGAGAGGCTGGTCTCCGGATCGATGGAGAGGATAGTCGGCACGGACGAGAACGAGAGGCTCATGTCCAAGCGCACTTACGGTCTCTTTTCCCGCCTCGTCAACTACCCGCCATTCTTCCAAGGCATCTATTCGTTGGTCCTCCACGATCGCGAGGCGGTTGCGACCATCCGCATGCCAGAGGGGCAGCCGGCCCGAGAAGAAAGCACGGCATGGAGCCTTTGCGACACGGTCACCATCGATGCATTCATTCAAGTCTTGGGCTTCATCATCAACACAAGTGATTTCATCGGAGAAGGTGAAGTGGCGGTCATGGTCGGCTTGGACCGAGCCGTGATCTCGCGCAAATGCGATTTTGGCGCCGGTTGCTCCAGTCAAGAGAACTGGCGGGTGTATGCCCGATTTGAGATTGACGGAAACGGACAGCCTATTGGTGACATTTTCGTTTGGAACACTCCGAACAGTGACCTGGTTGCCGTCTTGACCGGCTGCCGCTTCTCCAAAGTTCCCATCGTGAAGCTCGAAAGAAGCCTCGATCAAGCGATGCGGCTGGTGGCTCCGACGCCAACTAAACCCGCCGCTGTAGTTCATCTTCTTCCTGCTGAAAGCTCTTCCACTTCCTCCTCGGGCTCTGATTCGGACGCTGAGAGTCGCGAGAGCGCCCCTACTCCCAGTAGCGTTTCGTCTACCGGGCCTTCGTCTGACGCCCAGCTTGAAGAACTGCAGAGTCTCCTGGCCGAGGGCACCGGGGTGGACAAGTCCGAGATGACCAAGGACATGCTCCTAGCCGACATGGGCCTGGACTCACTGGCCGCCGTCGATCTTGCCGGGGAATTATCGTCCAAGTTCAAGCTGAGCATCGCCTCGCATGAGCTCCAGAGCATGACTGTCGAGGAGCTAAGCACGAAGATCGGCGGTAGCGCTTCTGTCACTGCTGCCCCGCGACCGCGGCCTGCTATTGCACCTCCTCGGGCCGATGACGTTGGGAACGCTGCTCAACTAGCTAGCCCGCCAGATTGGGGCCGCTTTCAGAAGCTAAAGCAGGTTCTTGTCGACGTCGTGGGTGTTGGTGTTGAGGGCATCGAACCCGGGTTCGTACTGGCTGACCTGGGAATCGATTCTATGTCGGCCAATGATCTGCGACAGGAACTTCAGGAGAGGTTCTCCATGCGCGTCTATCAAATCAAGGTCGACGACACAGTGGAGGATTTGATGAAGCAGCTAAGTATTTCCATTTCGCCGGCCACCAGCCTCAGCGCTGCGAATTGGGCTTCTGTGCCTCAAACGAAAGGAGTGGCCGACACGCCAAGCGGCGCTGAGAGGCACGCATCAGTTGCCGGAGCAACTGTGCTGCTGGGGAATCCCTTCGAGGCCCTCCGGGCCTCAGACGCCTATTTCGACGATTCTGCTAAGAAGCAAGGGTACTTTGATCATTCGAAGGTTGCTGCACCCTATGAAGATGAGATTCTGGTGGCACACATAACCGAGGGTTTTGCCAAACTAGGCGTAAACCTGTCTCGCGCTGAGCCGGGCTCCAAGCTCCCTCAGGTGCCTCACTTGAAGCCCAAGTACGACAGATTGGTCCCGAGACTCTGGGAAATCCTGCAGCACCATGGGCTTGTTACCATCAACCCCGACGGGACATTCACACGAACAGATCGCGAGGTGGATGGGCGGTCATCCGCCACGCTCTTGGAAGCCTTCCGGAGCCGGTTCCCAGCCTACAAGTACGAAAGCGATATCATAGGTTTGACCGGCCCTCGACTCGCGGACTGCCTCTCCGGGGAGCTGGACTCGGTCAATCTCCTGTTTGGCAATCCTGCCGCCTTGAAGATCATGGCGAACTTCTACGACTTGTCGCCCATGATGTCGACTCTTACGGACCAGCTCGTCCACTTCCTGAAGACGCTGCTCCGAAACGTGGACAAATCTCGACCCATACGAATCCTCGAAGTCGGCGCAGGTACGGGTGGCACGACCCGGCGCGTCTTGGCCGCGCTGGCCTCGGCCAATATTTCAACCATCTATACTTTTACAGACATCGCAGCCAGCCTGGTGTCCAAAGCCAAGGCGGCCCTGAAAGAATACGACTTCATAGAGTATGGCACCTTCAATCTGGAAAAGGAGGTGCCCGAAGACTACCGGGGTCGCTTCGACGTGGTCATCAGCACGAACTGCGTCCACGCAACAACCAATCGCACAAACTCCTGCCGCCGACTGCGCGACACCCTGGCCCCGGGCGGCATTGTGGTCCTGTCGGAGCTCACCCGTAAAATCGATTGGTATGACACATGCTTCGGCCTTCTGGATGGATGGTGGCTTGCGGAGGGCCGTACCATATACCCTATCCAGCCGGCCGACAGATGGATGTCCGTGTATGAAGCGGCCGGGTACGCCTCATACGGCTACTCGTGGGGACCGACTCTCGAAGCCACCAGTCAGCAGCTATTGGTTGCGTGCACTGAACGATGGACAGTACCAGCAGTACAGGACGCCCCCGCACAGAGACCATAGGTACTGAAATATGGTACGCCATTGTCGTCTGAGATACATTCGTTCCCTGCCAGATCGCATCTTCGCTTACTCAAATCGCATGTGATTTCATTTTATTCATTCTTTTCATTTTTGTCGGTTGTTCTTCCTGCCGCGTTTATATTTCTTCTGTCATCATAAGGCGTCTTTTAAACACCACACATGTTGCACTGGTTGTCGAAAGCTACAAGCAGTTATGGATGCATACCCGCTTCAAGCGTGCTGGTGCTGGTGCCTGGTGCGCGTTCTTCATATTCTTGTAAACCTCGACTTAAACTCCAATAGTAAATACCAATCTAGCTACTACAACCGGCGCTATCCAGAGATTGCCTCGTCAAATACACGATATTCTTTCACATCCTTCCTATCATGCATGTCAGTAGGACTCTGACCTTCACCGACTATCCGAAGCTGATTCGAGCCCTCTTAAAAACCCATTTAAAAAAGTTGTCGAGACGCAAGAATAACTGGGCCTAAGCATTGCTCTGCCAAATTGCCGTTACGAAGGCGGCCACACAACAATACGTTTCATAGCTCTATCATGTTGGATAAGCATGGGTGGTACCGACATGTGGAATCCCCTGTCGGCCTCGCTTCTCGACGCGGATCAACTCGGCGGGCCAGGTGATCAGACCCTTAAATAGCGTTACACGGCAGATTGGGCTGCTTACTGCATATCTATCGCAGGTAGGCAGGCACTCGCAAGGAAGGAGAATACTCAACGCTGGTTACCTTTGGCCGTCTCCGGTGTGTTTTACTTCCTGCATGTTTTGTGAGGCGTCGTTTGGCGAGGCGCCCAATGTAGGTTGGCCACGGCTGCCAAACCCCCGGGCAGGGGTGGTTAGAACACCTCCGGAGAAGGACGATTGAAACTCACCGGACAGGCCTTGCGAAAACCACCGGAGAGGAGCCGGCATGAAGTTGAGACCGGGATGGGGGCCCTGCTGTGGTTGATCCCTAGATTGCTCAGGCCCAGCCGAGACTCGGTGGGTACATGGGACAGGCCTCCGACTACGGGACTGTCTGGCCACTGTCGTGTTGTACGTTTCCGCATCCGTTTCTGCACCCAGATCTTATGTTCTAAGCTAATCTACGCTTATGTGTAGTTGGGATCGAGTTTTTCAAGCGCGGCCTATCAATTTTGCCTGTCGTGGGATGACGCGGGAGGTATTTATTTGTTCATTCAGTTGAGGGATGGAAGGGGAGGCAGAGTATAGCGTGGGGAAGTTGACGGAGTTGCTGCCAGTGCAAACAGCCATCAAGAAACTCGTGCATACATTCGATATCCTCGTGGGGCTACAAAGTCCAAGAAACAATTGTAGGCTCGGACCTAGCCAGTACACCACAAGCATCTTGTGGTCGAAGAAGGGCAGAAAGGAGGGGGCGGGGTGGAGAGCGTAGTATATGGTTTGCAGCATTGAATACTAGAGGTTTTACTCCCATGGGCTCCCTTCTTCACTTCCTGCCGGATGCTGGAGCTGAAATCAGTGAGGTTGTCTCTGGAACGTCTATGCTCCATGCCGAGACAGATCCATTCCAAGTTTAAGAAGAAAAGAGATGGCACATTTTTGTTACTCTAGGAAAATCATTTGTTTAACAAGTTCAGTCGCCTCTTTCAAATGCTGGCAAAACTGCGTTGCACGGCGGGCAGCCGAAGTCACGACTGTGAAGTGAACACTGTTTGCACAAGTTAGCACATGAAGAAGACGTCCCGATGACGCAAAGCCATGGGGAATTGGAGGCACGGGGCACACATACCATTCCTCGTAAACCTCATAATGCATCCATATGGCATTGGGATCCTTCCACATGCACCCTTTGTCCAGCATTCCCGTCTCGAAGCAGTTACTCATCATCAATCTCGGCCGCACTCTTTTGTAAATTGGGTCCTCGAACAAGGCCGGCACCGGCTCGCCCTTGTTCAGGAGGGCACGCAACGCAGTCAGGTTGCGCTCCCAGCCGGCGTTTCTGCCCGCCTTGGCGACAGAGGCGACGTGTGCGCGGGTTGCGTTGATGAGCAGGCTGCGGCGCTCCGCCATGTCCACCGCCGGGTCGCGTGCCGCCTTCACAAACGCTGCGACCTGGGTGTTGACAACCTGAATGATGTCGACGCGGCCGAGGTGGTAGTGCGCCTGGTTGACGCTTTCAAAGCACGGTGTCAACTCCCCGAAGATGGAATAGCCCGCCAACTGGATGACCATCTGGAACACGCTCTTCGGAGACAGCTTCTGTGCCCGCAGCACAGTAGAGCCAAAGCCCTCGAAGAGGAACACGGCATGGTCGGCGTCCTTGGTGGTGTCAGCATATTGGGCTCGCACTTTGCTAATGAGCGCTTCCAGCGTCGCGTCCGTCTTGAGCGGCAGAAGCTCGGGCATAACGGCAGCACGCGTGGCGGCCGCCGGGGCGCGCACACCTGCTTCAGCATCGTTGGTGATGGCGGCGCCTATGGCATCGCTCAGGGGTCTCAGCGTCAAGGCATCCAGCATGCTGTGCTCACCAAGTGTGGCCGAGATGCCATTGCGGCACACGACGAACTGAAGAGACTTGTCGTGCCAGCGGTTGGCGGCATCGCTCTCGCCTCCTAGATGAAACTGTCGGCTCCGCTCGGCCACGTTTTCCGGAGCTGCTTCATCCAGGGAGACGGTGAAGGCGGCGGCTTCGATGGCGGCGATGCTCACGGCATTCTGGTGGTCCAGCCGTTGGAGCTGCTGTCTCGCTTTGGCCCATGAGGGCCTGTTGTCCGACGTGAGGATGCTGACGAAGGAACGCGCCACTGACTGACTTAGCAGTAGCTCGAATGCGGCGTGCAGCTCTGGGTACGTAGCCGGTCGGCTCCCCACGGAGAGACTGAGCTTGAAGGCGTGCCCTCGCCAGAAGACGATGCAATAGTTGTTGTTCGGATGCCTTTGCATGGCATCGCTGGGGATGCCGGGGACGCGCACGGCGTTGAATATCCAGGGGTAGAACGCTGTGGTCAGCTCCTGCTGGTTCAGCACCACCGGCCCGACGTGCCCCGCCTCTAGCTTCAGTTTGAAGTTGTTCACCGTACATGCGAGAAGCGCGGCTCGTTCGGCTTGGGAGTGCGGCTGGTGGCTGAAGGGATGGCCCATCCAGAAGCTGGTGAACGGAGTAAGCGACACTCTACGATCCAGAAAGCCGCGTTGAAGCTGTAGCTCCCATTCCCAGTTTTCGATGGCTGGGTCCGCCGCTCGAGCTGCGGCACGGTCGTAAATCAGTCGACCGGGACCGCCTGCTCGCTTGAAATCTTCGCAAGCCGCAATGGTATTGTTGAACTCTGCCGGTGTTGCGAATGCCTTGACGCCAGTGAGGAACGCATTGCATAACGCATTGATCTCGGGCAAGGGAAACTTGGGCAACGGGTTCGGGACGAAGGGGGGGTTACCATTCATGCCTGCGTCCTGGTGGACTGTCCCGCTGCCAACGCCATTCACCGCGCCATTTGTGAGCAGCGTTGGGGATTTCGGCAGCCTGGAGACAGTCTCGACTTCACTTGCCTGAGTGAGGGTAGTTTCCTCTGGAAGGCCGTCTGGGACGAACTTGGACCTCTGCGCCACTAACTCTGCCAAAGCCACAAGTCCTGGGGCATTCGTCACTTCGTGCATGGCCACCTCAGCTCCGAGTTTGCTTCCTAGCCAGTCCTTGAAGTCGGTCACGATCAGAGAATCGAGCCCGAGATCCACCAGAGGTTCGTGAAGATTAACCTGATCGGCGCTGATGGCCACGAGCGAGACCAGCTTCCTGAGTTGCTCGTCTAATACGACTCGGCGTGCTTCGGACATGCTTGAAACAGCCGCCAGATGTCGCTCCGCGCTTGCCCCATCGTGATCTGGGGTCGAGCGGTCAGCTACCTCGGGTTCCGTGGCGGACGGCTGCGATATTGTGATCAAAGCAAGCAGCCTACGCTTTTGCTCTTGCGGGACAGAGAGATTGGCGATGGCCCGGGCCAAACGCTCAAATTCTGTAAAAACCTTCTTCGGCGCAGTACTGGCTTTTATCTTCACTATCGCGTCGTCGTCGGCCAACAGCACTATCTTAGCTGCCTGCGTTTGGCTTTCTACGATCTGGAGGGCCGAGAGCGCATCGGCTATGGATACCGTTGCTAACGGGAAGACGCTACCGATGTCCTCGTCCGGAAGCAGAGACAAGATTGACTTGAAGGCGGCACTAGCAAGAAAGGGACGGTATCGGAACAGCTGGGTGGCATCAAAGGATACGCGCTTGACGGAGCGGTCGGAAGCGGGCGAAAACAAGCTGCGACCATTCATGTCAACGACGGTGCCGAAAGGCGCGACTGACTTTATCAGATCTTCCGGAAGAGCAGTTGACGAGGCATTGAGGACAGCGTCGAGCCCGGCTCCTCTCGTTAAGCGTAGCAGCGCGTCTGGGAGAGCAATGTCGTTGGAATAAAAGATGTGAGCAGGCTGGGCCCCAGAGTTTGACAGCAATGCCTGCTTTTCAGTATCCGTCCCAACAATTGCGACAACCTTAAGGCCAAGGAGAGTGGCCACAAGAGTCACGGCTTGGCCAAGCAGCTCGCTCGCACCTTTGACCAGCACGGTCTGACCGGACTCGACTTGCGCGCAATCCTGGAGGCCGTAGTAAGCAAGGGACAAAATCCGGGGAAGCGCAGCACCCGTCTTGAATGACCAGGACGGCGGGAGTCTTTGCACGAAGCAGCCCTTGGCCCGGGTCTGACTAGCAACGGCGGCGCTAGCGTTCCAGCAGCACACCCGGTCCCCAATACGAAACGCGTCCTTCATGTCTGATCCCAGAGATGTAACTACGCCGGCACAGTCTACCAGTCCGGCTGAATCGTTGTTGCTCCCGAGGATAGCTGGGTTTAGAGCGAATGAGAGCCCTCGGATCTTGACTTCGTCCGACCCAAGCGGGCCGTCGGCGGCGTCATCATCGACAAAGCTGAGACTGCCAGCGACTCCCGGCGGATCAATGACCATCTTGACCGGTCGACACACATCGTGGAACGGATTTAGTGTGTACGGTGCGACTGTGGAGCCGCTGTTCGTGCTGACTTGGCGCTTCTGTCCGCTGGACATGACCCCCCCAGTGGGACTATGAACACCATTTTGGGGAGTGGTCGTGGAGTGGTAATGCATGTTGGGGATTCTGAGCTCGCTGGTTGAGAAGGGTGAATTGTAAAAGCTAGGCACCTAGCTAGTGAGCATTCCAAGATGTTATGGTGAGTTATGAGCAAGTCCAGTCATGGGGTGCACCGCGTATCGGAGGGAATATGGGGTTATATACGTAGGGTTGACCTTCTAGCAAAGCAGCACAAGCCTATCGCTCTTCAGGACTTCCGCGACATACCCAATGGCAGGAGGTGGCTCGCTTCTCTTTATCTGGAAGGTCTAGAGTCGGGGGTGATTGGCTCGGCGAACGCATGCCTGGTAATTAACCACCGTCTGATGCTGACCGGAGGGAATACCGAGTAACAGCCACTCCTTCCGAGCGTTAGCCAAGCAAGGGTACATGCAGCTCGTGTAGTATAGGAAACGAAATCAAATTTGTGCTGGTCATCAACAGGACACTCGTATGAACTGACCAAGCCGCGTTCAGTACATGCCAGAGATACAAGATATTGCCCTTGTGGCAGTAGACTGCCGTATGTGGAGGGGGGGTTTGTGCCTCATGGCACCTCCAAAAGAATAATAGATACTCTGCGCTGAGAGGGTCTAGGCCTACAGATCTATACTTATCATCCAAACCTGCACGAGATTACGCAAACCTAGCCATAGCGAGTACCCTTCTTGGCCATTCCCTCTACGAGGGTTCACTTCTTGCTTCGCCCACGCTCTTGGCTTCGGGCAGTCTACGCCACTCCATGGCCGCACTGACGACTAGAGCAGCAGCGGAACTTGCCAGGGCCAGCAGAAATGTGGTCCACAGAGCGTCCTCGAATGCACCCACCACCTGGCCCAGCAGCTCCGGGGGTATCAATCGCCGGAATTCTCTAGCGCCCGCCGCCACCACTGCCGCGCCGTCCAGGCCGTCAATTCCCTGCAGCGTCTTCAAAAGGCTGTCCGTGAAGAGGTTCTGGGCGATGCTGGGCCCCACGGTAGCCCCGAGGCACTCGAAGAAAATGACAAGAACGCAGGCAGTCGGGACGTCTTCCTTGTGGACTACTACCTGCACCGCCAAGATCGGTACCTGGCCGCAGATGCCATAGCCAATGGCACTGACAATCTGGTATCCTGCCCAGCTCGACGCGGGGCTGTCCGCGTGCAGAAGCCGGAAGAGTCCGGCGCCGGCGGCAAGGACAGGAGCACCAATCCACATGAAGGGTACGTAGTATCCCACCTTGGAGATAATCCAACCAGCGACAAAAGTTGCAAGCATGGTGGAGATGGCAAAGGGAAGCATGTTGATCCCGGAGTCCTTGGCGCTGGTGTTCTTGACCGACTGGAAGTAGATAGGCCAGTAATAGGTCTGCACAGTTATGGACAGTTGGAGGAACATCATGAAAACGGTTGCTACGCATACGGTTCGGCTCCGGAACAGGTAGAGTGGAACAGTACAGCTTCCTCGAGGTTAGTGATGGCCGACGCATGTTTGCTAAGCGAGCCTTACCTGTTCGGATTCTTCATTTGCATGATGAGGAACAGGATCAGGGTCAAGCCAAATCCGATCAAGCAGCCGTACACCTTCGAGTCCGACCACGGGTAGACGATGCCTCCCCACTGCAAAGCGAGCGAGAGGCAGATCACCGAGCCGATTAAGACAGTAGCGCCGAGAAGATCGAGCTGGTTTATCTTTTGTTTAAAAGGCAGCCCTCCTTTGACAGGCGCCGGAGGAGGCCGCAGAGCGAACCATATCTGAGCCAGCCCGATCGCTCCAAATGCTGCGGGCCGTCGGTTAGCGCTCAGTATGCATCCCTGACAGTCTCGAGTTTACCCACGAAGATTGACCCAGAAGCAAAAGCGCCAAGTCAGAGTGTCATTGTCCGTAATAGCACCCCCGATGATGGGTCCCAGCACGGAAGCGACGCCGTAAATGATGGAGATCAGCCCCATCAGCACCGGGCGTTTCCTCAGCGGCACCGTGAGCGAAATAATGATGGCAGCTCCGCTCATCAAGCCTGCCGCTCCCACGCCTGCTACGGCGCGTCCGATGATGAGTGTCGTCGAGTTCCGGGCTACGGCACAGATGATGGAGCCCAGCTCGAAGATGAGCAGCAGGACAATGTAGGACCACCGGATGTCGTAGAAAGTATAAATGCGACCGCAGGTAGGGAGGAGGGCCATCTGCGTTAGTTTGTAGCTGGCGGCGTACCAGCCAATGTCGTTGAGGCTGTTGAACTCGCTGGTGATGCGAGGTATGGCCGTTGCTGGTTGGATATGCTCGTTAGATCGACACTGCCGCGTGACGGGTTAAACTCTAAGGGTGGGAGATGCGTACCCAAGATGGTGTTATCGAGAGACAACACAAAGGCGCCGCCCATCAGGGCCATTCCCAGGTTCCACAGGGCCCAGCCATCAAAGTAGCCGGATGTATCTTCACTATCGTCAACTTCTCCTGCTTCTTCCGCTGCAGCACGAACCGCACCGTCGGTCTTCTCGGTAGCCTCTTCAGTGACATGGTTTTCGGCTAGTGGAGTGATGGCTACCATTGCTTCCAACGAAGTTAAGGATGTTTGAAGGTGGAAAAGGGGGGGGGGGGGGAAGAATAAAAGAGTAAAGGAGAAACTAGATTCATAAGGCAAAGAAACCTTACCGAAAATAAAAACAACACAGTGCACCTAGCTGGACTAGAGAAGTAGCTACGGATATGGGTTGTGCTTCACGCGCGGAGTTGCATGTGTTTGGCATCCTCACTTAGTCCAGAGCCAATCGGGGGATCGCCGGAACTCGGGACCTCAAGAAGCGTCCGTGTGATCGCCTCGATCCTGGTCGGTTCGTTGACGGACTAGCGGGCCGGTGGGGCCGAGCATGTAACGTGGTCGGCAGTCCTTTGCCAAGCTTCGCTTATTACCTGCTTACAGGGTGACCGGCGGTTTGTACTCACCATAGTTCTTCGATTTTGCAGGCGTGGGTTGTAACTTGTATGTACGAAATCAAAAACTGGAACCTGGTCCGGCGGGTTTGCTCATCCCTGACCCTGACACCTTTCTAGCCTTCGTCTTATCGGAAAGAGAGCAGCCAGTCACAGACGAATGCCCATGCACGCCCTTTAGCGGATTCAGGTGCATACTGTATGTGCAGGAACAGCGTGCTATCAAGCAGCACAGGGCAAGAGAGGCCACCGGGACGATGATGACGAGCCGACGCCTGAGAAGGCCTTCACCAGAGCCGGGTTACATTACGTATCTTTTACTTCTAGTAGTTGCGTCGACTGTTCTGCCCTTTTCTGTATACTTTGTGGGTTTCTATTGGCAGACGGTGCCTTTTGTAGCCCGCAAAGCTACCGCGGGAGCGCCAAGGATGACCGCTTTCGGACTCCCAGTCACTCTACTGCCTCGCCTACATCGCCGGCTGCGAGAAAGCTGACACTCCTCCGCAGGCCGAGTTGCATTTCACCTGGCCCGGGCTGTCGTATCCAGTCGCCCAACGAGAACCATCTACAATCCCTCTCCGGCGATAGGCTATAGAAAACAACGGTAGCATTCGTTTGCTCCATCGCCCTGCGGCCTTCTACCCTCGTCAGGTCAGGCCAGGCAATGCCGTATACAAAATCTCTCTCTCTCTCTCTCTCTCTCTCTCTTGAGCTTTCATCTTTTGCCCGATATAGCACCGCGGTCGTCCAGAAGGTGGCAAGTCGACACCTCACGATACGCGGCAGAATGGCACCACGGAGGCTCAGGATCGGCGTCGCCGGCTTGGGTCGCATGGGGAAGCGGCATGCCATGAATTTCTCCCAGTCGGTACCCCGGGCGGAACTAGTGGCCGTGAGCACTCCCGACGCATCCGAGCGACAGTGGGCGGAGATTCACTTGGGCCCGTCCGGCGTATCGGTGTATGCGAACTACGAAGACATGCTCCGCCACGAGGGCCTCGAGGCGGTCTGCATCGCGTCCGTGACATCGGTGCATGCCGATCAGGCCATCCGCGGCATCGCGGCAGGCAAGCATGTGTTATGCGAGAAGCCTTTGGCCACTACTGCAGAAGTAGTAAGTCAAGTCGAGCCGAGCCAAGCCAGCCGACTAGGCTCACGACGCAAGAGGCTAATGCTTACTGACGCTCGAGCAAGTCGCAATCCGTGGTCGATGCCGCGGCGAGACGGCCTGACCTCAAGGTCATGTGCGGCTTCTCTCGACGGTTTGACGACTCGTACCGAGACGCGCATGCCAAGGTGGAGGCGGGCCTGATCGGACGGCCCTCCGTGATTCGAAGCCAGACCTGCGACGTCTTGGATCCGTCCGGCTTCTTCGTGGCCTATGCCCAGTTCAGCGGTGGCATCTTCGTGGACTGCTCGATCCACGACATCGACCTGGCGCAGTGGTTCTTTGGCGAAGACAGCAAGGTCCAGTCCGTCTCGGCCGTCGGCATCACGGCGGTAGAGCCCGGGCTGCGCGAGTACGACGACCGAGATAACGCAGTGGGCGTCATCGAGTACGCCGACGGCCGCATCGCCTATCTGTACTGCTCCCGCATGATGGCCGCCGGCCAGGAAGACTCGACCGAGATCATCGGTACCCACGGCAAGCTGACGGTGAATCTCATCCCGCAGGAGAACCTGGTGCGCATCTACGAGCCCGGCGGCATCCGCCACGAGCTACCGCAGAACTACTACGGCCGGTTCAAAAACGCGTTTGCGCGCGAGGCCGTCGAGTTTACCGACTGCTGCCTCGACGACATCGAGGTGCCAGTCAAGCTGGCTTCCGCGGTGACCGCCGTGAGGATCGGCGCGGCCCTGCAGCAGTCCATGATCAGCGGGGAGAAAGTCCGGTTCGATAACGCAGGGGAGGGAGCGGAGCGAGCCCATCTGTAGAGATTTACCTGTCCACGACTATGCCTCCTGTCATTCTACCCTCACCGGGGTTTCCGTAATCGAAGGAATCGGCGACGTACAGTATGGGGGGAAAGCGGCCATGGCTGTTGTGAGACCGGGTGGAGAAGGAGTACATGTCTTTTAGCCTAGCGTCCAACACCTGTCGTGTTTGGTTGCTCGGGTGGCTATCTGAGATACCATGAGAATGGGCTAAATTATGACGGAGGGGATTGCAGGCCTGAACCCTGGTCGACCAGGCCTTTGTAAGCGCTATTCCAAAAGGGTTTGTTTAGCTAGCCTACAGACACCCAAAAGATACTACGTCGCCCACCGGAATGGACTGTTACGACCATCACCAGTCTGACTGCAGCATCGCGTGCTGTGCCGCCGCCTGCTCCCGTCCCGTGCTGGGGCAGGCCCCGGGCAGGGGATGACGCGCGTTGGCGTTCCCGCCACCCCCAGTCCGTAGCGACAGACCGGCGTGGGTTTGTACTGCACCCTCCTACTGGACAGAACCACGCATAGCCCTGTTTCTCTCCTCCAGATCTGGCAGGTGAGGGCGCTGCAAGCGCGAGTCACCTTATCCTCGAGAGCTATTAGAAGACCGGCACGCGCGTCCGTCCTTTCCGGCTCGCTCTACAACTCCTCCGAAGGATCCACAGTCCAACGGCGACCCCCACGGCCCACGGGTACGGCGGGCGTACACGTGGCGCCTTTTGGCGCTGGCAGATGGCAGAAGCCACTTCCTCCCACGAATGCCAGCCCTGGAGTTCTCTGACCGGCAGACCTTCTACTGCTCCATGGCCAGGGCAGCGAACATGCTGCTCCTTCAACCTAGCTACGAACTAGGGTCGAACCGGCTGACCTTCCGCCTTTGGTCTTGTGTAGACCCTCTCTTCCACCTTCCTGTTATACCATAAGGTGGTACCAACCATATCTTATTGCAACTTCGTTGAGGACCCGCTATGCAGATAGAGCCCCTCTAAAGTTGAATCAACCAACTTATACTGATCCACCGTATATGTTCCTCCCCCTATGGTGTACTGTTGCGCAGCACAGGTCGGCCGCCACCCGTCGATGCTTCTCGTTAACGGATCCATACGAGAGCCGTTTCTCAGTCGAGGGAACACATTCCTCCGGAAGATCATCGCACACGCAGCTGTCGCTCCACACCTCACAGCTTCCGCCACTGGCCGCTCTAGACCAGCCTATCGTTCACTCACAAATACACACACACCCTGTCTCTCTCTCTCTTTCGGATAGTCTTTTTACGCCTATATCCCTCCGGCTTCACCCGTCCTGAGCTGCGAGCAAGCAGCAACATCGTCAATTTTTGAGGTTCGATCAGCGATCAATATGTAAATCGAAGAGTATGGCATTAACAGCAGGAGTGGATAAGGTCTACTTCTTCCTACTGACACTGTTCAGCGGACCGTGATCTAGAAATAAGCGTCGAATTGAACCTAATTACCCAGTGGGGTATCTGTATTAAGTAGCTGAGTTTTGTGACGGTAAGCGCTCTCAGCTTGGCTGCCTTCATGTTACCCCTTACGGCTAGTATAGACGTCAGGGGTTTGACATCTGAGAGTCCCTGGATCCGAGTCTTGGTTGTCTGGACGCATTCATATAATTTGCATACCGAGAAGAGTGAAGCCTCCGTTCTTGCCTGCAGATGATCGGGACAGAATACCCTCTGGCGTCCCCACTTACCCTGAGGTTGCCCCATAACGAATTCTTTGAACGGCTCAGCTTTAGCTTTGCGTCTTGCTCCGACCGCCGTCACAACGAAGCGAGAATGAACGCAAAACGGTCTGCGTGCGACCGCTGCCACAAGATGAAGATGCTGTGTCAGACGGAAGGACACGGTCAGAGCTGCAACCGATGCCAGTCGGCGAGGACTCAGTGCACTTACAGCAAACCGGGGAGGCCGGGAAGGCCAGCCAACAAGGCCAGGATCGTGTCGAACCCGAGCGGCGCGACGAACCAAGGGAGCGCAATAGAGCCGGAGCCCGCCGGGGCTGGTATTCCAGCGGCAAGCTTTCCACTCGCCGGCGAGAATACCTGGAGGAACCCGCTCCCGGAGCACGCCGCAACCAAGGAGGCCGCATACTTTCTGGAGGGGCAAATAACACCCTGGACACCTTATGGAAGCTTCTTGGACGCCTCAAGTCTGCCGCTCGACTATACAGGTTGGTCCCTGAACAGCACGGAAGCCGACGTGTGCCCGTCAAGTTCGACGTCCACCGACCACCCGCCGACGGAGCCAGGCATCATGGGGGAGGCGGGTTTATCCCTAGAGACGAAGCCGGACTCTCCCATTTTCATTGCGAGCAAGTTGCATTTTGATGACCAAGACTTCATTCAACGTCTTGCGCATTTTCATGTAACTATCACTTGCATGATCGACTACGAGGCGCACCTGGGCCCGGAAAAGCTTGAGCAGGAGGCAGCGCATGTGCTCGAGAGCTCCTCTAAGTTCCTCGGGATCATCCAGGTGCTTGCAAGTGTGGCGGACACGGAGCGTCACCGGCGCAGAGGGCCGCAGGAGCCCTCCCCCTTCAACGCCTCCATCTTCTTGCAACTCACCTCGATATCTATACGGCTAATCGAGATGCACACCTGGCTCTACACCTCCATCTACCGATGCCTCCAGCAGGAACCCGACACGGTGAGCCAGGAGGCGGCAGGCGAGCCACCCTCGGCGCCGCAGCTGGGGTTCACCATCGCCGGAGTGCGGCTGGCCCCGACCGCGCATTTCCGGCTGCTTCTGATCCTCCACACCGGCATCTACTACCTTAGCCGCATCCAAAAGGTGCTCGGGGAGGTCGAGGCGCTCCGGGTCGAAGCCGCGTCCGAGGTCTCGCCGGCCTTGCCTCTTCAGACGCGGATGCTTATTAGTGGAGACCAGAAGGGGCGCATGGCCAAGATCCGTTCGGTTTTAGCCAAGCTGAAAGAAGAGTTTGGGATCTACTATTCCGCCGGGGTCACAGAGGTTAGCGGGTGACTTCCGCGCTGACGCTTCATGCCTAATAGAAATAAGTACTGATACATAAAAATAGAGCTACATCATGTACTAGCATTTTACCAGCAATGCAATCAGTACCATCTCCATTTTTCTCCCTGTCTTGCCACAACGTCTTCTGCAGTACCATCGAGTAAGCTGACTGCAGTAAGTGTTACAGGAGCTTTGGGGCTGTGTGTGCCTGAAATCTGCGCTGGGCCACGGATCTGCGCCCGAGAAGCCGGAGCTCGCAGCGGATGAAACGAGAAGGGCGCCTGAGGAGTGCCTTTGATACCCCAGCTTACTGCGCCTATGGCACAGACATGACCGAGGCACGCTCTTTGGCCCTTTCAATGGCTTCTATGACTGGTTTGCACTATCCGAGACCACTGGTTCGGTTGTCACTGAGAGACAGGGTGAGCAGGGGTGGCCACAGCCACTACTCATTAACAATCGCTGACTTTTTACTGCTCTTGTGACGGAGCAGTGGCAATACTGCACGGTTTCTTGTGAGTTTACTATTTGGTTGGTCACCGTCTTGTATCTTGCGTCCAATTATCTAATCAGGGTATCGTTTATGTAGCATGTCGGTGGTTTTAAGAAACCCGCCGGATGGCGAGTGCCGACGCCGGCGCCTGTTGTCGAAATCCTTACCTAGGTAGTTGGTCGAGGCGCACACATCAGATGCTGGCAAAAGGATGTTTTCAAGATGAGCGAGCTGGCTTCAGAACAAGATCCAGGCCGACGGGATCCTCTCGCCAACTCTTCCCCTCAACCAAGTCGACACTACCAATCATGGAAACCCAGACGCTTACCAACCTGACGCCTACGCTGCAAACACTGGCCGCCGCCGTTCTCGTCGTCGCGGCATACGCCTTCCTCCAGAAGATTCAGCACCACTTGCAGATCCGAAGGCTGCCAGCCTTTCACAATGCCATCAGCAGCGAGGCGCACAGGAAGCAGTACATCAAATCGGCGAAGAGCTTGTACCAGGAGGGCTACAAAAAGGTAAAATATATCTTGCAGGCAGCAGCGTTGTCGAGCCCTCTGGCTGATGAGCTCCAAGTTCAAGCACTCGGTCTGGAGGGTAACGTCCGCCGATGGCTTTCACCAAGTCGTCGTTCCGCCTTCCGTTTTGCCAGAGCTGAGAAAGCTCCCGGACTCGGTGCTCAGTATTGAGAAAGCCGTTGCCGAGTTCTTCGCCGTTAAGTGAGTTATGGGATGCTGCATGCTGCATGTGAGAAGGGTCTCATCCTGGGTACCCTCTTTCAGGTATACGAGGTTACTCGCCGATGATCGCGATATCGCCATGCTCATCCACTCGATCAAGACCGATCTTACTCCGGCTCTCGGTACGGTTCCGCTCCTCTCTGTCCGCTTTTCTTTTCCCCGCGACTAACTCGCTGCCTTAGCACGCTTGAACGGCATTGTCTATGGCGCGGTCGAGCAAGCTCTGGAAGAAGAAATGCCAGCAGGCTGTGAAGACTGGACCCCGGTGAAGATCAACGCTAAGCTGCTCAATATGGTAGCCAAGATCACAGGTCTCATTTTCGTGGGTCCAGAGCTCTGCCACAACGAAGACTATCTCGACTCTGCGGTTAACTACCCCGGAGATGTGGTTGCAGCGGCGCAAGCGGTCAAGCTAATTCGACCTTTCTTGCGCCCTTGGCTCGCTCCTCGCCTGCCAGAGGTGCGCAAATTGGACGAGACGGAGAGGAAGGCCATGCAGATGCTGGAGCCTGTAGTTAGAGCGCGACGCGACGCTCAAGAGAACGATCCGGACTGGCAGCAGCCTAACGATAGTACGTAAGGCCCGGGGCATAACCTGTGTGGTGCTTAGCCCTGTTCTCGCTCCCCCTTGTTGATCGGCCTTCGAAGCGCTCCGCTAACTTTGGGCCCCGTCCCCGCGTCTTCAGTGCTAAGCTGGCTCATGACTCGGATGGAGAAGGAAGGGTGTCGAGACAATTTAATCCTGGCCAAGCAGCAACTGATACTCATCTTTTTGGCAGTGCACACCACGTCCACAACGGTGACTAACGTGTAAGTCGCAAGAACGTGCATTATCTACGTGGGTTGGAAAGAAGCTGACTAGGCGCTGAAGTCTTTACACCCTCGCAGCTCTTCCGGAATATGTGGAACCTCTACGGGAAGAAGTTCGCCAAGCCATGGCCCAGAATGGAGGTACCATTACCTACCGGGCTCTGGAACAAATGGTCAAATTGGACAGCTGCATGAAAGAAACCAGCCGCTTCTACAGCGGTATCGTCAATTTCCAGCGGAAAGTCGCCCGCGGCTTCACCCTCTCTAACGGCCAGTACATTCCTCCCGGCGTCATCCTAGAAGCCCCATCCCATGCCATCTATATGGACGACGCCAACTTTCCTCAGGGCTCCGCGCCGGCCAACGTCTTTGATGGTTTCCGATACTACAAACTGCGCCAATCCGGACTCGTTTCCGACCACGCGCGTAACCTGTTTGTCACAACCAACGAGCAGAACCTCGGATTCGGATACGGCAAGCATTCCTGCCCAGGGCGGTTCTTTGCGGCCAATGAGATTAAGATGCTTCTCGCCAAGCTGCTGCTCGAATACGACTTCAAGAACGACGATGGGAGCACCGTGAGGTATCCACAGATTGAGGTGGGAGGCTTCACCAGCCCGGATCCCTCCAAAAACCTCTTGTTCAGAAGAGTGAAGGTATGAAGTCGTTCAGCATGCGAGGTCAAGACTGGAGCCAGCGCGCGACGTCAACATAGCACGGACTATGTTGCTAAACGAGTATACCTATCAGATGTTTTCTGGATAGCACTATGTTGTGTAGTCCTTTTTGAGGAGAAGAAGATATTGGCCAAAAACGCCACAAAGCATTGAAGTATCATGAGCAGATCAGCCGCGCGGGTATGCAGGATGACCAAATTCAACATGTACATCTACGTCCCGTCCCCGCCTCTCTCGCCGGCTACGGCTGTTGCCCGAGAAAAACAAATTTGAAGAAGACGAGCTTTGTCTCTCAGCTTGACGCACTTGCTGTCTCTGTTCCGGCTATTCTGCCCTAACTATTCTGTCCTGGCCACTCTTGCCTCCAGTGATGCCTCCATTACGACTTCGAAACATTCGTAGTCAAGAACAAGCAAGATAGTACAGCGACAACCGCCTAGTGTCGCGCAGAGAACTATGGAGCGCGTGCGTATATTCGATGACTAGGCCGTGCCACTCCCGTATCTCCACTCGCGCGGTACTCGATGATGCCGGTCTACCCTCGCCCCTACGCAATGTTGTATGCAGATCCGGTGTATTATTCGGACGTCGCCTGCCCAATGAGATTTCGGGCTGCCTTCCCACCGCCAGAGGAGAGGCTAGTACCTATGGAGGAATTCCAGGATATGTGCCAAGGTCAGATCCGTTCTAGAATGGTAACATCTGGTGACTGGACCGGATGATCTTGCCGTAGGAGCGTACGAACCGGCCCCAACCCTCACCGCTGGAGATAGCACTTGCGCCAAGAGATTGATTCCATTAATACGCCGGCAATCTCACATTCTCTGAAAAGTACCCGACAGATGCGAGATTCAAGCATGCAAGAGATATTGTGATCCGATCCCGGCGGACATTGTCATTACGATTTTCCGAGGCTCCAGCGGCCCCCGGGGACTGGATGTTCGCCCGGCTGTATCCCGTGTCGAACACACGGCGCAATTACTTTGGACCTCGCCGCAGGCAGCCATGTATCTTCGGCAGGTAGTTCAGGTATAGTAGTGGAGAGCGTGCAGACAGGGTTATCTGGTTTCAACCCTTCTCGGCATGTGAGAAAGACTGGGTCAGATTGGCAACAGCAGAGTTGGGCTTTCTAGGTAAAGAGGCACGATAGACATGCTTTCAAGTGCCTTGCCCACTTCAGTTCCTGGACCTAGCAAGGCAGGATTCTATATGGTTTCCCTTTCCATCCAAAATCCACGAGGTTCTCTGTTGCAGCCTCGCTTCGATCCTGCACATTGAATCACCGCTGCCCATTTCTGCTCCCCAGTCACCATCATACTGTGTACCACTATCGAATCGGTAAACAAAATGACATTAGCTCTGGGGCTACTTTGGTAGGTCTTGCTCCTCTACCAGCTCTTTCAAAGATATTCAGCGAGTGGGTTCTATTAACAAACTTGCCTTGTTTTCTAGCGCTTGGGACTTGTACGAGAAGGTCCTCGTGTCCCATCTTGCTAAAAAGTACAAAACGGTTCCCTTACCGGACGTGCCCACTTACAGCTCTAACGACGTAAGCATCGTTGTTCCGACCATAGACACCGACTCGAACTTCATCGAATGTATGCGTCTCTGGCTTAAGAGCAAGCCTCGCGAGATCATCGTTGTCACTGTGCCGAGATGCGAGGCCCATGTCCTCCAGTTGCTTGCACCAGTGCTGAACGACAAGATCACCATTTTGACTGTGCCCCTGGCCAACAAGCGACAGCAACTTATGGCTGGGGTCAAGGCCGCTACTGGCAAGATTATTGCTCTGGTTGATGATGATGCCTACTGGCGGGGCCCCGCCGTGATTCCCTACCTCCTGGCTCCGTTCGAAAATCCCGAGGTTGGCTTGGTCGCAGGATTGCAGAGGTGAGTCGGTGCCTAGTGGACCGCTAGTCAGACTTGGAGCTGACTGAGAAAAAGCCCCGAAATCCCACACGAGCGTCGAAACGCCAAGGCCATTACGGTTTGGGAAGCGGCTGCATCGCTCGACATGCTCAAGATGAACCATGACCAGCCGGTACGATTTACGGCAGATGGCGGCTGCTGGGTCCTTGTCGGACGGACTATGTTTGCTCGGGCGAGCATCCTCCAAGACCAGTGCTTCTCAAACTCATTCGCGCATGAAGTTGTGAACCACAAAGTTGTGAACGCCGCAGACGATGTCTACGTAACCAGTTGGGCACTGGATCATGGCTGGAAGATTTGCGTCCAGAACGCGCCCGAGGCCGAAATCACGACCGACATTAAGCGTGATTGGAAATTCGCATTGCAGAATCTTCGCTGGGAGAGAGGTAATTTCCGCACTTTCACCACGCGCCTCTTTGTAAGTCCCGGCTATCGGCTTTTGAACAAGTAAGCAACGCTCTTCAGCAAGACCAGATAATGCCATGCTGATCTTACCTTGGTAGGAGACACCCCTACTTGACTCGAAAGCTTCTCGAGAAGCTTACTCGGCCACTCTGGGCCTTTGCGTATATCTCTGCTTGGTTCAGGACGCTTCAGACTGCGCCGTGGCTTGCGTAAGTAGCAAACCAAATTGTCTTTATGTACTATCTTTCTATCAACGCATGGCATCGTTTCTGATCGCTGCTAAAACAGGATCGCCTACGTGATATGGATGGCCTTCGGATGGGGTGGATGGGTCTCAAATTATCGAGCATTTATCAGACAATATCCCTATATGGCGGGCAAAGTCTGGGCGCTTATTTTTATGGAGAACATGGGGCCTATTGTAGACGTGTATGCACTGTTCACTATGAACGACGATAGTTGGTTAACTAGGACGGCTGATACCCAGTATGTCTCAGACGAAAGAGATAAGGGGACAGCTACCTTTGCACTCTAAATGATATAACTTTTATAGATCTCCAGCCAGCAGCCATGGTTGCAAGTTTAAGATCTGGTTCCGCATGCGGCCCATCACTACTTAGTCAACAGTACAGTGCTCTGATATGTGAAAATATCTACACTCTCAGGATCTTATCCTCACACCCGCTTTGCCCCAGCCTGGTCGTCACCATCACCCTCCACAGGCGCGGCATGCCGCACATCCATCTCGACGTGCTCGAGCACCTTGTCCACGTTGTGCTGCACCTTGTCCTGCACCTCGCGGCCCTCGAACATGAAGCTCAGCTCCTCGAGGGTGCGGCCCTGGGTCTCGGGGAAGAGCTCGTAGACGGTGGCGATCTCGACGAGGATCCAGACGCAGTAGACGATGTAGTACTTCCAGCCGATGGAGTCGAGGGCGACGGGGTTGACGTAGGTGTTGAAGAAGACGGCGAAGCGCACCGTCAGCTGCTCGACGGCGATGCCCTTGGCGCGCTGGGCAAAGGGGAAGATCTCGACCATGTAGGTGTAGGTCAGGGCGTTCCAGCCGATGTTGTAGAACCTGGACATGGGGTTCAGTCAGTCTTGTGGGGTGAGATACAGCAAGAAGACGCAAGAAAACCTACGGCGAGTAGACAAAGATGAACACCAGCACGGGGATCGCCGCCCGCTGTGACCTCTCGATGTCGAACCGCGCCGACGCGACCGTCCAGACGGTGTACACGACGGCCGTGCCGCACGTGCAGATGAGGAACATGGTGCGGCGCCGGAACCGCGGCGCGACGAGAGCGATGGGCACGGCGTTGATGAAGCCCCAGCAGGTGTTGCCGAGGATGACCCTCTGCACGGTGCGGTCGTCGCGGATGCCGACGAGGTTGAGGATCTTCTTCATGTAGAACGAGATGAGCCCGTTGCCGCTCCACTGCGTGAAGAAGCCCACGACGGCGGCGAGCAGGAAGCGCCGGCGCATGGGCGCGTCGCGCAGCACGTCGGCCCAGGCGAACCGGCTGGCGGCCTCCTTCTCCTGCGCGATGGCCGACTGGATCTGTGCGTACTCGAGGCGCACGAACTCGTCGCCGTCGGCGCCCTCGGAGTGGTAGCGCTGCAGCACGGCGAAGGCCTCGTCGGCGCGGTCCTGCGAGATGAGCCAGCGCGGGGACTCGGGGCACCAGCGCATGAAGCACAGCTGGCACATGGAGGGGACGAGCTGCAGCAGGGACGGCAGGCGCCAGGCCCAGGTGCTGCGCATCTGGAAGGTGCCGTAGGTGACGCCGGCGGCGATGATGGCGCCGACGAACCAACTCGCGTTGAACAGTCTGAAGAACCAAAAGATGTGGATGTGAGGATCGAGATCCGAAAAAGGGGGAGCGGGTGAGGTGTACGTGTATGAGGAAGGGGTGGGCTTACGAGGTCATGATGGGACGCTCCTTGGCGTAGCTCAGCTCGCCGATGAGCGCAGAAGCATTGACGATGGCAAAGGGAATACCGAAGCCGAGAACCCAGCGAGAGGCAAGAAACATGTCGGTGTTGCGAGCACCGGCCTGCAGACCTGCGCCCATACACATGATGAGCGAGCCGGCGACGATGGTGTGCCGGCGGCCAAGGTACTGGGAAACGGTCGGGATGAAGGGGATAGCCATGAGGGCGCCGAGTGAATACATGGCGTTGAGCAGGCCGAGGCGTGAGGAGTTGGGGTTTCCAAAGTCTGCATTAAACCACGTTAGGTCCTGGTACAATGAGGACAAGGTTGGCGCGGCTTACAGTCAACCCAGGACTTGACAGCCTGTAGACTGTTCATCATAGACGAGTCGAAGCCCGAGGTCCATTCGACACCGAGACAGGTCGGCACCATGATGAGGTAGAGGTAGCGCAGGTTGCGTTTCTGGTACCATCGCAGCGTGTCGGCTTCGGCGATCCTCGTCAGCCGAGGGTCGACATGTTCTTCTTTGTGGCCGATGATCGCCATGGTTTGGGGGCAGTATCGATATAATCAAACGATTTGAATTGGTAGGAGGAGGTGGTGGTTTGAATTGTGGCAAAGGCTATAGCTTGTCTTTAATAGTCACATAGCGAAGCCTGCTATGGCTCATGCATGCCCACATCCAGACGGGGTCATCAGCTTGGAGACTGACCATGTAGGAAGGGACTGGGATCTCCTCAAGGCTGGACCAATGGGGCCACTTGAGGATCGCAGCGAGCTGCACGCTGACCTGGTTTGGGCGGGCCGATCACTGTTGTTTGGTGGATTAATCCATGCAATGGCACGGTGTGAGGTCTTGGCGATTGCCCTGGCCATCCTCGACGGCGTGGGGTTCTGCGGGGAAACCAGGGGTGCCCCGAGATCAAACCTCGAGCCATGGTCCTCAGAGTTGTGAGTTGTAGTTCCTGCAGAGCGTGTCTTGCTTTGTATGTATGCTTGGGATGAGGGCATGTTTTGACATGGCATTCCATCGTCCTCAACCGTCCTCTTCTCGATGCCCCTGAGTCTTGAACCCCCAGCCCTCATCTCGCAGCGCGCAAGACCAGGAACAAGTCATTAGCTCCTGTTCGCTCAGCGATGGTGCAGTCAGCGACGCGATGTTGGACCGTCCATCCGGCAGACGGGGATGTCAAGCTTCTGGGCAGACTCGCGTCATTACCCAACATGGCAGTTGGTAAGAGCCGTTGTGCTCTTGGCAGGACCGGGGATAGCCTCCGCGTGTCTCCCCGCTCATTCGGCCCCCTCCAAATCTGCTCAAGACGGGGAAGAGGAGACCAGTCTGTATGAGCAGTACCTGTAAAATCTGTGGGATCATCAGCTGGGTATGCACACTGCTGCTTTCTGTGCATTGATATGCTGTGCCTTGCTGACATCCTGCATGTTAGCCAGACGGAGAGCGTTGGCCCGAGGGTTCGGTTAAACTCCTGTCAGCCCAACAGGGCTGCCTGCAGGGCACAACCAAGACATGTAGTAGTGGTCGACACAGCTAGGAGTGATCAGGATCTAGCCTGGTCAGGGATGCTCTTAGTATTCAAGTATGATTGCATAGCTCCATGTTACCCCGGTTGGCATAAGAGACAGACAACCCCTCGTAAGTCGCAACTCGTCAGAGATTTGGAACTTGATATTCATTCTGGTCTTGATTTTCAGAGACTGCATACGTAGAATTACAGAGCCATTTCTCTCCCTCGCCCATTTTCATTTCAAGTCATTTGATATTCAAGCACACACATAAACCACCTCACGTCAGGAAGGTAGGCGGCAGGTCAGGACCTATTATCTTGTCAGTCACCGATCCGGGAAGTGCATCTTCTCTCTCTCTCTCGAAAAAGGTCTACAACTTACCCCACACGTGCAGGTTGTCGGGCGACGCGGGCGTGCGGTGCGTGGGCTCGGTCATGTCGAGCAGGTCGCCGTCGACATAGTGCTCCAAGACGTGGCCCGAGGGGTCGAACCAGTAGTCGAAGATCTGGCTGCCCATGATGTGGCGGCCGACACCCCACAGGGGCTTGTAGCCCTTGTGCCGCAGCCAGTCGTGGCCGAGGCTGTGGGCGTCAAAGTCGTGCGTCTCAAAGGACGAGTGGTGGACGTGCATCTTGGGGCCTGTTGCGAGCACGCCAGCCAGGTCAATAACTTGTACCAGGACCCTTCACACGGCATGCGATCACAGAAACTTACCCTCAAAGAAGAAGAAGCAGTGATGGTCGACCTTTTCACTGCCACGGTTCAGACGGAAGAACACGGTGATGTCCTTGTTGTCCGGGCCATAGTTGAGCTGCATAACCCACGGTTGTCAGCCAAAATCAACATCACTCTCAAAATCGCCAAAGGGGGTCGGTCCGGGTGAAGACATACCTCGCTGGGGAAGAAGTTGAAGTAGGTCGTGTAGAACTCGTAGCACTTGGCAAAGTTGGTGACGCACATGCCAAAGTGGCCGAGCTTGTGCACGGGGGCGGGCCTCTTCTCGAAGCGCTGCTTCTGGTTGACACCGCGGTTCTTCTCCTCGGGCTATGGTAAAGCAAGATTCAGTCAGCTCCTCGGCCTTTCACCCACCCACACACACATGTGTCGCCAGAAATACTACTCACATAGTTGAACTTGAGCACGGGGAAGTGCGGGTCCCTGACCTCGACCTTCTGCTGGCCGTGGACGAGGTGGAAGGGGAAGCCGTCGACGGGGTCGTAAAAGGTCACGCACTTGCCGCCGCCGGGGGCGTCGAGGTCGTAGACGCCCGTGGGCCGGGCCTCCTTGGGCAGGACCTTGGCGGCGTGGACCAGGTCCTCCTCGGACTCGACGCCGAAGGCGGCGCCGCCAAAGGCCTTCTCGTCGGCCTCCTCGAGGCACAGGACGAAGGGCTCGGAGCCGTAGCCGCGGTAGAAGGTGCGGTTGCCCTCGCGCCTCACCTCATAGAAGCCGAAGTCGTCGGCGAACTGGCGGGCGGGCTCGATCTCCTTGTGCTTGTAGAAGACGTGGGCGACATGGGTGAGCTGGATCTTCTTGAGCGCGTTGGACGGGGACGTGCTTGCGGCCATGGTGGGCGGTGGTGTTCCGAGAATACGGAATGCCTACGATTTGCTAAAGGTATGGTTGCAGAATAGAATGGGACTCTCTGATCTCGTTCCCTTGATGTCTGAGCTGCTCAGCCGAACGAACTCGCCGTCCGTTTTCCTTTGTTCTTCGTGGCGGGTGTCGGCGGGTCGGAGTGTGGAGTGTCTCGAGTTGGAGATGTCTGGTGTAGGGTAGATGTCTCCGAATCGCCACACAATCACCTGCGACTGATGGTTTGCTCTGGCTCGATGGGCGCTCGTCTTGATCCCGGCTTTCCTGTGTGCTTTTTCTCGATATACATACAAGAGTCCAAAACGAAGAAGCGAGAGGAAGTGAGAGGGGCTCCCCAACTTTTAATCAATCCGGGATCCATCCGTGTCCTCTCGAGAGAGGCGACCCGCGGGGCGGATGGTCGATGTGGTACCTCCGACGATATTTGCTGGGCGTTAGTGGGGTTTGTGGTGTCGTCCATCCCAGAGCTAAGGCCCTTCTGGGACGGCAGTTGACGCCTCGGGGCGCACTTGTGTGCACGAGAGATTCTCCCGGACCCGATGGGCTCCCCCGTGCGGCCAATGGGGTGTCTTGAGGCTGTCTCGACGCTGGGGCGCGGTGGTTAATTGCATCAGACGCAGGCTCTTGGCCGCGGCGCGTTCTCCCCGCACAGGCTATATTTCTGGGGTCCGATCTGGAGAAAAGTCGGATGTTTCTGGCATGTTGGCCAGCTTCAATCTCGGGGTTGAAAGAGACAAATGCTTCCATCGACTTCATCCTTTGACTGCTCATCCGGAGGAGGTTCATTGTGACATGTAACGCCGCCCGGTCTACGATCGAGCTCGGCTTGATCCCGCCTGCGTTCCTTTCTCCTGGGTGTGACCTGTGTAAGTGATGTAGTCCGCCCGCATGATAGCAAGTCATTTTCAAGTACTCGTACCTGGACGCAGACTCCCTGCAGCTCCTCATCGTTGGAGAAGATCGATAGATACATGGATTGGCTGTAGCTGGCTTCTGTATTTGGCGCTGCTCAACTGCAGAATGCGGGGTAGTCCGGGCGTTACAGCTGTTGTGTCTCGTTACTACAGGCGGCTGACCAAGCTTATCAGCTGTGTGCTCAGGCAACATCTCGCCGATAAGCACCGCTGACTCACCTTGACATAACCACTCTAAGCTGGCTGCCCAGGCTTGAAGCTATTCCCAACCAACCACACAAAGCACCACCATCCCCTTTCCGCCCTCACATACCCGACCTCTCTCCCCGTTCCATCCACGCAGACCGGCGGCGTCGCATCCTCCCACACACCCCTCCACCGCTCCGCCCATCCCGAAAGCCCTCGCGCGACAGTCCTTCCCCCCCTCCCCCCACAATGGCCCGCAAACTCACCAAGCCCTCCGCCACATCCTCCCCCACAGCAACCACCAGCACCACATCCCACCCGACGGCGGCAGCAGCAGCAGCGACGACGACACCGGGCCTGCCCCGAATCCTCACCGACGCCAAGCCCCTCCCGCGCCTCGTCGTCTTCGACCTCGACTACACCCTCTGGCCCTTCTGGGTCGACACGCACGTCTCCCCGCCCCTGCGCGCGCAGCAGGCCGCGCCGCAGACGTCCGCGGCCCTCGACCGCACGGGCGAGTCCTTCGCCTTCTACGACGACATCCCACTGACGCTGCACGCGCTGTCCCGCGCCGGCGTGAGGCTCGGCGTCGCGAGCCGCACCCACGCGCCCGACCTCGCGCGCGACATGCTCAAGCTGCTGTACGTCCCGCCCGCCAGCGCCGTCCTGCCGCCCGCGCACGAAGCAGTGCTGCTCCCGGACAGGTCCGCGGGAGCGGGAGGAGGAAACAGTAGCAGTAGCAGTGGCAGTGGCAGTGGCAGTGGCAGTAGTAGTAGTAAAAAGGACGGCAAGCCGCGCCGCGCGCTCGACTTCTTCGACGGCGGGATGGAGATCTACCCCGGCAGCAAGATCCGGCACATGGAGAGCCTGCAGAAGCGCAATGGCGGCGCGGGCGTCGCGTTCGCCGACATCCTCTTCTTCGACGACGAGAGCCGCAACCGCGACGTCGAGACGCTCGGGGTGACCATGTGGCTGGTGCGCGACGGCGTGTCGTGGGACGAAGTCGAGAAGGGCATCCGCGAGTGGCGGCGGCGGAGGGGCGTTGTCTGAGACCTTGGGAATACGAGGACGAGAATTTCAACAATTTTGTAGATGTACTGCATTGGCACGGCGTTTGGAAGGTTCATAAAACGGAAAGATGGACATAGAACGGGATTCGGTAGAGTAGGCACCACAACACAGGATCATAGTCTCAACAGCATAGAGAGAAGACATAATATCTCATCCATTTAGACCACGACAAAGAGTGCAATCCCCTGCACTGCTCACAATGACAGCATGAAAGCTGCAACTCCCTGTGACAAACCCTTGCAATCAAAGATGCATGGTACATGTATATCCAGATGCCTCCTCGCACACAGCTTCGCTCAAATTCGCATATCTCTCCCAACCAGCCGAAAACCTTTCTAGCCACAAAATGCAAAGTCTTTGATCGTCTAACATCGTCGTGTGCATGTCATGCATATATCCCCCTCCTCCCAACGCTTCTACGCCACGGGAGCCTGGGCCGGTGCCACAGTCTCCGCCTCCTTCTGCTCCTTCTTCTCGTTGTCGTCCTGGATCGACAAGTTCTGCACGCCCTGGACCTCAGTGATGGTAGGCTCGCCGTTGACCGCAGCCGTCTGTTCGGCCGCCGGCTTGGCCTCGGTCTTCGCGTCAGTGACACTCGTCTCGACCCCCGTCGTGACAGCAGGCTTGGGCTCGTCTTCCTGCTCCTTCTTCTGCTCGGCCGCCTCAACGACTTCCTCATCCTCCGGCACCTTCGCAAACGGGCCCCTGTACGTCTTCCTGATCGTGCCGACCCTCTCCATGCGCTCCTTCTGCTCCACGCTGCCCACAGCCACGCACTCGAGCGTGTCGTCGTCGAGCGGCCGCCAGTACACGGGGCCCTTGGGGAAAGCGGTGTGCCCATTCTCCCAGCTCACGGCCTCGACGATGTTGGGGTCGAGGTTGGGCATCTCGCCCCAGCTGAAGTCGAGCTCGCCGCCGTACTGCTTGGGGATGTTGCGGACGTCGATGAAGGTCCGCAGCGTGGGCAGGACCTCGTGGTGGGCGAGGATGAAGATCTTGGACACGGTGATGGGGTCGAACCAGCGCTTGATCCAGCCCCAGACGGTGGAGAAGAAGAAGGGCGCGCCGATGATGAAGATCCGGTCCAGGGTCTCGGGGTAGTGCGCCGTGGCCAGCTGGCTCGCGGCCTGCATGTGGCCCTTGAGGTTCCAGAACTGCTTGAGGCTGACCTGCGACACGTCGACGATGTTTGTGCTCAGCGTGATGGGCACGTTGCTGTGGTCGCGGTCCGTCAGCTCGGTGCACAGCGGCTGGGCGAAGCGCGTCAGGTTCTCGTAGAGGGCGAAGAGGCGCAGCAGCTTGGGCGGCGTCTTGCCGTCGGTGTGGGCGCGGCTGTAGGTCGCCTCGGCCGTCTTCTCGTAGTTAGCGATGGTCTTGGAGTCGAGGTGGCGGATCTCGAAGAGGTAGAGCGGGATGCCTCTGGAGGTGAGAGTCAGCATGTTTGCCGGCCGCCATGGGAGCGGGTATTTTGGAGACGAGAGGATGGGGTTTGGTACAGGAGCAGGCTTACCTCCTATCTCGGCGGCCAGTCCATTGAGGGTACTGCCCAAGCAAGCTGCATTAGCCAATATCGCATGCGCCGAGACGACAACGTCTAGATCGTTGTGCGGGGGGGACACCACGCACCAGTCTGCGGCTCTGCTCGTAGGCGTCGAGGTCGATCGAGTCGTACAGCACGTCGAGCTGGTTGGCTTCCCGCCAGTCCTCGGTCTCCTTGAACTGTTTGTACGCATCTAGTACAACCCACCGGCGAGCTCGGAGGAAACGCCTATCCATGTCGCCCAGAAAGAATTAGCACACATCGTTCTCTTCCTTCTCCCGCGCCTCGTTTGCCACCACCACAGCCGAAGCTTGGTAGCGCATGTTCTTTCTCCATCCCACTTTCCAAGGAAACCTACAGCAGTGTGGGATCGTCATGCGACGGCGGAGGCCCGGGCTTGTAGACGCCCTGCTCGGCGATGTAGGCCTTGAACTCGGCAAAGGCCTTCTCCTCGTCCTCGCTCAGGTGGCCGATGTGGCCGCGCGGGTAGCCGATCTCGGGCAGGTCGCCGCCGGAGGTGCTGCCACCGGTGGCGTTGGAGGGCACCCTGCGCGCGGCGTGGCCGTGGTTGTGGCCGTGCTTGCCGTGGCCGTGATGGCTGCGGGGGCGGTGCTGAGGGTCGTCGGCCGTCATGGCGCTGCGTCCGGCTGCTTCGGGATCGTGGGAAAGGAGGGGGTTTGCTGCTCAAAACGAGTGTGAAGGTCAGGGAAGGAGGGAAAGAAGGAGGTGACAAGCAGTCTGCACGATGGGGAAAAAAAGTGAGGGCGCGCTCAGCTCTCGATCTCGTCTCCCTTGCCCAGCTCGGTCAGCGCCAACTTCGGATCGAAAAAAAGCCAGGCGCGACCGACGGTGCCCCCGCAGTGGCCGCTGAATTGGATGGGAGAACGGGTTTGGCAAGCATGGATGCCCGCCGCTTCTAGCACGGACGGGGCGTTTGGATTAGCATTTAGGGCGGTTTGATCCCTGTCGTGCATCGCCTAATGACCCTGTAGAGGGCACCAACGCGGCCCGGGCGGACTCTGAAGGATTCTGACAGTCCCCTGGAGGGTGTGTTTAATCTCGCTCTTCATCTCGCGCAATGGCTGAGACCGAGACGGGACAGCTGGTGCGTGCGCTTTTTCCAGCCTACCTACCTACCTAGGCTAGGTAGCTTGGCTGGCACTCGAGATGACATCAACAGTCCGACAAGCCTGTGCGATGCCGGAGCCGAGTCCGTCTCTGATCTCGGATGCTTCGCGTCTGGTGCTACACACCGTAAATAAGGTGAAAGCTTGGCTTCCTAGGAGTCTGGATAGAAACAAGTAACTGATGAACCTGATCTACTTATATACATAGTGTCGAACAAGCTTCCCAGGCTACTTATGATCTTCTATCTGCCAGCATTCATCATGATACATTGCGCTCCACTACTCCACAAGCCAATTGATCATATCACAATCTGGCTTGTACTCGTTTATTATCGAGAGATCTGGATCTACAAGTAGATGCGCAATCACAATGCGGAGCTGGATTAGTGACCTCCTGATCTCGTGCGCGCAATCAAATGCAGGTCATGGACCCCAGCCCATGCAGCATCAGCTCACCACCAATGAGAATGGGTTGGCAAGATGATGAAAGCAGTCGCCAAGTCAGGCTTCATCCCCGACAAGACCATCATCACCAAGAGGGCAAAACGAAAGCAAAAGGACAAGCGTCTCACGACACGACACCAACCATGAGTGGCCGAAATGGACCCCGAATTGCCCGCCCCGAAAAAGCGAGTGCTAACTATAACGACCTGGGCACCTAATATTTGAACACACGCCACCTGCACTAACCCGCAAACCACCTGGGAGAGAGGCCCACCTGGCCGATGGACAGGAGGCGTGACAGGTCCCTGCTTTTCCCCACTTCAACAAGTTCAGGATTGAGGCGACCAACAGCCCAAAACCACTCTTACTCTTCCTGATCACCAGTACTCCATACATCAACTCTTCTCGAGGCCATCCCACCAGTCATTCCGGATCAACCCTACGCTCTAGATATCGTCCGGGCATCACCTGCGCGGAGCTGACAGATGACGCCAGACGACTTCTCGTACTATTCCTTCCGTCCTTACTACCCCAAAGTTCTCGAGCCTCATTTGCGCCGCCCCCGGACGTCACACCTGCGTCATCCCGGGCCCGTCTTCCTCCCGTACCCTCGGCTCCTGGCCAGGAACATGCAAGTGCCCATCGAGACGATCCCCATTGAGACACTGCCTCTGGAGATCCTGGACCAGATCATACAGGAGACCATCCCCGAGTCCTTCTCCCAGCTCAGATGCACCTGCAAGGCCTTCTACCGTGCCGGCGAGCGCTACTTCCGCAGGCACCGCGAGCTGAGGGCCCGCTTTCACAACGTTGATTATCACACCTTGCGGCACGACCAGGTCAAGAATGCCGTCGAGCTCTTGCATGCCATTGCCGAAGACCCCATCGCCGGTCGGTACATCGTAAGGGCAAACCTCAGCGCAGACAATGCCTGCTCCGTCCGCCACCAGCAGGTCGGCGACGGGGTCGGTCCACCGCTGGGCCTTCTCAAGGCGTACAAGGCCAAGTATGGCGGCCCTCTGCGCAGACTCGTTGAAGAGTCCTCGTATATCGCCGAGGCCGGCATCGACCCGGATAAGTGGCTCGCCAAGATGCTGGACCCCAAGGGGTTGGAAGCAACCGTCTTCCTCCTGACCCTTCTTCCCAATGTTGTCTATCTAAACCTGCCCACCGGGTGGACGAGGCTCCCTACCGATGTTGACGAAGCGCCAACCCGTGGGAATGGCGCCTTGTGGGACATTGTCGACGTTCTCGTAAGGCAGAGTGATAGCAATGATCCGGCCCTGGCGAACAGGGACATTTGGAATCTCTTGGACCTCATTGTCAAGCGAGCCAGCGATGAACAGCTTTCCGGTATGTCACTGGGGAGGCTCCGAGATTTCGCATTTGTCCCGCTGGTTATCAACCTGCAGGAGAGCCATGGGTTGACCGAGTCGTCGCTCACGTCATGTGCACCTTTCCTGGCCCTTCCGTCGCTGGAGCACTTCCTCCTTATCGGTTGCCATGCGTGCAACGCGACGCACAGAGACGTCTTTTATCCGCGGTATTCAGCCTTCAGTCCAAACTTGCGCGAACTAGACCTGCGACACTCAGCCGTCAAAGCGAGCGCTTTTGCCGACCTTCTGTCGAGGCTACCGCATCTCGAAGACGTTCGCTACCACCACGAGGTGAAAAAATACAGCTGCGGTCGCAATTGCGACATTGGTGCCATCCTGGCCACCATACAGAAACACGCGGGCCGTCACCTCCGCAAGCTCGTCGTCACCACAACGTCCAACTACTATAACGAGATCGGTACCACCCTCGATGACATGTCTGGCTTCAAGGCCCTCCAGGTCCTGGCTATTACCTTCGACATCCTGCTTGGGCCGTCGTATATTGAGGGCTACCCGGAGTGGGACGGCGGATACCAGCACCCCGGCAAGAGGAAGCTTCGGCTCCTGAAGGACATCATCCCTCCTACCGTCACTTCTTTGCTGTTTACCGTGCGGGACATCGACAACATGCTCCCCACCCTCGTCAAGATGCTCCGGGGTTTCGACGTCGAGCGGATGAACTTCTTTGGGCTCGAGGTCTCCGTGCCTCAGAACCACACCTGGCCTACCAAGACCACGGACGCCATATACGCCATCAAGAAGCTCGGGATCCAGTTCATGGAGGAGGGCGAGCAGAACTGGGAAGGCCGCATGAATCTCCTCTCTGTGGAGAGCGCGGTGTGGCCCAAGGCAGGGTCTGGCCACGTGCTGCAGAGGGTCCTACAGCAGCACGCGGCGGAGCAAGTTGCGCAGCTAGGGCATACGGCACAGCACACTTTGCAAGACGATGTCGATGGGTGATGGGGAACGGCGGCGCGCTGTGTTGAAAAGAAATGGCTTTTGCTTATGAAAGATACGTACCATTATGTGTCAACTCTTCTTACCTCTGTCCCATATTAGCGTTAGACCAGTTCATGCAGGAGAGACTCTGCGGTGTTGTTATTATTGCAGGCATGTAAGGATACTGTGACTGAAGCTGTCTGTATTTCTGGACCTGTTTAGGGTCTTAGATATGAGAGACTAAGCATGTAAATAAATTCAAAGCGCGTATTGTTCAAGTTTGAGCAGCATGGTTGCTAAAGTCAACATTCCATAGAGTTAATACCCCTGAGAAAAAGGGCAGTAGCATCGCCGAATATGCCGTTCTACTAACATGTTGATCACCCCCGTAGCTACCCGCCCCTTTCTCTACGGTACCAGTTTGAAGACGGTCTTGGTTGCTCGAGGAAGATCTGGACAGATCCTACATCCTGAATTGTTCTCCTGTTACTACCTAGCTACTAGACATGCGCTATTGCAATGGATCTGGGCCTACAGTAAACTGAGAGTGTCCGGAAATCTGGGACCGATTCACGCCGGAGGCGGCGAAGTCTGGTCCTGCGGCGAGTTAAAGCGCGAAAGTATCCCAGGGCATGACTAAAAAGATGACAAAAGCTACATGGTCTCGGCCGAATGCGAAACTATGATGATTACTGAAGTGTTTTGATATACTTTCTTAGGGAATACACCGCCCCGGCGTAGGGCAGGGTGGCCAGATCCAGAGTGTGTGCGCGAACATTCCCAGTAGTGCGGCAAGACAGCATCCTAGTCAATCAACTGGTTAAGTCGTTTTAGACTTCTGGCCCGTGAATCCGGTTCCACGGCACTGGGAAGGAAAAGGAACCAAGATACGTGTCTCACATTGAGAATGAGTCCTTGGTGGTGGCTTTCAATACGAAGCACTCAGAGCACATACATGCAAACATAGATGAACGCACTTCATCCCTAAAGCTTTGACACACCGAAAGTTGGAGTTGAATTATCATTACATACATTGCAATCTGAATAATCCTTTCCCTTTTCATCGTTCTCTGATGAATGTCCGATCGATGTAGCAGAACGTCACCATCAACAACCATCCATGTACAGCCGCAGTTGGTTGCTGTCCCGTGATCTAGTCATCCAGATCAATCCACATTGAAACTGTTGAAGATGATGTCCTCGTCGTCCTGGCGGTCGCAGCCCTGTCCGCACTGGCAGTTGTAATTGTACCTGTTGCAGTAGCCGTACCAGTACTGATCCACCTCGTCGCAGCACAGCCTGGGGTCGTAACCGTCGCCATAGCCGCCCTCTCCGTTGTAGCCCCCGTTGTATCCGCTGAGGCCGTCGCAGTAGCGACGGACGCACTGCCAGGAGAAGTCGTCGCGGGGCTCGACGGCTACGGCTGCCGCGGTGGCTCCAAGAGCAAATGGCAGAGTAATAAAGAGCGAAACCTTCATTGTGATGTGCTTCCTGGTGTCTTTTGAGGCCGAGTAAAATAAGTACGATTGCTGGTAGTGTCTGAATAATGGAAAGACATACAGAGGACAGACCTGATCTGGCGAGTCCGTCTCGTGTCTTATATCTTCGTTGGTGGGAAAGTATAATGCTCTGCCGTCGTCGGCGACATGACCGTACTTCCGGGCTGCATCACCATTGCGCAATCATCCTTGATCGGCAATCACACCCAGATGCATCTGTACAACTTTATCATCGATGCTTAAACTTTATCGATAGCATTGCTTTTGTGACGAGACGAGCCGATGGTTCCGGCACAGGCCGACTGTCCCTGTGATGCTGACGAGAGCACAGCACATTTTGATGGTGTGAGCGGGTAAAATTTCAGTTGGTTTCATACATACAGATTCGTCTGATCATGTAATAGGAAATTAGTGCTGCACTCCCGTTAGTTTCTGCGCCGTGGTCCTGGCGTGAGCGGTCGAAGCTTGGTGGTATGTCAGACAAAGATGAATCATCAACCGGCGTCAACACTAACGTCGCGCATAAGGCTGGCCGAGACAGGGACTAACTAATTCGAGGATGAGACTCTCGACCGGCGCTGCGGACATTGGATCTGGCGGAGAGAAGGTCGTCCCAGATTAATAGCCCGTCGGGCCAGAGCCCAGGACCGGGTCTGGCGATTTCTTGCCACCCAGTTGGTAACCTTAGAAGATGAAGCGGAACACCCAGTGCTCCAATCATGCAGCTCAGCCTTGCAACGAAGGGACGCACCATCCACCCGGTATTACACCCTCTGTTGGCATGATCAGTGCTAGTATTTAAGTGATGGCAGGGAAAGAGCATCTCGTTACTGACATTCATGAAGCCGTCCAACAGTATCAGCAGGAGAATGGTCCTCGTATTTGACCAATTGCACGAGACCTGTGGAAACGGTAGCCCGTGGAGGAGCACGTCATGGGAAGACCAGGCGGGACGTCGGGTTTGCTGAAAGGGACAGACGAAGCAGTGTTGGGCTTATGAGACCAGGTCGGATTGTGATATCGACGATCGCACACATGCCAATCGCGGTAGGACTGGTCAGTGCGTTCAAGCCGCGGCGCGACAGCTCGAGCGACCGTGATTCAGTTCGTTAGGTGAACCGCTCGATCTGAATCGGCCTATGAGTGTGAGTGTAGTTGGTTGAACAATCTTTGCGTGGAAACCCTTGAGCCTAGCTGAACGTGCGGCTGACAGACCCATGTCGCCGCCACCGCCACCTCACTCTCTGATTGGCTTCATCGTGCATGAAATGACCTGGATCAGCTGTCAACTATTGGAGTCCATCACTGTCTAGACTTCCCTTACCTCAACTCCTGACGCTTCCCACTTGTATGTCCATCATGGACCCCTCTCTTGGTGCATTCCCACCGGCAGCATCACGTCTATGGCAAGCTTTGCTCCATCGCCGGAATGAGGCTCTTGGACGCGAGGAAGCTTGAGCTCGTCGACGTCCGCGATGACGCCGTACCGCCCTACGCGATCTTGTCGCACACCTGGGGCGATGAGGAATTGACGCTACAGGACCTGCAGCACATGAAGAGCCGGGTGCCGCAGCCTCTGGACAAACGCAAACGCAAGATCGCCGACAAGAATGGATTCGTCAAAGTCAAAGACGCCGCCAATCAGGCCCTGCTCCAAGGGCTGGGCTACATCTGGATCGACACATGTTGCATCGACAAGACGAGCAGCGCCGAGCTGTCCGAGGCCATCAACTCCATGTATCAGTGGTATCATCAAGCTGCCGAATGTTTCGCGATTTTGACCGACGTCACGCCCGCGAAGAAAGAGGACTGGGCAGCGCCAGAGTCGACGTTCCGACGAAGCCGATGGTTCACGCGTGGTTGGACTCTCCAAGAGCTAGTGGCGCCTCAGGTCGTGCACTTCTTTGCCCAGGATTGGAGTCATATTGGGTCTAAAGGGGACGACCCGGCGTTTACGCATGTCGTCAGCGATATCACCGGCATCGACATAGAGATCCTCAATGGTCGGATCGACCCCACGCAGCTGAGCGTTGCTGCCAGGATGCAATGGGCGGCACACAGGCAAACTACCAGACTGGAGGACGCAGCATATAGCCTCATGGGACTCTTCCGAGTCAACATGCCGCTTCTTTACGGAGAGGGCATCCGAGCCTTTGAACGGCTGCAGGAAGAGATCATTCAGAACACAGACGACGCGTCCATCTACGCCTGGAACGCCGTCGGCGAAGACGAGGATGACCCGGATGCTCTCTACGGCCTCCTTGCACAATCGCCGGCTCAGTTCCAGTTCTGCGGAGGGATACAAGCCTTACCCCCGTCCCCCATTTTCGCCAGCGCGCCGTCAGGCAAGACCAACCACGGCCTGCGCGTCCAACTGTACCTGCGTCCTGTGGCAACGATGGATCAAAACCCAATGGAAGAAGACTACTGGGCGATACTGGACTGCCTCGTCAGAACCGGCGATGTTCTCGAGTGCCCATGTATCAAGATTCGGCGTCTTTCCGAGGACCAGTATGGGAGATTAGAAACGAAAACGCAGAAACGTCTTCCCCCTTCGCAGTCCATGTTCATCCCAAACGAGGGTTACCGAACCATTTTTGTCAGGCCACAGCCCGTCTACTATCATCTTCCAGAGTTTCGAATCTCGCCAGTCTATCACGATGCCCAGTTTTTCTTGAAGGACATCTATCCAGCTGGGCAGTGGAACCCGTCGACATTGACGTTCCGAGTCAAATACGCCCGCAAGGTGAAAGCGATGGGTCTCTTCCGCTTTCAGAATCCCTTCTCCGATGAGGACACCGTTGATGTTGCTATCGGGCTGCGGCGTATCGATTCGATGAATTGGGAAGCGTGGTGCTTTCAGTGTCGGTCCAAGCTCGGAGGCAACACCTTGGCCTCGGCTTTAGCAGCCCTGAACGAACGAATAACTGGACTGGTCAATCTCAATGTGGCTATGACATCGACTACCCTCCAGACCGCTTTTGGAGATGACGCCAGGCTTGCCACTGCTGCGATCGTCGAGGCCTTACCGCTGCAAGGTCGGCTTTATGTCTCAGTTTCAGTAAATCTAAAACCTGAGATGGAAGGTGTATCGATCCCCGATGGCATCCATGTTGCCTCCCATCCAGGAACGAAGCTCTTTCTCTCGCCTTCGCAGACTCTGCGCATTCCATTTCTCAAGGAATTTCAAGTTCGTCTTCTTACATCTCCTTGGGCACTGCAAGACCCGATGCTCCTACAGGAGCCTTATAGGCCTCCGGGGTTCGAGATGGCCGTCCGAACCAAATCGAACATCGGCGTCCAGGGGATGGTGAGGAGTGCTGGGGCTGATATACGCAAGTTTATTGATGGTGTCCGAGCCTGGACCAAAGGCGGAGAGGTTGAGGCTTCGACCCCAGAAGAATTGACCGAAGAACTGGCCCTTGCACTGTTCGAAGGCAAACTTGAACGTGTTCAGGATGCCTTACAGCGCGAGGCTGACATCGAAGCAACTACGGACGATCCATTCGGACTCAAACCCTTGCATTGGGCATTGATTGGCAGATCACCCGAATGTATCGAGAAGTTGATCAAGAGTGGAGCTCGGGTCGACTCGGTGACTCGAAGAGGCTGGAACTGTTTGCACATCGCGGCCATATTCAGCGTGGCTCAGTGGAGAGCGTTGAGTGGCAACTACGCCCATGCCGGAGAGTCAATGCTGGGCGAGATGGTACAGGGACGGTCCAAAGACGAAGGAGATACCCCGATCCATCTCTCCGCTGCATACTGCATGTCATTCTCTCGGGGCAACGAGTTCTTTGACTATCTATGGAAGAGGTCAGAAGCGCGCACGTATCATTTTGTGCGAAACTCACGAGACGAGACACCACTGCATCGCGCAGCAGCGTTTGACAACCTTGCGGTTGTCGAGTACCTCGTGGGCATATGCTGCAGTATCGAGACCAGCCGAATAGACTGCGTGGACCGGTACGGCCGCTCTCCGCTGTGGCATGCTGCTGCAGCTGGGTCCATATCTTCAGTCAAGGCATTAGCTTCACGATCGGCTGAGGTCAACTTAGCTGATGACCTAGGTTTGACTCCACTCCATGCGGCCTGTCGCGGTGGCCACACAGAAGTCGTCAAAGCACTGGCACAAAGACATGCTGCATTCGGAGCACAGACAGGCCTGCTGGGCCTGACGCCACTTCACTTTGCGGCGATGTTCGATCATGTTGAGTGTCTCAAGGTTTTCCTCGAGCCGGATAACACGCGCCCATTCTCGCTTAAGACCCCGCTCCCAGCCCTTGACAAGGCGCTTCACATTGCAACTTCTTGCGGCGCGCTGCAATGTGTGCGTGAGCTCTGCAATGGGGGCGCATCACCTGCCAAGAAGCAGCCATGGTATTTCAAGCTCGAAGAGGCGTTAGGACTCCAATATGCTCGACCTGTTGACCAAGAGTTGACCGCATTGGAGATTGCCAGGATGATGCAGAATACCGAGATCATTGAATGCCTAGAGAGCGTACAGCTCGTGGCAGTATCACCCGTCTTCGATGGCGGCGTGCTTCAGCAGCAACCGCCAAGCCCAAGTCGATACTTGATGTCTCCAGCACATCAAGCCATGCCAGGACAGACAGTTCAGCAGCGCCACAACTATGCAGAGGCCAGCCCATATCAATTCGACGAGGGGTATGTGGACAGCAAACCTCCGATCCCATCGCCTTCGGTGGTGGTTCCCACGCTGCCAAGCACAATCCCACAGCAGCAACCAACCGTTCCACAAGCCACGGGACAGTCTGTCACCGTGCCTGCATACCCGACTCCGTCTTATTATCAGTACCGGGCACAGACATCGCAGGATCCACAGTACCAGAAGTACCCCTATGCGGCGTTGCAACCGATGCCTTACACTTCCATAGACAAGTCCGCCGCAACCCCATTCTCGAAGGGGTACTATGGGTCAGCGTCGGCATCGGCATCATACCCTCCTGCGCTCTATCCTGTGCCACCAGGTTACGGGTCAGCTCCGAACCCTTATGGGCCAAGCCCTAACCCGGAAGACCCGTACCCGCAACCTCCCCAACCGTATGACCCGGGGCGATTACCGGAGACCAAGGACTATTATGGAGACGCACAATATAAGTATAACCCGTTCTCGACCGAGTACGCGCAGAGCGTTCATTACCCTGGGTCGCCAGGACAGTCGTATACCGGCTTGAGCAATCAGAAACCCCATTTGGAAACTTACCAGCCGCAATCAGTGGTTGGGGGTGTTTCTCCATACCCGGATCCGGAATATTTGAATCGCTTTTCCCTGGCACCTTTAAGCTCGACGGACCCGGCGCAGGGTCAGACCAAGATGAACCTCTTCCGGATGCTCGGCCACCTGTTCGGCCCTGCGTACCTTGAGACTGCCCCGGAGACCGACCCGGCACTTCTGGTCATGGATCCGTTTGCCAAACGTGTTGTGCGAGTACTGCCAAAAGTTTTCCAGCCGTCTGGTCGGCCCCCAATCAACGCGGAGCAGCGGCCGATCTTTGAGCTGAGCACAACGTACCAGCGAGAGCCCCCGACGTTGTCTCTGCCATTGCCATTGCCAAAAGACAAGCCGAAGGACTTGGCTTCGGCAACGGCCTCGTTGCCGGCGATGGTCTCGCCTCGCTCCGTGTCGTCGATGGATGTCGATCAAGGTAGTGGTGCACCGAGTTTCCCAGTTACTCCAGTCCTTTCGCCTGGCGTCACTGATATAATATGATGATGCGGGATGAAGATATTATTCGTCTCGGAGTAACGTGTTGGTCCTCTAACATTCGTTTCCTTTCTCGCGGGTTCTTTTCTACCCTGTCTGGTTCAGGCGGTTGAGTTTGGGGAATCGTATCGTATCTCTTTTCAATCCCCATTATGGCTGATCGGTTGACTTTCAATCCGTCCAGTGGGAGCTTCTAGCGATTGTGATTGATTGGCTAATCCTCGACTTAACTTCGCCCGCGTTGAAGCCGAGCTTTGTTTCCACATTAAACGAAACAACGGTCAAAAAGTGAGCCGTATCACAATGCAAAGACAACTCCATGGGTTTCAAGTTAAGATGTCGGCACTTCTTCGGGTCACCCTTGGTTGTCACTCAAAGCCAAAAGAATTTCCTACCTTTCATTATTTCGAAGAGCGATAGTTTCGATGGAACTAAGGTCATAGTTTACAAGACTACCCTACCAGTCTGTGCATGGGACAACGCTCTCTTTTGTACCTGGAATAGCTCTTCATCTAGAAGGCTATGAGGTTTCTTTGACTAAGCCTCACGCTGTTTGTGTGACCTTCTTAGGCCTCCCATTTCAGCCTCTGCTTTCTGAACGCACTCTCTCTCCACCAAGCGTCCTTCCCTATTCACCTCTGTGTGCAGGTACTTAGGGGAGGAGAGGGGAGTGACGCAAGGCAGCAGCACCAAATCACGTGCGTGAACGAGACATGCGTGCACGAGCATTTAATCTTGCAGTGCTTCCCATCTTCGTCACGTCCAAGGCTCATCCTAGGCTCATCCTAGGCTCACCCTCAACGCGATCCCCGTTCACTCCAAAAACAACACGACCTCCAAAGATCCAAATATTTCCAGATTCATCGCCATCACCATCGCCATCGCCATTGCCATCGCCATCACCATTCAGCACGCAAACATCTACCATGGCCGCTCGAGTCAGCATGATCACCTCCAAAGCCTCCTCCTTTTCACCTTTATCCTTGTCTCTCCGACTCTCCACCACGCTTTACCTTGACCTTTCTCCGTCTCCAACTGGCTGCACGGGAGTGCTACAAGCTTTTTCTCGAGCAATCAAGAACTCGCCTCTTGCAAGCCGTTACTTTTCATGGTCTCGCTTGTCTACATCCATTGGAGTGGCAATAACAGCTGCCTCCCGGCTCCCACAGGTAGCTGCGATACACCCTCCCATTCTTACAGCTCAACGACCATCCATCAGGGTACCATGGCCCCAGCTTTTCCGGGCCCGGGGATACTACTACGACGATCGAGAAATGCATCAGAAGTTGTGTGGTCTGAGGAGAATGTTGGCGATGGAAGCTTACATTCAGCGTGCTCGGCGGCTAGACCTCACGCGCCCCGAGGATGTTACGTTCCTCACCGATCCAGGCTACTTCACCAACCGCAGCAGTGGGAACTACCGCGAGATATACACGTGCAACCCGGTGCCGTTGTTCCCGACGCGAGTTCCATTTCTGGATAGGGACAAGTATTATTACTGTCTCGCTACCCGAAGGATGATTTGGGGACCGCCAGTGGGAATATGGGCGGACGAGGGCATCCAAGGAGAGTGGATTTACCGTCTCTATGACCAACACAAGGACATGAATGCTCATGGTGGCAAGGTCAAACCGCGGCCGAGGGTCGTTCAGAAAGGCCGGGAGAACGAGCTTATTGCTCTCCCTGAACACGTCGTTGTGTTAGGCGATCTAGTCTTAGCCTCCCCGATTGGCAAGGATTTCTCTATTAGCCCCGCACAAGGGCTAGCTAGAGAGGACTGGTCTGACCAAACCCTAGAACTCACGGGATATCTTGTCGCCCTGGACTTCTTGAATCCACAGCTCCCGCTTTGGATTGTTCGCGAAGATCAATACGACGATTTGGATTTTTGGCACTACGACGAGTACACAAACCAAATCTTGTGGAGGTACAGCCAGAGGAAACGCGACACGGCGATGCTATTTGACGGCAACCTGAGCTTGCAACTGGAAGAAGAAGACGAGTCTCGGCGATCGTCAACAACGGTGGATGGCGACAGCAAGGGCGAATTTTATGGCGCTGCCTGCATCATGGCCTCTTTCCGCCATCTCGGCCAGCCACAAGCCAATTACCAAGAGGCTGTGAATTTAGTGGCCAAGTCTGCGCAGGCCCTGAGGCCCTACTTGGACTACATCAACACTCATGAGCTTCTGCCACTGAGACAGGGACAAGACCAAGCTCAAGAAAAGGAGCTTTGAGCGGCGCAGTCGAATGTGCCAATTGGCAAACACTCCCCTCCTTCCCGCCCCCAGCCGTGACTCAAAGGTGTTTCTTTGAGCATTAGGCGGTGCTGGCTGTTGCCTGTCTACCAGCTTGTCATGGACGGCATCATTTTCGCGTTCCTGTATCTTTAGGTCCTTTCAAACCCCCTCCCCCCCAAGCAATCAAATCATCAATTGTCCGAAAGAGAGAGTAAAAAGACCCTCAATGCCGTGTTTTCCATGAGTCCCGTAGGTGATATGGTATGGTTGCACAGTGCCAGAAGATAGCTGACTGACACCCTGTATCTACATACGGATGGTTGACCGCCTATTCGCCTTGGTAGGATCATCGCCAAGAATTACGAAACGAGTGTATATCGTTGTGGGTCTGATCATCACGAGGAGGTAAGGTTACGAGCCCGAGGACTAGCACAATTTATTCCTACTGGTAATAGACACAAGATCCTCTGATCCTCTAATCCTCTACCTTATCCATTTGCATAAATCCATGTAGTTGATGTTATTCTTTGTTCATACAGGGGCATGTATCTTCTCCAGTTCCATCTCGATACAACTCAACGCCCTCTAGGTCCAAGGTCTTGAGGCAGAGTTCTGTTTCGACGCAGCTGAGACGCGGAAACCAACTCCCAGGGGTAGGTCTCGAAGCCTGGGCCTCGATCATGCCAGGTGAAACTTCCGCCTCACATAGACATTGACATCGGAGGCAACAAGGCTTTGGCTTGCCGTCAATGTTGAAGACGGACAGCTTGCCGGGAAGGTGAATCTTTGGTGTTTTTCCTTCCTTGAGAACTTCATTGCCTAGATCGAGGCGTCGCACGACATCTGAGTTGGAAGGCATGGCGGCGGCTTTTAATGCATCTATGCGAGCCCTTCGGTCTTGATCAGTGCGATGTTTGAGGCTGTCGACGACTTGAAAGCACGCTTTCGAAGCGGCAAAGAACAGCTGGCCTTCCACGTTGAGGGCACCGATTGTTCTAGGCAGGCCAATGGGACTCTGAAGCTTGAACACTTCCTCCAGTATGGGTGTTATTTTCTTTTCTAGTATCGGGGCACATTTTCATATCAGCAAATTGTCTGCGCCTACACGGCGTTGGAAGTGATGATCTGATGGGAAGGAGGAGGGGTATCAATGGGCAATGTTGCTTGACACACTCTTCTTCAGAGGGAGAAAAGGGAAGGGGTTGAAGTACCGTCACGTAGAACCTTGGACTCATACATGGCGGTGATAAGGGACACGAGCAGATCTTGATTGCCCGGCTTTGAGATGTTTCCTGATAAGTGTTCCACGCACTCTTTGTGCACTTTTTCCTTTGACAACTCCAGTTGCTCCCGGCTTTGGATGGAGAGCGCATTGTGTTTTTCCGAAGATGATGCCGACGCTTGCTCCAGCAGGAATTTATCAATGGCAGGCAAATGAACGTGGTAAATGTAGGCGGCCCCTGTCCATTCTCCGCCGGAGAGGCCATGCTGGCGCGCGATGTCGAAAAGGCGACGATCGAGCTTCAAGACGGACTCTAACTCGCCGCATATGTCTACGGCCTTCGCAGAATTTACGGCCGTCGGAGGATTGTCCTTTTGCTTGAGATAGTGGCGCTTCTTGCCAGCTATAATAGGAGAACAGGAGAAAAAGCGAATTTTGGGTGTGAATCGTTGGCCATCGCGAAGTTGGGGATGGCGGTGGAACATTGAAGGCAACTGGCTCCGGCTGGGAAGTTGGCGACCCACGCAATAGAACTGGCGAAACCAAGCCATGATCAGTTCGGAAACATGGAGGCTCGCTTCAGATATCAAGATCAACTAGCCTATGCGAGATCGAACATGAGAATGAAGGCAGAGGACCCAGCTTGCTAGTAAAGAATAGAGAGCCGGGTGGAGATGTGGTAACTGATGTGACTGCAAGAGGGAAAACGAAATGCAATGTTCAGTTGAAATTCTTTCAGTGAGAGAACAGGACAAGGTGGGAGGGATCAATGTGAGGCAAGGCAGTCACAGCGTGATTGGTACACTGTAGTTCCTGATCAGGCATTCATTCATTTTGGGGCCGGTGCCCCCGTTCTTAAAGGGCTGGGACAAAGCACGATGTGACAGGTTGAGGCATCTGCTTGCACGGAATGGCACGAGTGACGAGCTCTTGAGGAGTTTGACCAGGAGGGTAGTACAACACGGAGAATGCATCTCAACTTGCAAGCGCTGTTGAATGAACACTCCACCCCGATCCGCCGTCCGACAATCATTGTCAACCTCCAGGGGGCAATCAAGACTCTTGAGCGTTCATGTTGTCCGCATTCAGCAGGTAGCCCCCGAATCTCTCAGTCGATATGCTCGCGCATCTGTTGGCGGATTTGCTCTCCGAACTATTCCTTTACCGACTTTAATTCATAGATGTGAGCCACTGATCTTGTATTTGCTTCCTCGTTTCTTCAACGTGCGAGCAAGAAGAGTTATTCCATATATGGCTTTAGGTCGACAAACCAACGATAAAAGCATGGCCACTCTCACAAAGTTTACATCCGCCTCGTTTTCAATACGCTTTTTGCCACTAATTGAAATCGACGAACTCCAGATTGGCTTTTGGGGAAAACATAGCATATTTGTCACAAACCTGGCAAGGCCTGGCACGCGCACAAGGACCCATACGGGAACACTCAGCCAAATCCTCCCCAAACCACTCCGCAAACATGGTCAGCACAATCCTCAACCTACTGTGATACCCTCATATTAATCCTAGTTAGGAATATGAAATCGGAATGGATTCGGAAGAGGTCAGAAGCCAAGGGCCACTCACCTTGAGCTGAACTCCTCTTAAGAACTATATCTATCGTTTTATCCAATTCTATCCCCACGCTTAAGCTCCGCAATGATACTGCCTAGGATTGCTGTTAGTCGTGTCTCTCTATTCGTAACGGAAGCCGTCTCCTGGTCTCCTGTGTTGCGCAGAGGGCGCGAATCCCGACGCTGTGCGAAGATGACACCAAGCTTATTCACAATATCCGGCATTGAGGGCCGGAAATAAAATTTCCAGCCAACTCTTTCCATCCCACCCCAAATGCATCACATCATGATCATGGCCATGGGGGCGGAGAGGGTCTCTGAAAGCTTTTCCTTACACTTACATCCATTTGCTTGATGTCCTATTGATCCTCAAGAGGCGAAGCTGACCGAGAATCCCTCATCCCACAGCGATATGTTCCCCTTCTGAGTGAGGCTTCTCCCAGGTTGGCCAAGATGCCCAAGGCAGGATCAATGCATCAGTCGCTATCTCTTGAGAAGCCAGCAATACCAGTCACATGATTCTCGTTATCTTCAACTAATGGGGCTGTCAGAGACAGGGATTCAGCAGGGATCTGGATTCATGCAGAGGGTATGTCGTGCGATGGCGGCCCTGTGCCCACCAGCTCATTGTTCTATTCAATATTAAAATCAACTTCGTGAAATGTCCAGCATCGATGAAGACAACAAAATCCCAAATCGTACGGGCTATGCAATACTCAAGTTGGTAGTGTCGAGGCCACGCATTTAACAGAATCATAATCGCGATATCACTTTATATTGTAGCTATCAATAGTTTCTGTTCTACCAGCCGACACGCACTGGAAGTTTTCTCAGGGCTTCTGTGTTGAACAGTGCCCCGAAAAGTTGGTTCAACTCAAACAAGTGATCTTGACCGAGCTTTGCTTGAAATAGACCTACTTGCATTTCTTCTACGGCCATGAAATTTAGCACTGGCCGTTAGCGTTGCAAAAGTGCCTGTTTTTCATTAATTGTTGATCCTGTTGTTGACGGTCTATAAGGTGACTCACCAGTCAATGTTGACGACGCTGAAGGGCGAGTTGTTGGTCAACTCGTTCCAAGCACCCTCGGAAAAGTCGAGGTGGTTCTCATCGCAGCTAGGGCAGGTATCCTCAACGGTAGCAATGATGGTGTTACCTGAACAGAAGTGGTTAGTTTCCATACTGCTCACTGAACCTGGAGTTCCAACCCCGTGAATGCAGTTTGTGTACCTTTGCCGTGGACACCACCGTCGCTGCTTCCGGTGTTGGTGACCTGGATCTTGCGGCCACAGAAAGGGCCAGGCGACTGGTTCTTCATCCAGAAGTTGGAAAGGGCAATGATGTGGGACGAGTCGGGGTTCTTCTGGCCGCAAGACCCAGTGCCTCCCTCCTGGAGGAAGATAGTACCGATACCGTGGTGTCTTGTGGATACACATTAGTTTATAAATTGTCAAGATGTTCAATGTTTGACTTACGTGGTCCGCTTGGCGAGGGGAGCGTCAAGGACGCGATCAGCGACAACGTTCTCGGGCTCGGTAGGGCTGGGAAGAGCAGCGGCCAGGCCGGCGGTGAAGAGCAGGATGGCGGTTTGAGCAAACATTTTGGTGTAAAAAAAAAAAAGATCTTGTCTTATTGACTGTTTCTGTTGTATTGATGAGGGCTGGGTCTTGGCAAGAAGTTGTTTAGACCAGGAAGAAGGTCTATCTTTATACCCAAAGCACTCGACATGGCAAGCCCTAGATTACTGAGCGAGGATGCAGATCCTCAATACATTAACATGTGGCCAAGTTCTTCCTTGGACCCAATATCACTAATCGACAAGAGATGGCTTGCCTCCCCCTTGAGTGTTGCGTGTCCGTCTGAGTGAAGCCAATTAGAGGCATTATCCAGAGGCACGTCTCCTATTTTCTGGTCAGGTCTTTCACCTCCGTCCAGTTACTTTAGACTACTGCTGATTTGTGAGGGATCACTAGCAGCATTTTTCTACACAGACACAGAATATATGTTGCACTTGGTTACCATATTTGTGCAACTATCGTGGACCATCTCTGTCCCGATCTGGAAGGTAGGGATGAATAGATGAGTGTCTGAGGTGGTGTTGGGCTTACTCACAATACCCGACGGAGTCGAAATGTTACATTGAATGGTACTGTGCGACCTCCGGCCCACCGGCAAAGACCGAAAACGTAAGGCTAGTCACTCGGATCACACGAATCTGTCTTCATATCACACATTGAAGCTTGCCCTTTTGGGAAATGAGACGGGATAATCCCAGACATGAACAGACAATTGGAAGAGAAGCGAGCAGCAGTTAAAAGTACCTGAGGACACCCTGTTGCACGATGGGCTGACAGCCGCGTCTGAATCTTGAAGACAATGAAACCCTGCTGACGGAATTTAGTCAGCCAATGGTATGTGTAAGCACATTCAAGCCTCAACTGGACCATGCAAATTGGATTCTCTGGACACGTTTATGAGCTCTCTTCTCTTCCATTGGGGGCCAAGCGAGCATCGTCAAATCTTGACACACTTAAACAAATAATTATCGTGTCTTGTGAGTTTCTATCACGTTGGGTCGTCGGTTTCGCATAGATGCGACGGTGATTCCAGTCACGAACACTAATAGGCAGTGCTCCTTCTCGTCAGATAGTGGACCTCACTCATCTTTCGCCCTACAAGTATCACTCAGTCACGAGAGAAATGGCGAGCACGATGGTGGCGTGATTATACAGCTGAGAAAGATTGAATCTTCTACATGCTACGTTTTGAACAGTCCTAATGCGTCATCTTACTCGGCGGCTCCGAGCATGTGTTAATTCGTTACTCATCGACTCCAGGTGAAGATCCAAGAGGAATGTCTTGTCCAGCAGAGCACCTTCGGGTACTGCCTTGAGTCTGATCGAACCTATGCCCAGTCCAAGTCCATTATGCGCCCAGTCAAGCCTGATGATTGGGTTATTGGCCCAAAGTTTCCTGAGCTCCTACGGATGAGCGCACTTATTCCAAGGCACGGAGGGAGAGGTAGTAAAGCTACGTCAGTGCCGCGTGCCAAAGTCGACCGTGATCGGCACTCCGCTCTTGGTGCTTTGTAAATGTCATCCATCTCATATCGGCCCGGTTATCACTCTCTCGCCGGTACTAGAGGTGAGTAATCAAGTCATCTACGAGAGACTGCCAGTCTACAAAGCGTTGCGAAAATCTCTGTTCTGGTAGGACTCAGATGGGGACGATCTCACCGTTCTTTCTGGATATGACACTCTTTGTGTACGGTCTGACGTACTTCCAGTCAGTATATTAATTCACCAGCAACGCCTTCGTTCAGTGCATGATGAAATGGAATAAGATTCAGGGGAGACGAAGGTAGCCCTTGCTCGCTCCATGATATCAACAATCACCGCAGACAGTCAAACGCCAACGATGAACACCCCTAGATCTCTACTATCGACTCGATGCGCTGCTTGATCTCGGGAGCAGCCGAGATTCGGCACTGCGTGGCGGCAGTGAGAATTGGCTTGTGCAACTACAGGCTCAGAGGGAGCCAAGAGTGTATCTGATCTCAAATAGAATGCAACACCCATATAAGGTTCACGGTCTTGCCCGCTAAGACAAGATGCTCAACTGGATTGTCGGCTATCTATCCAGGCTTGATATCTGGCAGCGTGATCTCCGTTATTTGTTATGCTCTCCATCATCCATAGGAGACTATTCGCACTTCAGATGGTTGAGGTTTAATACTATGCTGTGGCGGCTGATGAGAGAGCCCCCTTTTGACTTCCTGAGAGAATCTGAACCGGATCTGGTCCTTTTTCAGTCCTTCTGTAAATACCGCCAGTGCGAGCTTGGGGCTGTGGTTGAGAAAGTCGTATGCGCGGGCCGCCTCCCTGCCGTCATTGTTTATGCCACCGGAGTCGCCGTCCCCGTAAAATCTCTCGCCGGCTGCGGTGTGCGTCTCGAGGCCCTGGCTCGTCCAGTGCCAAGGAAAGCAACATTGCAGACGTGGGCTGCTCGTGGAAGCAGGTCGATGTATTCCGTGATGGCCTCAGCTCCATTTCCGATACCGTGCGTATACTCGTACAGCAGAATGGGCTTCTTTTCGGGCCGGGAATCTGATAAATCTCTGTACATGTTCATGCTAGCTCTTCCTCCTCGCCTAGCTCCACTCTCGTCGTTAGTGGTGGGTGAAAAGCCTCAGGACTTGTCGGTCCGACACCAAGGCCTCGAGTCGGTGTGGATGTTTCACGAATTTCTGCCACACTAGCTCAGCCCTCGGGCACTTGCGAAGACATGGGAAGGCTGGAGAAGAATCAGGGGACTCCAGGTTTCCCCACGGAAACCGTTAGACCTCGACACGAATGGTTGCCATTCGGTCCTATCGTGTGTTCAATAAGTACGTTCGACATAACGTAGCCCACTCCGCCGGTAGGGGCCTCGGTTCCTCGTACCCCTATTTCGCCTCCGGCGACCCAGGGCGAAAAAAGTACAAAATCCGCCGGTTTCCCTGCCTCTGTCGTCAATTCAGCTTCTGCGGAAAGTCATCACCAAAGAGTTTGAAGACAAAGGCTTTTTGGGTATTCATATTCGAGCTTCATAAAGGCATATTGGCCCATCTTTATCATGGCTGAACCAAAAGCCCCTACTGCAACTGAGGTTGATTTCATTCAGTCTCAAGCCAACGAGGCCCAGAGCAACAGCATGGACTCCGACGGACTCAAGTCAGGACTGGCAGAGCAAGCCAGGAATGCCACTGGCAGAGAACATGAGTTGACCCTCAAGCAGGCGTTCAGGCTGTATCCCAAGGCCATTGCCTTCTCGCTGATCTTCTCCGCGGCTGTCATCATGGAGGGCTACGATCTTGCCCTCCTTGGCGGCTTCTATGGATACTCCGCGTCAGTGATCTGCCGTATTGATTACTCCCGCTACCACAACGCACAGCTAACGAACCTTCAGTTTCCAGAATAAATTCGGCGACCAACCGGGCCCCAACGGCGGCAAGGTTGTCTCGGCAAACTGGCAAACATACATCCAAAACGGCGGCCTGGTTGGCCAGATTATCGGCCTCTACATCAACGGGTTCATCTCCGACCACTTTGGATACAAGAGGACTATGCTGTTCTCGCAAGCCCTAATGATCTCGCTCATCTTCATTCCGTTTTTTGCACCCAACATCCAGACCATCCTGGCCGGCAACATCCTCCTGGGCATACCATGGGGCATCTTCCAGACTCTCAGCGTTACATACGCCTCCGACGTAGCCCCTGTCATCCTGCGGCCATATCTCACGACCTATGTCAATCTGTGCTGGATTATCGGTCAGCTGATCTCGGCAGGTGTCCTGCGCGGGCTCCTCAGCCGTGAGGGCGAATGGGGTTACCGCATCCCGTTCGCCTTGCAGTGGATGTGGCCGCCTCTGATCATCCTCGGCACCCTGTTTGCTCCGGAGTCACCCTGGTGGCTGGTCCGCAAGGGCCGCCTCGAGGATGCCAAGAAGGCCCTGCTGCAGCTGACGAGCCGCAACGCTCAGTCCAACTTTGATGTCGACGACCAGGTCGCACTGATGAAGGCGACCGACGAGCTCGAGAAGGCGCAGTCGGAGGGCATGACCTACTGGGACTGCTTCAAGGGCGTCGACCTCCGCCGCACCGAGATCGCCTCCGTGTCCTATCTTGCGCAGTGCTGGTGCGGTTCGGCTCTGATGGGGTACTCGGTCCAGTTCTACGAACGCGCCGGGCTGTCGCCCCAGAACTCGTTCGACATGAACATCGGACAGAGCGCCATGGGCGTCATCGGGGTTCTGCTCTCGTGGGTCATGATGGGCAGGTTCGGGCGCCGCGACATCTACATTGCCGGCATGTTCGGCCTCATGGTCATTCTCATGACCGTGGGGGGGCTCGGCTTCGCGCGCCCGGACCTGCCGGGCCCTTCGTGGGCGATCGGATCCCTCCTTCTGTTCTACACCTTCGTCTACAACATGACGGTCGGCCCCGTCTGCTACTCGATTGTCGCCGAGATCCCCTCGACCCGTCACAAGATCAAGACGGTCGTCTTGGCGCGCAACTTCTCCAACATCGGCGGCTTGCTGAACAACAGCTTGATGCCCCACATGCTCGGTATCCATTCCTGGAACTGGGGCGCCAGGACGGGTCTCTTCTGGGCCGGATTCTGTGTTGTGATTCTTATCTGGTCATACTTCCGACTTCCGGAGCCCAAGGGCCGGACGTACGGTGAGCTGGACGTGCTGTTCCACCACAGGGTCAGCGCCCGCAAGTTCGCCAGCACTCGGGTTGACCAATTCGCGGAGGGTGGCAACACCAAGGTCGAGCCGGTTGATCTTTGATGAACAAGAGACAAATTCTTTCACCATGTACATGAAAACGCCGGTGCCTGGAACAAACGCCGAGTTACACTAGCATTAGTCCTTACAAAGGAATAACTACAAAAGAAATCATGATATGAAGCCAACATCAAAATATCACCAATAGAGATATGTTCAGCAACTGATCATCAGGCTTGTACGTATCCAAAACATGGCGTGAGGGTGTGGATGACCCCATGAACTCCGAGCCAGTGCCCGGAGATTTTGTCTTTGCTCTTACGAGACGAGTCTGCCCGTGAGACCACATGGTATGGCATCTGGCAAGACTCCCCGACCTTTTAGCGATGCCAAGACCAGTCTTCCATAACTCTTCGCTGTTCATCACAGCTGAGTTCGCCTGGCTGGCGCTGCCCCCACAATCATGCAGCCAACATGCAGTCCCCCCAAATACCACCGGTGCACAGAGAGGTACTTATGCTAAGCTAATGACCCCAGGACCCATCACCAAGCTCCCTAGCAGGTGCACCCCACACATGTCGTGCCGACAACTTCTGGTGGACCAATCTCTCTGGACACCCCTCGCTTTCTCATCTAAGGTAGCGATAGATAGGATATTCCCGGAGCATAATGAACAGGTATTCTGGATTTTACTCCCCTTGTTTTCCTGAAATGCAGCTCGGGCCAAAAGCATGACTTTCCCTTTGAGTGGACATCCGTCATTCATCCCTGCTGGTTGCTGACAGATGACGCACAGCTTGCCTCCGACGGCGGCCCTACTTGATTCTCTTCCATCTCATCATCAGACTTGACTTGAGATCACAAAGCTCTCTCGCAGATCTGCTACCGTGGCTGCGAGCATGGCGATAGCCAAATTGTCTGCGGGCAAGCGACAATGGCACCCTCTGCCAACTTATCATCTCAAAGCCCCTCACGGCTGGCTGAACGATCCCTGCGCTCCCGGATTCGATCCTGCGACTGGCACATATCACCTGTTCTATCAATGTACGTGGCATGGCGCTGTTTCCGCCGTTTGCTCACTAACGTCCCGTCTACAGGGAATCCTAAATCTTGCGACTGGGAAGACATCTGCTGGGGCCAGTTCACCAGCAAAGATGGCCTGCATTGGGAAGCGAATAGCACAGGTCCCGTGCTGGAACCTTCGAAATCTTACGACGATAAGGGCATATTCACAGGATGCATGCATCCCACGGGGCCGCGGGGAGAAAAATGTCAACTGACTCTCATTTACTCATCAATCACCAATCTCCCCATTCACTGGACAGTACCCTACCAGCGAAACTGTGCTGGCCTGGCCATAGCGATCTCAGAGAACGCCGGCCGGACATGGAAAAAGAGTCCCCTAAACCCGATACTGAAGGGAGAACCCGAAGGCCTGAGAGCCACGGGCTTCAGGGATCCGTACCTAGCGGAATGGGGTGCCCTCGACGAGAAGCGCGGGGCAACGGAGAAGCAGCTCTATGGATTCGTCTCGGGAGGCATAGTCGACAAGGGGCCGAATGTATTTGTCTACGCTGTTTCGCCACATGACCTGACGAGGTGGACGTACATTGGGCCGTTGGTTGACATCCCAGTGGGATTCACTCGGCCGGGTCACTGGACCGGAGACTTTGGTGTGAACTGGGAGTGTGTCAACTTCCTAGGGCTGGACTCGGGAGCCGACACATGCCCTGTGCTGCTCATGGGTACCGAAGGGGGCTATCAAAGAGGGTACAAGGAGGGCGGCGAAGTTGCTAACGAAACATGGACGCTATGGATGGCCGGGAGCCTCCAGACAACCCAGCAAGGGCCCGCCCTCGACTATGAGTTTGGCGGCATTCTGGACCACGGCAGCCTCTATGCACCGAACTCATATCGGCACCCGGACTCTAGAGCGTGGATCGTCTGGGGCTGGATCAAAGAGGAAGAGCTGACCCTATCGCGACGCGAGGCCAAGGGCTGGACCGGATACCTCTCCCTGCCCAGGGAAGTCTTCATGCAGCGTTTGCATAATGTCAGGCGGGCGCTGAAGACCCCTCTTGAGGCAATCCCTTCCATCAGGTTATTGACTGAACGACCAGAGGCCGGTACTCGGGGTGTCGAAACATTAGGGATCCGGCCATTGCTTGATCTCAAACGCTTGCGGCAAGGCAAGCCCTCCATATGGCTTGGCGTGGAAGCACTCAATCAACCATATCAAATCGCTACCCCGGCCTCGCCAAACTGGGAGCTGGAGGCCTTTATCAAAATACACCCAGCACACGAGAGAATCGGCTTCCAGGTGCGACACAACGAGGATCGATCGAATATGACGAGCATATACTTTTCGCCGCAGGACGAAGAGATCGTTGTCGACAAGACGTTGTCCAACGACCTCAAAGACATCCAAAAGGGCCGCATCGGGGGATCTTTCACCCTGTTTGTCCAAGAAAAGGACGGCGCAGAGTGCCTAGAGAGCCTGCACCTCCGGATATTCAGCGACGGAGATGTCATCGAGGTCTTCGCCAACGACCGTTTTGCTCTTTCCACGACAGTCTACTCCGACGCTATCAACTGCCTGGGCATCAGCTGCTTCGCAGAGGGGCAGGACAGTTCAGCCTCTGGCTTCGAGACGGTGATGCTCTGGGAGGGCCTGGCGAGTGTGTATGCAAAGTAAGAAGCAACCAGGCAATTCAATTTTCCCTACGATAGATCATGACTATTCAGCCCCGCCGGGTATAATTTCTGAAGCATGTCCAATTTTTCCTGCAGATATGCCTTTTGCTGCTCCCTGATGCGCTCAAACTGAAACAAGAACTTGACAAGGAAAACGAGGTCCGCCACATGGCCGGCCGCCTCCTCTTGCCGTTCCATGTCCGCCGCGAGGGGAAGGGCCAGCACGTCGGCGATGGTGCTGGTGATCTCAAAGAGCTTCTGGATGATACCACTCCCCTGCGTCGCGATGCTGCCCACGCTCTCCATGCGGTTGACGAGACTGCGAAGCTCGGTCGACAGGCGATGGGCCGGGTAGTTCAGTGACAGACCTTCGTGGACCGTCTCGGGCGGCGCGGACTGCAGCAGGCCTCGCGAAAGGGCCAGCTGCCATACCAGAGTCCGGAGCCACACACGCGTAATGTACAAATCAACGAGCTGAAACTCGGTCAACGCCCCGCGGCCGCTTTCCCTCAAGGCCTTGTCTGCCTCGTAGGTGCTGGCTTCGTCCTGGTCGAGCTGGATCTGCTTCTGCTCAACCCACTCCGGCGTGATGTCAGACGTGGAGGGCTCGATACCCTGCTGCTCCTCCCAGTACGCGAGCAGCGGCCTGTCCATGATCAGGAACAGCGAGATGAGCCGATTGAAGCCGAGCTCGACATAGGCGGGGACCGTAGAGTCGGGCGCGGGGAACCCGGCCTTCAGCGGGGGCAGGACGCTGGGGTAGCCGGACGCGATGGTGAGGAAGCGCTCGTGTATGTACGTCTCCCAGTACAGGCGCTGATACGTGGCATCGCCGCTCCCGGTGCCGGACAGCTGGTGCACCTTGACCGTCTGGAGCATGGTGATGGCCTCGCGGAGGAGGGCGAAGCTGCGGTCGAAGCGCTTGAACGCCATCATCGAGATCTCGAGGAAGATGCACGTCATGACGCGCTTGGCGTTGATGGGCGGCTCCTCGACCATGCGGCCGTCGGGCGCGGTCTGCAGGTCGACACGCTTGTGCGCGGCCAGGCTGTGCTGCATCAGGTCGTCCATCTGCGTGGCCACGGCGCCGTGCATCGTCGCCGACCGCTGGGTCAGGAAGGTGGTGACGGCGGCAAAGGCGTAGACGAGCGCGGCGTCCTCGAAGCTGCCGCGGATGTTCCCGATGGCCACGGCGATGTCGTCGGGTGTGATGACCGGGTTGACGGGGTAGACGAGCTGTTCGAAACTGGGGATAAGATCCATGAAGAACTCGGTGGTGTAGCCAGTCGGCGTGAGAAGAGACTCGAAAAGGGTATCTGGGCGGTGGTTCCGGGGCGAGTCGCCCGAAGGAGCAGGTATCGGCGCGGAAGCGGGCCTCCCTGGCCCGGTCTCCAAGTTGCCCAGGTCATTCTCTCCGCGGGCTCGCGCGACGAGTCTACCTCTGATGGGATTCTGTCGCTTCGAAGGCCCGGAGGACACGACGCAGGGCAGCTTGAAGTGGGAGCACTGCGTGCACGGCTGCCCGTTGTCGCATTTGACTTTGCGGATGCGGCAGCTGTCACAGGCGCGCTGCGACCGGGGCGCGGGGCTCATCGTGGTTGGGAATTACTCATACCATGTTACAATACACTCAGCCAGCGTTGCGCTTGAGATTGAGAGGGTGTTTAACCTCGTTGTCCAACAGGACAGATGGGTCGAGATTCGTGATGAATGACGTCGGAATTTGGGCGGAAGCAGACATGTAACTTCCGCGTCGGTTGACACGTGACCGGCTCTTGATATGTCACTACAGAAACGTCAAAGGCCTCCAACACTCAGAATATGATTTGATCTGAAATGCGGACCGTTTCGGAACTCTGCTATACCCTTGAAAATCGCAATTGAACAATTGAGCCTCCATTGACCAGGTGTGCTTCCTTGCAGACTGGGGATGTCCCTTCAATGGGGTACAAATCTCTCCCGTATTTTAGCGTCGACGCGGACTGGCAAAATCTTTCGGCAATATCAAACCTCCAAATCCGAGCTGAGCATCCTGACCGGGCTACAACGAGCATTCACACTCCTTTAAGCATGTTTCATTAGGGTTCTTCTCTTCATTTGGTGTACTAGTATATCTTTTTGCGTCTTTGTTCATCACTGTCTACACACCAAGGCTATACCGGGTGGCCCGGGATCCCGATGGTCTCTCCTTCATGGTCCGAACATCGGCTGCTATTGAGCCCTTTCTCCATGATGAAGTAGAAGCCTAGTCGCTACCGCGGTAACCACATAGCCAGAGTCAAACAAGATGTCACGCGAGTTTCATGCTGGCGGCGCGGCAAGCTTCGGGATGCTGCACTCGCCGATGCACGGAGTCAGCGTCATGAAGGCTGTGCTCAGTCGATGGTTGGAACTTGATCTCACCCAGGTCGGCTCCGTCATCGCCATCGCCGGGGTTCTACCCTCTGCGTGGAGATTTGTTCACCATGTTTGGCGCGAAGCCACAAGTTGGATCCGAAGGTTCTTTGTCGCCTCAGTCACCATCCCCGGCCGGGACCCCCTGAACCGGAATGTGGCGGACTGGGTGCTCGCCAATGTGATCGAGCTCAGGAGTCTCAGATTCCTTACTGCACGAACCCAAGCCGGTCGTGAGTCGGACAGAGCTGCTCTGTTGAAGAAGACGAGGCGAGCAGTGCAGTATCATCCGCATTGGGGCACGATCTGGTTCTGGCACGAGGGGCATCTGTTCTTCGTGTCTCGAGCGGCAGACGACTTCAATGCCTCGATGAGCGACCCAGCGTATGATGGTGTCGGTGGAGAGGAACTCACTGTCATCTGTCTTGGCCGTTCCGTCGAGCCTATCAAGCAGTTCATCCAGACCGCACGAGAATTCGCGGAGAGGCAGACGCAGTACTTTGTCATTATCTACGCCAGGGATCGCTATGGAGTTTCTGTGAGTACATATTTCATTCATTCATTCAACAATGTCTCAACCAAAAGAGAATACTGATGCTGCTGCAGTGGCAACCCAAGTCCCGCAAGCCTATCCGGCTCCTGGAGACAGTTCATTTCGACGAGCAGGTGAAGCAGGAGTTGCTCACTGACATCAGGAACTACCTCGACCCCAAGACTGCACAGCTGTATCAGCGGCGGAGCATGCCGTATCGCCGGGGATACCTCTTCCATGGTCCTCCCGGCACCGGCAAGTCATCGCTCTCTACCGCGCTCGCTGGAGAGTTTGGTCTGGATCTCTACGAGGTCAACATACCGACAGTGGCAAGCGATGCGGATCTGGAGCAGATGTTCCAGGAGATTCCACCTCAATGCATTGTACTACTTGAGGACATAGACGCGGTCTGGACCGGAAGAGACATTGAACGAAGCGAGTACAGCAGCGGCAGTGCAGTCTCGGGTTGCACGCTCTCTGGTCTGCTCAACGTGTTGGACGGTGTCGGGTCCCAGGAAGGCCGCATCGTAATCATGACCACCAACAGGCCGGAATATCTGGACGGCGCGCTCGTCCGTCCAGGACGGGTAGATATGAAGATCTTTCTCGGAAACATCAGTCAGAAATCTTCCGGGGAGATGTTTGTACGCATGTTCGCTCCCGAAGTCCGGATTGATCAAGTTGCGATATCGGAGAGTGGCGCATGGCCCGACATGGATCGCATACGACAACTTGCGGCCGAGTTCGCGGCAAAGATACCCGAGGACACTTTCACACCTTCCCAGCTTCAAGGGTTCTTCCAGCTACATCTTGAAGATGCCGAGGAGGCAGCGGCAAGCATTGATGCGTGGGTCGATAGACACTTGTCGAAGAAGCACGAGAGGGATTTTGAACTAGTAAACGGGGATAAAGCCAGCCAGGCATCCCACGACAGTTGAACAGATATGATGGCTTGTACGATTGTATATATGTAACCACTAGACTTTAGATTTCTGTAGCTTTCCAAGTTGATTGTAGGCAAAGGAGAGACACGTGTAAACTATCACTTACTGGAAGGCTCGGCGAGAGCCTTCCAATCCACGCTTGATCTGATATTCGCATGTATTATTCTTAGCTGGATCTAATCACACACAATAACCATAACTAGAATAAGCAAGCTCCAAATAAACATTGCCTTGATTTTAAGCAATCCTCCTAGCTTGTGTATTGGTGCATAAGAATTCCAGAGGTGCCGGGCCCGTACGCGGAAATCGTCCATCAATCAGAACCACCGCACCTAAGCTGCGAAATCCAGTTTTAAGTATCTCAAGGTCAAGTTGCATGTCCCCTATAATTGTCAAAACGAGCGTATAGAAGCTATCAACAACGCTGTTTAATGATTCAGTCGCCAGGCTCTCGAGTCTGGAAGGAGTGCTGACGCAGGACGTACCTGACAGGGGCGTGACATGGACTGAAATGCTGATCTAGCACTTGTAGACATTGGTGGCGCAACCACCGGTGGGGTTGCAAGACCAGCAAAGCTTCTTGCCTTTCGAGCACTTTCCACAGTCACGCTTGGACAGGACGTTGTCCTCGACGAAGCGGGCGACGAGGCCGTCGACGGCGGCGATGTCGAACTCGGCGGGCTCAGGCTCGGGGGCGGGAGCGGGAGCGGCGGCGACAAGGGCGGCAAGGGCGCCGATGATGAAGAAAGTGGCCTTCATTTTGAATAGTTGTGGAGTTGATCTGGGTGATCTGGAAAGTAGTCAAGTTGTGGCTGGTTTGAGTAGTTGAGGAGCTGGTGAGGAGGTGTTTTGACGGAGAGGAGAGGGAGTCGAGGCGAACTTTATACTTCAAGGAATACGCCCCTTTCCTTGGAGACTCAAAGTTGTCTAGACCAACACATCCAACAGAGAGTATCTTTCGGATCATAGAGCAATCATTCCATTGTTCACAACCGGTTCCCTCCTTCATCATGTCACGGAGCCCACGTTAGGGACGCAGGATGCTCCCAGAACTGCAGGAAGAAATAGGCTGAATGCATCAGGATCATACCCGCGAGGCGATGCAACGCTACTCCGTGATATTCTTCTTGGTGGTGGCGCGTTCATGGTTGGGAACGGATGGGTTGAAAGCCGCCAGAGATGTGACAGTGCTGGCGTGTCGCCCTTTCAGTCCTGGGCATCGGATGAGCCAGCCGAAGGATCGTCGTGGCAGCCTTAGGGGGGCGCTTCTTTTTCTTCTTCTGCGCTTAGTGCTTAAGAGAGTTCAAGCGCCGCCTGTTCCTCTTAGTTGGCTCCGTGTCAAGTCACATCGCGACCAGACGCGAGCTCGCCTAGGGAGCTGTGCCGCGCAAATACAGGGGCGGCACGCGTATCAACAATGTGCAAATAGATTAACTATGTGCCTTGAGCGACAATGTCTGGTGGTTTCCGGGGTCTCTGGAACTATAAGGTCATAGCTGACTAGATAATATATGTTCGAAAGTTGCTACTGTTTATGGACACCGGGTCCGTTAGCTCTAACCCTCTGTCATCCCGAGAACTGTAGATGTCTAGCTAAGCTTTGGCGATCCAAGACCCTGCAGACTCTAGCACAGGGAAACACCATTAGAGCTCATTCCGCAGGGGGCCGGATATCGATAGCTTTTGTCTTCCCATTCGTTTCTGGTCGGGTGCCCCGACCTGGGTCCAGTCGTGGCTCTCTGGAGTGGTTGCCAAGCGCCAAGCCCTCAGCAGCCCCGGGTCCTCGCGTGTGCATACGCCAATCGGATATGTCGCCAGCCTGCGGACTTTTCTGACGTGGCGGCTTGCAGACGCAGCTAGCATCGGCGTTGAAGCCAGGTCGAGATGAGCGGCGGAAGACCTCCGGGTCCTGATACGAAGTTAGCAGAAGGCGTGGGTCTTTCTAGAAGCTCCGTGTCTGTGCCACAGGGCATGAGGACCGTGAAGCCGGAAGACGAAACTCAATGACTTCTTTGTAGACAAAACCTGCATATAGGGACTCCTATTCTATCGACCTGGCTATCTGTGATTAGTAGGAGGGCATGAGACAGTGACCATACTGTATCAGAACGTCCTTTTATCATGTTACATGATGGCTTATGCCAGCGTGGTTGAGTACAATGTATCCGAGCAACTCATTAAATGCATCGCAACATCTAGAAGACAACAGTAAACTTGAAAGGCCATGGGTGGATGACAGCAAGTCTTCCAGCTTGTTTGTCATTGCAAGTCACCCTGCAAAATATGTATTCTCTACCTCGTCTATTTCGTGGCACAGTTTCAGAGAGTCGTGTAGAATGGAGCTCATACATATGAAAATAGAACACCAGGATCCGGGTTGTTGAGCTTAGACATGGGGAGGCGATTTATCCAGGGGCACAGCATCGATACCCGGCTGGATCTTGGTGGGGTTTCAAAATTACCCGAATCGGTTGGAGCTTTCAAGCCCGGCCAGGCTCCAGCAGTTGGGCTCTTTAGTTCTTCGAAACGCATAGAAACTCCAAAATATGATTACTAAGAGCTCTTTCGAACGTTCATAACGCTAGATATCTCATTGTAGCATGCTATTTGCGCGGGAAGTCAAGGTCCTTGTGCGCTCGTAGGACCAAACAAAGCGAGTTCCCGCAGCCTGTTTCTCTCTTTCTGTGCCTGGTGCTCAGCGCGGATCTTCTCCAACTCGGCTTTCCAGTGTAGATAGAGTGGGTTAGTCAAGAGGCTGTCAGGCGCCTTCCTAGGTCGCCATACTTGCTTGCTCTTGGGGAACTTGAAGATCGAGTCTCGTGCGTATGCCTTGATCTCGAGCCCTCCTGAAGGTGCTTTATCGGCAGACTTGAGAGGCCGAATGGCCTGCGATCTTCGCTGATTAATTGCCATAGCAGCACCAGGCTCAGCTATATCATCACTTGCCCCCAGAAGGGATTCTTCAAATTCGCCCATCTCAAGCAGGATACCCTGAAGCAATCTGGATATGGAAGGGAAACTGCCAAGATCGGCATGATCCAAGAGATTGCCACCCCAAAGCTCTTCCTTCACCTTTCCCGGATCGGCTCCCGCCTCAAACAAGGCCCGTATTGTCTCGTCACGCCCGTACCGCGCCGCCATGTGCAGCGGCGTCCTCTGCAGGTTGTCAACGGGATCGACCTCCGCCCCGCGCCCGATGAGCTCCTCCACTATGGCCGTCTCGCCGGCCGCCGCCGCCAGGTGGAGCGGGGTGCAACCCGCCCCATCCCTGGCGTCGAGCATCCACTGCGCCTGCTCCAGCGCCGCCTGCTCCGCTCGCTCCGAGCCGCCCGCGCGCGCCGCCGTGCGCCGGAAGCACTCGTCGAGGAGAAGCAGACACAGGTCCGGCGCCGGCCCGCGCAGCGCCTCGTGCACAGCGCTGGTGCTGCACCTGGCCGAGTAGCGCGTCGTGTACCGGATCTCCACCCCGGCCTCGAGCAGCGCGAGGAGGATCTCGCGCTTGCCGAGCAGCGCTGTGCGGCACAGCGCGTCGTGCGCGGTCTTGGGCGGGGGGCCCCACGAGCGGCGCCAGGGGTGGGCTCGGAGGATCTCCTTCAGGACGCGGCGATCTCCTTCCTGGGCTGGGTCGGGTCGGGAGGAGGAGGTTCGGCCGTCGACTGAAGAGGGGCCGGGCTGGTAGCTTGGTGGCGGGGAGTTGCTGCGTATGGGCTGCGAGGGCGGGCTGGAGGCCGCCTGTGGTGATAGCGGGATGGATGCTCCGGAATTCGAAGCACTGGGGTGAGGGGCAGCGGCACCAAGGGCTGTCGCCAAATTCGGAGAGAATGTTGGAGAGCCAGAGCGCGAGTAGGAGGGCGGTTCTTCGATGGAGGGATCGAAAATGCTGCCGTTGTCCGCCATGTTATCTCGTGGAGGCGGCACATCGGCACACACTCGCTCTACCTCCTTTCAGTCATGTCTTTCGACGACAGCGAAGATGCAACGTATCCTGCATCCTAAATAGCAGTGCTAGATGAAATCGTCACCTGACACTCCCAGTTGCCAAGATTGCCCATACGATAATATTGAATGGTTGCAGGAGAGGGTTGCCCCGCGCGACTTGGCGAGCGACAGAAACGCCGGCGGCCGCGATGACCACCTGACCTTATGTGATCTTGGCTTTGAGTTGGCGTCGCTTGGCCAGGGCATTTAGTCCGAGGGGCGACACTTGATTGGCAGCAGTATCAACATAGCCTACCAGGAGAAGCTTTCCTCCCTAGTATGCCTAGGCATGCCACGTTCTGCCCATCCATCGATCACCCTTCAGCTTTTATCTTAAATGCTGAGCGCAAGATTGTATGCGAAGCCTGTCGTGAACTACGAAAGCACGAAAGTGCCCAATACCGCCGACAGGACGCCGGTTGTCTTGAGCTGCATGGCTGGATGTGTGTGCACACGGAAGCGCCGTGTGCATGTGCCGGCTGCTGGGGAGCGCACACGTTTGCCCAAGAAGGGCAGCTCATTTCATACGATCGCCAACTGCGGAGTTCGTCGTATAGAGATGGCTAGGACAAAAGATAACCCCTTGCAGGGAACTTTCCCATGGGCTTTGGCCAGTTGGATGGCCCTCTGGAAAAGGAAAGAAATGGTACTCCCACATGCAAAGGGGATTGAAATTAAGCCGGCAAACCTTGTTGTATTATGCCCCGCGGTAACCCCCGTTTCGTGGATCATGGGAGTAACTCTGTCTGCCGAAACCTGTATTCTGGCATGAGTTCATGTTGGTTGTACATTCTGCAAGGTGCGAGCAATGCAGAGCCCGCAAACCTTGGGCAATCGGCATCGCTTGGCAGATATGCCAGCTTCCTTATCTTGACTAGGTATCTCTGCGCGATCGGGGCAGTGATGATCAACAGACCATTTCCTGCAAGTAGTAGCAAATTGACGGCGGGCAAACCAAAGAGACGGGATGGGACCCCTGATAACGCTGTGGAGCTGTGTGGCAGGGTTGCAGTCGCAGCCCGCGGAGCTTCTTTGATAAAGGCGATCGTCCCTACCGACTGTGATGGTCTGGTTTGCGCCCGTCCGCATCTCTATCCTCGTGTGCAGCGCGTGAAGAATAGGTGAAACCATGTCGGCCAACCGCTTCCCGGGTCAGAACGGCCTGGAGCCTCTCGGCGGCAACCCGGAGGATGCGTTCCTCACCGGCCATTCTACTGGCATCGAGGCATTGTCGGAACTCGGTGTCCACGACATCCGGGCTGAACGGAGGAAGACTGACACTGACGAGAAGACGGCCGCGAAAGACACCCAGACTGATGAGAAGAAGCACGACAACATCAACGACGAGATCAGCCGGGTGCCCGACGACGAGGAGACGATCATGCCCATCGGCAAGGGCATGACCGCCCAAGAAAAGGTCGAGAATATGGAGGAAATTGCCTTGTATGCCCTGCATGTCGAGGACGACCCCTCTCTTGACCCCTGGACCTTTAGGACCTGGGCACTGGGTATCGGGCTCTCTGGCTTCTCTGCGACTCTTGCTACCATCTACCAGTTCAAGCCTCAGGGGATCACTCTCTCTGCGACGTTCCTCTGCGTTATCAGCTACGTACTGGCTCTCGTGCTTGAGCAGATCCCCAAGATCGGTGTCCTCCGCTGGCTGAACCCTCATCCCTTCAATGCCAAGGAGCACGCGGCCATCCTCATCATGTCCTCGACGGCTGCACACTCCGCTCTAGCCGTAGAGGTCATCGCAGTCCAGCGTCTGTGGTACGAAAAGACCCCCAACGCCGGTGTTTGCATATTTCTCATATTCGCATCTCAACTACTTGGATACGGCATCGCCGGGCTCATGCGCAAGATCCTCGTCTACCCAACCAAGGCGAGTTCTCCATTCTTCAAGTATTCAATCACAACAATACACACCCGCTCTAACACTAAGAATCAACCAGTTTTTGTATCCAGCAAACTTGCCGATCATGTCGCTTCTTGAGACTCTACATCGGAAGAAGTCAGAGACCAAACCGCAACTCAAGGTCTTCTACTGGGCTTTCTGTCTCATCTTCATCTGGGAGGTGTTCCCAGAATACATCATGCCGATTCTGACAGCAGTAAACGTATTCTGTCTTGCCAACAGAAATAGCAGTACGTGGTCTCAACTCCGTCCCTGTGATATGACAGTGTTAACATGACGAGCTAGTGTTATTCACTTATCTCTTTGGAGGAGGCAATGGAAACGAGGGGCTCGGCTTTGGTGCCTTGTGCCTTGACTTTCAGTATATCGGCAGCGCTTCCTTGTATCTGCCTCCCCTGACTCAACTCAACTACTTCATCGGCTATATCCTCAACATCGTTGTCTTCATGGCTATCTACTACGGCAATGTGTGGAGAGCGCGAGACTTTCCATTTCTCTCCCAGCTGCTCTTTACTGGAGATTCGAACTCGACATCATACCAGACATTTAATCAATCGACTATCCTTGACTCCCACGGTGTGGTCAACGAAACCCTACTGATGCAGGAAGGCGTCCCGTACATGGCTTCAACCTTCGCCTCGTACGTGCTTACACAGAACCTGGCTATTACTGCGACTATTACGCACTTGCTGCTGTACAACTGGGACGACCTGAAGAACGCCTGGTCCTTCATGGCCCCCTCGCAGCTAAAGCACCTGCTGAGCCTCGACACCTACAGGTTTTGGAAATCTTGGAAGGCGCGAGAATATACGACCGAAGAGCTCGACGCCATGGACCCCCATTACCGCCTGATGATCCGCTATCAAGACGTCCCGGACTGGTTCTACGGAATGATCCTGCTCATCTCGGGTGTCGTGGGCCTCGTCTGCATCTACCAGGCAGAGTCCGGCATGGCCTGGTGGGCGTTTATCATCGCGAATGCCATGGCGGCGATAATGATCCTCTTTACCGGCGCGCAGTTTGGCCTGACGGGGTTCAAAGTGCCTGTGCAGCCCATCATCCAGATGATCGGCGCATACCTCGAGCCCGGCCGGCCCCTGACCAATATGTACTTTACACTCTTTGGCTACAATTCTGTAGCTCAGGGGTTGATGCTCCTGCAAGATCTAAAGCTGGGGCAGTACGCCAAGCTGAGCCCCAGGTGCACATTGACCATGCAGCTGGTTGGCACTATCGTCGGGGCCCTGATCAACTATTTTGTCATGATCTCCATCACAGATGCGCAACGAGGAATACTTCTGTCTATTCAAGGCACACATATCTGGAGCGGCGCTGTAAGTCTTGAAGGTGTGATGCAAATTGTTAATGAACATGTGCTGATGACATTGAACATTCAACAGGCACTGCAATCCTTCAATACCCAAGCTATCACCTGGTGAGAATCACAACCCTGCGAGCTTGACTCCCAGCACGCTAACAAATCGTGTTTCCAGGGGCGGACTCGCCAAATATCTCTATTCCCACGGCACCAGGTACCAATGGGTCCCCCTTGGCCTGGTCCTAGGCTTCATCGCTCCAGTCCCACTGTACATCTTGCATCGCTTGTTCCCCAAGCTCAAGCTCGACCGACTCAACATCTCGCTCATCTCGTGGCACGTCGGCTTCCTCGTGACGGGCATCAACAGCGCCGCCCTCAGCGCCTTTGCTGTCGCCTTTTGGTCCCAGTACTACCTGCGCCGGTGGAAACCCGAGTGGTTCCTCCGGTTCAACTACGTCTTGTGCGCCGGCCTCGACGGCGGCACGCAGGTCCTCGTCTTCATCTTGACGTTTGCACTCTTCGGCGCCAGCGGCAAGCCCGTGCCGTTCCCGAAGTACTGGGGCAATAACGCCGACGGGAATCTGGACTACTGCAAGGTTGATCCGGGTAATGGATGAGTATAGGCTATTGACGTGGGACTTTTGGGGCTCTCTTCTATTTCGATCCTAATGATCCGTATAGGAATTTATTTAGGATCAGGCTTTCGTGCTAAATTGGGGATTCGCTCCTTGCTTAACGAACCTCGGGTGTGACGTACCGACAAATATGGACTGAACAGGAGGCATCTCGTAGTATTGCTATTCAGCGCAGTAGACGTAATCATTATGGCAAAACTAATTTTGCAAGTCTGACGAGTTTGAAGGGAGAGAGGCAACAGCAGAAATTGAGCCCGGATTCCGAGCGCACATCCAATCCGAGATGGAGTGTTGAATGTATGCGCATTGCCGGCATTAGTCAGTACAGAAGCTGGTCGGCCTCCCGCTTGTATCGAATCAAATCGGCGTCAAAGGCATCACAAGGACCCACGCTCGGAAGTTGGTGTTATTTATAGTCAGTCGCCTGCTTGTAGGACATTCTGATCAAGCTACCCTTCTCGCCATTTCTGTGTCAGTCAAACCCTCAATCTTGATTCAGATGCGCCTTCCGAGGAATTACCAGGCGACCTTTCTTGCAAACCTCGTTTCCAAAAGTCATGAATATGCTTGATCAAGCTTTCCGATGGGCCTATAGTGTGGTCCAAAACCTGTTGCCCCTCAGCAGTGCCGACGCAGCCGACAGTGAGCCAAGTCCTCACGAGTCTCCGTTGCCTGCGGTGGCTTTCCGTCCGAACCCGCCTCGCGCGGCCCACCTCAAGTGCAAATGCTATCTACGCAATGTGTTGCCCTATGCCTGCCCCCTTACACATGCCTCAATCGGATCCAAGCTCATCATTCTGGTCACCGGAGAAAGCTTCGCTGGGAAAGACTATACCGCGGGCCTTTGGGTCAGCTATTTCAGCGTGAAAGGCATCAGGGCTGGCATGGTCAGCATAAGCGATGCAATCAAGGCGGAATACGCAGAGGCCACCGGAGCGGACCTGAGCCGCCTGCTTGGGGACCGTGCCTACAAAGAACAACACCGGCCAGCATTGACAGCTTTTTATCAAGACCGTGTTCGCCAACGGCCACAACTACCTGAAGAGCAATTTCTGAAGGTTGTGCATGGTGCTGGAGATGTGGAATTGCTCTTCGTCACCGGCATGACAGATGAGGCACCCGTTGCAACCTTTTCTCCATTGGTGCCAGACAGCAGACTACTCGAGGTCCGGGTTCAGGTGGACGAAGAGACCCTCCAGGCTCGCCGGAAATATGAAAGGGTTGCAGATGGCGATGCTGGTTCGAGTGACAAAAGAGCAACGAACACCAGAGCGTCAAGACCAAGTTCGTTGAAGCACAGGCTATGCCTCATCTTTCAAAATGACACAGTAGGAGACAAAGCTGCTATTGAGTTTGCTGTACAGCATCTCCACCCATTCTTTGACGCTAAATTGCAGCGGCTCGCCGACATGGTACGCTCTATCCCCGATTTCCCGCGTTCCGGGATCGACTTCCGCCATGTTTTGAACGTGGCCCAGCAGCCGGGTGGACTGACGTTATGTACATCACTGCTGCAAGATCACTTCACTAAAGACTGGAACAAAGTCGATATGATGGTTTCCTGTGAGACTGGCGGTTTCATCTTCGCGTCGGCGCTGGCTGCGCATATCGGCATCCCTCTGGCCTTGGTTCGCCAAGGTGTCAAGCTTCCTCCACCCGTCCTCTCCATCGAAAAGTCAACATCGCACATCTCTTCCTACTCATCTTCTAGCGAGTCGATACAGAGGCGGTTCGAGCTGGGTCGGGGTGTGATCTCCAGGGGAGCATCAGTGGTAGTGGTGGATGATGTTCTAGCCACTGGAAAGTCATTGCTGGCAGTGCTACACTTGGTGACCGAAGCTGGTGTTAGCCCTGAAGATGTCAGCGTGATGGTGGTGGCTGAGTTTCCAATCCACCGGGGAAGACAATTGTTGCTCCAAGAGGGCTTTGGAAGGGTTTCTGTACAAAGCTTGCTCATCTATGGCGGCGAGTAGGGCATTGTGTCTTGTATAAAGACCAGAGCTTTAAGTTGAATTAAGTTTCAAGATTGATGTCATTGAACAGCTCTCATCTGCTTCCGGTGCGGTTTGGATGAATATTGTGAGGAGCCTGTTTCATCGTATCCATCACATTCAACCATCCGCAATATGCAGAATGAAACAACATATTAGCTTTGGGAGATGGTTGATCGAAGCAAACAATAAAGGAATCAAGAATGATGAGCAGAATTAAATCCATGTAGCGCGTGAGGTATGATGTGAAGGGTTCCGCTGCCACAAGGTGACTTGCTCTTTACGTCTGCTCATCTTCATACTCCTACGCCCGCTCCACATTGACTTCCGATACACCGTCACGGCCTTTGCCCTCTACCTGAGCTTCGTAAAGCTCCTCCGCCCTCCTGGTCTCGATATTCTTGAATTTTCGCAAAGGTTCACCACTGGCGAAGAGCTGGTCGACCTCTTCCAGAGTGCGCCCCCGCAATTCGGGGATGAAGAAGAACACCAGGATGACCATGACGATGTTGATGGCGCCGAAGATGTACCCGACCTTGGCACCAAGGTTGGCATACTTGGCGTTGATCAGGTACGGCAAGGTGAAGGAGGTCACGAAAGTGGTCAGAACGGAGATGACACACGCGAGCAAGTTGGTCTTTTCCTTGACTCGAGAGGCAGCCGCTTCCGATACGACAATGTAAGACCTAGAGACGGAGATAAATAATCAGCACTCTACCTCGTCTTCCTCCGTAGCCGTGTGACACTTACGCGGGAGCCCAGGATAGGTTGAAGGAGAACGAGAAGAGCATGAGCGATGCTACCATAACGTTCTTCTGGATTTCGCTGAGGGCCTTCTGGTCGATCGAGCCTATGCCGCCGAGGACGAAGAGCCAAAGGCCCATCAAGGTGCCTCCGAAAAGCAGGATAGGCCGTCTGCCGAGGCCGTCCACAAAGAGCCAGACGCACAGAATGGCGACCAGTCCCAGGCAATGCATGATTTCGTTCAAGAGGAAAGACCTGTCGCCAAAGCCCTGGGACTGGTAGAAGATGACAGCGTACTGGCTAGGGAAAGCCTGGCCAGTGATCTGCTGCCCAAACATGGCGAGCACGGCGACACCAGTGCGGACCTACACACATTCGCATGGTGAGCAAATGGCAAGGACAGCGGCTGCACAGAAACAAGGGGACCTACCCTGTTTGACTTGTCAAAGACCTCGGCCCAGGTTCCCTTCTCCTGATTGGCGTGTGCGAACTGAAGGGCCTCGATCTCAAGCTGGATCTCCTCCTCGGTGGCCTTCTTCCTAAGCTTGCGTAGACTCTTACAGGCGTCATCGCGTCTGTCCTGGCTGAGCAGCCATCGAGGAGACTCGGGGAGGACCGGCAGGAAGAGGAAGATTAGGGCAGGCATGACGAGCTGGAGGCCCGTCGGAATGCGCCAGCCAGCATCGCTCTGCATGCTCTTGGTGCCGTAAGTGACGCCCGCTGCCACGATGCCGCCGATGGAAATCATGAGCTGGATGGTCGAGGCGAACATGCCGCGGAGGACCTCGGGGGCAGTCTCGGACTGATAGATGGGGACGACGACGATGGCCATGCCGGTCATGGCAAAGGTGATGATGCGGCCGATGGTGAACATGGCCGAGTTGACTGCTGCTGTCTGGAGGACGACACCACTGTGGGGAGAAGATGGCCATGGTTAGCCCACTCACTCCCGAGTTGCCAGACGGCCAAGCCGCAACCCGGAGAACTTACACAACAGAGACGATGCAGAGAGCAAGAATAGCAGCACGGCGACCCCATTTCTCGGCGATCCAGCCGCAAGAGATGCAGCCCTGAAGTCTGTCAGGACCCACCATGGCGCAGCACCCGATCCTGGGGAGAACTCACGAGGGCCTTTCCGAAGAACGGTGTCGCAGTCATGACCGACGATAGCCAGCCTGGCAGCGCCCACTTGAGGGTCTTGGGATCCTGTTCTCCAAATCGGCGACCGAAACTCTGCATGGCCTGCACACCGCCGAAGGTCGCCACGTCGTATCCGAAGTTGAATGCGCACATGGCAAGGTAGCTGCCAGTGGTCAGAACGGCACTGAGGGACAACTACGCGCGAGAGCACTCACATCATGATGAATATGAGCATTGGGTTGAAGAACTTGAGGCGCTGGAACAGCGTCAGGTTGGCTGCCGTGTGGGGAGTCGGCCCAGCCATGATGGAGAAGTGTGGGAAGCCAATCGGCTACAAAATCAAGCAAGTATCAATGATGTGAGCAAGGGAACTTGGCAACGAGACCAGGGGCAATGGTACGCATAGGAGTAGAAGTCCCAGACGAGGACGTCGTGATGCTGCCGTACTTATAGAAAGAGTAAGAGGCACCGGGTCCCTTGACTACCAATCCCGAGTATATGTAGGTGTCTCCCTGATGAGTCGACTTCTCGGTCATGGCTTCGGCTTTGGTCTCAATCCCCATGGGGTCGAGTGGCGTGAGCTGCAAGACCCCGGACTCAGGGAATCGTTCTCCTGCACATAGACCCCGCAAGGATTGTCACTAGGTTGAGGCTGGAGAATTAGCCATGGATATCATACTCAAGGGGTGGATGAGTTTAGCCAATCATAGCTGACGAGGGGTTCCACCGGGGGATCCTCCGAGTTCCGGGGCGAGTCCCGGGTCTCTTTGTGGTAGATTCTGTCGCTAGACCCCGGGATTCCCGGAGAAAAGGCCAATAAGAATAGAGTACTACCGAAATAGACCGAAGGATTCACTAAATCTCCATGGCCGAGCGCACCAGTACTGGCACTGGCCCCTCTTCCCCAGTCCATATTCCCAGTCTAGCCGACCGGATCAAGCCCATCCAAGGGGCCAAGCCCGCCGGGCTTCTCCACGAAGTTTGACGACTTCTCGGTTAAGCACGGCAAGAAATCAAAGCCGTGGTCAAGCCGCCAGAGCACACCATCATGCCCTCGGGCGGGTAAGAATTGCTCTTTAGACAGAGGGTTGGACTTGTTTGAGAGGTCGTATGATCATAAAGCATGTATTGCAGGCTGAAGGCTGTTCCATGAGCTCACTCCTTTCCGGCGAGTGCAATCTCAGCAAGTGCCAAAAGAGTGAGACACTGTGCACTTCTCGAAATTGCCAACCTAAACTTGATGGAGCAAAGACACAATGCTTTTGTTTTCGACCTAATAGGAAAGAAATTTTCAATACAGACAGGTCTACGCCGCCGCCACTTGTGGTACTACTGTCTTGAGCCTCTCTGGTGTTATCTCCGGCTTTCCAATGTACTTGATCCACGCATAGGGGTCATCCATCTCGTCAAAGACACTGACTCTGCCCTGTGTCACCGTAGGATACTCGCCCGCCACACCAACTGATCCAACATCACCCTTGTACTCTTCCCACAGCAGTAGCATCTCCTTTAGAAGCTCAGGCTTCTCTGTGGCCAGGTCGTGCACTTCACCGGGATCGTTCCGGATGTTGAACAGCTCCCACTTCTGAGGGCCCCTGGGTGCGGGCACAAAGGTGATCTTCCAGTCGCCGCGGCGAAGTGCGCCAGAGCCGGCGATCTCGAATCCCATGACGTAGTCCTGGCCATGAATATCGTGAGCGGTATCTGCAGTGCCGGTTGTTGCGGGAGCGTTCATCAGCGAAAGGAATTTGACCCAACTTCGGCCACGAAGGGGTGCGATGGGCCGTCCTTTGTACTCGGCTGGGTGAGTGAGACCAGCAAGGTCCAGGAAAGTGGGCACAATGTCCATGACAGTACAGAAGGCATCGGTGATGATACCGCTCTTAGCACCCTTGGATGCGACAATGCTGACAGGGGGCTTGACGACAAGCGGTACCCTGCAGCCTCCCTCGGTAGAGTGCATCTTGAAGAGCCGCGAGGGAGCAGTGGCGGCCTGTGCCCATCTGCAGCCGTACCAGACGAAGCTGTTCCCTCGACCGATATTTTCCAAGCTGTTATCGTAGTACTTTTCGACGTGCGCCATGATATTGTCGCCAACAAGGGGGACGGCCTCGTAACTAGCACCTTCGGCACCATTATCTGTGGTCTGGGTCAGTATTCAACTTCTCACTAACATTCAGTGTAAAATGTTCCTTGGGGGCCGTACCAGACATAAACAAGACGAAGGTGTTGTCGTATTCGCCAATGGACTTGAGGTACTCGACGACACGGCCGATATTCCAGTCCATTCGGTCGACCATGCCGGCATAGACCTCCATGGCACGGCTAGAAGCTTGACGCACATTCTGGGGAAGCTCGTCCCAGTTCTCCGGTTTACCGTCCGTGATGACGATGGGATGGGCATCGACGTTAGCGTCGACCATTCCCAGCTCCTTTAGTCTTGCCAACCGCTTCTGCCTCAGGGCTTCCGGTCCGTCATCATAGAAACCCCTATATTTATCGCAGTTCTCCTTGGGCGCTTGCAGGGGCCAGTGCGGCGCACTGAACGGCAGGTACGCGAAGAAGGGCTGCTTCTTCTCGTCCTCTGTTCGCTCCTGGAGATACTTGATCATCTTGTCTGCGTACGCATCGCTGCTGTAGAAGCCCTCCGGCAGGCGTCCCAGGAAGCGGTCGTCCTCGGCGTGCAGTGCGCGCGTTGCGGTCTCGAAGAACTTGCCGGGCTCCGTGTTGGGATCCTTGTACTCGGGCTCGTACGCGTAGTGGTTCGCGCAGCCGGGCAGCAGCGCAAACGACTTCTTGAAGCCGCGGTTGATGGGGTGGTGCTCGGGCTTGAGGCCTAGATGCCATTTGCCCGACATGCACGTGTAGTAGCCACCGTCAGACAAGAGTTCGGGTAGGGCGACAACCCGCTCGTTCAGGTAGCCTTCGTGGCCGGGCTTGCCGGCGTGCGCGGGGGACGCGCGCGTGAGCTCATGGAGCTGGCCGAGACCGGCGATGTGGTGGTCAGTGCCTAAGCAGCCGGCTGTCAGCTGTGAGGCCCCAAATGTGCCCCGTCGCATCATATCTTACCGGTCATGAGCATCGACCGCGTCGGCGAGCATGCTGCAGCGACATGGTAGTTGGTGTACCGCAGCGCATTGGACTCGGCGGCCAGAGCATCGATGGCGGGGGTCGAGATCTCTGAGCCGAAGCAGCCACAGTCGCTGAAGCCCAGATCGTCTGCGACGATGACCAAGAAGTTGGGACGCTTGCCGTTTGCTGCTGCCATTGCGACGTCTGATTGTTTCCTAACTTCTTGAGATTGTCGCGACGATCGGAAGAAAGCAGTCTCGAGACTTATGAGCTCATCAAGACTTGGCTTGTCGGCCGTCGGTGGGTTTAGTACCGATAGGGGTCTAGACACCGCGTGGGCCGTGAGACGGAACTCGGCAACTACACAAGCTTCAGGGAGACCCGTGATTTGCCAAGTCGAACTAAGTACCTAGTCCTGAAGCCCCGAAAAGAGCGGAAGCCGAGAGGCAAAGCAGCGAAGACCGACACTAGACCCACTCACCCCGATTTGCGAGTTCCGGTTGTCGGGCCTCATTTCATAGAGGTCTGGATGGCCTGACCAAAGTGGTGGCACCGAGGAGCTGGTCCCTCTACAGACACATAGGGTTTGATTTGAGAATAGTTTAATTTGTTTAGACTTCAGGCTAGGCGTTTAACCACTTGTTGGGACTTCGCTGACAGGGATCGACAGGCTTAGGGCTGTTCATCCTGGGGAAGACAAGAAAACGGCGCGTGACCAGACTCGAGGAGTGCATATCCTGGCTAGGTAGATATCACACTCAGGTAGCACGTGAACAGCGAGTAAAGCATTTTCAGAAGTCACTGTTTGGTTCAATGGCCTGCTCAACGAGGAGGAATCCCATTGCTTGGTGAGGGTCCACACAGACCTAGGGGATCGTACTTGTACAACTGGGCACTTGCTAGGATCAGTCACTTGGTAGACCTATTGCTGACTCATCTTACTTTTCATCTGCACTGGAATGCCAGTCCTGGAGAGCTCGCCTTCTCTAACTTTTTTGACATGGATACCTCGATACGGTGTCTTCCGGAGTCCATGTTCGTGAAACCACCGTTTGGACAAGACTTGTGCTATCCCTTTAAACGCCGTAGGAACACTCCAGGGTTTTTTATCCACTGATCTTTCAGAGACAAGGATCTTTTGCAGGATTTCTTACTGAAGAGGGCAACAGTTGCACGTGATGTGCTCCTACGGCGTCTAAAGGGATAGGTGTTGTCCTCGTCATCCACAGACACTGCTCTGCAAAGAAGAAGCACGTCATCTCTTAACCAGTCGTACAGTCCTCGATCATCATCCATAATGACTGAAGTAGGTAGTGCATCGGCTGTGGCCTTCGGCAACGATGATCAAGCTTCGGGACTTAGACTCCAGACTAGTGCTCGGAAAAGTGGATGGTCGGGGAGATATCCCGGCATGGCCAAGGTAAGAGTCAGCGCGACCCCACAACGACTCGGTCACGTAAGGAATGAGGCAGAGTCTGTTGCGGCAATAATCCCCGAACTTTTGATCTCCGCACTGTCATCCATTGTTGAAGCACACACGCTTATCGCATACCTTGATACGCCTGCCGGTTTGGCCGGAAGAGCATGAGGACCCTGGATCTTCGAACTCGATATTCTCGTACGCTCCTGTCAGCGTCCCAGCTTATCTGCCGTATTGAACCAGACGCGGGCAGTCTCCCCGGCTACAGCCGGCGGCATGGAGACCCCGGAATCAACATCGTACCCCGCGGGCCCGGCCAAACGCCGGCGCACCCACTTGGCCTGCATCACCTGCCGTGACCGCAAGTCACGTTGTGACGGGCTACGTCCCGCATGCAGCAGCTGTGTGCGCCGGAAGCAGGCCGACTCCTGCTCGTACGACCAAGCAGCGGTCGCGTCCAATCGGTAGAGCATACACCCCTGTCAGCATGGTTACACAAGCTGACACTTAACTCTAGGTACATTGCGGCTCTCGAAGACCGGATCCAGAGATTAGAAAGAGGGAACGTTCGGATTCCTGAATCCCCCCAAGGAGGAAGCATTCCTCGTCAGTTCCATCCCGCACAGTCCACCTAACTTGCCTCCGGCTAATGCGCAAACTTCAGCCTCCGATGCGGGTGCAACGACATCAAGCAGATACGGTCGCTCGGAGGTTCACGATGTGGTTGAACACGATCGACAGGAACGCCCCAGCCTGTCGAGGAGTGAGCCCTATGGTAGTGCATCGAGCTTGGTAGAATCGGAAGGGCCTTACCAGGTCGATGGCCTTGCCACCGTCATGCCTACGGAGAACAACGACAATTTCACCTATGGGGGCTCGTCAACTATTGCCTTTCTACGTCAAGTTGGGCGTGCAGGACGTGTTTCAGGTTATTCTACGCCCCGATCTCGAGTGCTTCCACTTGGCGACAGGACCAGACGCGTATCCGGTCTATCGGAAACCCCATCCTTGCCACGAAGACTGCTTTCAAAAGAATCGGGTCTTGCAAGTCTGCCCATTCGATATCGGTCAGACCGGTACCTCGGCTGCTATTGGGAGTTCGTCTACCCGCTTTTCCCGCTGTTCTATAAACCGCACTTCATGGCAACCTACGAACAGCTGTGGATGCCCAGGACGAGCGAGCCCATCGAGACCGCAGAGGACACATTGTTCCTGTGCAACTTAAACCTAGCTTTCGCACTAGGTTGCCAGTTTTGTGACGACATCGACCCTCGTGAACGGCTTGCGATGGCCAACCAGTTCTTTGAGCGGTCTCAGCAGTTCATGGCCTTCGACTTTCTCGCGTCGACAGAGATAGCAGTGGTCCAGTGGTTGCTCTTGATGGCCGTCTATTGTCAGTCAACCTCTCATGCAAGTCGATGTTGGAACTCTGTAGGACTAGCAATCAGAATGGCTCAAAATATGGGTCTGCATCTGGAGTGCCCGAGGTCCCCTCCCGCATGCCAAGTCGATGCGGAAATCAGGCGCAGGGTATGGCACACTGCCGTAGTCCTGGACAGGTATGGAATATGAGGTTCCGAGTCTCATGACGGACGATGACTGACATACCGCCAGACTCGTGGCAATGACGTTTGGCCGACACGTCATGATTGCTCCGGAGTCGTACACAACTCCGCTCCCGAAGGAGATAGACGACGAGTATCTTGTGGAGGGCGGTGCAGGGACACAACCTCCGGAGAAGCCATCCCATATGGGTCTGTTTGTTTCGGCGTGTAAACTTTTCGAAATACTCCATGGTATCTTGGGAACATTTTATGGTCCGAATAGCGACCCGCGGCACAATGATCCTCCACCCTCGGAACAAGTGCTTGGCGACGTCCTGAACTTCAATCGGCAATTAGACACGTTCCTCAAGCAGATGCCAGAGCACCTCAACATATGGTCTGGGCCACGAGCCTTAGCTCTGGGCAACGAACCGTACATTCATCTTCAGCAGCAGGTGCTATGTTGTCGGTAAGCATTTACCGTCCAAGTTTCCTCGTACGTGATTTGCTGATATGGCATGCAGCTTCCTGTATACCAGGATACTTTGCTTACGACCCATGCTGCAAATAGCATTGCATAGTCGCAGTCGACTGCAAGCTACCACAATCGACGATAGTATATTAAAGCGGTGCTCAGATCTCTGTGTTGAGACCGCCTACCGTCTCATCGACACTATCGACAAGAATCTCGACACTCCTTACAAGAGCCCTGGATGGCATTCTGTATACTGTAAGTCCTCGTTGCAATTTGAGACGATTTTCTTGAGAGCTGTTACTGATTGCATGTCAGTCGTCTTTGCCTCGGCTACAATCATTTTGTCTTCACTCAAGCTGGGTACAGGAGCAAGTTCCAAGAGTGCCTTTGAAGAGTCTTGGGAAAGTTGCATGAGGATTCTCCACCACTACCGAGACCGCGTCCCTGCTGCACCGCGTGCTATTCAGGTCTTGGGGGCTTTACGGCAGCAGCTCGAGAGTTCAAATGGTAAGTTTCAGGAAGTTAGATCACGAGACTCTGTTTCGCAGCTGATCAGCCCAAATAGAATCATCCCAGTCGAGACAAGCTCGCGACGAACCTCGGTTTAGTGCCCTTGTGTCTGGGGATTCGATCTCATCAAGTCGAATGTTTGGAGACTTGGACGAGTCGCACCTAGAGCTTGGTCAATTACATCTTGATGGCACAAATGCGTTGTATGATACCTGGTTCACGCAACAGCTGTTTGGTTTGGACTTTGTAGGAGGGGCATAACAATCACTTCTTGTTTGATCTATGTTGCAGCCTTATCGGATATCATAGTCTATTCCCCAGGACATCTCATTGACTACAATTCTAAAGCCTCGGGGTTGCCCCGAGCCTATCCCTCAACTCGGCCTTGGCCACGTCGCACATCTCTGCCATGTTGATGTTCCCAAGCTTGTCGTTTCTCCAGTTGATCTCGGCCTCGATCTTCTGGAAGTCGTTGCCGACACCCTCAGCCCGCCACTCGTACGTATCGCCAATGAAGCGGCTGCTCTGCATCAGGAACTCGCCTCTGGCTCTCCGCTGGGCATCGAATGTGGCGCAGACCGCCTCCAGGGCTGCGGGTGATGTCACATGGTCATCTGCCAGCAGCTCGGCCAACATGGCGCTGTCCTCAATACAGAGGCCGGCACCCGCGCCGTGATGCGGTGAAGTGGCGTGCGCCGCATCTCCCATGATACAGATACGCCCCTTGCTGTAGCTCGGTGGAGGGTTGTCCATCAGATCAAAGATCGCCCACTGAAAAAGCAAAAGGAGTCAGCAAGGATGCACCCGTATGTTTCACCATATCGGCATCAGTGTAATTGATCTTACCACGTCCAATTTAGGGTTCGTTAAACTGAGCAGTTCGACAAGCTCCTTACTATAGTGCCCAAAGTCCCGGAGTAGATCTTCCCGTTGTGATGTCCTCGTAAGCTTCTGATGGTCGGGCCACTCTTCGGGGTCTGTCTTGAAGGCTACAATGTTAAGGATCTTTCCATGTTCGACAGGGAAGGTCAAAACATGTCCGCCAGGTCCCATCTATACCAGGGTCAGTCTCACTCCCCAATGCCCTGCGTAAATCGTCGTCAAAACTCACATGCATGCAAGCATTCTGCGCTCTCTCTTCGCCAATGACCTCGGTCGCCTTCTCCATAGGCACCAAACCCCGGTAGGCATACTTGTGACTGTACAAAGGACGGGCGCATGGGTGCTCGGCCCCGAAGAGGCACTGGCGGACACGCGACTTGATTCCGTCACAGCCAACGATGGCGTCGGCTTCGGCCGTGGTGCCGTCCTCAAAGTTCATTCGCAGCCTGCCGCTCGCGTTCTCATCAATGCTGAGCAGCCTCTTGCTGAACTGCGCGACGCCTTCCGGCAGCAGCTTGATCATCTCGTCCAGGAATCGCGCCCTGTGGACTCCGTTCTGGCCCAGTTCGTTGCAGATAGAGAAGGCGTAGTTGTCACCGTCGTGAAAGCCGTCGACATAGTCAAACCAGACCTTTTGCTTCGACGGCCAGAGGTTCCTCGTGCAGACCTTTTCAAAGGCGCGGTGGACGCCCTCGTGGCACATCCTCATGGCCTGCACGGCATTGGGGCTGAAGGAGACGCCGGCGCCGATCTCGCCGAACGCGGGTGCCTGTTCGTAGATCTTGAAGGGGATGGACCGGCTGCTCAGGGCCGCAGCGAGGGTGATGCCCGCGATGCCACCGCCAATAATGGCGATCTCAAACTCCTTTGGTCGTGCCATCGTCTGAAAGTAGTCGAAGGAATACTAAAGATTAAACTAAGGGTCGTGGTTGGAGAAATGGCAAGGTCTCTCGCAGATGTTAATACACATTTCTTGCCTAGGTTTGGACTTTATACATGGGGCAGCTCAGGTGCATTGCCGGGTTATCTCTTGCAGCTGATGCTGAGATTCATGCGGGGGCGAGATGACCGGATATTCTCCCCGACATGAGCGGCGTATCTCCGGGATGCGTGGAGGAGACTAGCCCCCAAGCTTCCCCAGAACACTTGCCTAAAAAAAGATTGTCCCTAACAAAATACCAAATGCAGCCATTCTGTGTGGTCCATCGTTTCGGGGCCCAAAGCCGGCCTCGCGGCAGCCCCGGTTTTGCGCCCACATCACCATGTGGAGAGACCGAGGATACTCTTTCGGATGGCCGTTTCGGATGGCATCCGGATAGCATGGCGAATCGCAGGGAGGCAGGATGAAGAGCTTTTCGTACAAAGCGCGCGTACCCCAGTCGACTCTTGTCGGCATGGCCCCTCCTCCCCTGATCAACGTACGGCCTTGGGGTCCAGTCCTGCAGTGCTTCTTCCGACATTTCTCTTCCTTCCCTTTTTAACTCGAACCCCAGACTCCACACTCCGCCATGGCTAGACCCAAAGTGCCCGATGACCAGCGCCAGCGGGCCAGCGCGGCGTGCGTCTTCTGCAAGACGTCCAAGAAGCGCTGCGACTCGCAGCTCCCGTGCGGCCATTGTGTTCGCAAAGGCCGGGCAGCGTCGTGCCATTACCGTCTTCCAGCCAAGCGGCACAAGAATGTGTTCCCGCATCAGCTGCTGGAGGCTCCGACTCCCCCGTTGACGGCCTCGGACACACCAATCTCAGACTTCTTATCGACAGCGCCAAGTATGCGCAGTTTCCCGGCTACGACTGTTAGCACAACGTCCGGAGATGAAGAGTCTGTGGCGATGAGCAATGGTACGGCGCCGCCCCAGCCCATCTCTGCGTGGTCCCGTTTCAGGGAGCCATGCTTGTCTCCCACCCAGCAACCCCGGATGTTAAATCCTGGAAAAGGCGAGAAAGGTAGGTAGATGCTCATCAACTCCAACAACGTGCAGCGTTGTTGACAAAGCCGGACTAGTGCTCGTCGGGAGCATGGCCACAATCTCCTTTCTCCAATTCATCCGAAAGACTCTCAGGCGATACAGCGGCCCGTCGACCTTCTCAGAGGGCGTCAAACAGCAGTCGATGCTCGAGATCCCGGCACCGGATGAAGACCACCAAGACCCAGGTGAAGCAGACATCGCTCCGGTAGATCGTGCGCGCCTCATCCAGTGCTTCTTACAAGTGGTGAGTTGTCTCCGCGCCACATTTTCTCATTGTCCAAGCAGTCCCGCAGAAGCATGTGCTGACGCAAGTGGCATATGCACAGACAAGCGGCATACTCTACATCTTCACGCCTGACAAGCTGTCGCGACTACTCGCAGCCCTGAACAAACCAGAGCTCACCCTCCCCCCAGACGACCTCGCCGCAGTCTACCTTATGCTGGCCATAGGGGCTCGGTGCAATAGCAGCGACCATATGGATCAGCGTCTTTCCTCGTTCTACTTCTCTCGAGCTCAGAAGCTGGGCTTCCGAGATATGCTGCAGCAGCCGAGCCTGGGCATGGTCATCAACTTCACTCTCATGAGCTTCTACATGCTGTGTGACTGCCGCAGGAACTCGGCATCGTTGTATCTCGGCGTCGCGTGCCGGAGTGCCGCGATACTGGGGCTCCACTCGCCTGTCAAGGATGAGGCTTGGCCTATCGAGTCACAACGGCTAAGGTATGTCTGTGACGTTGCGCGCCGTTCCATGTTCGCCCCTCCTTGCTAACTTATCCCTGACTTGACAGAGCGCGTGTATGGCGAAGTCTTTGCGTCCTGGACATCCAGCTTAGCACCATCCTCGGCCGGCCCAGCGGGACAGGGATCGCCGAGCCACAGCAAGAGATCGACCCGCAGATGAGGAAAGGCGACAGCGACCACTTCGCCCTGGCCCTCAACGCGAGCTTCTCGCTCAGCTGCCTCGTCAACGCCATCTCGCAGAGGCTGGCGGCGGACCAGTGCCCCGACATCCACTTCGTCGAGGGCTACCTGCAGAGCCTGCGGGGCTGGGCGCAGTGCCTGCCCGAGGTGCTCCGGCAGGACATCCAGACGGGCCACCAGGGGGTCGCGGCGTGGAAGCACCAGGCCAAGACGCTCGGGAGCATCCACGTCGCCTGCAGCTACTACTTTGCCGTCTTCCTCATCACGAGGCAGTTCCTGGTCGCCAGGGTGATCCGCACGCTCGAGTCGCAGGAGGGCGGGTTCGATGACGGCGGTGCCGGCGGCGGCGGCGGCGGCGGCGCGGAGAGCGAGACCTACCACAAGACCAACGAGCTGTCCCGCGCGTGCGTCGGGGCCGCCACCTATCTGATCCAGATGTGCCATGACGCTTTCAAGGAGGGGATGTTGCGAGGGAACATGTGTATATTACAGTGAGTCTCAATGCGGGATTCCAGCGTTTGCTGATGGTGGGCAACACGGTTTGATCTAACTATTTCCGACAGGTCTTGGGTCTTCGCCGCAGGGCTGATCCTCGGGTTTTCTCTCCTTGGCACGCCGGAGGGTACCTCGGAGGAGGTGCAGGAAAGCTTCAACCTCTCACGCCAGATCGTCGACCACCTATCCAGTCTCAGCCCACAGGCCCAGCGCGACTCGGAGCTCCTCTCTGGCTTCGCCGAGGCGCTCGACGCGCACCGCCGCCACCGGCAGATCGTCAAGCCGCCCGCGGCGGGCGGTGTCTACCTCGAAAAGATCGTGCTGTCGCGCCCCGACACGATCATCACGCAAGCTCACGTGTACCAGACGCCGGCGCCGACCGATGCGGACAACGAGAGCCTCAATGTCATCGACCCTCCGGCACCGCCGCAGTACGACATCCTGGACAACTTTCAGTGGATCAGCTCGCCGGAGGAGTTTATCGGGGTGGAGATGGGGAACACTCTGACGTCGCCGGCGATATGGGATGAGTACGCGTATAACACACCTCAACTGGGTGGGAATGTGGATCTGGACGATCTTTTGGGCTTCTAGATATCAGCCAAGTAGCGACTGCTCAAGTGTGTTCAATATCATAGTCCGATTGAAGCTATGACTGAGTCAAATATGAAAGTTTCTCAGCTCGCAACAGGAGATTTGAAAGTGAAAGAGTTAAGGGCTCGTCATCAGAGGTTCCTCAGCCGTAGGAGAGCAATGCATGCATGTCTGATATTGATAGCCATTGCAAATATCTAAAAATCTTCTTTATTCTCAGCCATGAAGAATGTAAACTCCCAACGCCGTCTCAATGCAGACTACAGACAAGACCCAGGTGGGTGGACTCCCACTGCACACATCTACGCATCCATGGCCTTCTTGGCCGCGCTCTTCTGCTTCTTGAGCTTGGCCTTGCGCTCGGCGATCGACTTGTCCAGCTTGTCGTCGTTGCTCTCGGCCGCCGCCGCCGCCGCCGCCTTCTTGGACTTCTTGGCCGGCCTGCTGGGCTTCTCCTCGTCCTCCTCCTTGCCCTCGCCGGGGCCCGCGGCCTCGATGCTCTTGCGCTTCTTGCCGACGTTGGCCTTCTCCTTCTTGTCCTCGATGGCCCGGGCGGCCTCGGAGCCGTCCTCGACGACGTCCTTGCCCTCGAGCCACAGCGAGTCGGTCTGCCAGACGGGCAGGGCGGTGCTGTGCGGGCTCTTGATGAAGACGCTCTTGACGTTGTCCCACTTGGAGGGCACGAGCTTGTCGACGAGCTGCTGGACGAGGGCCTCGACGTTGGCCGACAGGTGCTCGGGCTTCCAGCCGGCGTAGCCGACGACGACGGCCGTGTTGGTCGAGGGCGACAGGTTGACGAGGGCGGCGCCGACGGCCTTTTCGATCTCGGCGGCGACCTCGGCGGCGGGCCGCGAGTTGACGTCGTCGCCGGCCTTGGCCTTGTCGCGCTTGACGCGCTTGCCGTCGACCTTCTGCCTGGACTTCTGGAAGACGGCCGGGATGGGCCGCTTGATGGTGCTCTTGTAGAAGACCTTGCCGAGGACCTTGGGCAGGCGGTTGATGATGCGGTCGTCGGCGACGAAAATGTCGTGGTCGCCGCGCAGCTTGCGTTGGGCCTCGTACTGGTTGAACTTGGCCTTGAGGTGTGTCAGGTCGATGACGCGAGTGATGCGCTTGCGCAGCTCTTCGGGGAAGGCGTCGGAGGCGACGAGGTTCTTGTAGTGGCGCTGGGGGTCGGCCGTGATCACGCAGATGGTGGTCTCGGGGTCGGTGTTGAGGGCGTGGGGCAGGACGATCTTGTTGGGCTGCAGGCGGGAGCTGTCGCGGATGTGGCGCTTGGTGGTGAGGGTGACGAAGATCGGGGTGTCGGCGCCCGCGCCCTCCTCGTCGGCGTCCTCGAGCAGGTTCTTCTTCCCGGGGGCGACGGCGCTCTCCTTGGCCGACTTCTTGATGTGGGCGAGCAGGGCCTTGGAGGCCTTGAGGGACTGTGGTGACAATGTGAGCATAAACGTGCGTTCCTGTCGGCATTGATGGGCCAGACGTACCTGGTCGGGGTCCACGAGGGACGGGGTGACCGTTTTACTCCTTGTGACAGCAGTTGGGCCGGCCATTGTTGCGAATGATGTGCTGTTTGCAACGATTGTAGAGTCGGTGGAGAGGTCTTGCGCCCGAAGGCTGGTGTTTTTTGGTGGGGAGTGACCGGAGCTGGAAACTTTTTTTTCTGCCCAAGGCGGTGAGTGAGAGTGGAGATGGAACAAACATGGAAGTTGAGCAAACGAGCAAACAGCACAGGGACCGGCGCTAACGGAGGTCGGCATCGATAAGCGCCGGAAGAGCTCCAGCACCCGCATCCCGTGTTTAGCGGGGCTTCCCGTGCAAAGACGCGGTAGCATGCAATTTCATGGAATTCGACGCATGGGGTTGGAGTATTGTAAATTGTAAAAGATTCAGGCTCGGCCGTGATGCTATCGCATGTTCGCTGGTCAAGATGGACATAAGCTGGCGTGATTGGCTCGCAAGCCGAATGTCAAATCCGACACGCGACGGCTGATCAGCAGCTACTAAGTCGGCGAGAGTCGAACACTCAAAGCAAAGCCACACAGGGCAGGTAAGGCAGGTGCAATGGCGAGACGGTTTCATGTTGGGCACTTTGCTTGGAAACTGTACCTGAGGTCATGCATGGACTGCGCGGCCTGGAAGTCGCGGTCCAAATACCATCATCGCAGCCATTCAGTCCCAGCTTTCAGCATCTATGGATGACAGGAGAAACTCCAAGGACATCGGCCCCTCGTGATGACATACCAGAGCCACGGCTATCCGACCGGCTAATCGTCATGCCCTGCCCTACCTCCTACACCCAAGACTGCAGAATCTGCTCCTTGTGTCAGAGTGCGTGCAGGCGGGCAGTGCGTGGAGCCAGTGGGGTCTCTTCAAGACGCGATTTCAAGGAGGCTGGCGACGACTTGCATGACGCGCTGCAGATGCAGCAAATCGGCAACATTGAGAATGAACAAACCTTGGTTGTTCAAAATGTGTTCTGGACAGAAGTATAATACCAAGAAAGAACCATAGTTGTCGTGATCCTCGCCCGTCACAGGCAAATCAGCATTGGATGGTCGACGAAGATGGAGGGCATGGACTCATAATAGGTAAACACGAGGACTTCTAGCTGTACGTCATGTTCCGACCACTTTAGCAGCCCCCAGCACCTGTGTTGCATTCTTCAGGGCCGCTAGAACGGGCGCGTGCTCCCTGTAACCCAGCCTCCCTCGGGGCCCTTTTGGGGGGGCGCGGCCTCGCTAAAGCATGCCCAGGCGTGCTGTGCCCGGACCACCTTGGTGCTGGCAGAGGCTCGCCTAAGCAGCTAATAAACGCTGCGCTCCACACCAAACCATCAGACCAAGCCAGACCAAGCCAGATACGCGCTTTGGCGACCCAAAAATCACGACACGGCCGCGACCAGCACACGACGCCCTTGCTGGAAAGCTCTTGTCCCGTTAAATACCATCTTGGTCCCCCCACCCACGCCTCCGGGCCTCCTTCCACCAGGCCTTCTTTGCCTTGTCGATTCTTTTTTCTCTTGGACTGTCCTGCTCTCTCTCTTCGAGCTTGCCAATTTACGATACAGTCCTTTCCCATCTTCTGGATCTGATCATTGGTCTCTCTCTCTCTCTCTCTCTCTCCCACTTACATGTGATTGCGGACACGGGTGTTCTCGATGATTGGACGAGCCGCGTAAATTGAGACGAGACGAGACGCGCGACCCCATCAAATTCCACGACAACACGCGAGATATTATACCCAGTCACGTCACCTCAGAACTCGACCGCCGAGGCCATTTTTGGAGGCCGGGACAAATTGATATAATTCAGAATTCGATTTTCTTTTTTTTGGTCGACATTGACATGCAAAAAGCACTGCAATAATGGACTCGTCTCCCGGTAGCAAGGCCACCGAGCCTACGCTGCCCTCCACAGCCGGCGTAAAACGCCCTGCTCCATCTCTACTCCCGCCATTCGAGCCTCTCTCCTCCTCACCAGGGCTCCCTCGACCGCTCAAGCGACAGGCACGGGCCGGCTCATTAGGGGCAAATGCGTACCTCAAGTACCCGACTCCCGTCCCGACGTCCAGCACGGGCATCCTGTCCTCGTCCCCGCCACGCGTCAGAGCGCGACCTGCGCTCGCCCGGGCGCCGTCCAACACCACGGAACGCGCCCCGCTCTCGGCCGTGCCCTCCATCGAGCTCAACGAGAACGGCGAGACCCTCCTGATGGGCCGCTCGAGCAACTCGTCCCACTACCAGCTCTCCGCCAACCGGCTCATCAGCCGCGTGCACGTCAAGGCGCGCTACATCCCGGCCTCGAGCCCGCTCGAGCTCAACAAGGTCGAGATCATGTGCAACGGCTGGAACGGGCTGAAGCTGCACTGCCAGGGCCGGACGTGGGAGCTCGCCAAGGGCGACACCTTCACGAGCGAGACGGAGAACGCCGAGATCATGATGGACGTGCAGGACGCGAGGGTGCGGATCCACTGGCCCAAGAAGGAGAGGCAGGAGTCGCTGGCCAACCTGTCCGACTCGTCCTGGGACGACTCGCCTCGTGCTCCGAGGACGACGGGCAACACTGGGGGCTCCGGGCTGCTGCAGTCTAGCCCGCTGCGGAGGAACACCCGCATCGCATCCCCAGAGTCGCCCACGCCGGCCAACAACTCGCACGGGTCTGCGGCCAGCCTGCATGCACTGCTGCCAGATACGCGCGAGAACTCGCCCGGTGCCCAGATCCAGATCTACGAGGACGGGAGTGCGGACGAGCAGGAGCTGCCCAAGCAGGTCGAGCAGGACCCCGGCACGAGCTTCATGACCGAGATCACAAACAGCTTCTCGAGCGACCTGAGCGATCTGCAGTCCTCCGAGGAGGATGAGAACGACCCCAACGAGGAGAACGATCCCATCATCCACTCCTTTGGCCCCTTCGGTGCCAACCTGTCCAACCGCCTCGCCTCCTTCTCCACACTGAGCCCCAATGTGCGGCACTCCCCGACCAGCCGCAACGTCTCCCACGGCCACGACCCATCCACCATCGTCGCCGCCTCCACGACCAGGGCCCTGGCGTCAGTCCTGGAATCCGACGACCCGCCCAGCAAGCCCACCTCGGACTCCTCCAAGCCCACTCCGATCCCGGAGCCCGCCCCGGCGGTGGTCATCCCGGCGCACATCAGCGTGCCCACCATCACGAACCACCTCGTCAACCAGCTCGCCTTCTCGCGCCTCTCGTCGGTGCCCCTGTCGGCCATCATGCACAACCTGCCCGCCGAGGAGAAGCGCGACCTGAGCAAGGACTGCCTGCGCCACATCATCGAGACGACCGACTGCGTCGGCATCATCCCGCGCCAGGGCAAGGACGCCGCCGGCAAGGCCCTCGAGAGCGAGTACTACTACGTGCCCGAGCGCGACGGCGACGAGTCGCGCCGCGCCGCCGTCGTCGACGGCCTGCGCAAGCCGAGCCTCAGGAACTGCCGGAAGCAGCACAAGGTATGTCTCCCTTTCTTTTTTTTTTTTTTGGTCTTCGTTTTCTTGGTGAGGTGTAAAAGTGGACTAAACAGTGTGGGGTCTCTGCAGCAATATTACTGGAAGAAGCCGAGAACACCGTAAACGAACGACGCAGACAACCTCGACGATGATGACGAGCTTTGAGAGTGATGCGATTTGAATCTCGATGAGACGATGCAATGAGAAATCCTGCGCATACCCTTTCCCTGCCCCCCAAAATACCTAGCATCCGGATTCTGATTACACTGTTTTATATTATCAAAATTGGTCTCGAGGCCCGTTTCCCCCTGTTTGTTCCCCCATTACCCTACCCCATGGTCATTATTTGCATAGCGCAGGGCGTTGCTGGCATTTTCCTCCTTTTCTGCGTTTGCATTTCATCTCTGTTTGTACCTGCAGTTGTCCAAGGATGCTATCTCAAGCGCTGCGTCCATTGAGCCGTGCTGTTTATGGCACCATCTCGATGGAGAAGCGCGTCTTAGCTGCATAGGGTACCTTCCGCAGGCCGTGTACGAGTTTGATAGCTGTCGGACTTGAATATAAAAAAAAGTAGAGATTTGGCTGCTGATGCAACACGATACGTCTGCCGATGCTGTGAAAACTAGCAACCAGCGCGAACATACATTGACGGCTTGCATCCATTTAGTTACTCGCAGGCATCAGCCAGCAGGCACTCTAGAATCGCCACCCGCAACTCGGAGCTCATGTCGATCGCCTCCAGCCCGGATATCTGCGTGGACCGAGGAGTATCTGGCTTCTCAAACAGCTTCCAGATGGCGTCTTTGAGGTCGTACTCTACCTCTGCGCGGTCCACGACTTCGCGAACGAGCGAGACCGCATTGTTGGGCGCGAGCTGTGGGTCGTCGCTCATGAACACCACGACACTGTCTTCTGGAAGCTTGTACCCGATGTCGATGACAAGACCGTTGGCCACTTGGGACGTTTGCGCATGTGTCGGCTTAGCGAGACCGACCATGATTTCCACAGGTTCAGATTGCCCCCGGAACCCTATCAGTCGCAGTGCCCAGTGGCGCTTAATCCTGGAAGCCCTTGACCCCTGAGGAACTCCTAGCGTTGGGCGGATGCCGATAAGACCTTCGTCCTGTTCAATATAAATCGTCGTTGTCATCCTCGCGCCAGTCTCTTCGTCATCCTCGACAAGATCAAATATCCCCTCTGCCCCAACGACAATGACAACCTCGAGGCCATCTGGGTTCCTGGCCCCGAACTCCGGAGTTTCCGCCCGGTCAAGCGGTACTATCGAGCCTTGGCTCAAGAGAACGGGATATGTCTCCAGCGTGCGAGAGAACCACAGCTCCCGGCCGCCCTGGTACGCCACCCCCGTGAAGAAGTCAACGTACTTGCCCGGCGGCAGCCAGCCCCTCGCCCTGCCCAACCCCACGCGCCGGTCCTGCGGCGACACGATGGGCACGACGATCATCTCGGACCCGAAGAGGTACTGCTGCCTGTACCGGTACGCCTCCTCGCAGTCCGGGTAGTCCCAGTACATCGGCTGGACGAGCGGCTCGCCGTCCGCGCCGTCCGTCCTCGCGGCCCGGGCGTTCATGGTGTACAGGTACGGCAGCAGGCGGTGCCGGAGGCGCATGAACCCCGCGACCGCGGCCCGGGCGTCGCCGCGCGGCAGCCGCCAGGGCTCCTTGGCGACCCACGGCGAGCTGGTCGAGTGCAGCCGCGCGACGGGCGAGAAGGCGCCGAGCTGGACCCAGCGGGCCAGCAGCTCGGCGTCCTTGGCGCCGCCGATGTGCCCGCCCACGTCGTGGCTCCACCACCCGTAGCCGACGTTGGCCGCCGTCGCCGTGAACTCGGGCTGGAAGGCCAGGCTGGCCCAGGTCACGCGCGTGTCGCCCGAGAAGCCCACCGGGTAGCGGTGGCTGCCGGGCCCCGCGTACCGCGAGAGGATGAGCGGCTGCTCGTGCTGGCGGTGCTGGCCCTTGTGACTCTGCGCGTTGTGGGCGTAGTGGAAGTGGTTGAGCACCCAGAGCGGGTCGACGCCCCTGAGCCGCGAGTAGGGCCCCTGCTGCCAGTCGATCCAGACGAAGTCCATGCCGTCCTTCTCCAGGGACGCGATGAGCACGTCGAAGTACGCATCGAGGTACCGCCGGTCCGTGGCGTCGAACGGGATGGGCTCCTTCTCGGACGGGTCGCGGCCCGTAGCCTTTGCAAATCGCTCGTACAGGTCTTCGAACGGGTAGACGCCGTCCGCGGGGTGGTCGTTGAGCGTAGTCCTGAGCCCGCGGTCGTGCAGCGCGCCGAGGAACGCGGGCGGGTCCGGGATCAGCTCCCGGTTCCACGTGTAGCCCGTCCACCCGCTGGCGCCGGAGCGCCTCACGCGCGGGTCCCCGCCGGCGATGTGCCAGTCCATGTCGAGCACCGCGACCGACAGCGGGACCCCCTCGGCCCGGAACCGGTCCACGAGCGCGAGGTACCCCGCCGCGGTGTACGGGTAGTACCTGCTCCACCAGTTGCCCAGCGCCCAGCGCGGCAGCAGCGGCGCCGGGCCCGAGACGGCGTACAGCGCCCGCACGGCGGCGCGGTAGTCGGACCCGTAGGCGAACAGGTAGCCGTCGACGCGGCCCGGGCCCGGGCGGCGCGTGGCGGGCCGCCCCTCGTCGTCGAAGAGCATCGTGTGCGAGTCGTCGATCGCGGCGTGGCCCCGGCGCGACGCGACGCCGAGGCCCATGTCCACGGCGCCGTCGGCGCCGTCGAGCGTGCGCGCCGTGCCGCCGAGGTTCTCGCCCGGCGACGGCGGCTCGCCGTACCGCCACGTCTTCTGCGTGTGGTTCTTCACGACGGCGAAGAGGCCTCCCGGGCTGAACTCTTGCTTGTCGTAGGTGAGGCGGAAGCGCGCGGTGGCGATCTCGAGGGTGTCGTCCGTCTCGGCCACGCGGAACTCCGGCGTCGGGCACTTGTCCCGCTGGGTGGCGAACACCGAGGGCCGGTCTTCGAAGTGGCCGTCTGGCGCCCACTCGTAGCGCAGGAGGCCGTCTGCGAGCACGGTGAAGCGATACTTTGCATTGCGGCCGCCGCCCACGATGGGAGATTTGCGCTGCGTAGTGCCGGCGGAATCGGGCGGTTCTGTCTCAGCAGCAAGCCTGAGTTGCATGATTTTATATTTCAAAGGAACCAAACACTAATAAGGAAGATTGCATAGCACATTGAGCCGAAACTTTGGACTCGGGCGTGTTGAATTCGCTTTACAAGTGGTATGAACTGACATACGTGACCAACCCCGCATGAATGAACCGCGCATCATCCCGGGCTGCCGTAGAGAATCCCCACAAAACTCCGACTACGCCCGACTTCATAGCAGAGTTGTCACCCAGCCTACAGGACCCATGGGAACTGATGCAGGAGGAATACAGCATTCCTTCAGGACTGACAAATTCTCGCTTGGATCTTGATATGTGAAACATATTAAGGGACAGTAGAAGAAGACACGAAAAGCGGTGAAAGAATAAGATACCTTGAACCACCGGCCATGATGCATTGGTAGTCAGCGTCATCAGATCCCTAGGGAAGTGTATGTGCCCTCCTTCTTCAAGGGCGTCGAACCGAGGGAAAGATTCTGCCCAGATTTCTGGCAGTGACTAGGTGACTGAGGTGCAGATGTATTACACCTCGTTGTTTCAGCGTCGTTCTCGATTCCATCGCCATTGGTTGAAAGGATGCTGCAGCCCGAGCAGGGGGCCACGCCACTGCCAATACTTTCTCTTCCCAAGGCAGATTTTCAGACCACATCAGGCACCAATTTACTCCTACTTCCATTTTTTTTTTCAATCTCTCTCATTCTCAACGATCTCAAACTGTTGAGCTTCCCATTCAAGCTGCACACACCTGAGACCTGATTTGTGCTATCCTTAACAAGAACGGCTGCTGGTACTTATTTGAGATCGTTTCTTCCAGCATCTCCGCAGAAAAATGGCTGAGGCTTTGGGCGTCGCCTCAGGCGTCATCTCGATGGTTGGCTTTGTCGGACAATTGGCGCAGGGTTCAGCATTTCTCCACAGATTTTTCAAAGATCTTAGGGATGCACCCCAAGTGATCGGGAGGATTTCAGAGGAGCTCCTGATCCTGACAGCGCTTCTTAAGGAGGTATAGTCTGCTTATGCGAGCGAAGCTCCGGATATGGCTCTGGAACTGGAGTTCTGCGCCAAGACGATTCATGAACTCACGGAAGTTGTGCGGAAGCTAGAGCTGCCACCCAACACGGCCAAGGCAACAAGAAGGTGGAAGCAATTCCGCGCAGCATTGACGGAACCGGAAATCTCGAAGCATCTCGGTAGTTTGGAGAGGGCCAAAAGCATGTTATTGCAATGCTGCTCAAATGCGACAAGGCAAGACTACGCTGTTCCATTCCGCCTCTCTTGTCGATAAGACTGTGCTAACCATCAACAGGAGATCTCAGTCTGAACAATTAAGCTTGCTACAGAGGATGGAGCCCTCCATTTCGGAGATTTTGCTGAAACAAGAGGCACTCGAGCCGCCCATTTCTGATCTTCGAACTGTATTGGCAAGTCTCGAAGCAAGGGCATCAACTTTAAACGCCACCTGCAGCGACATCTCGACCACAACATTGCATATGAACGCAATAATGGCGACCATGGTTTCGGAAACACAGCATATCCGAGTGGAATCAAACAGATCGGAGTCTGTCACACTGGATCTGTTGAATAAGGCAATGAATCGGCAAACTGAACTATTTGCCGACCTAAGCAATGATTTAGATGGCATAGTATCCCGGAATATCAGAAAAGAACTACGACAAGCATTCCCAGACCTGAGCGATGCTCGTGCCGGCTCGTCTCGAAAGGCTTCTCATGCCGTTGGGACACTGGAACGAGAATCGCGTACGGAGGCGAATACTTCCGACCTTCAGAGACCTGCAAGACAGTCACGTCTTGAAAGCGAGTGGACCTCGCAATGGAGAAAGGTCTCTTCTACTTCAACCCGCCGTACTTTCTCTCGGATCAGTCTTTTCGGGAAAATCATCATTACCACTACCACGACCACGTATTCGGGGAACGTCTCGCTAGATGTCCAGAAATCACAGAAAGAGGTATCACACACCACCGTTGTGTACGTACCAGCTTTCTGGATGTTTGGAACTGGCGTCATTCTGAAATATATCACCGGTAAACTTATGGGGGAAATTTCGCAACCGAAGCCAGCATTCTCGATGCGAACTATAAACGTCATCCCGGAAAAGTCTGAGATTGTGACAGCTTGCAAGGCTTTGGATTTAGCCGCTATTCGTTCATTATTCGACCTTGGCCGCGCATCACCATTTGATGTCAGCGAGGACGGCCGGAATTTATTGCACTATACCATTGCGGTAAGGACTTGGAAAACGCGAGTCTTCTTCCAGTCTAATTGGAATTCTAGAGCAATTCAACCGCATACAGATGGGCACCAAGAGCTGTTGCTCAAGAGGGCCTAAAGAAGATGGTTGCAATTGTGGATCAGTTTCTCGATGCTGGTGTAGATGGAGGGACGCTGGATGACGAGGATCTGTAAGTCGATACAATGAAGCATGTCTTGCTTCTGAAATCTGACTTTCTAGATCTGCGATCGGTGCTCTGCTCGACAACTTTCGTGAAGACTTCGAGCTCATTGAAGCGCTTAGCGATGACTTTCAGTTTCTCACGCATAGGGTGCTGCGATACGCGGAACAAGACCCTTTCTGCGCGTGCTCCGCGCTCATAAAAGTGACTCGGGAAGGTGACTACGGAGCAGAGAGCTTTCCTGGATCTTTGGGCCGGTGGCAGGATAATATCTATTATTCTTACCTTGTTCACCCTGTTATCTTGCGGGCAATTCTGTCCCAAAGTGACTGGCTGTTATCATGGGATGAACGCCAACTACAAGAGCTTTGCAACATTCTACCTTGCTCTGAAGTTGTCGGCTTTGGTTTCTGTGAGTGGAAGGAGACTGAAAAGATGAGGTTGAAATTCCTAGTCATCAGTCACGCGAAGGAGCTCCAAAGCCATCTCGATTCAAAGACAAAGCTTCTCCGGCTGTTACTGGATCATGGTGTGTTCTCAACTACCGCAGAGCTTGGAAGGTCTCTGTACATTGATGCCATCCACACCACGATTCACTCTGGGGGCTCTGCTTTTAGCCTCTTAACAGAGCACGATTATTACGGGAAGGAGCCTCCATGGATTCGGCAAAAATTCCAAAAGCTTTTACACATAAGGGCTTTCATGCTCGATACACTTACTATCATTCTAGATGCTCTTTGGTCTGTGTCGCCCAAGAACGATGACCCTCACTGGAAAGAATTCGCCCAACATGCACAGTCACACAACTTGCGTATTCTCAATGTTTGTATGACAGCCTTGAGGAACTCGAAATATCAGACATCTGATACTGGCTTTGCAATCGATAGCGATTCAGGTGGCAATGATGACAGACCGAACCATCAACACACAGGTGACGACGAAGGCTGGGAGACTGAGCATTCGTCCAGCGAAGAGGATGGGTGGGAGACCGAAGAGGACTGGCAAGAGGGTTATATGCTGGACAAGGCAGTCGATAGAGATCACTTGGACGACCGGAACATGCAGATGCAACGGTGTGAAGCTTGTCAAAATGATTTTGACGACTCTTGCTGGGAGCATGTCCTTTCCCGTACACAAGAGCCATCGAAGACAGTCGCGGATCATAAGCAGGGACATGGCACGATCAGCAAAGTTTTCAACGCAGCCAAGCGAGTGGCAGGCTTTTAGGTTGGATTGAGGTAGCAAGACTGTTTTGACATGGGACAAGGATCTTAGGCAAAATTCAATATTGAACCAACATGACGCAACTTTCGTGTCCTCTACATTTGGTTTCCATCCAATTTGTCGATGTCGATCCTACGTGACGCATGCACTGCTGGCAGTCTTGGGCCTGTTCGCGAGCAATTGGCTGATGGCCGCTGGGGCTCTACAATACATATGCTTTTTCCAAGGATGAAGTCACAATATGATCACTGCTTTTCAATTGCTGGTGTGGGGTACGCAATGGTCATTACAAGACCGGGCGTATGCGGGCGTGTTGATCGTAAAGTCAGTTAACACGAAGCGTCCAGATTAGCTAAATTCCGCAAAAGGATTAATTACTCTGATTTCACCAGAAACCCACATTATGACCCCACCCAGTCAGCTTCAGCGAGGCCTTTAGCACCCAATCACCGTAAAGTCCGACATTCCTGTTTTAAGACCGCAGGGAAATGGCCCTGTCGTCTCTTGGTGCTTGAAGGCATTCATGATTTCTGTGAGAGACCTTCGAGGATGCATCCTGCTAAACGGAGATAAACAGTAATTGATCGTTGCCTTCACACTTATCACCGATCATCAAGTATATCGCCGACAAAGGTCAATACTTAAGCAGTGGACATCAGTACTCTTCTCTCCTGTTGTTCGTACATTGAACACAACTCCACCATTCAAGTCCTCATCGACGACCAGAAAGCATCGGATCAGTCAGCATGGGTGTCTACGATACAGTCCCCGAGCCAGCCACTGAGCTGGGCCGGATGCAGGTGCTGTCGACCACCGCCGGCATTCGTGTGTCGCCTCTCGTGCTGGGCGCGATGTCGATTGGCGAGAAGTGGGCTGAAGACCTCGGCAGTATGAACAAGGAGCAGTCCTTCAAGCTTCTTGACGCCTATTGCAAGGCTGGAGGCAATTTCATCGACACCGCCAATAACTACCAGGACGAGGACAGTGAGACTTGGATTGGGGAGTGGATGCGGCTCCGGGGCAATCGCGATCAGCTGGTCATCTCTACCAAGTACACGAATGACTACCGCGGTTGGGAGACGGGGATGGGGACCGCAGTCAACCACGCCGGCAACCACCGCCGCAGTCTTCACATGTCTGTCCGGGACTCGTTGAAGAAGTTGCAGACCGACTATATCGACGTCTTGTTTATGCACTGGTGGGACTTCAGCACGTCTACGAAGGAGGTGATGGACAGCTTGCACATGCTCGTCGAGCAGGGCAAGGTCATGTATCTCGGCGTCTCAGACACGCCTGCCTGGTGGGTGGCGGCCGCGAATACGTATGCAGTCGACCACGGCAAGACCCCCTTCAGCATCTATCAGGGAAGGTGGAACCTTATGATCCGGGATTTTGAAAGGGACATCATCCCCATGGCACGCCACTTTGGCATGGCCCTGATGCCCTGGGATGTGCTGGGAGGCGGGAAATTCCAGACCAAGAAGGCGCTCAAGGAGCGCGAGGCTAGGGGCGAAGGTCTTCGACAGCTGGGAAACCCCGGCAAGAAAGTCACACAGACAGAGGATGAGGTCCGCATCAGCGAGGCGTTGGCGAAAGTGGCATCCGAGCACGGCATCGAATCCGTCACCGCGATCGCACTGGCCTATGTCATCGCCAAGGCTCCCCGAGTATTTCCTCTCGTCGGAGGACGCAAGGTCGAGCACTTGCAGGACAACATCCAAGCTCTCAGCATCAAATTGACCGCTGATCAGGTCAAATACCTCGAGAGTGTGAAGCCCTTCGATCAGGGCTTTCCCATGAACTTCTTGGGTGCCGATCCTAATGTTACGGGTGAAAACACAGTAAGGCTTAGGCGGGCAGCGAACTTGTCGTTCCCGGATCGTCCAAGACGATGAAGCCAGTGCTTACAGAAGTTGAGAGCCAGAGGCCTGCTGCTTGGCCAGCAATGAGTTAGAGTTGGAGCATCAACCGGGCTCTGAGGTTTAGCCAACCAAATAGCTGTTCAGAATTTCTCAACTTCAAGCTCTACATAGCTCTTTTGCCTTGTTCTTGGCGTGAATCGAGGCGGGTTCGCCAATTTGGAGTGCGATTCCCATGCCTGCCCCGTGATGCCAGAGGGAATGGCAATGCAGCATCCATAAACCCTCATTGTCCATTCTGACTCTCAGCACAACATATCCCATCCTCGGTACATAGACTGTATCCTTTCGGACCGGACTGTCGAGATTGAACTTCCCGCCTGGCTCCGACTTTGAGCCGAATGGGTTGTATGCTCCGTATTGACCCTCAGCCGACATGTGTGACGACACCACATAGAACTGGTGACCATGCTGCAGGGAAGGTCAGGAAAGAATGTCTCTAATCTTTAAGTTCATAGTCAAATGAGGTGGCTTACAAGATGAAATGGATGACCTTTCTCGTCAAGGTTGTTGACTACAATGTCCATCCACCGGTCAGGTCCGGATTGCCGATACCAAGGCACATCTCTCTGCATCTCGAGGTCACCAAACACAGCTGGCGGAGTAATTGTGGTTGCCCACTCATGTCGATCTTTTCCCAGCAACGGGGCGGCGTTTGCGTCTTCGACGAACCAGGAAGAGTGGTTCACCACTCCCAAAGGTGCGTTTTCGTGAAAAGCCAGTATCTCTAGTCTGGTGTAGAATACTGCAACGTCTGTTGTCGCGAGTGGCATTTCTGATGGTACAGAGCCATGGGCGTCTGCTAGGTTGATGTGTTTAGCGACGCTCGATGCATCGCTATTATAGTTCGGGGAAGTGCTGCCGGTGGCTGAGTCCCAAGTGAGCGAGAAAGTCTGGGTTGGCGTAAGAGCAAAGTTCTTGAATTTCAGATTTCTGCGGATGTGTTAGATGATGTCCTCGCGGTTGCTCGAGTGAAGTGCATAGACTCACTCTCTGTCAAGGGCAACAATAAATGTGCCTTCAGTGGTTGCTTGCGGCTGCTGTTGCGCAATGATATCCATTCTCTCGCCAGGATAGAGCACACCTAGTGACTCGGATGGCGTTGAGTCTACGACAGTGTTCCCACCATCGATCTCGATAAGATCCAGTCTCGCACCAGGGACAGCAATATTGTACCCAGCGAGGGCTCTTTATGATGGTGTGTTAGCAAATGTAGAGCTAAAGTTGAATCTCTGGTGAAGCTTACCCGGTATTGATGATTCGTAGCCTAGTCCTTGTGCCATACAATTTCAGCTGCGGTCTGTCGACAATACCACATTCGACCGGAAAAGCCTTAACAGCCATTGAGCAGTTAAAATGGCCTCTTCCATTTATCAGAATAGAATCTGGTGCTGGCTAGTTCATGATACCTGTGTTAGTTGGATCTACCTCTCCTCTTGGGACAAGATATACGCTCACCTCAAACCCGAAATGTTGAGTATCTTCATACCAGTCCAGCACCGACTGCGCCTTTCTATGGTACCAGTCCCCGATAAGGAGGAGTTGATCGGCATCATAGTCTTGCTGGATGCGCTTATGGGAGCCTGAAGAGCCCACGGGTCTGTGTACAACGATGCCACCATACAGTCCATCCGCAAGGTGCACACTTGAATGCGCATGGTACCTAGACAGGATAGAACTTAGAGTCTAAGGGTGAATATCTATCGTAGCAGCGAATAACGTACCAAAAGGTTCCAGACTCAGTCTCCTGGATGCGAAACTTGTAGACAAATGTTTGACCTTTACTGATCTCACACTGGGTCAGGCCAATAACTCCGTCCATTTCATTAGCACCTACAAGCACTCAGTAAGTATTGTTTCAAGGTTACGCCAATGGAGGAGGCCAGTGATGTTGCTCGATCAGAGACGAACCTTTGATAGATAAGCCGTGCCAATGAATAGATATGCCCTCATCATTATCTGCGGAGTTTATGACCTCTATCTCAAGCTCGTCACCTGACCGGGCTTCGATAGTCGGCCCCGGGAACTGCCCTGCGCAGGAGTTAGCCAAGTGTGTATAGGCGGTTAGCTGGTCGACATACCATTGATGAGATAGACCTGCTTCCTGACGCCATCCGGGGCGAGGTCAGCTATTGTGATATTCCACCTGAGCCTGATGGTAGATGCCTCGCGATGTATGTGGTGTTCCGGAGACAAGATGGTGCGTAGCCCGTTCCGGTCTTCCCAGAGTTGCTCTTCGGTTATCCCTAGCCGCCCCCGCCCAGTATCCGAAAGATGACCTCCGACGTCGGGGCGGAGGAAGACATCGGGCCAAGGTCGCGCCGGTGAGGTGTAGTAGACGTTGTGCAGCGTGAGAAGGACGGCAGCCAATAGCAAGACAGCGCCAATCAAAGACACGATCCTCCTGGGAGGCTCTCCCATGCTTTCAAACCCAAGTATCTTGCTGGCACTGAAGCATTGCCTCGAATGCTGGGGTGGTGCCAGGCTGGAGCTTGATGGCCGACTGATGCTCAACACGCCTAGATAGGTGAGGATCAAGGGCAATTGAACTTTGGGAGTCAAGCGATGACTAACAGGTATTTTTCAACAAAGAATTTTTGTAAAGAGAAATTCAATCACGGGCCTGTCAAATGCAAAGCTAACAGTTTCTGTATTCCCGTCATCCGCACTTGTCTATCATCTCCAGACCTGTACATGTGGGTTGGGGCTACCAGGGGAATACGCCGGGTGGTGTGCGGGACCACTCCTCAGGCACGTTGAGGTTTGATTGGACTTGGCCTCCAGTAGGCATGCCCGTAATTCAAATGAAGCAATGATCAGAACGCACCAAATTCTCCCCCTCGCAGCACAGCGCTCATCTGATGTCGACGCTAAGTGACTTTCGTGCATATCAAGCGTGAGGCACAGTCCTTTCTATTGATGCGAGACCTTGTTTTTGCATCCCCGCTAGAACCTTCTTGGCAGGTCTTGGTAAAGCTTGATGGAACCCTTCACGCTCGCAAACCGCATATCCTTGCAAAATAACGACAACTCCAGAGCACATCTGACATACCGGATCATTGCCTCAAACGAGGCGGCACTCCAGGACTACCACGTGCTGCCAGATGAAATGTTGCAATTGTCAAATCCGGGCAATCTGGTAGGTTGAAAGTTGAGGGGTGGATTCAACCCATACTGCATCACGTTAGCTACGAGAAGCTACGGAAGTCCTGCCAAGACCCTGCCCACGTGCCTCATTGCTACTGTGTCTCGACCGACCTCGTACAGCGAGGTCCGTCACCGTGAGTGATCAACATGGCTAGCTGGAGAGCAAGGGTGCCGGAACTGGAGCACCGCTGCACGACCCACCTCTGCGCCGTACGTACGGTGCCGAAATGTCCGCGGATCCTCATTTAATGGCAGGCATCTCGCTCGTCTTTTGGGTGTTTTCTGTCAATAGGCGGCTCTAGTGCTCTCACAAGAAGCACAGCACGATGCGGTCAGTCAATCGCTACGCCACGGCTTTCGTCGCCCTTGCGGCTTCGGCGACTGCCGCCGGCTCGCTCAAGGACATCAAGCATATCGTCTTGTTCATGCAGGAGAACAGGTCCTTCAATCATGTGACTATACCCTCTTCCGGCGTAATGAGCGATTCTGATCAAGATGAAAATTGTAGTACTTTGGCACGATGGCAGGCACTCGCAACTTTGCTGACCCTAATGTCCAAGTCAACCCTGATGGCCACAATGTGCTTGAACAGTGCGGTACCCTTACCCGTCTGAGTTGTTGTTTCATGGACACTGACAATGCTTCAGACTTGTTGCGAAATCCCAGTCCTCTGCTGCAGACGTTCTCAAGCCCTGGTACATAAACTACCTCGGCGGCGAATGGGATGATGCCACCCAGTGCATCACTGCTGGTAGTAACAGCTGGCAGGGCAACCATGATGCTTGGAACGGTGGCCTGAACGACATGTGGGTTGAAAAGAATACACCATTCAGCCACGGATACTTTAAGAGAAAGGACATCCCGGTTCACTGGGACATCGCGGATGGGTGGACAGTCCAAGACATGTACACAGTAAGTATCAGATGTGGATGTGTGGAGTCTAACTCTTAGAGGTTTCACGAAATCTCCATGTTTACTTACAACATTCCCTTGTACAGGAATCTATCCTTGCTGCCACGGATCCCAACCGTATTCACTGGATGAGCGGTACAGTCAACGTCCCAGGTACCCCAACCAACCCAGACGGAAGCGGAGGCATGATTCTGGACAACAATGCCACTCCTGGTAAGTCAATTAGGTCTCTCTGAGAGTCTTGTGTTGTGGAGTCCGCTAAATTGAGGCAGGCTGTGAGGCACCGGGTTTTAACTGCTACCCGTTCACGTGGAAGACATTCCCGGAATATCTGGAAGAGGCTGGAATCAGCTGGCAAGTCTTCCAAGACTTCGACAACTTTGAGGACAACATGCTTGCCTACTTTGTGCAGTACCAGAATGCGCCAAACGGTTCTGCTCTCAGAGAGAAGGGCAACTCGTATGGCGGTCTCAATGCGTTTTATGAGCGCGCGAAGGACGGGACCTTGCCTCAAGTCAGCTATATCGTCGGCCCCGCCGAACTCTCTGAGCATCCTCCCCACCTGCCTAGCGGAGGCGCTTGGCTGCAGAAGCAGGTCGTTGACGCTGTCACATCTGGCGCCGCCTACAAGAACACGGCACTGTTTATCAACTACGACGGTAAGTTTAGTCCGATCTTTGGGTGTGAAACAGCACATTGGTCTTTGGTAAGGTCTCCATGACTAACTACAATTACGTGTTGCTGCTCAGAAATCGGTGGCTGGAGTGACCATGTACTGCCGATTGTTGCTCCTAAAGGAACAGCAGGCGAGTGGCTCGAGGATCCGTACAAGAGATACGGCTATACTCCAGTAGGCCCAGGTGAGTCTTTGCAGATCCTTGAGCTCGCGCTCGCACTCGGAACCATTTACTCACAATACCACAGGATTCCGCGTCCCTAGCTATATCATCTCTCCCTGGACTCGCGGCGGCAAGGTTTTCACGGAGCACTCGGACCACAGCTCGCACATCCGCTTCGTCGAGCAGTGGGCTGCCGCGAACGGTTATTCCGGCGTTCAGAGTAAGGAGCTGACCCCTTGGCGCCGAAGCCATATCTCTGATCTGGTCAATGCCTTTGACTTTGACAACGTGAGCATCAACCTAGTCCCTCCTTCTCTACTACGCCATGTGATCTGACAATTGTATGTCGCAGCCGGATTACTCAATTCCTCATATCTCGGACGTCGACCCACCATTGATGGAAGCAGATACACCGGACGCTTATTCCGGTAACTTCACGCTGGGTTCCTTGAGCGGCCCGTACATAGGCACTGCCAAGTGCGTTTCCGATCACAAGACTGCCCGGCCCCCCGTTCCGTATGGCGCCGACAACATGAATCAGAACCTCACTCAGCTCCCCGAGGAGGGCTTCAAGGAGGTCCGTGGTCGCCTGACGGAGGGCCGCTATCTCACCTTTGAGATGTCGGGTCTCGCTCTGACCAACCCAGATGGGGAGCGAGTTGTCGCCAGCCCCGCCACTCAAGCACACGAGAACATCCGCCAGAGGTGGATCATTCACGTCCAGGGAGTTGAGAGCGAGAGCGAAGTGTTCCTGATCCAGTCTGCGGTGGACAAGAAGTACCTGTCGTCCCTTGCCCTGGGCACCTTGACTCCGGATATCTCCAAGGCACAGAAGTTCACCATCTCTTATCAGGCCGCTGGCTCGTCATACAGTGTCGCAGTTGGCTCTCATAAAGCCTTCGTCAGTCTTCTGGCCTCTGGAAACAGCAGCCCAGGGACCGTAAAGTTTGGCGGCTGTTCTAAAGAGCGCTTCAAGGTGTTTGCTGTCTCGTACAACAACTAGGTGTTATCAAATACCCCAGGCAGTGATAGATAGACAACCTGTGGCCATCCAAGAGTGATCTGGACTACCTCGTAGGCTATTAAAAATAGAAGAGTATATTATGTCTGCTCTAAGCAGTGATGTGATATGGGACAAGAGTGGTGTTTGTATTCAAATTCAGATTTATTCATAGACTGACCCAGCCGCCCAGGGCGGCAGTGCAGCGTTATTCTATCAGTCTAAATGCCTCTGTTCAATGGCCTCTAATCTTCATCGTGGTTCACAAGAGCATGGTAAGTCACGGTGCCGGTCGGCTACGACACCGCCGCGACAATACAAGAGCATACTATAATCCGTATGAGCTCACCACTCATAACTCGATACATACTCGACTAATGATAAGGCTACCGAGAGTTTCAATGCTTTATACAAGTTGGACAAGAGGGCGACTTGGCGAGAGCGGTTGCCACCGCGGGCATACGCGCAGGCAAATTAATCCGTCTCTTAGTAGTGCTGTCGTCACCCTTGACGCAATACGCTTCATCAAGGAGCAAATTGGTGCAGTCATTGTCCAGCTGCGGGTTCCATTTCTGGAGCTGCGCGAAAGTGATGTTGAAGTCGGACTCGATCTTGGCGCAGTAGTCTCCGGATACAATGACATGCCACTGTATTACTTATAAGCAGATGTATCTTCCTTCAAAATTTGTAAGAGCAGACACCTACCTGATAGCAGTTACCTGTCGTCCCGCTCGGCGTAGGGGCAGGAGGGGTAACATAAGTCGACGTGGCGGTAGCAGCATCTCCGTGAACGCAGTAGGCATCGTCTAGTAGTAGGTTTGAACAGTCCGACTTGAGCTGAGGGTTCCACTGTCGTAGCTGGTCGATCGAAACACCATATTCTGCCTCGATTTTGGAACAATCATCCCCAGAAACAACAATATGCCACTGTGTCAAGTTAATAACTGGCTGGTAAGCACGAAATAGAAGGCAAAACCACCCACCTCGTAACAGTTTCCTGTTGTCCCACTTGGTGTGGGCGCTGGAGGAGTAACATAGGTCGAAGTAGTCGAGGTTGTCTCATTCCAACCCAATACTGGAAAGACACAGTAATAAAACCCAGGGACAAGATTCGTGCAGCCAGTGTCAATAGACGGATTGATAGCCTCAAATAGGTCAACGCTGATGGTATTGTTGATTGCAATAAGTTGACAATAGTCACCGGTCTTGACTCCGTAGTATCTAAATGAACATGTTAACCACAGTTCTTACCCCATACTAATAAGTGTGACCAAAACATTACATACTTGCCGCATTGCGCAGTTGTACCGTGCGGAACGGGACCTGGCGGTGCCACAGTCGCTGTTGCGTAGACACCCGTTTGGGTGGCAGTTGCGTCAGGAATGGCGGTCCCTGTATAAACCACGCCGGGTTGAGAGACACAGAGGCTGTCTCCAGCAATCAGGTTGGTACACGCTGGACTAATGAAAGCGTTCCAGGACAGCAGCTGAGTGAGAGTCAGATTCTGCGAGCTAGTGATTGCTCCGCAAGTATCCCCAGACTGAACGTTGTAAAGGGTACACGGGTTCGGTAAGCACAATTGTTGACCAACTAGGAGTAGATGAGCATGAGTACCTTTCTGTAACAATAGGTGGAGGAAGGGCAATGCTGGCTCTTGTGGGTGAGACTCACTCTGAAGATCAGAACAGTCTGGCAAGACATTGTTGACAGCCAGCAGCGCACCACGCGGGACCTTGTTGGCAGAGGCAATCTTGCCACAATCATCACCGCCAACGACTGTATACGACTTTCCGGTAACGCACTCCGCGACCGGGTACCCGGAAGGTGCATATCCGGGAATGTCAGTACGGTTGGCAGCAATGGGCTGGACATTAGTGGGGTACGTCACGCCGCAGGTACTCTGGATGGAAGCCCATTCCTGAGCCATCTTGAGTCCGTAATTGCTGAAGGCAGTCGATTGAATGAGTTGACCAAGCTTGAGAACGCACTCCGAGCAGAGAGCCGCCTTTGGAAGAGTCAGGATAGATGCGTCTTGGTCGCTATCAGGAGAAGTGAGGTTGGCAATCGCATCTGTAAAGGGCGTCGGTCAGATTTTACATTTCTCAATGCTACTTCAGAGGGAAATTTTGATATGACCTACTTTGACAGTACTGGCCTTTGGAATCCTTGAAGCAAGTAATGTTGTATTGTGCCCAGACCTGGTCTCCATATAGCGTTGCCGGAGTTCCTTGCCACAGCTGCGGCCCTCCACCGCAGGCGCTTTGGACCGACTGGTGATAATTGGATAGGGACTGGCCGCATGATGAGGTGCAGAAGCCATCCAAGATTGATGGTGCCAAGTAAGAGATGCTGTCGCCAAGAACGCTTGTACGAAGATACGGATCGCAAGTGATGGTTGACTCCAAGGCAGATATACACTGTTGCGAGACCTCTCCCGCTGCAACAGGAGTGCTGGTATTGACAAGAAGTCCTGGTTCAAAGATGACGAAGTCCGCCTGTGCAAGTCTCAATGAAATCAAGCACAGCACAAGGCTAGCGAGTGTCGATGACGGGCCGAGCATGGCGACCTGTGGTGGAAATGTGAGAATGGAAAGTTGTCCGCTCTTCCTCTCTCTGTATCTTGCCTGATAGACACTTGGTTTAAAAATTGGACGCAAGCACACACTTTCCAGGACAGAGGGGAGTCTTTGCATCTGACCCTCGATCGCAACCATGAAAGTCAAGTTGCTCAGGTTGCATGTGCTGTTGGCCAGGACCAACGAGTAATCTCCGATCCGAAACCGCTTCTAGCAGGGAGCAAAGACAATTAGACCGTCAGACTTCATCATAACCAATCGGACCGAGACGTTGATCGTCTTAACGACACTTTGTGCAGCCTCCACTCGGCACGGCTCTTACCTTGCATATACACGATCTGGTGGAGATGACCTATTCCTGCATTAGGGTCACACTGCTATGTCAGACTCGTCAGTCTCGTCCAACCAGAATGTCTAGGACTTCGAGCATCGGGAAAAGAGGTCGCAGATCTGGTGATATTGGACTGACCTGCATAGGGGATCATTTCCCCTCCAATGACAGTGAGTCAGCAACCGCTTACCCTTGCCGTTGCATTATTGGTATTAGTGCTTATCTGCAATTAAAAAGCTTGATTAGAGTGTCACACGAGACCTCCCTAACTGTTCAGTCGTCCCGTCTGTAGCCTTGTGCACATACCTATCAGCTCGAAACGACAGTGCTCATCTGAGATCAAAATCCGCGATACGCTGCATTGTAGCATGGAGATGAAGCGGCTGCGGAACAAAGTCCGCGGGACCGAGATCGGATCCATGCACTTGATGGGCTTCATTCCCTCCTTTTCAATCTTGGCTCTTTTGGTTGAATAAACGAACGTCCCTTCGAGATCTGATCATTTGTACAATTTGCTATTAGAAACTCTATTCATTTGAAAATTGCGCAAGTATGAAGGTTGCGTTGGTCTTCGCGGCGTTCTTCACGGCGGTGCTGAGCATTGCCTCACAGGACCCTTCATCAGCTGAAGACTATACCTGGTAAGCTTTTCCCGAACACGCATGTTTCGAAATCAACTGAAACAGCTAACTATTTGAATGATTAAGTTCCGCTTCAAAGCCATGCAGAATTGGATGTTGCAGCAAGTCCGGTGTCTGCGGTTTGGGCCCTGACTTCTGCGGCAAGGACTGCATCTCTACTTGCGACCAAAAGAGGTAGGAACAGCTCAGTGAAACTGCTACGGAGTCATAATCTTCAGGCTGATGAGTGAACAGCCCATGTGACCCGGGTTGGGGTGCGCAGTGGTCGCAGAACGAGAAGTGCCCTCTCAACGTGTGCTGCAGCAAGTTTGGATTCTGCGGAACGACAGACGACTTTTGCGGCACCAAAAAGGTCACCAAGCCTTCCTGCGGCGGCAGCAGCTCAAACAAGCGGTCCATTGGGTACTATGAGGGCTGGTCCATTGGTAGGGCCTGCAATGGCATGATGCCGGAGCAAATCCCCGTTGGTGCCTACACCCATCTCAACTTTGCCTTTGCCTTTGTCGATCCAAAATCGTTCAAGGTCGCGCCAATGAGCCAGGCTGATACCGAATTGTATCCGCGATTCACTGGTCTCAAGGACTTCAATCCTGGTCTCAAAACCTGGATCTCTATTGGAGGCTGGTCCATGAACGACGCCGACCAGCCCACGGCAACGACCTTCTCGGATCTAGCTGGGTCTAGCAGTGCTCAGTCTGCGTTCTTTGCTTCCCTTCTGAGCTTCATGGAGACGTATGGATTCGACGGCGTTGATATCGACTGGGAGTACCCGGTGGCCGAGGAGCGCTCCGGCAAGCCGGACGACTACAAGAATTACGTCTCATTTTTGAAGAACCTCAAGTCTGCTCTGGGCGGCAGCGGCCACAACTACGGTCTTACCTTGACGCTACCATCAAGTTACTGGTAAGGATCTCCCCGGTCTTTTCTTCTTTTCTTCTTCTTTTTGGTACAACAATTACTTACTGCCATTTACTCCAGGTACATGCAGAACTTTGACATCGTGGCCATGGAGAAGGTTGTCGACTGGTTCAACGTCATGACCTACGACTTGCACGGAACGTGGGACTCGACGGACCGCTTCATAGGCCCTGTTGTCAATGCCCACACCAACCTGACTGAAATCGATCTTACCATGGACTTGTTTTGGAGAAACAGCGTTAGTGTTCAATCATATGTCGAAGAAGCAGTCGCTCATACTAATGTTGACTTTCTAAACGTAAAGATCGACCCCGACAAGATTGTCATGGGTCTAGGCTTCTACGGTCGTAGCTTCACCCTCACGGATCCTTCTTGCACGTCTCCAGGATGCCCGTTTAGCGGCGGTGGCAAGCCTGGAAAATGCTCGGCCAGCGCAGGTGTAAGTCAAAATCACCGCGAGTACTTCAACGCTCTTCGCGTACTAGCTAACGCGTTCAAAGACTCTCATGTACTCTGAGATTCAAGACATCCTAGCCGGTGGTGCGACGCCGACTCTGGACAAGAAAGCAGCCGTTAAGCAGCTGGTCTGGGACACCAACCAGTGGGTTTCGTACGATGACAAGGAAACCCTCCAGATGAAGATTGACTATGCCAACGGCAAATGTCTCGGCGGCACCATGGTCTGGGCCGTGTCCACAGACACCAGCGAGGGCATGGCAGCAGACGCCTACCTCCAGACCAACGGCCTTGTTCAACGCAGTCTCTTCGGCGGCGGTGGCAATCCTAAGAAAGAGGACACTCTCTCGACTTGTATCTGGGGTGAATGCGGGAAGGACTGTCCAGCAGGCTCGGTCCCGGCTCAGCGCAGCGACGGCAAGAATCGCGGAAACGCGGGCATCTACACTGGCTGCGAGGACAAGACACGAAACTACTGCTGCCCCAACGACCAGGAGGTCCCAACCTGTGTGTGGCGCGGCACTGCGCCGTTCTGCAACGGGAAATGCCATTCCGGCGAGGTGCAAGTCTCCTCCGACTCCAGTGCAACTGGCGCTGAGTGTTGGACCGGCCACAAGGTGCTATGTTGTACACAGACCAAGTCAGATGCCGGCATCGGGCAGTGCAAGTGGGAGGGCGCCGCCCCCTTCTGTGGCAAGCACGGCCGTGTGGGCGAGCACTATGGGTGCGACGAGGGGGATCGCTATGAAGAGACGTATGATTCACTGGGAGCCGGAGGTGAATCATATTGTATCTCGGGCTACAAGTCCTTCTGCTGCACCAAGCCACCGCCGTTTCAGAACTGCGGGTGGACTTCGAAGGAGCACTCGTTCCTCCACCCATTCACTTGTCCGACGGGGTGCCCAGCCGGAAAACAGATTATCGCCCAGGACCCCACCCAGCTCAGCTTCTGCGGCAGCGGGTCTGCATTCTACTGCTGCGATGCGCCGCTAGAGGAGCTTCCTGATGACGACAGCAGCCTCAACTTCTGCGCAAGCTCCGACGGAGACTACCCGCTCAGCATCCAAGACACCAATACAAACAATTACGACGACGATGGGAACCCAGCAGATATCATCGAACTGTATTGGTACGAAGACGACGTCTTCGTTGTGCCCAACGATGCATCTCCGGACAACATGAAACGCAGTGTCGACATCGTCGATGAACTGCTCGCCTTGAGGTACGACCGCCGCTGGGATCGTGCGGCTGGCGTCAACAACCGCACCCTGAGCCAGGTGTGTCTCGGAGAGCACGACTGCTTCCCCATCCTCGAGCCCGATCTCCCCGAGGTGCAACACCTGCTGAGCGAGATCCGCCTGACGTGGGACTTCGCCGGCAGCCTCCGCCCGGACCAGCACCACCACCACCAAGACGACAACCATGTCTCCGCCGCCCTCGCGCCTCGCGCCCGCACCACGGTCGTCAAGCTCAAGAACAACCGGCGCACGCGCTGGACGGCGTCGACGTACTACAACGTCGCGCAGCTCGCCGCCAAGGGCCGGCAGTTCTACGCCAACGGCGGCGTCAAGAAGACGGCCATCTGCCTCAAGAACGCCGGCGCCTTCGCCGCGCGGCAGCTCGCGCGCAAGTACGTCGCCGAGCACGTCACGGAGCTGCAGACGCCGGCCATGTTCGCGCAGTCCATGATCGACAACAAGCTGCCCGACGGGACGGCGCCCTCGGGCGTGGCGGCCGGCTACGACTGGGAGGACGTGTTTGGCGACAGCGGGTACGTCCACATGACGTGGAAGGACCTGGGCATCGCGCGGCCGGCCGGCTTGGAGGGGGACACGCCGCTTGAGGCACTGTACCACGCGCTCGGGAGCAAGGGGAACAATGCGGACTACACGAACCTCCTGATCTGCGATGCGCAGACCAACTCTCTCAAGACGTCGGCGTGGGCCCTGCATACAAACATCATCAGCGACAACCGCTGGAACAAGGCCAGCCCGGCAACAAGGATGGCCTACCTCAACAACCTGGATCAGTCACTCCTGCCATATCTGAATTCTCCAGAGGCTCAGGCCTCGTTGAAGCATGGCTACGAGGTCCAGCAAACGATTTGGAAGGCGCTCGACGGCAGTTCCAAGGTGACGGGACCCGGCAGCTCTAGCTTCGCGTCACTGCACAAAACCTGGTACCAGGTGTACTTTGAGGAGTTTGACAACAATCTCCAAGCATTTGTCAAGGCCAAGCTCGACAAGGAGATCACGTCGTGGTCTGGCGGCAGCGGCCCGTATGCCCTCTACAAGTCGCTGCAAAGAAACAAGATTGTTCAGAGTAAGTGTACTTCGGGACCGTTCGCGGGCACATATGCTAATGAAATGCACAACAGATCTCAAGGGCAGGTCGAGTGTTGTTACCAGCCTCGCGGTGATTGTTGCTTGGATCACCTAGGCGGATGTAATGATTATTTCACATGTAGAATATTATTGAACTCGCTTGCACTCAATGCATGATAGCACGGCTAGTAAACTGGTGATCTGAGGTCATAACATGAGCGACTGAACAACTGTTTGTTAAAATCAGGAAATTCAGTGATGTGGAGTCAAGTGGCTCATTCCCTCGCGGCACTCAACTTCTCTAGCTTTCTCGACTCCCTGTCACGGTCAAAAGGGCCGATGTCTGTCCAGACGCCGCTATCTGGGACCGTGGCCGCGATGTCGGCGGGGTCGTACAGCAGAAGTGCCGCGTAGAACCTGGTAATCAGACTCCTGACGGCCACCTTGAAGCACCCCGAATACGGCAGCTTCTTGCCCTCGGGCCGATGCAGAGAGGCGTCGACGGCCTTGACGAACGGCGTCGAGCCGGGCGTCCTGTCCACCACGGAGCGCATGCACTCCTCGTCCACCATGAGGCACATGCTCGTCACCATGCCCGGCTCCGGCGCATCCGGCCAGCCCTCTGCGTCCGCGTCCTCGTCGTCTTCGGGGCCTTGCTCCTCGTCGATGCAGAGCTGGTAAGCGTACGAGACGCCTTCGGGGCCCTGGTTGGCGATGTCTTCATCCGACACGAAGCGCACCATGACGTTGTCGTCCAGGCGGCTCATGCCGGATTCAGCCGGCGCTGCGGCAATGCCCTCGTTGAGCAGATGGAAGAAGCCAGATTCAAAGCCCTCCCACAGATCCGGGTCGGAAAAGTGTACGCGGAAGGCCCAGAACCCAAAATTATCCCAGTGCTCGGCCTCCGCCCGCTGCACGAGGATCTGCAAGTTCTCTGCGGTAGGGTCTGGCGAGCCCTCGCTTGTCTCTGGGGCGTCGGTCTCTTGCGGAAGGGAAATGGGGCGCGCGCCGCGGGCAGCTCGCTCCTCGTTCTTCTTGTCCACCCATTCAAGTGTCTCTATGTGAGTCTCGGCCGCAGTGCGGTCCATGACCTTTTGCAGTTCCTGACAAATCTGTTAGATCATGGGTCGTTTTATCTGTTACCGCCCAGGACTGACCTCTTCGGTAAGCGCCTCGTAATCTGCATCGCTGGCGTTCTTGTACTTTTCTTCGGTCCAACCGTGAGGCAGGTAGCTCAGGATGGGATTGTCCGCCATTGTGGCCGGGTGGAATGGATTCGAGGCGTATTGGGTGAATGAAGAGTGAGAACCAAGAATGGGATGGGCGAGGGGCTCTTTTATGCATTAATTTATCTCGGTACGTCCCTCTCATCAATTGCGCCAATCTGCAGTTGAGCCGCCTGTGTGACGTGACGAACGACATCTATGGATTGCATTGGAGGGCGGTTTGGGGGGGCAGTTTGGGGGGTCAGTTTAGGGGTCATCAGCGCCAGGTGGAGTACGCCGGAGGGGCCGTCAAGCGCTCCAGGGCTGATTGTCAGTCACCCACATCACTATGGACTAGTATTACTCAGCGCCGCCTATTAGAGGTTTTGCTCAATCTGAATCTTGGGGCAACGACAACCAAACCAAATACTTGCTTCATCATCTTCAAGAACTGCTCTCCGACATTTGCATATCAACAGCCCCAGCTATGACAGCAAATCTGGAGGCATGCCACAACTGTAGGCGAAGCCGCTTGAAATGCGACCGCTCCCTCCCGCAATGCCTCAAATGCACCAGGAGAGGCCAAAGCTGTCTAGGCTACGGCCGTCTGTTGCGGTGGGAGACCGGTATGGCGAGTCGTGGGAGACTGGCCGGCGTCGCGTCCGATGCAATGACCAAAGTCCAGAGCGGAAATGCCAGCGCTAACTCACAAACGCCATGTCTTTCCAAAGTGTCAGCAGAGGTGGCACCCCGGCTGAACCAAACGCACCTTCGATATCCTTTGATAGACCCGCTTGCGCATGATGTAGGCTATCGGTCAAGGAGATATATGAGCTACTGTGAGTTAACCTGGATCTGTTCGACAGCTCTTGTGCTGATAATTTTCGGTCAAAGTCGGGAGTGATGTGTGCAGAGACCTCGTTGTCTATGACACCCCCAAACATAACTTATTCCGCGAGCTTATTCCGATGGCACTCAACCACCCCATCTTGTTGCAGACAATCGTCGCCAATTCCGCTTTGCACATGTCAAACGTAACTCAACGGTCATCAAGGTCCTCGAGTATGGTCACAGAGGCAGCCTCGACTCGAGGCACCACAAGCTCGCCAGGCTCTTCATCGACCGCTTCGTGCGGGACAGCTCCTCTAGAGTATTATCATGACGCGCTCAGAGCCAAGCAACAAGCACTTCATCTGCTGAGGCCTGCTCTCGAAAACCTGCCTTCGGTGGATATTGATGTGCTCCTTGCGGTGGTGTTTCTCCTCCTTGGGTTCGAGCTCATCGACTCTGGGCGAGATAATTGGAGATCTCACGTCGATGGTGCAAGAACAATCATTGACAAGATGGCCCTATCCGCTCCGGTGATGGATACTACATGGAGCCCACTACGCACCTGGTTGGTGTCTAATTGCTTAGTGTAAGCCATCCTTTCCAGTAACTTATGGTTCCTTACTTGACATGCCCTAGGTATGACTTTCTCGGGTCATCGTTCGCAAGTTCTTGTCTGAGGCACAGTGATGGGCTATCAATGACTACCCTCACGCTACTACAAGATGTGGAGGGCAACCACTGCTCATCATTTCCGGCAGCTCTCCTTCCCTTGATGCAGGCAGGGGCTCACCTTTTCGAGGAGAAAGAATTTCCCGCATCTCCGGACACCTTGATCGATTCAAAAAAGCACGACGCGCTTCATATCTTATATGCCGCGAGGTCCTTTGATCCAGTTGAATGGGCTGTGGATTTACAGCCACGTTCACCGGCTGAAGATGTATTCCATCGGACTGAAATCGCGTCCGCACATAAAGCAGCCGTATGTGTCTATCTCTCACGCATTATCCTAGCGCTATGGCCCAGCACGATATTACCCGATGATCTGGAAACTCTCGCAGCCGAGATCATCGCCCATCTCTCATACATGCAGCGTGGTGATGCATTGTTCACAGCAACAGCGTGGCCAGCATTTATTGCGGGCTTGGAAACAGCCGATCTTGCCAATCGTGTTTGGGTAACGAGGAGATTCCAAGAGCTTTGGGCAGTGGAGCCTTGGGGCCTTACCAGAGACGCTCTTGGAGTATTGAGAACAATATGGGATGGGAGAAAGAATGAAGAGGGGCGCGAAAGGAACTGGATTGAAGCAATAAAAGATATGGGCAGCGATTGGTTGATAGCATAGCTGGAGGGCGAACATGATCATTGCTTGTTGCAGCGGTGGCGATCTGCCGCCTCCTCATTGTGACTACGCAGGCCTGGTCAATCACCTGGACAACATCCGACCATGAAAGTACCAATGGGAATGGGACAATCGCCAGGCAAGTGCCGCCTGGTACAACCAGTATTGGTAAACAGAGGTCTATCTATGAATCTATGGATAAGTCGATGCGTCTCTCTCTCACCCAGTTAGTTGCCTTCGCTGCTCAGCCATCGCCTCTTCCAGCAGTTCTGCCTTTTCATCCGCGGTCAGATCACTGCTGGCCTTGGGCACCTTTCCCCAGATGGCCAGGATAAGCAAACTTGCGACAGCAGCGCCGACTCCAAACCAGAACGTGTTTTTATAGCTCCTTGCCAGCCCTGCCTCATCAACCGTTGCTGACTGGATAACGTCTGTCAGCGCAAGGACAAAGGCCACACCGAGCTGCAATACAGAGTTGATCACACTTCCAGTCAGCCCCTGCTGCGCTGTTGGAAACGTCGTGGTCACAAAGACCGTCATCAAAATTGTAGATAAGTCAATTCCGACGGTGCTGAGGATGACTGCGGGAAAGACCCATGGCCAATAGCCTCCACCAGGCGGAATTAGAGCTATGAGCAGCTGCGACCCTACTGCACCAAGACCGGAAATGATCAGCAGTAGGCGCCCTGGAACCAGATGCAGGACGAAGCCTTCGATGACGCTGAGAATGAGGCCGGCAAGGCCGAGAGGCACGTACCACGCCACCACCTGCAGCGGGCTGGCAGACATCACGTTCTGGAAGTAAAGCGTGCTGTATACGGAAAAGATGCCCCAAGTGCCGTAGAGAAGGAAGAGGGCGAAAAGAAGAGAGCTCATGCAAGGAGTCGTGAATATCGAGGCCGGCAGGAGCGGTTGAGCCGACACGCGCGTTTCGATGTAGGCTGCAGCAAGGAGTGACGAGACACCAAGTATGAGACAGACTGGGATATACGGTGTTCTCCAGCCTGCGGGGGCGTGTGCTGATTGCAAGATGGAAAAGACGACGAGGATGAGGCCAGAGACAATCGTGACGGCGCCAGGGTAGTCCATCTTGACCTTGCTTGGGGATAGTTCTTTCACATGAGGGCGGGGGATGGACAAGACCGAGGTTGCAAGAGTCAAGGCCGTCAGGAGAGCACCAATCCAGAAGTAGAACCCCCAGCGCATGAACTGGCCCACGACACCTGCCATGAGAATGCCACCAAAGAAACCGAATACCGCAGAGGTGCCGTATACTGCAAAGACGAGGTTCTTTCGCGGCCCAGGACGATACAGCGACCCCATGAGCATAACCCCGGTAGGCAAGGATGCCGCGACTCCCAGCCCTTGCAGAGCGCGGCAGAAGTCGAGCATCAGCGGGTTGACGCTGAACCCGGTGATGATGCTCCAGACAAGAAGCCAGGCAAGGCCCCACATAAAGACAGGATACCCGCCTACCATATCGCCCAGGCGTCCAAAAACGAGCAGGGTGCTGGCGATGACGAGGGAGAAGGCGGTCGCCGGCCACACGCTGGCTGCTTGCGGGATATCGAGCTCTCGGATCAGCGTGGGGAGGATGACGGTGAAGCCCGAGACAAAGTATTCCGTCAGGAACTGGGACATGGAGATGCTGAAGACGAAGACTATCTCGCTCCAGCAGTTCGTGAATAATGGGGGGCGTTCGCGGCCGAGGCGCTCGATTCGTGCTTGGATGGATTCGTCGACTGTGTTTGCAAGTTCGGTAACTGCATGGAGGTTCGGTGAAAGGTTGTCGATTACTAAGGCATCATCAACTCGAGCTGAAGACCGTAGGCCGCAGTTTCTCGATGACATGGTCGACGTTGTGCTGCTGTCCGCTCGCTCAGGTGGTGATGATAGGGACGCTGCCTGTGCCATTGTCATGTACAAGTAGATATCGCCCATATGCTAACGATCGAAGGCTGGAGTCTAAGTTGCCAGGGCTTTTATATCTCCACTGGTTTTCTTTCGGAGAAACTCGTCACCATTTTGCAAATAGGACTACATTTGTAATCAGAGCATCTGAAGATATGAACCGAAAACACCGTTTACTTACAGCCTCAATGCTGATGTTCGTAGTTGAGAGAAAGCGACAGCCATGTACGGAGTTGGACGTGTAAGTGAAAACTACGCTAATGCACGACTTGTGTCTTGGCTGCCTATCTGGGGTTAGCTCTCGCCCTTTAGCAGTGTTAGGTTGAGAATAACTCGTTGTGGAGCGAACTCCCATTGAGCTTTGAGTTGGCAAAACATTCATCCATATCAACTTTAGACACAGACGTACGGGCATACTTTTAATCTTCATCCGTCTGACCCCGGATCTCCTCACTTAAGATCATGTCTACATAACGCTCAATCGTTTTTGATATGTTGAGAATTTTTATCGCGGTCAAGCAAAGATCCTTTAAAGAGAGTAAAAGGGTGAAATTGCCATAGTCCACATCATTTTCACGAGTTCCTCCCTCATAAATCAATGTACGATGCCTAGCTGGTGACGCCAGGAATGTATGTGACATAATGTGAGAGTATCGTATGTTGATATGTTGTTATGCCTCGTGGGTATCCATCCATGTGACATTCTAATGCATCCGACATTCATTTCTCAGTTAGAGTTTTCTCTTTTCTCCCTTGACTCACTGGCTTCTTCGTGTCTTGAGTTCTGAGCTGGTTCATACCGTGGCCCATGCCTTGCCTCATGTCTTGGCTCTGTTCCAGATGTGTGTCTACCCCCTTCACTATCTTGATGATCATACTCGTCAGAGCCGCGCTCCTCGTAGGATCGAGCCATAAAAGCATGCGTATCCGCCGGTGAGAGCGACAGCTTCGAGTACGGAGAAGAGCCGTTCTTCTTGTCCAGCACTACCTTCGCGCTTGACCGCACAACCTTCCATGTCCTGCTCAGCTTCATACTGAGACCGATCTCAGGGCCGTCTAATACACAGATGAGTTAGCAGCCGAGTATCAAAGTTATGCTATCGACACTTACGTATATAAATCGCCGCGATATCGATGACAACCGGCATCCAGGTGGCCAAGGCCAGCACCTGGCCAAATGTCCACGACCCATCCTTGTTGTCTGAGCCAGATCGGGCTGCCATCTCGCTTCGGTAATTGGAAAAGATGCCCAGCATGGTCCACATTACGGCCAGGGAAACAACTCCTGCAAATAGGCGTAAGAACGGACGGATCCGGGTAAATATCCTCCAGGCCTTCCAGTTATCCCTTCTCGCGACAACTCCTCGAGGGACGAAGGAGGCGAGGAAGTAATACAGCCACCAGGCGAGATTCAGGCCCAGAAAGACGTGTGCAGCCGTCAACATGTTGATCAGACGGAGCTTCCTCTCGTCTGAGTCGCACGCCATATTCCACGCGGCCTCGCGCATGTGCACAAAGGCTGCCTGCGCCCCTTGCACCGTATTGGTGTCGTACTGCCACGGGTCGGCGGTGCGGTACTGGACCTCGACGACGATGGCCAGCACAATCACGACGAGCCACAGGAACTGGCGCAGGAACAGCTTGCGGAGGCCGTCGGCGACGGTCTGTAGCACAATGGCAGGGTATATAGAGAACGCAGACATGTAGACGGAGCCCACGAGACTGTAGACTGAGGTGTCACGCTCTGGGTGGCGGATGACAGATGTGTAACGGACGACGGCAGCACCGAGCATGGCCGCGGCGAAGATGAGGGCGGTGTCGAGGAAGGTGTTGATTGAGTCGGTGAAGGAATGGAAGAACAGGAACAGGCCCGAGTTCCGCGATGTCTTTCTCTCTACAGGAGGCAACTTGCCGACGAAGATGATCAGGAAATACATTGTCGACATTGCGGCGGCTTGGAGGTTGTTAGTCTTGCTGGACACGGTTGCAGGACGACAGGGAAGATTGGTACATACCGAGGTAATAGCTAATCATCATCTAGCCATATCTTATTAGCATCTATAGAGATCTAGTTGCACGGGCTGGGGCTCACGTACACCAGCACCAGAGACGTCCGAATCACCCTGCCACTCTAAATTCTTGCATAGAGTATCCTGGCAGTTGTTGAGGGGATATTTCAACATGGCGACCATGACTTTGTCCACGTCGGGCATGACGAACGGCTGCCCATCGGTGAAATTTGCCCAGCTGAGGTACCAAGCTCCAAGTTCGGAATTAGTAGGGGCTGGCCAGTCATACGGAAGCAGTTTGCGCAGGTAGTTCAGCGTGACGAATACGGGGATGTCTTGCAGCAGCTTGAGCCGGTTCATCTGCTGTAGCGTGATCCCAGCCCAGATACTGGCCTCCTTGCAGACGTCGGTCGTGAAGTTGAAGGACGTGAAGGACGGGGCTTGCCATGACACGGTGACCGTCGAATTGCTCATCTTTGGGGTCACAGTCTTGGGTCAGTTCTAATGTTGGCCACACCATTCCAGGTAATACTGGAACAGGTTGACTGCCGCTGAGTCTCGCGTCGAAATTCTGTGGGTAGTATGTATGTATGTGATAGCCGCGAAAGACGAGAGAAGCACCTAGATTGCTTTGGGGAAGAAATGAATGTCGAAAAGAAAATAAGGATTGAGAATCTGTCTTGTTCCGAGACTCAAAAGATCCCTCCCGGTCGGTGCCTTAGTCATAGAGGCAGCATGCTTTGAGCCTCGCTCTGGAGACAACAAACGCAGCCCCAGCCCTATCTGCAAGCACCAGAGTCTTTTATGACATAAAATGCAAGGCGCAGGGTGTTGGCGGCTTGGCATAAGCTGACCATTGCTGATCTTCAACCAGAACCGGAAATAAGAAGTAGACTTAAACTTTAACATGCCTTCCGGCTTTGCCCAGAGCCTGCGACCCCCAGACATCACAGGGCAGAATGATGTCACTCAATCTGGCAATGCGGGTCTCCATGCGCAAGTGTTTGCTGGCAAGACATTGTTTGGCGCGACGGAGTGCTCGAATCGACATTCCGGACCATTAACTTGTGTAGGAGCTGAAGAAGGATACGAAAAGAGTAAGTGTTCCCGAGACGCGTCGAGGAGAGATTATGTCATCGACCCCGCAATCCGTGATCCTGGGTCCAATCCCGAGATCCCCATCTTCGTTTCACCTCCACTGAGATATCGCTGCCTCTGGCATCAAAGCTGCAGCTGATGGATGCGTGTTCAACTGCTCTGATTGTTCACACTCTGTGATTGGCTAGGCTTTGAGCTGAATCAACTTTCTTGAATCCCTGCCAAGTATGCCTATCAAGAGTTGTTGACCATCAAATGGTGCACCTTCTGCTCCATGTTCCAAGTCGACTTCACGACGGTCGTCCACCGTATTAACACATGGCTGTCGCTTCCAGCGGCTGACCGCCTTCTCCCAAGTCCCAAGCAAGCATTATACCATACATACGCTCTGTTACGTGCCACCCTTCTCATTTCCGGCTCCCCGAGCCTGCCGCCGACTCCTCCCGGAGGTTCGATACGGCATATCGAAAGGAACACTTGGCAAGTCAGTGCTCCGGCCGGGTCACCATATTTCACACTCAGCTTTCCCAATGGCACCACTTTTGTGCTTGACGGAACCGACGGCCAACATGTCCTGCCTAGCGATCTCACATCCGGCCCAGTCCACGGCAGTGGCCGGGCCTGGTGGCTGCCGGCTTCCCCATTCTCGCCGCAGTCAGCTTACATGGTCATTGCAGATGGCGACGTGACGTCTTCTTGCACTGGAAAGCACAATCCGTCATGCCGGGTTACAGTGCAAGCTTCAAGTGCAAATATCACTGCGTACCGGGCTCGTCCCCACGCTGATATCCACGGCGATGAGTTTGATCTCGACTTCCCTGGCGCCGAGGGCCTGGCGGATGCCCTGGCAGGCTTCTACTGGGGTACCATGCTGCCCTCTGTTATCGAACGGACACGTGCCAAGGACTACCCGGACGCGGAAGGATATATCATCAGCACTCTGGCAGACAGATATGTTGGCACCTATCCCGACGTCGACCACGAGTTCCAAATCAAGGGCCGTGTTGCATGGGGCGGAGACCTCGATCTAGCCGTTGTGCGAAGGATGATCGAGCTCGAACTGAGACTGATGCGGGAAGACTACTGCGGCCTGTGGCGCGCACCCTGTGCGGTGCAGCCTTCCGGGGAGCGAGAGTATAACGTACGACGGAATAGTGAGGACGGCGAGACCAATGCCGTCATGTTTCTTGTCTCCGGGAATGTCGAGATGATTGAGTCGGTATGGCTTTATGTTGCTCGGACCAAAGACCTGGAGTGGCTGCGGCTTCACTTGGACGACATTGAGATGGGCGCCTGGAGCGTGGAGCAGCACATCGATCCTCTTGGGCGGCTCTGGAGTGACGTGTACTATGAAGACCAGGTCATCAAGGATGGACGAGAGACTATGTCTGCCGCTCTTGCAGCACGCGCATTTGGTCTGCTTGCCGAGTTGGAGCTCGTTCTTGGCCGCGATGATGCTGCACAGCGCTACGTCAAACTCCAGCAGCGTCTTGCACAGGCAGTCAGCAGGCCTTTGCCTCAAGGTTACTGGGACGCGGCACAAAGCCGTTTTGTCGATTGGGTCGATCGGACGGGGTGGGCACACGACCATATTCACCTTCTAGCCAATATTCTCCCGGTTATGCTGAACATGACGACACGGGCGCAGACTGACAGCATCGAATCACTCATTGCGGCAGAGCTGGATGAGTTTCAACGTTTTCCGACCTTCTTGTCAGCACGCATCGCCGACTACAACAGCAGCGAGATTGGCGATGGCGGGCCCTACGACCTCTGCGCTGCCGGACGCTACTGGCACTGGGACGCTGCGTACTGGGCGTGGCGAGGCAATGGCGACATGCTGCTCGAGCAGCTGCACAAGGTGGCCAGCATGGGTGCTACGGACGACTACATCATGGGCGAGCGGTACGATATGGACTATGTGTACTACATTGACGGCAAGCCGTGGCATGGAGCGGCGCATTACTACGAGTATCCCTGCGTCTACTCGTGGGTGCTATTCCATGACCTTGTCGGTGTGCAGCCTTCACTCACAGCAGACGTGCGCCTGAAGCCGATGCTGGTAGGTGGCGGCTCGGTGACGCTCAAGCAGGCGGCATATCAGTTGAGGTACCAATTCGAGCCTCGGAACCACTCATTCACATTGCAAAATCTAGCTAGCAAGTCTAGGACATTCGAGCTGGACCTATCGGCATTGCTTGGCAAGCATATATTGGGTCTAGACCTAGGAGCTGAGTTTATGGCTCTGAGTGATCAGCCGTTTGAACTGGGGCCGGGGGAGGAAGCACGACTTCAGAAGCTTGATAGTTTACCGTAGGTAGTCAAATGAATGGCTTGCAACTCCGACCTTGGGACTTATCTGCAATTTCTGAAAGATGCCTACCAATGTCTCCAAGCAATATCATATTCATCCGTGTAGCATGTGAGGAACTCGCACCGCGCGGACAACACACTAGCGGAAGTCTATCCGATGAGCGGCCTCTAGCGTTCAATCTTGATGGAGGGTGGGCATATGAACTAAACCGCGGGGAACAGATCGATCAGTGGATCCGAGTCCGTGGAGGTGCAAATTTGAAAACCTTCAAACAATACCGACGGGACTATGCCCGCCATACCGGGACCGGGGCCCCGGATCAAGACAGTGACGAGCTCGATCGCGCGGGGAAGGATTGTGGAGAAGCAGTTTGAATGACCTTATGCTCATGAGATCTCTATAACAAAGACGGGGCTTGATGAGGTCTGTTCAGAGCATCTAGGTTCGATTCTCCCTTGCCATCATCTCCTACCCTCTCTGTTCGCAACAAGTATTATCTAGAGATCTGGAGGCACCCAGAATCTCCTTTTCAATTCCTTATCAATATGGCCTCCAACGGAACACCTCACCCCAAGGAGCTGGCTCACAAACCCCTGGCTGATGGAATGTACTTTGGCGAGTCACCTCGGTACCACGATGGCCAGCTCTACATCAGCGACATGACCGGCAGGACGATCTACACCATCGACGCCGCCACGGGCCAAAAGTCTGTCCTCGTCGAGGTCGAGAACCAGCCCAACGGGATGTGCTTCACTGACGACGGCGCGCTCATCTACTCGTCCATGTTTGACGCCAAGCTCTACCGCTACAAGGACGGCGAGCACGCCCTCTACTCGGACATGTCGGCCGTCATGACGGGCTACTGCGGCGACATGGCCATCGACGCCGCGGGCCGCGTCTACATGGACGACACGGGCGCGCGCGTCCTGCACGGCGAGCCGCCCAAGCCGGGCCGCATGCTGCTCGTGGGCACGGACGGCAAGGTCTCCATCGCGGCGGACAGCATCATCTTCCCCAACGCGTGCATGATCTCGCCCGACGGCCGCGCGCTGTACGTCGGCGAGACGTTTGGCTGCGGCCTCCTGCGGTACGACATCGACCCGGCCACGGGCGCGCTGAGCAACCGGCAGCAGGCCTGGGCGCCGTCCGCGTTGACGGGCAAGACGGACGACGACCCGCGCGTCAGCATGATTGGTATCGACGGCGGGTGCATGGATGCCGAAGGAGGGTTATGGCTGAGCATGCTGGGTCTCGAGCAGTGGGTGCGACTCGACCCCCAGGGCAATGTGACGCACCGGATCAGGACTGAGGGGCATGCGACGGCGTGTTCGCTCGGCGGCGAGGACGGCAAGACCCTCTTCCTCGTGACCAACTGGGTTCCGGAGGGGGAGAACTTGTTCAAGGCCATGGTGGCGAAGAGGACTCGGTGTACTGTCAGCACGGCCCGCGTGGAGATTGGTCGCGGTGCGGCGCGGCCTTGAGGGGCATATATTATACAACGTAATAGCAATGAACAACTGTCCGTTCTAAGCCTGTATGATAGTGAATGACTGATTGTGCTATGTTGGGAAAATTTTAAATGGGGTAACGAAAGAGTGTTGTTGACATCAAACTTTTCTTTGTGATACTCTCTCTACATTGCATTCTGCTATCGAAGCGGTTACATGTCTACTCTGACTCTAGGTGCACACCGATCTCCTCTTTAATCATCCAACCGTGGCTTAAACCCCTTTACTCTTGAGCATATGTGAACTCCAACCCCGTCGTGATACTTCCGTACTTGGCTCGGCACAAGTCCCAGAAATAGTTTGTCCTGCCCTTCCACGGGCCAGAGTCGCCGCATTTTGGCAAGTCGCTTGCAGCCTCCTTAACATATGTCGACTCCAGGTTCCATATCGGGACGGGCCGAATGGAAGAAGGGTTGCGCAGCTTCGGCGTGGCGCTGCTCAAACCCTTCTTCTCCATGTGTTGGAGCACCCGGCATACAATGTGGGCGGTAGCCTCTGCACCAAGAGTCCAGGATGCGTTGACATAACCCAGGATAAAAGCCAAGTTGGGAACGTCTTGCAACATGGCGGTGCGCCAAGCATAGCGGTTGGCCAAGTCGATCTGCTCGCCATCCACACTCACTTTGATGTGGCCGCCAAGAGCAAGTTTGAGGCCGGTGGCAGTAACGACGATATCAGCCTCAAGCTTCTGTCCAGACTGCAGTATTATAGCATGTTCTGTGACCGTCTCGACGTGTCCAGTCTCGACTGCCGCCTTGCCCTCACGCATGCTCTCGAAAAAGTCGCCATTTGGTGTAAAGCACAGGCGTTGATCCCAGGGTTGGTAGCGCGGCCGGAAGTGGGGATCAAGCGGGATACTCTTAGGAAGCTGTTCCGCCACCATGCCCTCGAGCTTCGACCTCGCCTTCCCAGGGAAGGCTCGGCACAAGTAGAATATCATGGCAGTCATCCACATAAAGGACCATCGGCTAAGTCGTAGGGCCCATGACTTTGGTAGCACCCTGTAGGTCCACGAGTTTCCAACAGTGTTGTCTGTGGACAGGATGTACGTCGGACTCCTCTGTAGCATCGTGACATGCCCAGCCTTCTTGGCGACATTGGGGAGGAGTGTGATCGCAGTGGCTCCACTGCCGATGATGACGACTTTCTTCCCAGTGTATTCTAGGTCCTCGGGCCAAAATTGTGGGTGGACAATCTGGCCTTTGAAGTTCTCGTAAAGCCCTGGGATCTGGGGCTTCAGGGGCTCCTTGTAGTCGTAGTACCCGCTACCCAGTACCAGGAAACGGGCACGGACTGTTGTTTGGCTATTTTGGCTGGTTCTCACAACCATATTCCACGCTTGGTCTTCGGAGGACCAGTTGGCAGAGTCGACACGATGTCCAAACTTGATATGAGGGAGGATGCAATCCTCCTCGGCGGCTTCGTGAAGGTAGCGAGCGATAGACGCTCCATCAGCGATGGCTCGTTTCTCGACCCAGAGCTTCCATTCAAACCCAAAGGTTTGCAAGTCGGTATCAGAACGGATCCCGGGATATCTAAAGAGATCCCAAGTACCGCCAATCTTGTCCCGGGCCTCAAAGATTGCGTAGTTTAGATTTGGTAGCTGGGTCCGGATGTGGTGGGCGGTGTTGATGCCCGAGATGCCGGCACCCACGATGACAACATCGTACAGATCGGCGACTTGTGCCTGGACCTTCTCTGTCATTGTGATAAGGAAACAGTTGCTGATATGAAGATTTAGGAATGATTTTGTAATAATGATTCACTTCATCTTCAAGATACATAAAGTGAATTGAGAGTTGGGAGGCTTTTCTTTGAGATTGTCCCTGTTGCCCCGGACACATGGATGCCAGTCTCATCACAATTGTTCCACAATGTCACGGGCCTTGATCCGTAATGACCTACCATAGGTGAGTGCCATCTCATCAGGTTTTCTGCACGTTCTGGCAGGGCTTTGTGCACCCTTGCCCGAGTGCGGATGAACATCCGCAACTGCTTGGAGAGCTTTCCGGGGCCCATGGCAAGGCTCCACAACGGCACCCCCAGGATCCGGACAGCTTCCCCAGATGGAGAATGACACTAGCGGGGGAAGCCATGGAGACGAGGCATGATCCAGTGTGGTGGAATGGCTTCCGTATGCGGAACAAGTTTGGTGATGGCGCAAATTGTCGGAATTCGTTGACTACAAAATAGGAGCATCATGGGATGAATTGAAGTCTGGTTCAGCTCCTCAAATCATTATTCTCGCCAATTTCTCACTAACCACACATATCTGCAACATATTCCCACACCGCAAGAATGGCTCCTGATAGAATTGACGTGCACCACCACTTTGTGCCCGACTTCTACCGCGAGGGTTGGTCCGAACTTGACTGCTACATTGACAGGCAAAGCTAACAGTTTGTAGCCGTTCTTACTTCAGGCGGAGACCCTTCGGGCTGGGAGGTCCCGAAATGGAGCCCTGAGACCGACGATGCCGTCCACAAGAAATTTGGCATTGCCACGACGGTCCTGTCCCTGACGGCTCCTGGTGCCTGCATCCTCAAGGACCCGCAGGCCGCTGCAGACCTGGCTCGCAAGACAAACGAGTATGCCGTCAAGCTGAGGGACGAGAACCCGAAGAAGTACGGCTTCTTGGCCGCACTGCCAAACCTGCTGGACAAGGAGCTGGCGCTCAAGGAGATCGCCTACGCCTATGACGTGCTCAAGGCGGACGGCGTCACCCTCTTCACCAGGTACGGCAAGGACAACCACTACTTGGGCCACCCAGATTTTAAGGACATCTGGGCCGAGCTCAACCGCCGCTCGGCCGTCATCCTGGTGCACCCTACCCACCCGGTCGACACCAGCCAGGTCAGCAACCTCCCGCAGCCAGTGATCCGGTACCCCTTTGAGACGACCACCACGGCCCTCGACATGCTGCACAACAAGACGGTGCGCAACAACCCGAACTGCAAGATCATCCTGTCCCACGCCGGCGGCACCCTGCCTTTCCTCATCGGCCGCCCTGCCAGTATCCTGCCCAAGGGCAAGGAGGAGCTCGACGCCTTCTGGGACGACGCTCGCAACTTCTACTACGACACTGCTGTCGCGGGCACCGAGAACGTCCTCAAGATTCTCGAGACGTTCGCTAAGCCGGGGCACATTCTCTACGGTAGCGATGCACCGTACGCCCACGATGGTATCATTGAGTTTCACACTACAAGGCTTGACGAGTACAAGTTTCAGGACCCTGACATGCTGAGGAAGATCAACAGGGAGAATGCGCTGGCTCTGTTCCCTAAGCTCAAGTAGATATGATAGATGTAGCTGTCCCGGTAGTAATATGATACGAGTATCAATGAACACCTTTACCTGCTTTAAGCCCGCTCTGTCCCATGATCTAGGATAGCACCGCGCAGATGTGAACCGCTTATAGCAAGTGTGCCAGGAGCGGCCCCGCTACCGCCATTAGGGATCCGAACGGCTCAACCACCCGCAGATGCAAGGGCGGGATATTCCCGCACCCATGCATAGAAGCTGGGATATGAGCTATTCCCATGTGAATAAAGCTGGCTGGAATTATTTGACAATGCCTTTTCGATGATAGTGGTCCTTCCTTGATCAGCTGATTAGTCATGGCTAAATCGGAGAGCCTGCGCACCAAGGCATACGTCGTGGCCGAGACAGGTGCGCCTTTCATATTGCAAGATGTGTTTCTAGACGAGATGCAGCCGAGCGAAGTCCTTGTCGAGATCTTGTACACGGGCATCTGTCACACCGACATTGTGGTCCAGCAGGGCGGCATGCCCATCGGCGGGTACCCGTGCGTCCTGGGACACGAAGGTGTCGGAATGGTCAAACAGGTCGGCGCCGACGTAGCGAATACATCCTTACGACCAGGGGACACCGTACTGCTCTCGTTTCACACCTGCCGTGATTGCAGGGCCTGCAAGGATGGACGTTTGGGAAGTTGCCCCCACATGACGGCTACAAACTTCATCAATACGGCGCGCAGGGGGCCAGGCGCGAAGTCGCCTATCTCTCTCCCAGACGGCACACCAGTGCATGGCCAGTTCTTCGGCCAGTCGTCGCTTGGCAAGCATGCTGTCGTGGCGGAGCACTCCGTGATCAAGATCGATGCCCGACCCGAGGACTTGCAGTTCCTCGCTCCGCTCTCATGCGGCTATCTTACCGGAGCCGGCACCGTCATCAACGTTTTGCGTCCGCAGAGTCACACGAGGCTCGCCGTGCTAGGTATGGGCGCCGTCGGCCTGGCGGCGATGCTGGCAGCCAAAGCCGTCGGCGTCCAAGAGATCATTGCCGTCGACATTGTCGATGCGAAGCTCAGACTGGCTTCGGCACTGGGAGCTACGCATACACTGAACTCTAAGGGGGTCACAGAGCTCAGTTCGGGCATCCGGTCGATATTCCATGACGGCGTTGACCAGATCATCGACACCACGGGAGTCGCGGCTCTTCTACAACAATCATTTAATGCTCTTGCACATGAAGGCACATTAGCTCTGGTGGGCGTACCCAACCCGGCTGCCACCCTCCAGGTCAATGCCTTGGATTGGCTACTATCTTGCAAGAGGCTTATTGGGGTGATTGAGGGCAGCGCGAACCCGCGGGAGGTATGATACGCCGCACACCGCGAGATGATGTATGAGGGAAGCGTACTAACCTATCTGCTCAGTTGATCCCCAAGCTAGTGAAACTATTCCAGGAAGGAAAGTTCCCTGTTGACAAGATCGGCAAAGTCTATCCTGCCCAGAATCTGGATGAAGCAATTGCGGATCTCAAGTCCGGAGCTGTAAGTGTCCAGCCGAGCAGACGCATAACCCTGTGAACCGATATGATCAACCTATCACAAGTTCCCCTCCGTGAGTGTCCTTGTGCTGACAATGTGTGCTCTCAGGTGATCAAGCCCATTCTGTCCTGGGAAACGCTGTGATCGGTTGGGAGAAGCTTACTTGGTAGTGATGATCGCCGGTGGTCCGTGGGGACGCTTGCGGATGTAGTTCCGCAAGCGCAACTTGAAGTCCACCAGTGGCGGATGTAGATCCGTTATTAGTCGCAACCTGCGGGGCGGGGACCAGGATGTCCCCAGAAGCGTTGAGTTGGTCGTTGCGGACTACCTACCTGTATGCGTTCAAACTCTGCTTAGCATAATATCAATCAGATGGACGAGATTCTGTTTGCCCTCTGTTGACCTGGCGAGGACATGCCGAGCTAGTAAACAGCCCTACCAACCAAATGGCCACCCCCTCCGCCAGCATCGCCGTCAGAGCAGCTGGCCTGCTTCAAGGCAGAGTCTCCATTATCACCGGGGCCTCAAACGGACTCGGACGAGCGACCGCCCTTGCGTTCATGAATCAAGGTGCGTCTGTCGTTTGCGCAGACCTCAAACCTTCTCAGCGGGACGAGCAGGCCACCCACAAACTCATCCGAGAGCAGGGAGGAAAGGCCATCTTTGTGCAGACCGATGTTGCGGATGAACAAAGTGTCCAGAGCTTGATATCACAGGCAGTGAAGGAGTTCGGAAGGCTTGATGTGTAAGTCTCCCAAGGCAACTGCATATTGGGGGGCTTCTTGGACTGACGCGCAATCTTTTCCAGCATGATGAATAATGCAGGCATCGCGTTCGAAGCAGCTCAGCCCCGACCGATCTGGGAGACCGCCGTGGATGAGTTTGACGCAGTCTGCCGCGTCAACTTGCGAGGAACATTCCTGGGCTGCAAGTATGCCGGCGCACAGATGCTTCGCCAGCCCCGGATCGAAGGCTACGCCAAGGCTGGAACCATCATCAATGTCGGCTCTGTCCTCGGCCTCCTTGGACTCGCAGGAGCACCGGCGTACTCTGCTACCAAGGGTGCAGTAGTAGCACTGACGAGAGCTGCTGCTATGGATTTTGGTCCTCATCATATCCACTGCAACTCGATTCTTCCCGGCTGTAAGCTATACCACGACTAGTATTCCGCGAACCGACAGAGCTGGACTAACACTTGACCTCATTGGCTAGATACACGGACAGCGATGATCTCGAGCATGACAGACGGTGGAGAGACTGAAAGCCACTTTGCGCAATGCCACCCACTCAAGAGGCTTGGAGAGCCAGACGAGATTGCCAATGCTGCTGTCTTCCTGGCCAGCGACTTGTCGAAAGGCATTACTGGCGTTAATTTGTCCGTCGATGGAGGGTTGCATGCGCAGCTGAGATTCTAGAAGACTCTTCAAGTCTTTGTATCAAGTGCCTATAAGTTAGTTTCTGTAGATATCCGTATTAAACTGGATCGCTTCACAGCTCCAGGGCTGTACACGCAGTGATCAGTCAGAGGCAGCAGTCCTGTTCAAGACTTTAGTGATGTTTGACTTCCCCACAACACTAGGCAATACCGAGAGATTGGTTTGCTAGCGGCCACCTCCGGGGCGCCTTAGCGTGCTAGTGCCCCAAAATTTCCCCAACAAGCCCCCACGGGCGGGGGAATCTGGAATCCAGTCCCTGCCCGTCTGTCCGTCTTTTAACGCAACCTGCCCTGCTCAATTACCAACTCCTCCCTTCTCACCTCTCATCCGATTATATACCTGCACATTCCAAACTATACAGTCTCGGCCTTGTAGACCAAAAGTAAGACCCTGGAGATTGCAACCCTCTATACACGGCTACAATCGGCCACGCAATGGCGCAGATGGCGCCGCCCTCGCCCAGATCCACAGACAACTCGCCTGAGCCTGAAGGCGGACCCCGAAAACGGCGTCGCACAGCGATTGCCTGTGAAGAATGTCGCGAACGGAAGAGAAAGTGCGACGGTGTTAAACCTGTCTGTGGGGCCTGCACGAGGCGCTCATCGTCGGTCTGCTCCTGGAACGAGGATCGGAATAGTAAAGGATGGTGGAGCAACAGGTCTGAATCGATGATGTTGAACATCCCTGAGCAATATGCTGACATGTGAGTAGCTATGTGGAGAGCTTAAAGGCACGCATTAACGAGCTGGAAACGGCAGAGGCTCAGAGCCTGCCTCATGGCTCGCTGGAGCAGGCCACTCCGTCAAGTGTGCTGCCAGCCTTTTCTGGCCACCATCCAGCACACCTCCCTCAAGTGGTCGAGTCCATTGCAGAAGGCTCGATGTCTCAGAGCGCCTCTAGCTACTATGCCACAGTCCATGAAAGGCCAGGTTCCACGCTTGAGTCTCGAACCGCCAATTTTGAGCCCACTACGCTTGCATTGCGGCCCCCTGTTGCGTATAACGCAGCTGCTGGGACTGGTCCTGCTCCTGGTCTCACTGAGGGTAACGACAGTGTTGGTGATTCTTCCGGCGATGACAGCGAGACAGAAATGGACGCGATGGGTGTCCTAGGTTCTGTTGACGGCACCGACAAAGCACGCACCCGCCGACCCTCGGACTACTTTGGGCCATCGAGCACGATTGGCCTACTGGGAAAGGCGCGCCGTGCGATGTCAAAGAAGCGGTGCCATCACGGCCATTCGTCTAGCAGAGCAGATGAAATGTGCCAGGAATGCCAGGCAGCATCTACTTCATCTCCCTCTCGCTCCTTGGGCTCCCATGGAGCAGCAAGCAAGGCCAAGGACTCAGCCAAGGCATTTGGCTTTGTGATCCCTCCACGATCCGAAGCTGACAGCCTAGTAGAAAGCTATTGGGTTGGCTGCCATTCATTGTATCCTTTTCTACACAAGCCTTCCTTCATCAACAGATACATTCAACTGTGGAATGGGAAAAGCGAGTCTCAGAAGAAGAGTTATTACGCCAACCTTGATGGCACCGGGTTTTACTGCATGCTGAACGTCGTCTTCGCCCTCGGGGCGCTACTTAACCCGGACATTGATGAGAGGACACGCGAAAGCGTCAGCCGCTCGTTCTTCGACCGCTCAAAGCAGCTACTAGACCTGGACCGGCTCGGTCACGGTAGCCCAGCTCTGGTTCAGACCCTCCTGCTTATGGGCCAGTATCTGCAGAGCACCGACATGTCGAGCTCTTGCTGGAATATCGTTGGCCTGGCGATTCGGGTTGCCCAATGTATTGGATTGCACCATGAGCCGAAACAGTCCCGCAAAAGGGTCGACCAGGTCGAGACTGAAATGCGCCGTCGAACCTGGACAGGATGTGTTCTGCTGGACCGGTGAGTGGAAAACATGATGCAAGGCCTGTACCAGTCTGATGTTGCTAACACCCCTGACCTAGCGTGCTTTCTCTAACATATGGACGCCCTTTGATGATTCATCCAGTGATGTCACGGAACCAGCTGGTGCTTCCTTTGGCAGCCGACGATGAGTATTTGACCTACCATCCGGACCCTCCAGGGAAGCAACCAGAAGGCCAGACCAGCCACATTGAGTGTTACATTCAATCTATAAAACTCCAGGAGATTCTCGGACAGGTACTTGCGTCGTTCTATTATGGGGGCGAATCTGAAAACGACAAGAAAGACCTTGAAGCCTCCGATTCCGGCCCGAGTGGCACTGTGACCCCGGTCAGGGAACGAGGCGTCAAGGACTCGGATCTGCAAAGACTGCTCAACGTTGACAAATTACTAATGTCCTGGCACAAGGATCTTCCTCCACACCTGAGGGTAGATGCGTACAGCGATGATGGGCTTCCAGAGTCCAGGTTGACAAAGTGTTTCCGTCGACAAGCCACTGTGCTCAAAGCGAGGTATTTCCTGTCTAGCTAGCCATGCGTAATGTCCCAGTGGCCGTTGCTGACCTGATTGTTAGATATCTGCATGTCCGCCTCATGATGCTCAGGCCGGTTCTGTATACTCTTTGCGATCTGTCAGGGGACAGTAACGACGCCACTGAAAGCGATTCCATCGAGTTTATCATGCGACATGGGATGTTAGTCCGTCTTGCAAACAGCTGCGTAAATGTTGCGAGAGAGCTTGTCCATCTCATTGCTGGAAATGTTCATACACATCCGGATTCGCTCCCACCGCCTTGGTACAGCGTCTTCTGTAAGTCAAATCTCAGACAAGGTCTTTTGCCGCCACTGAGTAGTATATGCTCTGTAGCTAATTGTGCCATGACCTACGTAGATATCTATAGCAGCGCTCTAGTCCTCCTCATCAGCCTCCTTTACTCATCAAAGCATATTGAATGCGCCGACGAGTCCGCGCTTCTTGCCGACTGGAAAAGCTCACTTGACTTTCTACGCATGTATCGAGAACGGCACCGCTCGGCACGGCGGTGCAGCAGAATGCTTGCTGTTTTGGAACAAGAGATTTCAAGCCACCAACAAGGTAAGCATCATCGGTGCGCCATCCTTGGTTGAATACTAACTCGAACATAGGTGCTTCAACTGGATCATTCACTGAGCAGATAGCCTTGTTCCCCGCTGAGCAAGTCAGCTTCGCTGGCGAATTCGGAACAACAGGCGCTAGCTCGGGCCAGTCAGTCTACAGCGACGACCCGAACGGTTTGCATCTCCTGGAGGACTTTGCCCGGCTTGACCAAGGGGGCTTCCCGTGGATGCAAAACTCCACCTCCGATATGAACTGGCTCTCGCTCGTTCCTTTTCTGGAAAATATGGAGGACACGAATTTCTGATCATGTATGTATGAGACTTCAGATATCTAAGATTGTAATACTATGCTTTGTTGCCTTCATTTAGCTCCTCATACAGTCTATCTTCCACACGCATCCAAAGGGCCGCAACCTGCGGGTCAGCAAATGGAAGCACCTGGGAACCGACCACCCCAGCGACGCCGTTCTCGCGATCGCACCACCAATGGACGTTGGACAGGCCCGACCAGTGGACAGTCCTGTCCGATCGGCCGGTAATGGCGGGGGAGATCATAAAGCTCAGCCCCCATCCTTGCGGCTCTCCGACGGGGCAGAGTGGGTAGAGCTCCTCGGCTGGGTAGACTAGATCGGGCTTGACTGCAGGCAGATATCGCCGCGCAAAGTCTGGGTCGTGCGGCAGCTGGTTGACGAACATGGCGTCGACTGTTTCGGGTTTGAGGATCGACATGCCGGTTAACGGTGATGTGCCGTTGTTGAGTAGCGCGCCGAGAACCTCTGTGAAAAGTCAGATTAGGTACCACACGACGAAGAAATTCAATCTCATAGCCAAGTGTTCCTACTGCTGAATTCGCGGGGGCTACCAAATAGGCCGGCACCTCCGCTGTGAAAGGTGTCTGGGTCGACTAACGGTCTACGCAACGGGTACTCGCGGGAAGATAGGTAGCCGCTCGCATCGCGCTGCCAGATGCCCATAAGCCTTTTCTTCGACTCCTCTGAGGGTAGCATCGATATTTCACTTGCCCCTAGGGGCTGGAAAATGTTTTGCTGCATGTAGTCATTGAGTTTCTGGCCCGTCAGGCGTGAGATCAGAATTCCGACCCAATCCATAGATGTCTACCAGGTCCGATATTAGCTACAAGTGGTCACAAAAGCGCAGAGAGAAGAGATTAGATACCCCATATTCGAACCTCTCCCCAGGTTGATTGACGAGAGGCTGGTGCATATCTGCCTCGAGGCCCGAGAACTCGTCAAACTCGGGTTGGTGGTTCCGGAGACGATAAGAACGCAGTTTCGGGTTGAGAAAGGAATACCCAAAACCAGCTGCGGTAGAGGTTAGCGATTTGAGACTTTCCATAAGCTTGGTTCCGCGGAGCGCACCTGTATGAGTGAGCAACATCCTCAACGTAATCCGTCGCGTCTTCTCCACAAGCGACCCATCTTCCTGCAGAACCTGGACGCCTCGAAGCTCAGGACAGACAGCCTCAACCTGATTTGCATCATCAAGTGAGATTCGACCTTGCTCAACGAGCTGGATGCACGCAATGGCCGTGACCAGCTTCGTGCAAGAAGCCAGCCAGTAGCAGTCCTTCTCTCCCTGAGAATCCCTCGCTCCCACAGAGTGACTTGCAAGTTCTACAACTTCATGGCCAGCTTTGCCTAGCAACACGACGCTTGCGCAGGGTAAGCCGTTGTCGGCATCCGCACAGGCATCATCCACCAGCTTGTGAATATCTGCGATCGCCTTCGGGGATACTCTTCTCGAGCTTGCCATGTTGTGTTTCGTACACTCCCAGCGGCAGGACAACCTCACAAAGCATCATCGCAAAATCATTTATCCACAGACTCCTTTCGGCCTCTTGTATAATATCACCTCCGTGGCCGAATCCAAACCCGCAACTCCCGTCGGGGCGCGGGCTGTTCCCCGCAAAATTCGTGGTGAAAGTCCGGTTCGGATTTGTTCCCGAGTGGTGGCAATGCTGCGGCTCCAGATCCGCAACCCTCTTGAAGCTTGAGGCAAACAACTTAGTTGTACACTAGGACAAGCCAACTTGGTCGTGTCCCCGCTTTACCCCAAATTTTCCATACCCGAGAGAGTTGCCCAAGCAAAGGATTCCAACGGTTCTCATTGGCCGTGAGGGCCGGTCGGCTTTGTCCCCTCCAGCTCACCGGAACCCGGGAGTCAAGCCCGGCAAGTGATTGGTGTGTGTGTGACCACCTCGCGTTTGTCCGAGACAAAGAGAGAAAGACAGACCTCAAAATATCCCTTGTGTCTGGGGATCTTGCTCTCAACTCGCTCTATCGGTGGACTGGATCGCCCCCCAACATCCGCGACTCCCTGCCCCAACTCCCACCTAGATCGTGTCCCCGAGACGCGCGCGCACCGCGAGAGAGATTATGGCAGAGCAAGTTGACGTGCTCATCTGCGGCAGCGGCTCGGCCGGCCTCTGCGCCGCCGTGTGGTTCGCCCGCTGCGGCGTCAGCTACAAGATCCTCGACCGCCGGGCGGGCCCTCTCGTCAACGGCCAGGCGGACGGCGTGCAGTGCCGCACGGTCGAGATCTTTGAGAGCTTCGGCATCTCGGAGCCGCTGCTCAGGGAGGCGTATCACGTGCTCGAGATCGCGTTCTGGGCCGCCGAGGGCGGCGACAAGGGCAGCGACAAGGATGGCGTCGCGGGAATCAGGCGGACGCACTACGCGCCTGACCTTGAGAAGGGGTTGAGCCACCAGCCGCACGTGATTTTGAACCAGGCGCGGATCAACGGGTTGATGATCGAGGAGATTGAGAGAGTGGGAGGGGGAATGAATGTCGAGTATGGCGTCGAGGTCAAGGGGGTCGAGGTTGAGAGCGCGACAGCCGGCGATCTCAGTGCGTACAGTTGCACGACTAAGGGTGTGGGCGCTGATGGGGCGGAGAAGACCTACCGTTCCAAGTATGTGCTGGTAAGTCACAAGTCTTCCGCCGACGTCTAGACACCAATGCAAGGGGTGCTAACGGGATTTGTGGAGGCATGCGATGGCGCTCACAGCGCAGTCCGTAAGTCCCTCGGCTTCAAGATGGTCGGCGACAGCAGCGATTCGATATGGGGAGTCATGGACGTGTACCCCCGGACAGACTTCCCCGACATCCGCAAAAAGGCAGTCTTGCATGCCCCAGGCGGCAACCTGATGATCATCCCGCGCGAGGGCGACTCGATGGTGCGGTTCTACATGGAGCTCAAGAACGCGGCGGTCAAGGACGTGACGCTGGAAGGGCTGAAGAAGCAAGCGAGCCAGATTTTCAAGCCGTACTCTATGGAGATCGTAGAGACCGTCTGGTGGTCGGCCTACCTCATCGGTCAGCGGCTGGCTGACAACTTCACCAAGGACAACCGCGTCTTCCTCACAGGAGATGCCTGCCACACGCATTCGCCCAAGGCCGGACAGGGCATGAACGTCAGTCTCCAGGATGGGTACAACATAGGATGGAAGCTTTCGGCTGTTCTCCGAGGACAGGCCACGCCCGAGATTCTTGACACGTATGTATTGGAGAGGCAGAAGACGGCGTCTGACCTCATCGAATTTGACCGCACTTTCACCAATTACTTCTCCTCGTCGTACCGCCAGAAGCATGGGATCACCGCGGAGCAGTTCAAGGACCACTTTGTCAAGTCGGGCCGGTATACCGCCGGCCAAGGCACGCACTATGCTCCATCAACGCTTGTGTCACCAGACGAGGAGGCCAAGGAGTTGGCTTCCGGGCTTGTTGTAGGCATGCGGTTCCCCAGTGCCCAGGTTGTGAGGTTCAGCGATGCAAAGGCCGTTCAGCTGGTGAGGTCTTTGCCGGCGGACTCAAGGTGGCACGTGCTTGTATTCTCAGGTGACCTTCTCGACCCTTCTGTAGCGACCAAGGTGGCTCAGGTGAGAGATACCGTCCTTCTGCAGAGTCGATCGAAAGCTAACACATACCCTCCAGCTGTCACACGTCCTGGACAACACGATTAGGCGATACACGCCGACTGCGCAAGACCCGGACAGCGTGATACAAGCTCTTCTTGTGTATTCGTCCAAGCGCTTGGCAGTGGAGCAGGATCGGATACCCAAGGTTTTCACTCCTGTCACAGGCAAATGGGGCATTATGAGTAAGTCGCCGCCAGCCGCACAGATTACCAGGAGCTATGCTGACCCTCACAGACCTCCACAAAGTCTTCGCTGATGACGAGAGCTATAACTCGGGACATGGACATGCGTACGAGACATACGGGATTGACCCAAAGAAGGGATGTTGGGTTGTCGTTCGGCCTGATCACTGTAAGTTCCATCGGCATTGACTACATTAGTGCCCGCCGACCGTTTGCTCATAATATGGCCAGATATTTCCAGAATCGGGTCCCTCAATCGCCCAGACGGCATTTCGCAATTCTTTGACGGTTTCTTGATTCGGAGCAACGGTGACTCATGACCAATGACTTGTGTAAACTGTCCAACGAGGCTTTGAGGTCTGACATAGCACATCGCCGCACGCCAGATATATGTCAGAACCCCGAGACGTTCGCACGAGGTATTGGCTACAGGCGACGTCTTTTAGTGGGAGAAATAGATACATGCCAGGATGCCATCTATTTAAAGGGTCATCATGCAAGGGTTTCGGCACATCCAGGGCAGGGGTATCTCTCGCATGGACAAAGACAAGAGCAGTCTCAGCCAAAATAACATGCAGTCGTAGTGGGAGATAAGATAAAATCGACAACGCTAGTGGTCATTGGGTATCTAGCGCTACTACCAGAGTGTCGCTATGTCTAGTAATGGAGGAGTGGATGGATTGTGTGGAAGTATTGTACATGCTCCTCGCCCTTCCCCGAATTCCCGTGATCTTGTACAGAGCGATGCGCGATAGCAAGCTTGTGCATACAGCCTTGCAAGCTTGTCGCAGAACAACCTCAGACCTTGATCTGCTCGTTCTCGACAGATCGCTCCTCGGCCGCAGTAGGTGTCATGTCAGACATCTCGACCGGCACAGGCTTCTTGCTCTTCTTGCTCTTCTTCCTCCTCCTCCTCTCCTTCTTGGCGAGTTTCTTCCAACCCATGCCAAAGGCAGTGAGCATAGCCAGTGCAGCGAGAACTGCACAGATGTAGAACACCCGATCAAGACTGTACGAGTAGGCAAAGAGAACGCCTGCCAAGTCTTTGGGATCCACGATCTTTCGGAAGCGCGTTGCACCAGCCGCGGTGACTGTTGCAGGATCTACGTTGGGCGCGTATTTGGTAATCCCCGATCGGAGGCCAGTGTCGAAGATGACGTTGAACACAGCGAGGAAAATGGTTGGGCCAATGTACTGGGCCCAGACAATAAATGCGGTGGCGGCAGTGAGCTCTTCTGCATTCGTGACGTTTTGGACGGCCATCAGGGGCTATAAAGCAAGTCAGAGAGGGTGCTGTAATTCAAGGTAAAGATGTGCTTCCTCTTACCATCATAAAGCCTACTCCTCGACCAAGGCCCGTGATGATCATGAACCCAACCCAGTGGCCAGTCGGAGTGTCTGGCTTGAGGAGCCCAAACAGACCAGTGCCAATGGCAGCGAGAAACCCCGAAAATATGGAAAACGGGGGGATGTAGCGGACAAGCCCCACTGTGAAAGGGTCAGCGATTTCAGCGCAGAAGCAAATGCCGGTGAAATCAGCCTTACGGAGATAGCTGCTGATGCCGACTCCCAACATCTGAGGGAGGACCATGCCCAGAACATAGACTCCACTGGTGATGGCTTCCACACCCTTGACTGCTTGAAAGTAAACCGGTATAAAGTAAGCCGTTACCAGCAGATTCGACATGACGAAGGTATAGTTGGCTCCGCTTGCCCAGATAACCTGACGCTTGATAACGGGAAAGGGCAGGAGTCCATCATTGCCCTGGTGGTAGTTCCAGATGAACCAGAGAATGAACGTAGCTCCGGATCCACAAAATAAGCCGATGACTTGAGATGACTTCCAGGCAAAGCCGTGCCCTCCGAATTGCAATGCAAGGAGCAGCTGAATGACAGCCGGTGCAAAGAGGACAAATCCGACCAGATCCAGATGGCGATGGAGCTGACGGAGCACTACCAGAGGCTTTTCCTTCTCGATCTGCTCTGGGATGTGCATCAAGGCCAGTGGTATCGCAACCAGGCAACCAAGGGGTAAGTTGATATAGAAGCCTACCAGACTAGGTATCAGTCAATCGGATCAAAGGAAAATGGGGGAAGGGTCTTTTTACACCAGCGCCAGGTGTAGCCAGTCGTGAAGGCACCTCCAATTACTGGCCCAAGAGCCACACCCAGCTGGGAGACTAGTGTCATCTGTCAGCGAGAGCTTCAGAAATGCTCAGAGGCAGATGGGTTACTCACTGGACATCATGATTCCAGTTGGCACTGGCAACTATTGTTAGCCGATCTTTCACCATTGTGATGTATAGCTCTGAGTGGAGTGTAGCTCACTAGGCCGTTTCTCCATGGGCAACGAGCTGGCAATGATGGAGATTGCACCATTGATCAGACCCGAAGCACCGATACTAGCGATGGCTCGGGCGATAATGAGCATGGCAGAGGTCTGGGCGGCACCACAGAGCGCCGATCCGATTTCGAAGACCGCGAAAAAGGAGATGAACGACCACTGTGCCTGTTAGGCGGTGCTGCTTTGTCTTGCGGTTTGAATATAGGCTTACTTTGAGACTGAAGTGTTGATATACCTTTCCGGTCAGCGGCTGGAGGACAGCACTGCGAGAACCGCGTCAGTACAATCTGGATTACAATGAGAGTTGATGTCCATACCTTCCAAGCTGGTATGCACTGCCATACCAACCGAGATCCTGCCTATTGTCAGCATGGTGGGCTATTGGCCTGCTGGTGCTTCTGCTCTACTGACATGAAGGGAGTGGAATTCGTCAGTAATTTTCGGAATGGCCTTTAAGAGATTGTCAGCGTGACAAGTTTATATAGAGACACTCAGGTGTCTTCCTGATCCCAGCATACCGTGGAGACAATGGAGGTATCAAGCATGACGAGGAACGCTGCCATGGTCAGACTGGCCAGCATCATGTACAGTCGGGCGCCTGAGGCAGCTTCGATCTTGGTGCCATTTGATGACTCGACCATCTCTGCTTGGCCCTGGGTCGCATCTCGTGTTTCCTCCATTCTTTGCTTGCCTCTCAGAAGATTTGTTGACGAATGTGACACTTGAGGGCGGGTTTGTGACGCCAGGACGCGTACTCTGCAAACAATCTTGGCCCCTCTCCAGCTTGCGCTTGAAAGAGTTTCTTGAAGTGGATATGTCCAAGAGGACGACGAAACTGAGAAGATGGGGTGAAAGGCCGGTGATAGGGATGGAGATGTGAAGGACGCGTTCTCTTTGAACAAGGGGGTTTTTTTTTTTGGAGGAGGAGGCAGGCACAGGACTCGAGGTTAAGTAACTGTTGCAGCAGGTGCGACGGAGGGGCTTGGGACGAAATCAAAGAAAGATATCAAATGTTTATCAAGTGTCACAACCTGGCCAACATCTGAAATCAATGCGAACGCTAGGATAGCAGACCTGATAGCTCTGTACACCTGCTCATGCCGAGCGTCCAGGCAATTCTCCTTTTGGCCTGCACAGAGCTGTTTGTCTCGGTGTGTGCATGCTGCTGGCCCTCTTACACCACATTGTGCTGACACAGCCGGGGCCGGGAAAATTCTTAGCTCCGGCCCCGGCGCATCAATGATTTGAACCTTGATTATTCCGGTCCTTTGCTGACACGATGTGCTCCATACAATTCCATCAAGCCCTTCCCATTCACACTCAATAGCGACCTAGCATCTGTCAAGCAGGATCCGGGCATCTAGGATTCTCCGGCCCAGTCCTTCAGACTCTCGCTGAATGCACAGTGTCTCCCAAATCAGGCCGCCGGGCCGCAGGACAAACCGGTCAAAATCAGCCTGCTAGCTGTAGTCTCCCAGACTCGTGTTTACTCATACCACTAGACAATGGATGCACGTATCGATCACACACCCCTATCGGCCCGGGAACAGGGCGGAAAGGCTTGTACAAACTGCGCCCGAGTCAAATGCAAATGCATCGTGCGCGCAGATGGCCACGGCTGCGAGAGGTCAGCATTAACACAGGTCCACTGTCTTTCTTGTGCCATACTGACCTTACCGCAGATGCCACCGCTTGAACAAGCCTTGTGTGCCCTCGTCGCCAGCAAGAAAGCGCGGCCCCAAGCGCAACACCGCATCGCGCTCGGCCCGGCTGGAGAAGAAGCTCGATGATCTCGTTTCCTTCTTGCAGAGCGGCAAGGCCCTATCTGGCTCCAGTGCAGCTGCAAAAGGCACCCTAGAGTCTGAAGACGATGAGGTCCAGGATGACGCAGACACGTCTCCGACCCTGACGGAGAACACTCGTGTTGGTCCTCTATCTGCCAATCTCAACAACGTTTACGCCGATGAGCCCAATCCCGAGGAAGCAGAGAGCTGCCTACACACCTTTCGCGAGGAGATGATGGTGAGCTCTTTAATAGTGTTTGACCGTTGGGGCCAATCATTAACGCCTTTTCTCTAGCCCATACTTCCATACATTTACATCGAGCCCGACCAGTCAGCTGCGGAACTCCGCCAGAGGTATCCTTTCCTCTGGTTGAACATCATGAGCGTGGCCTCCCAGTCTCCAAGGATACGAAACTCTCTGGCAAGCCAGGCGAGAGGGATTATTTTTGAGAAGATCGTCAGCGACGGCGTGCGCTCTGTTGACATGCTCCTTGGGGTCCTTACATATCTCTGTTGGTTAGTGCCGCAACCTGTGATCCGCTCCTTGACCGAAGCTGACCTTGGCCCAGGGTTCATCTGTTTCCCATGGATAAATACTTTGCCTCGATGACCTCTCAGATCGCAATATCCTTAATCTTTGATCTAGGCCTGCAGGCGCCGCCTCCCGAGCATCCCCATAAGGTCGGACAGCACATAAAGGCAAAGGGGTTTGGACCCTGTCAGGTCATTCGTAAAGAGCGAACTGATGAAGATCGACGAGCCGTCCTGGGTGCCTTCGTGATCACCTCAATGTCAGTCCAGTCAGCCTGGAAACCGGGACTTCGGTTACTCACAACCCTCGCAGGACTTCCCACTCATTCAGGTCAGCCGATGGCCTTCGGTGGTCGCCTTACCTCGATGAGTGTCTGAACTACCTTGCTCGTACCAGCACTGTGCCTCAAGACCAGGACCTCATTGCGCAAGTCAGAACACAGTTAATGATCAATCAAGTCCGCTATTCTCACTCGAGCACCAGCGGTGTAGAGGTGCCGAAAGCCTACGTCGATGCACTCCAGACGCAGCTGGATAAGATGCTATCGACTGGCAATGGAGCAGGCAACGTATCTCAGGAGAATCGTGAGTGCCCATTTGTGGAGTTACAGAGGACATTCAGCTGACGACACACAGCTGCCATGCTTCGACTGTACCATTTCGCCGTTCTTATGATCCACGAGCCCATCCTCCTTAAGCCGGCGTCGTCAAGCAACGACCCAGATCTGGGACGGTTCCACGTCTACCAGCGATGCACCGACTCCATCAAATCTTGGCTCGAGATGTTCTTTTCGGTACCACGGGACCACTTACCCTACCTTCCCTGCAGCAACTATTGCCAGCTTTACTACGCAATGGGGTTCCTCTACAGGATCTCCACCCTCAAGGTGCCAGGCTGGGACCCGGCCACAAGCAAGAAGATGGTGGATCTGATGCCCACCCTGGATAAGGTCATCGACAACTTCGAGCGGGCCAAGGAGGAGGCCGCGCTTCGCTCGCCGGAGAGTGGCACGCACGAGATATTCTGGTTCGGGATACAAAAGTTCTTGGCCCTCAAGACGGTGTGGCAGTGCGAGATGGCTCAGCAGCCGCCCGGGGGAGAGGACGGACCGGCTCTGCCGGCGGCGGATATGGCCATGAGTGCGGCGGAAGGGAACTCCCCGCTTTTCTCGATGGATCCGACCTTGCTCCCGTTGGACTCTGCTTTGTTCCCGATGATGCCTAGCTTTTTTGACGATCTAAGTTGGCAGTAATCTATGATTCCCGTTCGTCGATCAGCAAACTTAGGATCCCATGCATTTGTTTAGTGTTTGAAGGTCTTGTAGAGTCACATCCAACTGCAGTCACAGGTCTTTTGGTTTATAATGATGAGTATGCCTCCCGTTGGCTTCTGTATGATTTAGACTTGGGATAGTTAGACCTTGACCATTGTCGGGTTACGAGCCTAGAAGCCATGCTTCGACAAGCCCATAGATTACATTTTCATTCAAAATGCAGAACAACATGCAAGCAAACAGACAGATCAAGTCATCTCGACATGTTTTACATACTGTCTTTACCAACTCACTTTTCCCCTCACCCTCCAGTGTTCAAGTCGACCATGACAACAAAGCTGCTGGCCCTGTCCTCAACTTCTTACCCAGTCGTTCAAGTAAGCTCAAGCTCACCCTTCTCATTGACAACACGGGAGCATGTGCTGATTCGTACCAGTGGCGTGCACAAGGACAGTCTGTGGTTTCCTATAATCACAGTTCCGGGTTGCGAGCCCTCTAGCCCTTCAACCAGCTTGCTAAAAGCATCTCCAGGCGTTCAACAACATCAAGCAATCTCTAATCTGCGGTGGGTACAATGCTCGCCGAGAACAGACTGCTGTCGTTGATGCACTCAAGGTCAATGACAAGATTGATGAGGAGACATTAATCCCTCAACTCACAGCATAGAGGGATCAGTTTGCTGAGAGGGTTCTCACATTGCTTCAGCACCCATATTACACTGGCAAAGGCGAGCATGCTGAGCTGCTTGACTCGCCCGGTCTGCGGTTCGTTGATGAAGATACCAGGAAGAAGAGGACACACATTGTCCTTGTCAAAGTCGCATCTGGTAGGACAACTTGGGGCGATGCCATCCAGAGAGTGCTTATCAACGCGGCGGCGTCCCAGGCGAGCTTGGATGAAGGAGTCACCCAGGGATAGGAGGCGGGCTTAAGAGCAGGGGGACCAGGTTCGGCCGGAGTAGGAAGGACAGAGAGTACCTGTGGATAGGCAATCAGCCATGGAGGAGTTACAGAGTCACAATTGCTAGCTGCTATTGTTAAATCAGTCACATTACCCATCTTGCTACGTGCAACCTACTTGCCTATCTCTCAATGGACCCATAGCTGAGTTACAGAAATCAGCACTCAATAGAGGCTTGGATAACTCATGATTGTTCTTCTTGTGATGCAGTATAAATATGTAATGCATTCCCCTCTTCCTGGGCGAAAGCTCGTTGACACATTCTGCACAGAGTACACTTAATCCAGGTGTCGGTGTGCTGTGTTCTTCATGTCCTTGAAGCACCTTGAAGCAACTAGCAGCAACTGGATCAATGAAGAATCTTCTTTTTCCCTTACTGTCCAAGCTTCTTCCATGGCATAAAGGCTTGAAGGCAGACCCTGTCATTTCAAAACAGCAAACATCCTGGTGGGCGCTTTGAACTCTGGACTCATCTTCGTTTCTCGACTCCTCGACTGAATACAAGCCCCACCTGCAAAAGGGGCAACAGTTTCTCACTTTCTCTCCAGCTGCGTTCTCACCAAGACTACTTCATCAAAACTAGATCGCGCTTGAGCGCGTCTTCGTCTCTCGTCACCCATCTCTGCCTGGCCGTTTCTTCCACAATCACCACCCTTCCCTGCTTGGCTGTTTCTTCCACAACCACGCCCCTAACAACTCAATTCTCCCCATCACCAACTCTCCCCATCGCCAACTCTCCCCATCGCCAACTCTCTCCATCACCAACACGCCCCATCACCATCTGGCAACCATGCCTAAAGCCCGGCGCGACACGATCAAGATGTTTGGCAGGCGTGAGAACAACGTCCTGCGCTATGCGATGGAGACGCATCAATTTAGCGACCTGAAGTTTGTTAGCCACGGCCATGAATTCCCTGTCCATAAACTGGTCGTCTGCCTCCAGTCGCCAGTGATCAACGCAGCAATGCATGAGGGCTTTGAGGTGAGTACACAATCAGCTGTAGTTGGGAGATTTGGGAAAAGGTCCCCCCCTGCTGACATGAATCCTCCCATTGTCAGGAGGCTGAGACCAATGTCATCAAGATGGACAGCTTCGACGTCGAGACAATCAAGCGCTTTGAGCAGTTCCTGTACACCGGCTGGTACGAAGGCTTTCCCGCGCCGATCGACGATGACAAGGAGGTTGGCGAGAACGACAAGGAGGTAGTCGAGAATGACAAGGAGGCAGGCGAGACAGGTGAGATGCCCTCATGATCCAATTTGCGACCGATGTCCCAGACCACCGCCTGACCATCTCAGGCACGATTGCCCCTCCCTCCACGCCCGAGGGCTCGGAGCCGGAGACCACGGTCCGCCCGTCCGTCTTCTTCGACGACGACGTCTTCCAGCACATCCTCGTCAACTCGATCGGAGACTACTACGGAGTCGACGAGCTCGTCTCCCTGTCGCGGGCCCGGATCGAGGCCATCCTCGAGGACCCGCAGCGCTACCTCGTCCACAGCCTGCCCGCCATGGCCGAGAAGGTCATGGAGGCCACCGGCGACCGCGAGCTGCTGGCCGTCATCTCCAAGGCCATGGCCAAGGACATCGCCGAGCTGCTGGCCTCTGGCAAGCTCGACGACCAGCCCCACCTCGTGCCTCCGTTTGCCCTCGAGGTCCTCTCCAAGAGCGTCACCAAGTACGAGGAGAGGCTCGCGTTCCACGAACGCCGGCAGGAGGCTTTCCTGTGCGAGATCGAGCAGCTCCGCAAGGAACGGGCGCTCTACCTGGGCGATCCTCACATGCCCTAAGCGAGAAGCCGAGGGCCTGGGAAGGGCCAAGTAGGACAAAGTACGTGTCTTGAAGAAGCAAGTACAGGTTGTAATCAAGGCCAGTGCTGTCAGCAGGGTTGCCTGTTACTAGAGTTTGTTTTCATGCTGGCGGGAGCCAGTTGGGGATTTCTGTGTTGAGAGGTGGAGGAACAGCATCGATGCATTCAATGTTGTCTGTTGAGCCATAGAAAGGAGCAGAGAATATCAAGAAACTCAGTCTTTTAAGTGCCTAGTAATTCTTCCTCTACCTGGTTTTTAGAGTGTCGACATGCCATGTTTGTATCTCTTCTATCTTGAACGGGATAAAGAGAAGTGATTGAGGAGGACCGAAATAGAGAGTGCCCGCACAAATCAGCTTGGTCTGTCAGGTCTGTGCGTCATCTTGCAAAGAAGAACTGGATGTTTATCAGGTTGTCTCTTTTAATCTTTGTACACCAGATCAAACCAAAGTGGGCCTTCTGCGTTGGGAGCTTCTTTGCGCCTGTCTCTATAGACTGCCCTTCAGAATCACTTGACGCGCACTTTTCTTCCACCTCGCGTTCAGGACCTCACCCTGACGGACAAACATCCACCAGAATCACATCTCACCTGTCCACCATCACCAGCGACAGCGATGAGCCCAGAAGAGGTTCTCCTCAAACTGCTCAATTCTGGCGGGCTGAGCGATCTCCAATTCTCGTGCAAGGACGTCAAGGTCAAGGTCCACAAGGCTATAGTCTGCATCCAGTCCCCTGTCATCCGCACGGCCCTCCAAGGCAACTTCAAGGTATGTGTGTGGGGACAAGAATCTGGGAGAGGCGAAGTACGGTTATGTTTTGCTGATGCTGTGTCCATTGCAGGAAGCTGCGAGTCGAGTCATCGATATGGACAGCTTTGACCCTGACGTTGTCCGGCGCTTCACCGAGTTTCTGTACACCGGAGACTATGAAGAGTTCCCAGCGCCTGACACGCCCAAGGCTGGCCCGGCTGCAGCGACCACCAAACCGGAGGGAGATGGAGAGGACCAAGACAAGGATAGCGCCAATGAGATCTCCTCCAGTGAGTCCTCGAGACTGCGCGCACTTTGGTTTTGATTTTGGTTTTGCAATTCTTTTTTTTTGGCCGTTATTACCCCGTGATCAAACCTGACAGACATTCTCTCCAGGCAACGAGTCTGTTGCGAGCGGCGACTCGTCCGACGCCGAACACATTGTCTCGCGGCACCTGCTCATGAACTCGATCGGCGACTACTACGCCGTCCAGGACCTGGTCGACCTCGCCAACGCCAAGACGCAGAGCCTGCTGTCCAACTCGGTCTTCTCGGTGAGCGCCCTGCTCTCGCTGGGCGAGACGGCGGTCAAGGTCACCGGAGACAAGGACGTCCTGGACATCATCGCCAAGGCCACGGGCCGCGTCCTGGCCCTCGCCGGCGACGCCGAGAGCGAAGTGGACATCGACGCCGACCCCGAGATCGACATCATGGCCCGCCACGAGGACCTCCTCTCGTACTTTGGCCTCCGCCTCCTCGCCTCCTGCCGCCGCGAGTACCGGATCCGCAAGGACAGCACTGATCACGAGCAGTGGGAGGATCGAAGGGCGATCCAGCAATACGAAAACAGGATCGCTATGCACGACCGGGCTGTCATGAACCTCCTGAACGCCAAGCAGTGCCGGAACCAGGGCTGCGACCCGCCGTACTCGTTCATGATCCACCCGCAGAAGGGCGAGGTCATCTGCCGACGCTGCCGATGGGTCTTTGATCTCTGTTGTTAGCGGGAATGGGTGATGCTTCACTGTGGTCTGCGTTGATATTATCTTGTTGAGTGCTTTGTGCTTTTTGTTATTAACAGACAATCATGATGGTCAGAGTTGTGGAGGGGGGTTCAGCAATAGGGGGCCGGGTATTCAATGCGGTCTGGGTGATTTATGGAGACTAGGGGCTACTTCAAGTGTGTTTCATGGTTCAATTGCAATGTCTTTTCAGAGCTCCTAATCCTTGCTCATATGCTCAATGTGAAATGCCTTGACCACTGCCTGCAGGAGTCTTGAGGATCAACAGATGTCGTCGTTCGTAGTCTGCTGGCTGGAGATCCACCTCGGTCCCGAATGACGGCAAGAGCCCCACTGATAGGGCAGATCACAGGCCCCACTCGGTCCCGGTTACAGCGGTTACAGGGGGTGTTTTCAGCAGGTCAGGTCGGAGGTTCGTCCGGCGAAGTGCCGACATCCAATGGGACATTTGTTCAGTGTTCCATGGCTCAATCTGCTCGAAAAAAAGAGTCGTCTTGCACGCTGCTCAAGTACACCTGGGTTGTCAGAGATCTCGGTACCTCTTTTCTAGCGCTATTGAAACTCTGATTCCTGTACTAAGCAGCCTGAAAAGCCATGATATGACGCTTAACCAGGGCTAGTGGGCTGATGTGGAGGATCTTGTAGCCACAGCATGCCATGCTGACAGCTCAAGCGCTCTGCCTTTAGCCTGGTCGGACTTCGGACCTTAAGCAAGCCTCCAGCTCACCCAAGCTCCCACCCAGGTAAGCGAGAAAAAAAGGAACCTTGACATTGACACTCGTACTCGTCGGCACCCGGCGTTTACAACACGCGCGTAAAAGCTGTCGGTGTCTCACGCATGATGAGATCGACAGGGTCTCCCGTAGTACCTGCCGGCGAGCTGGACGGAGCCTGCAGTTTCGCGCGTTGGACTTCCCCCAATATTTAGTCCGGCCTGCCGCACGACTGCACCTCCTCCCTCGACATTGAATGTCTACCTACCTAGGTACTCTCTCACACCTTCACACCTAATACACACACAGCATAGCAATCCCGACTGCAATTCCTTCCCGGGACAAGACTGGACACACACCCTGTCCTCTGTCCTGCAGCTACGACTGCCGTTACCGCCCTCAGTGATTCCCCGGTCCAGCCTATCCAAACCTCTGACATCTCCCTCACTCGCCCTCCATCACCTCCATCACCTCCATCCACACACCTCCTCCCGGTCCTCCGTTGACGACACTCCGTAAACTCAAGCAAACCTATTCGACATACTTGACCAATCCCATCCATCTCATACACCCCTACCTGCAGCTCCCATCAGCCTCGTCACACCTCTCTGTCCACCTCTTCATTAAAAACCCCTCCTATCGCCCACCCGCTGCTCCGACAGCCCCCTCCCTCCCTCCCTCCCTCTCCTCAGAATGTCCCCCTCACAACCGGGCCTCCCACGGCCACCCTTCAAGACGACCCCAGGCTCAGCAGCAGCATTCGCACGCACCCTGCCCCGACCGGCCGCCATGAGCGCGACCGCCATCTTCGCCACGGCCGCCCTCGCCGCCGGCGCCTACGCCCTGTACGTCCGGCGCTCCGCCGTGCAGGCCGAGGGCCTCGAGGGCAGGCCGCCCTTTGCCAGCTTCGGCTTCCGCTCCCTCAAGCTGCAGAGCGCCGACGTCGTCAACCACAACACCAAGCGCCTCGTCTTCGAGCTGCCCGACCCGGCCGTCAAGAGCGGCCTGACGCTGACGTCGGCCCTGCTGACCATCACCTTCCCCGGCGGGTCGTGGCTGCCCACCGTGCGGCCGTACACGCCCGTCAACGACCTGAGTACGTCCCCCCTGACTTCCTTGACCTCCTTTTCTCCTGTATGTAGTGAACCATGATTCTGACTTGATACCTACGGTGCAAAATAGACGACAAGGGCAAGCTAGAGTTCCTCATCAAGCACTACCCCAACGGCAAGGCCTCGACCTACCTCCATGCCCTCAAGCCGGGCGACGCCGTCACCTTCGCCCCGATCCCGGGCTACAAGTGGCGGGCCAACGAGCACGCGCACATCGCCCTCGTCGCCGGAGGGCAGGGCATAACCCCCTGCTACCAGCTCGCGCGCGGCATCCTCGCCGACGCCGCCGACCGCACCCGCGTCACGCTCGTCTGGGGCGTCAACACGGACGACGACATCGTCCTCGGCGCCGAGCTGTCGGACCTGGCCGCGCAGCACCCGGGCCGCCTCGACGTCGTCTACGTCGTGTCCAAGCCCGAGGCCGGGTCCATGCACGTGGCGGGCCACGTCACCAGGGAGGTGCTCGAGCGGGCGGGCGTCAAGAAGGGCGCCGGGGACGTGGCCAAGGTCTTTGTGTGCGGGCCCCCGGCCATGGAGAAGGTGCTCGTCGGCGGCAAGGGCCCCTTTGGCGGCGCGGGCATCCTGGCCGAGCTGGGCTACGGCAAGAAGGAGGTGCATCGGTTCTAGGGGCGGACGCGGGAGGAGAGTCTGCTGTTTACATTGATACACGGCCTGTACAGATATGGAGAATGGCTACAAGAGGCGGGGGTGTGAAGGCACAAGAACAAGAACAAGAAATGGCATTGAAGTCGCGGAGAGCTTATTAGACTACATCCATCACACTCCAGTCAGTCACACGATACATAATTGAGACAAGTTCAATATTGGCTTTAAAAAAAAACAATTGCCTGATAAGCTTCCCTTGGGTTGCGTTGTTCATGTCGTCAATTCTAGGTAAACATATCTCAAGCTAGCTTCATCATGATTTGTATCCGCATTGCACCACCGCCACTCTCGAATTAATCCCGCCCTCCCCTCCTCTTGTCCTTGGTGTCCGCCCCCAGGTAGTCGATCGGGTTGCGGCACAGCGGGCACGTGTTCTGGTTGCTCGACTGGAACCACTTGTACAGGCACGTCCGGTGGAACAGGTTCTTGCACGTCTGGCACCGCTTGTCGGGCATGCGCTTGTCCGACGAGATGATCGAGTAGCAGATGGCGCACTCGGTCTGGCCCTTGAGCGCGCCCACCACGTTGCGCCGGAAGGCCGTCAGCCCGTCGATGATGCTGCCGTTCTGTTGTTTTGTGTGTGTCAATCTCATTGTCAGCCCCCCTTCGCTACTACTGCCAAACTACTCCTACTAAAGGGGGAAAAAAAAAGGGGGGGGGGGGGGGGGGGGGGGGGGTGTAAA